CGTTATTTTCTATTAATGATTCCAATACAATAAAACTACTTACTGTTTTGCTGGGAGAAACATGTCACAGGTTCTTTTTCTTTTTCTTGCCACAACCCAACTGCCGTCCACCCGCTCTCGTCAACCCCACGAAACCCTTGCAGTGTCAGCAACTATCCCTACTGTCGGTATGTGTCGACACTCCATGGCCTCGATGGAATCATATCGCGAGCAGGGTGTTTGGCAATCCCATCGTAACTAGGTTACATATTTATGTGACTGTGACACTATGTTATTTGATACAATTTAAAACCAATTTACTATGTACAATTTTGAAGTGACGCTATCGCATTAGTGGTGGGGATGATTAGACAAATTTTGGTTACCGTTTTACCATCTACAGGATATAATTAATATAAATACAAAATTTGACTTTCGAAGATTATCTGTCTAATGAAAATCCGGGACGGCAGACAGACTGACAGACAGACGGAAAGGGGACAATACTTCCTTTGCTCACGCTTGGGCAGTAAAAATTCGAAAAAATAAAGGGGGGGAAGACAAATTTGCATACTTTTCTCTTATTTGAAGCGGTATATCAAAAACAAGCACGGAATCTGTTGGTTCTTTTGGTAATTTGGTTAAATAAAATACGTTTAAGCTCAATTATTATTTATTACTAATGCATTTTAAACTTCAGATCTAATCACGTAAAGTTTAAAAATCGATTTCCTGATCACTTAGACTGAATTCTTTCGACTTCTAGACTTTCCTTTTTTGGAACAACGTCCTTTTCTAGATTTCGAATCATCCGATTCCTTACGATCATCAACGAAACTAGATTTCCTCTGTTTCCTATGACGGCTTTTGGAAGACGTAGTAGAACGATCACCCTCTGAATCGTAGTTTTTACTAGAAGATTTAGACCCTCTTTGATTCCTAGATTGTCTAACGGTGTTTCTGCTAGAATGACTCTCATCTGACCCGTAATTGTCACTTTCGCTTCTACGGCGATGAGTCCTAGATGAGTCTTTGAGTGATCTATGTTTCGACTTTTTTTCAATTCTTGTATCGTATTCCTCTTCTGCATCTCCCGAACCACGAGAAGACTTATGTTTTGTACGACTGGACTTCTTATAGTCTCTTCGTTTCTTAGACATTTCAGCGCTACCTCTGCTGTCAACCGATCTATCTGAAGCACAACTTTCAAAGTCGGACTTTTTTTCGTTCCTAGAACGGCTACTTTTGTCCACGTAATTTCTTCTGGACGATTTTGCAGCATCAAGGGGATCGGAACAATAACCGCTTTTTTGGTGACGATGCATAGGCGTCTCTTCCACATTATGGTGTGTTCTATGACTTGATTGTTTCTCAAGTCTATGCCTAGATCTGTGAGAATCGTTGTGTTTATAAGTAGGGCCCGGATTTTAGGTCACAAAAAATGACGAAAAAGGCGCCTAAAATAGGCTTTAAAAAACTTCAAATTAGGTTATAAAAATGTTGAAATAGGTTCAAGTAGGTTGATACAAATTTGAGATCTTCAAAATTTCAGAGCAACTAAAACAATGTTTTTTTTAGCCTTTATATTGTTTAACAGTTATTCACAATATTAATTAACATAATGCATACATTTAATTATTTATAGTTTTGAATATACTCGTAATAGTATAATAAATAATTTATTCAAGCGGGCATTCGCATGACAAACTATACCGGGTGTCCCACGTAACACTTTCGGGCACAATAACTCAGGTATTTTTGAACGGATTGTTATGAAATTTGAAATGTAGGTATTTTGATAGGTGAAGATTAATATGAACCGGTGAGAATAATCATTATCTTTAAAAAGTAAATTTTCCATGCCTTAATTTAATTTTGAATTAATTAATTTTTCCATCACTTGATTAAACATGAAAAATCAATACTGTATGCGTCTGGTTAGACAAAAAACGATAAATTACTGCGCAAATAATTCCAAAAAGTATTAAAAGAAAGGTAGCTATGAAACAAAAAAGTTGCATTCCTCGTATTTTGGACACCTTTGCGAGAATTTGATACCCGTTTGCCAAGCGTTATTTTATGAATTTTAAGAAAATACTAATTTTCAGTTCCTCGGCTACAACCTTTTCGAAGGTGCAAAATTGCTTTAGGTTCAGGAATTAATTCTAATTTAAATGGAAATAAGTTTGCTAGGTGTATTTAACATCTTGTTTTTTCACTCGTTTTGGGTCACTTCCCGTATCTTCAAATAAGTTTATTATTCTCTGTACTTTGAATTTAATAAATTCGTGATCGGGATACAGTTCGATAAGAGTCCTGATTGTTTCATTTAGGTCTGTACCGCATTCTCCGTAGGTTAAAATGATTTCTGTTTTAATAATTAAAGAAAAGCGAACCATTTTCAATAACTTGTCAAATTTTGACAAAAATGTCAGGGGTGTACAAAATTGAACTCGGCAATTGTTTTGCACCGACAGCACTATTAAATTTAAAAAATCAAATTAATTAATTTTTGCGTTTTTATTAACGTAATTCTTTTAAACAAAGACAGTGATTTAATTAATTTTTCGCGCACAGGCGTTATTTTAGTTGCTTAAAGTTATAACACAATTTTGAATAATTGTTAACAACAGCAAGCTGTGTTTTTGTACGATAAAATAGTTTTTTTGTTATCAGCCTAATTTTTACCTATTATATTACACCTGTTTTAAATTTCATAAAAATCCCTTCAAAAATACCTGAGTTATTGCGCCCGAAAGTGTTACGTGGGACACCCGATATATCGCTCTAGATTTTTACATGTCACTGATGTGCGATTATCTGCAAAAATATTTTTTAAACATGAAAAACATATTTCTACATCAATTGATGTAATGGACGCAAACTTTGACGCAGTGGGTTCTTTACATTCTCTCTGTGAATGTCTCCTTGTTGATGCTGTTCCAAATGAAACATCTTTTCACACTTAAACTTGAATACTCAACATTAAAATTAAAATATAGTATGTTATTTAAACAACAACAAATTGATGAAAATCGTAATTACATGCTTACCACTTGGCCGCATGCTGTACAGAATAATCTGCTGGCATCGTTGGCAATTTAATATACATCATCCATGGATTTGAGCCAGTGGTCAATCTTAACCGTGTTAGAGGTTTTTTCTTTAGGCATCAGGATGTTTAAGAATATTTCACAAGTGAACACCAAACTTACACCACGACACAATTTTAACTGAACGTCAGAAATATGGCAAGTGGGATTAGCAGAAGTGCATTTACAAAAGAACTAATAAAAATGTGTTATAAACTTGTTTGTAAGATAAAGTATTACAATTGAAAGTAAAAGCGCAAGATGTCTTTCAAAAAACTGCCACACTTTATTGGTGTTTTTTCCTGGAAAGGTCTGCTTTCGGCTCACTCAATGTGTGGATTTTTGTGAAATTACCGCAAAACAGCAAGCTTAGGACGTTTTAGGTCACAAAAATCAGTTTTAGGTCACATACTCTCATTTTAGGCAATTAGGCAATTATAAAGTAGGCTCAAATAGCGTTATTTTTTGCGAAACACATTTATATCTAAGTTTTATGTAAATGCCTTAAACAGGAACAAAAAGGCAAAAAACCTAAAGTCCGGGCCCTATTTATAAGGTTTACTTTCGTCCTTAGATCGACTGACGCTTCTTCTGCTGCTAAACGATGTAATGGAATGACCACCATCTGAATAATTGCTTTCGCTACCGCGACGGTAACATCTAGGTGAATAGTCCATTCTATAGTGTCTTCTGTGTGATTGACGAGGAGAAATATTTTCGGGATTTTAACGCACTTGGAGGTGTTGACGATATTAGACATTATAACTGCGTGTGTCATGTTGTGCCATCGGGATTGTTCTTCGTAATGTTGCAGGCTCACAATTGGAATTTCTAGAGTCTTGGGTTGTAGGTCTGGTGCGACTGTATTCTATGTTACATCCTCGTGAATGGTCAAAACGACTCTGCGAAGGTGATCGTCGTGAGTGTTGCATAGAATTAGGCTCTTGATGATTCTTGAAGACTTTCGGATTTCTTGATGAATCTTCGAAAACTTCTCTTCTGATATTCGGTTGTCCTAGGGCCGGTTTATAGAACAGCGAGTTAAATATTTAATCCTCGATTAGTTTAATAGAGAATTAAAATGTGGAATATGAGCCCGTGATTGGTTAAAATATGCGCGTTGCCTCGCAACGGACCTCAGTTAAAAGTTAATCGCGAATTAACTTTAACTTCGCTTTCTATAAATCGGGTCTTAATATGTTATAATCTCGGTTCAAAGACTCAACAGAACTAGAACGTCGAAAATTCGTGGTGGATGTCGTTGACTGTCGTCTTCTAAATCGTGAGATTTGAAAGTATATATTACCGAATAGGAAGGTACGTAATGACTGTCATTTTGTTCTTCTTCGGCGACTTTCTTGTCCAAGACGATTTTTTGCGCGACGATGCAACTGAAATTCTTCTGCGTTTCCTTCTGGCGACAAGTGCTTGATTTTTCTTGTTCTTGTATGGTCTTCCCCATGTGTTTCAAAGTGTAGAGAGAGCTCCGAGATACTGTCCTTGATTCCTTGGAGCGTCAAATCGTTGCTTGCTTCGCCCGCTTGGACATTTTTCGCACCATATTGAAAGATTTTTTGGAGGTGATGGTACCAGATGAGGAGTTTCTCGAGCTTGATGATGACATCCTGATCAGGAAACTTTCCCAAATACCTCTCACTGAAAAGATGTGTTAGTTTTTTTCAAAGAGAATGCGAATGTTTACTTTTTGAGGAGCTGCTCGATGTAGTCGCTGTAGGCGTCATTGAAGGGCGCCAGCGCGTGTTCTTGCAAGAAGCACGAACACTTGGCAACGATTTTCGAAATGGTTTCGCTTTCTGCTTCCAGTTCTGTCATCCGTGTGTTGATATCTTTTATTAGTTTTTCCATTTCAACGAGAGCATCTTGCGTGGTTTGGATTTGGTTTTTCACGTTTTGGTCTTCTTTCTGGATTTCGACACTCTCGGTTTCTTTGTAGATGTGCATGTGGACTTTCCAGTGACAGCCGCACTGCTGGCACGTTTCTTTTCCCGTCATGGCGTCACACTTGATTAGTCCTTTAGGAATCCCATTTAGAAAACAAAGGTTATAGCATCTTTGTTTGTGGTGCCACTGGGTGATTTGCTTGACCTTAAACAACAAGAAAGTAGAAATTTTTACCAAAGTGGACGTGTTACCTTCACGATGTCTGCACATTTAGTGTCCGCACAAACAGTCACAGGTTGACTCAGATTTGTCACTTTTAGATCAACGCAGGGTATGTGCAGCTGCTTTTTCAGTTGTTCAAGAGTCTGGCCATCTTGACTCAGACTTTTTTGTGCCTGTCAAGTATTCTGATATTGTCTTGTAAAAGTGCTGACACTTCAGCAATAGGAGTCGTGAGTTGTTCTACGAGAAACCTGACTTCGTTGATACTGATTGTGTTTTCGACTTCGTGTGAGTTCAACGCCGCGTTCTCGATATCTCCAATAATGTACGCCAACAGACTACAAAACCAGAATTTGATAGAAGAAATTGACAGTTGCGTACTTACCGCTGAATCTCATTCGACGAAACCTCCCAACTGTGCATAAACCCGTCCAACTCATGTTTGTTGTATTTTTTCCCCTCCTGAATCGCCAACAAGGCCTTAAAAGCCTCGTTGTCCACAGCAAAAATGTTGCTGTCGCTCAAAGGAATACACACGTGTGGGGGTCTCGACCGTATATCTTTAACCAGTGGCATTAAACAATTCGTCTTAGTCTCTCCAGCTGTATAATTCGCCGCCTTACTATAAATAGTAATAAAAATAATATTCCGACTGGCGCTCTTATCCAATCGTGTCAAAATCTGCTTCAGACAATACTCCACGAACTTAGTAAATCTCGTCTGATTCGACTTCAAAACAAAGCAAATCGCGTGGAGTTTCTTCAGCGTGGTCAAGTACGCGAGAATGTTGTCCAGATTGACGTTGTCCCGATCGGTTCCTCTGGGATCTCCAACCCCCGGCGTGTCAATCAAGCGCAAGTTGAAAGTTTGGCTGCCGAGCTTGATCGGGAATAGGTAAAGCTTGACGTGCTGAGTGGCGGATTTGCCGTCTTCGAGGAGCTCGTTGTCGTCAGGGCTCTCGAAAACTTTGCTGACTTCGGCCACGTTCAAAAACAACGGGATTAAAATGTCGATGTTCCCTTTTTGGGCTTCTTTGAAGTCGGGGTAGTTCAAGTAGTTCGAAATGGAGTTGATCAGGGTGGATTTTCCGACCCCGGTTTCGCCCAAGAGGAGGAGGTTGATGTCGTCGGATGTGGTCTGAGAGTCTTTGAATAAATTTGCCAGGGAGCTGTACATTTTGGAGTTTTGGAGTGATCGAGGCTCTTCAGAAGATCAAGGTATTTCAATTTATTTTTGGGGGTGGTTCTACTATAATTAAATCGTTTGTATAATTTGGTGAAAAACTAAAAAAAAAGAAAATATTGGCACTACTGTTAGCGAATGATAAGATGAATCTAGACTGATAAGCGATAGTTAGAGTAGTTACTTACAAAATGAAAAAAATTTGCACTAAAGTAAAACTAGATTCAAAAATAAATAACTGTATTTATGCTCTTGTAATGACAAAATTTTTGAATTCAGTATCAGTCTTGCAAAGAATTTCAAAAAAATTGAAAAATGTTTGCTTACCTGTGCTTTTAATGATAACACCAGTAAAACTGCGTTAATCAAAATGGTGAAAAATCGTTCTATGTGTTCTACATGCTTGCGATATGGTTATCAGTTTTTAATTCTTTGTCAATTGATTGCACTGTCAAAAAAAATACAAAAATGGTTGTTGCATAATGGATTGAATATTAACAACGCAGCCTTCAAAAACCAAAATTGCGATTTCAGGCTGAAATTTGGCAATTGTGTATTTTAAATGAAATAAAATATATGTTGCTGCAAAAAATTTGGGGGCTATTTGAGAGAGATAGATAATTATTGAGATAAACACTACACCTTTATCAAATTGATCAACAATTCAGATAACTAAAAATAAAATTTAAGCATTCCTCAATACTTGCTAATTTCGAATATCGTAATAACCCAATATATAAAGAATTATAAAGAAAACAATGAAAAGAAACTTTGTCTAAAAGTGCTCTATTAGTTCACGATGTTATCGTGTACTTTAAGAACAAAGGCAAAACATAGATTTTATCTACCAAGAAATTTGTCTAAAGTTATTTGTTACGTTATCCTGTACTTGTAGAAATAAGCCCAAAAATTGCTCTAAAGTTATTTATTCGCTTGAAGTACAGGTGAATGAATACATACTCCTTATATTTTGCACAATTTAGACAGGATTTATTCCGCAAAATTTTGAGATGAAGTCATCAATTTTTTGGAGGGGATAAGTAAATAGTTATTTCATACTAAGTATTTAAAACTCATTTACTGGAGAAAGTTTATGTAGTGGAATTCCAAAATAGTGAAAAAAAATAAATGTAAAGAAAAGCAAGAAGAACTTAAAAGGGTCGTCAATTTATATCCAAGAACTTAGAAAATTTTTAGTAAAGAGCCAAAAGAGAAGAAAGAAAAGGAGGCAAAGGAAAAGGAAAAGGAACAAAGGATGCAGATAGGGACATTGGAAAAAGGGAATCTGGTACAAAATTAGGAGAAAAAGGGGTGAAGGTACTGTTTTGGAACGTCCAAGGGTTGCGAAAAAAGGATAAAGAGTTCTGGGACTACGTGGGAAAATTTGATGTGGTGGGACTAGTAGAGACATGGGTACAAAGAGAAAACTGGGAGAAATTTGAAGGGACACTACCACAAAAATATGTGTCAAAGGGCGACAAAGCAAAAGAAAAAGGGGAGAGCAAGAGGAGGAATAGTAATGGGAATTCGAAAAGAAAAGCAAGAATTGAAAAAGGGAAGTAATAATAAAAACGGACTAATGAAGAAAGTAATACAGCTGGATAACAATCGATGGGAAATAATAATCGTGTATAGCAAGAAAATGGAGGAAACCAAGATAAACATAGAAAAGGGAACAAAAGAAAAAGGAGATGATAAAATACTTATAGGAGGGGATTTTAACGCAAGACTGGGCGATAAAGGGACAATAATAACAGATTAAGAAAAGGGAGAGAAAAGAGGATCAAAAAATAAAGCAAATAACAAAGAAGGGAAAATATCGTGGAAGATAATAGAAGACGTGGGATGGGAAATTTTGAATGGAAACAAGGAAGGAGATGAAGAAGGAGAATGGACGTACGTAGGCGCTAGGGGAGAATCAATTATAGACTATGGGATTGTCAACGCAGAGGCGTGGGAAGAAATAGAGAGTTTCAAAATGGGGGAAAGGGTAGAATCAGACCACATGCCACTAGAAATAAAAGTCAAAGAAAAAGAGCAAGAGTACGTAAAACAAGAGAAAAGAAAGAAAAGAAACAGAAAAAAGGATATGGGATGAAGAGGGAATTGAAAGACACAAAAGTAGACTAGAAAAAAAAATCGAAGTAAAAGAAGATATAGAAGCTATGAACTGAATACTTAATTGTAGAAGCTAAGGAAAAAAGAAAGATATACATATGGCAAGGGAGGAATAATGGATGGAACGGAGAATGTAGTGAGTTGAAGAGAAAAGCAAGGGAAAAATTAAGAAAATGGAAGAATAACAGGGTAAGGAAAGAAGAGTACTTAAAAGCAAGAGGGAATTATACGAGAAAGTGTGAAGGAAGATAAAGAGAAAAACGAGGAGAAGAAGAGAAGATAATGAAGTCCCTGAAAACAGAAGAAGAAGTATGGAGATATATAAACAAGGAACGGAGAAGGAAGACAGAAGTCAGCCGGAAAATCAAAATGAATGGAAAAGACACTTTATGGAATTATTGGGAGGTTGTGAGGAAAAATGTTGCAAAATAAATAAGGGAATTACCACGATAGAAGACATATTGAAAGACTGAAAGAGGAAAGGCACCAGGAAGGGATGGAATCCAGAACGAAGTGTGGATGTTAGGGACAGAAGGAGTGAAAGAAAGGACATCGGAAGTGGTAGATGGAGTTAGGAAGAGAAAAGGGGTTCCTCGGCAGTAGAGGTAAAAAAGTGATGTGAACAACTACCGAGAGATCACTGTGATGAAAAATGAAAGAATAAAGTATAATATAATAATATAATCTTCCCAAGTTCTTTTTTTTCCAAAAATCTGAATGTCTTAAGTTAAAAACTCAACACGGATTCATAAACCACAAGTGCAGGAATATCTTATTTTATAAAGTTTATTAATGATGTTTGAAAAAAATTGAAATCTGGTAAAATAAAAAAACCGTCCAAGCCCAAGTGTATATTAAAATTTAAAACAAATCTACGTATCATTACAAAGCACATGTTAAGCTTACGATCTGAATAACTAACAGTTTAAAAATCATCCCTCGCTTTCAATCAGAATCTGTGTAGCTTTCCTGATCAGTTAGACGCAGTTCTTCAGATGAATCAGAACATGCACTGGAACTTGTCTGAAAATATTCTTCGCGCTCTTTTGGGTCCCGCCATGAACTAGCTTTTGATTCCTTTTGGTTTTTATATTTCCTGTCTCGAACTTCACAAACCCTAGAAAATCATCAGAGTGAGGTTTCCTCTTAGGCTCTTGGTGACGTTTATCAATAGGGGTAGATTTTTGTCGTAGTTTGGACTCGGCGTGTCCGCTTCTGGAAAATCTAGGAGAATTATCAACCGGAGCGCGAATTTTGTGGCCACACTAAATCGTAGTTTTTATTAGAAGATTTAATAATAATAATAATAATAATAATAATATATATTTTCCAACAGACATATACGTCTACAGTGGACACACAAAGCAGTAATACATAACAAAATAAAATAAAATAAAATAAATACAAATACAAATGAAAGAAAACATAGATTTGTCTCTTTGACGTTTACCCGACTTTTCTTGATGGTTAGAATGGTTACTTCGGGACGATTTTTTAGTATCCCGGTCATCTGAGTCATAACTTTCGCTTCTGCGGCGGTGACGGCTAGGCGAATCTTTACTTTTATCGTGTGTTTTGAGTCTTGATTTTTTTTCACTTCTTTTATCGTGGTATTCTTCGACATGTCTTGGTCGACGATTTGACTTCGTACAACGATCGTCATCTGAATCAACGCGTTTGTAAGACTTGGTAGACTCTCTGGAGTTTTTAGATCGTTTAATGCTATTTCTTGTTTCAAACCGTCTAGCGGAATGCCCACTATCTGAATCATGGTTTTCAAAATCGTGCCTAGAATGTCTACATCTCTCAGTGTATTCTTTTCTCGACGAGTTTCTAAAATCGTCGCTTCTATGGGGTTGTCTTCTAGGCGAGTATTCCACTTTGTTGTGCTTTCTGGGTGATGTGTTGTAGTATTCTTCTGAAGAATTATTTCCGGGAAAGTGGTTTTTACGTCTGGTTGACGATCTTTCTTCTTTTTCTACGTGGCGTTGATGGGCATATTTGCGTCTGTCGTATCTTGCCATTGCTTCATTTCTGTGTGATTTTACAGGTTCATAGTCATCTGAATCCCTAGAATGTTGGGTTCGATATCTGAAATTGTCTCTTTGAGTGTAGGTATCTCGTGGTTGGTCGTAACGTCTGTCTGGAGATTTTCGTCTTGAGTGTTGCTTAGAATTAAATCCGTCATCATCTATGAAGGTTCTCGGCTTTGACGATTGTCTAGATGTGGAATGATGATAATTTGAAAAGAGTTCTATTGATCTGTCGTCTTCTCGGTCGCTACCGTTATACGTGTATGTTACTGCACTCATAGGTTTGTACGAAACGTAGCTTTCGTTGCCCCAGTCAACGTCCACTTCATATTCTTCTTCAGACGCTTTGGTCTGGCGTGGTTGTTCGTCGTCATCGCTGTCTGTCAATTCACATCGTTCTCGTTCAGCTGTTGTCTTATCCAAGTCGACTACTTCTCGCAACGTAACGCAACCGAAATTTTTCTGTGTTTCTTTGTTGCGACAAGCGTTGGATTTTTGTATCAGTTCTCGAATGGTTTTCCCCATGTGTTTCAATTTGTAGAGTTGCGCGATACTTTTCTGGATTCCTTTAAGGGATAAATCGCCGGAAGGTTCTCCTTGGGCATTCTTAGCGCTCTCGTGGAAGGTTGCTTGTAGATTATAGTGTTGGCTAAGGAGGTTTTCGAGTTTCTCTATGACTTCTCGATCGGTGAACCTTCCTAGGTACTTTTCACTGAAAATAGTGCGTTAGTTTTGGTCAAAGTGCATCTGATGAATTACTTTTTGATAAGTTGCTCAATGTATTCACCGTAGGCGTCATTGAAGGGCGTCAGCGCGTGTTCCTGCAAGAACCACGAAAACTTGGCGACGATACTCGAAATGGTTTCGCCCTCTTTTTCCAGTTCTCGCCTCCGCGTGTTTAACTTTTCGATTAGTTTATGCATATGGATTCGAGCGTCTTGTTTGCTTCTGATGACGCCTAACACGTTCTGGTCTTCTTTGCGGACTGAAACTTTGGTGGTTTCTTTGTAGATGTGCATGTGGACTTGCCAGGGGCATTCGCACTGTTGACAATTGGGTCTGCCTGCCATGGCCGCACAACACATCAGTTTGGGATCGCCGAACATTTCTTTAGGAACCCCGGTCAAGTAACAGGGGTTGTGGCATCGTTGCTTGTAGTGCCACTGGGTCACGTTGTTGACCTTAAACAACAACAAAGTAGAAACTTTTAGAACAGTCGAAATTTTACCTTCACGATGTCTGCACATTTAGGGTCCGTGCAAACCGTTACCGGTTGAGTTAGCTCCTTCACTTCAAGATTAACGCAAGGTATGTGCATTTGCTGTTTGAGTTCTTCGAGAGTTTGGTCATTCTGTTGCATTTTTTTTTTATGAGCGTCGAGTACTCTGATGTTGTCTTGGATGAGTTCCGACACTTCCGCAATGGGAGTCGCAAGTTGTTCAATGTGAAATCGTACTTCGTTGATACTGATTGTGTTTTCGACGTCGTGGGGTTTCAAACCTGGACTAGACGCATCTCCAATAACGTACCTCAATAATCTACAAAACAAGAATTTGGTTTGCGGAAAGAAGACATTGTTTAGTTACCGCTGAATTTCGTTCGACGACACCTGCCAGCTCGTCTCGAAACCTTTGACTTCGTGTTTGGTGTATCGTTTTCCATCTTGACTGGCCAACAAGGCTTTGAATGCTTCGTTGTCCAAACAGAAGACGTTGTCGTCGCTCAAAGGAATAGTAGCATGTGGTGGTCTCGACTTAATGTCTTTAACCAGTGGTGCCAAACAGTGACTCTTCGTCTCCCCAGCTGTGTAACCCGCCGTTTTACTGTAAGTCGTAATGAAAATGATGTTCTGACTGGCACTCTTGTCCAGGCGCGTCAATATCTGCTTAAGACAGTACTCCGCGAACTTGGTGAACCTCGTCTGATTGGCCTTCAAAACGAAACAAATGCCGTGGAGTTTCTTCAGCGTGGCCAAGTACCCAAGGACGTCGTCCAGATTGATATTATCTTGTTCCATTCCTCTGGGATCGCCGACTCCTGGTGTGTCGATCAGTCTCAGGTTGAAGGTCTTGTTGTCCATTTTAATGGGGAAGACGTAAACTTTGACATGCTGGGTTGCCGATTTGCCTTGGTCGTGGACTTCGTTCTCGTCTGGTGTGCCAAAAACTCTGCTACTTTCGGCTACGTATAAATACATGGGGATTAGGATGTCGACGTCCCATTTTTGCGCTTCTTTGAAACTGGCATAATTGAAGTAGTTCGAAATGGCGTTGACCAGAGTTGACTTTCCGACTCCTGTTTCGCCCAATAGGAGGAGGTTTACGTCATTGTCTGCGGCGTCGGTGGATTTGAAGAAACTTTTGAAATAGTTGATCATTTTGGTAAGGGTTTCTATGGAAAGACTAATATCTGCAATTAACAGTTTTTAAAATATTGGAACGTATTATCACTGAGATAAGATAATATTGAGAGTAGTCAAAATTTACAAACTTATATACAAAGACAAACAGATAATTGAAAATATATTTAAGCTTTTCTATGAAATTTAATTTTCTGTCCTATACTACTATAGTACTATCCTGTACTATTTAATAAATAAGTAAATGTGCAGCTAGTTTGACAACTGATTTTTGTGTAAAGTATTGGGGTGTTCGTTCATTAAATCCGTAATCTTTGTGTGAAACATTTTGTTCAGTTCAAAGAATATTTAGTTAATTCAACGGTGTTTCACGCCCTGTATATGCCCACGAATAAAAAATTAAAGTCTTACCTGTCCCTCCAATGATAACACTATAACTCTACATCAATCAAGCCTGTGAACAAACGTTCCACATCGTTATATACTTGTGATATCGTTATCAGTTTTAAATTTTTTATCGTAAATTATATTACAGGACGAAGTCGTAGTTCTTGTCAACTTATATTGATATAAATTGGCAACTGAATTTATTAAACGAATATTAGTGATTCTGTGCAGAATCAGAGTAAACGATAAATAAATGTATTTACCCCGAAAAGTTTCGCTTTATAATTAACACATTTACTCTTTATAGTATATTAAGTATTAAGAACGGTAAGGGGTGTTTACTGGTCGAAGACAAAAGTTTGGAGACGGAGCGAAGCGACCTTAACGTTCGTGATGCTTATACTATTTTTTGTACGACCATCAAAAGATTTGCCTCTTTTTATCAAATCCATAAATTGAAAGAATTTATATCAAACATCAACGAGGTCTTTTTTTTAATTTAAAATTTGTTACTATGGTTTCGATTAATGTAAACAACAATTTTAAAAATCAGTTTCCATTTTGACCGTTGTCGATTTAGATTTGATCTGGCTTGATTTCGAGTTAATTTTCTTTCCGCAATTATTAGTGAGTGATTTATTTGCTTAAAATATCAATCATGAGTGATTCTGAAAGCGAAAATATCGAAGTCGAACAAGCATGGAATTTAAAAGAAAAAAAATCTTGAATGTGTGATTACTTACCGTTCAGCTGAACAGTAAGTAATTTGCTTACCGTTCTTCTCTTCGTAGCAACCCGTAAACTGAACTTACTGCTATGGAAACCTGTACGGTAAATGATCGAAAAAGCAATGGTCGTACAAAAAATATTATAAAATACAATATAATAATATAATCTTCCCAAGTTCTTTAATTTCTGAATACTTTAGACAGAAAAATGCGTTAAGCACAAATGGAAATTCACACTTAGATTCTAAGATTTGAAAGTTGAAAATTGGAAAATAGAAACTGAAAACTAGGAAATGAGAAACAGGAATTTGGAACATTGGAACTGGAGCTTACAATTGGATTACGAATTGAGAATTAAGAACAAATGGGAATTTAAAACCGCAACTATGAAACTCGAAACTCGGAATTTGAACTCATAACTAGGAGCTCGCTACTCCAAACTGGAAACTTGAAATTGGAAATTTGAACCTGGAGAACTTGAGAATCTGAGAATCAGAAATCTGAAACATAGTTGGGTCTTTTGAACCTTGGATTCTTGGAATCTGAGAATCTGAGAACACGAGAACCCGTGAACCTGAGAAAATGAAAACCTGAGAATCTTAGAATCCGAAGTCCGAATTCTTGGACTGTTGGAAACTGCGAATCTGGGATTTTGGGAATTTGGGAATATGAAATCCTGAGAACCTGAGAAATCGACAAACCCATAACTCGAGAACCTGGAAATGTTGGATACTTGTATTTTTGGATTATGGGAATCTTGAAATTTAGGAACCTGGGAATCTGAGAATCTGCAAAACTAAAATCTGAAGATCTCGTATTCCTGGATTCTTAGAATCTGGGAATTTGGGAGTCTAGGATTTTGAAATCTGAAATCTTGGATTCTTAGAATCTGGGAATATGGGATGTTAGTAATTTGGAATCTAAGAATCTGGAATCTGGGAAGTTGAGAACCTGAAAACCTAGAGTCTTGAGGACCTGAGAACATGTCAACCTGGCAAACTGAGAATCCTAGAATCTAGGATTCTTGAATTCCTGGATTTTTGGATCCTTGGAAACTGGGAATCTGGGAATTTTGGAATCTAGGAACTTGACAAACCGAGAAACCGAGAACTCGCGAACCTGGAAATCTTGGATTTTTGGATTATGGGAATATATGAATATGGGATTCTTGGATTCTTAGAATTTGGGAAGGTGGTAATCTGGGCATCTGGAAATCTGGAAATTTGAAATCCAAAAAACTGAAAATCTGGGAAACTGAGAAGTTGAGAACCTGCAAACCAAAGGACCTGAGGACCTGAGAACATGTGAATCTGACAACCTGCGAACCTGAAAATCTGGGAGTCTGTGAGTCTGAGAATCTGAAGGTCTGGAAGCTTGAGAATTTGTGAATTTGGGGATCTGAGTACTTGAGAAACTGAGACGTTAAGAATCTTACAACCTGAGAACTTGTAAGAACCTGAGAATCTTAGAATCTAAAGCCTGAAATCTTGGGTTGTTAGATTTTTGGATACTTGGATTTTTGGACCCTTGGAACCTGGGAATCTGGAAATATGAGAACCTGAGAATCTATCGATTGGATTCTTGGATAAAGGGAATCCAGGAATCTACGAATGTGGGAATTTGGAAATCTGGAAATCTGAAATGTGAAATCTTGGATTCTTGTATTCTTAGAAACTGAGAATCTGAAAATCTGGGAGTAATCTGGGAATTTAAGAATTTAAGTTCTAAAATCTTAGATTCTTAAACTTTTGGATTCTTGAAATCTGGGAAACTAGGAATCTAAGAATTTGGGATCTAAGAATCTGGGAATCTGAGAAGTTGAGAACCTTAGAACTTAAAGAGATGAGGATCTGAGAACATTTGAACCTACCTGAGAATCCTGGAATCTGAAAATCTGGGAGTCTGTGAGCCTGAGAATTTGGGGGTGAGAATTTGAAAATTTGGTGATCGGAGAACCTGAGAACCTGAGAAACTGACAAACTGAGAAGCTGAAAATCATAGAACATGATAACCTGAGAATCTTAGAATCTAAAGTCTCTGAAATTTTGGATTGTTGAATACTTTTATACTTGGATTCCTGGATTCTGAATGCTTGGATACTGGGAATCTGGTAATCTGGGAATTTGGGAATTTGGGAATATGAGAATATGAGAATCTAAGAATCTGAGAAACCGAGAACTCAAGAACCTGGAAATTTTGAATACTTGGATTCTTGGGTTATGGGAATCTGGAAATTTAGGAACCTGGGAATCTGAGAATCTGGAAAACTAAAATCTGAAATCTTGGATTCTTGGATTCTTAGAATCTGGGAATATGGGAAGCTAGTAATTTTGAATCTAAGAATCTGGAATCTGAGAAGTTGAGAACTTGAAAACTTAGAGATTTGAGGACTGAGAACATGTGAACCTGGCAAACTGAGAATCTGAGAATCTGAAAATCTGGGACTCTGTGAGTCTGAGAACCTGATAATCTGAGAACTTGAAAACCTGAGAATCCTAGAATTTAAAGTTTGAATTTTGAATTGATGGATACTTGTACACTTGGATTCTTGGACTCCTGGATTTTTGGATCCTTGCAAACTGGGAATCTGGGAATTTGGGAATATGGGAACTTGAGAAACCGAGAAACCGAGAACTCGCGAACCTGGAAATCTTGGATTCTTGGATTATGGGAATATATGAATATGAAAATCTAGGAATCTCCGAATGTGAGAATCGGATAATATAGAAATCTGAAATGTGAAATCTTGGATTCTTGGATTCTTAGAATTTGGCAAGGTGGTAATCTGGGAATCTAGAAATCTGGGAAACTGAGAAGTTGAGAACCTGAAAACCTAAGGACTTGAGGACCTGAGAACATGTGAATCGGATAATCTGAGAATCTGAAAATCTGGGAGTCTGTGAGTCTGAGAATCTGAGGGTTTTGGAAGTTTGAGAATTTGTGAATTTGAGGATCTGAGAACTTGGGAAACTGAGACGAATCTTACAACCCGTGAATCTTAGAATCTAGAGCCTGAAATCTTGGATTGTTAGATTTTTGTATACTTGGATTTTCGGAATTTTGGAAACTGGGAATCTGGGAATCTGGAAATATGAGAATCTGAGAACCTGAGGGACTGAAAACCGCGAATTCAAGAACCTGTAAATCTTGATTCTTGGATTATGGAAATCTAGCAATCTGGGAATCTGCGAATGTGGGAATCTGAGAATCTGGAAATCTGAAATGTGAAATCTGGGATCCTTGTAATCTGGGAATTTAGGAGCTAAATTCTGAAATCTTGATTTCTTAAATTTTTAGATTCTTGAAATCTGGGAATCTGCGAAACTAGGAATTTGGGATCTAAAAATCTGGGAATCTGAGAAGTTGAGAACCTTAGAACTTAAAGACATGAGGATCTGAGAACATTGGAACTTAATTACCTGAGAATCTGGGAGTCTGTGAGCCTGAGAATTTGGGGGTTTGGAAGTCTGAGAATTTGGAAATTTGGTGATCGGAGAACCTGAGAAGCTGAGAAACTGACAAACTGAGAAGCTGAAAATCATAGAACATAATAACCTGAGAATCTTAGAATCTAATTTTGGATTGTTGAATTCTTGTATACTTGGATTCCTGGATTCTGAATCCTTGGATACTGGGAATCTGGGAATCTGGGAATATGAGAATCTGAGAACCTGAGAAACTGAGAACTCGAGAACTTGGGAATCTTGGATACTTGGATTCTTGAATTTTTGAATTATGGGAATCTAGAAATCGGGGAATCTGGGAATCTGCAAATGTGCGAATCTTGGATTCTTGAATTCTTAGAATCTGATAATATGAAAATCTGAGAATTCAGAAATCCGGGATTCTGACAATCTGAGGACCTAAGGATCTGAGGATCTGAGAACATGTGAACCTAACGACCTCAGGGTCTAAGAATCTGACAATCTGGGAGTCTGTAAGTCTATAAATTTGAAAATTTGGTGATCGGAAACATACGAATCCGTGAAACTGCGAAAATGAAAATCATAGAACATGATAACCTGAGAAACTTTGAATCTAAAGTCTCTGAAATTTTGGATTGTTGAATTCTTTTATACTTGGATTTCTGGATTCTAGATTTTTGGATACTGGGAATCTGGTAATCTGGGAATCTGGGAATATGAGAATATGAGAATCTGAGAATCTGGGAATGTGGAAATCTGAAATATGAAATCTTGGATTCTTGGATTCTTAGAATCTGATAATTTGAGAATCTGAGAATTCGGAAATCTGGGAATCTGTGAGTCTGAGAATTTCGGGATTTGAGAACCTAAGAAGCTGAGAAACTGGGAAGATAAGAATCTTAGAACCTGAGAACATGTGAACCTGAGCATCTGAACACTTGATAATCTAAGCACCTGAAAATGTGAGAATGTGAGAACCTGAGAACTTGAGAACATGCGAACCTGAAAATCTCAAAATATGATGATGTGAGGACCTGAAAATCTGAGAATTTGGAAATCTAAAAAAAAACAAAATTCGTAGACAACAGTGTTTATATATACCTATATACTTCAAATATTTAATACAATTTGGAAAAAATAATATTTACATGGTCTATGCAACAGTAGTAATGAATTTTTAAGTTTACGATCCAAAATCTCAATACAGAACGTTTTCAAAATCACTTCCACTTTCGGTACCTTCATAGGATTCGGAATCACTTTCGCTGCTTTCTGAATTTTTTGCTTCAACTGTATAGATCTCAGATGAAGAAGAACTATCAGACGAAGTGCTTGTAGAAGACACTTCGTATCTTTTCGCATTCTGCGATGAACCAAATTTCGATTCGTTCTGCTTTTCAGGCTTGGTATCCAGCAGTTCATCGCTGCTACTAGAATCAGACAATTTTTCCTCAGACTTAGGGTTCTTCTGACTTTCGAACTCTCTCTCTTTGGTACCGCGATCTTTTCTGGAGGGTTTAGTATCATATGTATCCCGTTCGTTAGATTTATCAACTGGACTAGATTTTGTTGGGGTTTTAGAATCTGCGGGTTTAGCATGTTTGCTTCTGGAAGATCTTGTAGAAGATTTATAATCGCGAGTTTCGGAATCTGCTTTGGGTACATTGCGTCCAGTTTTGGCAGACTGGGTGGGACGGTCAGCATCTGAATCATGGTTTTTATTAGCAGATTTAGACTTTTTTGGGTTCTTGGATTGCTTGACAGGGTTTTTGGTCGAATGGTCATCATCTGAGTGGTGCTTTGCAGAACTCGATTTATCTTTACTTTTAGTAGTATGACCCTTTCGAGACGATTTTCTGTGGTCATGATCGTCTGAATCATAGCTATCGCTTCTATGGCGACGCTGCCTAGATGAGTCTTCCAACTTTTTGTTTGTTTTGTTTCTCGATTTTGTCCCAGTTGTTGTGTCGTCGTATTCTACATCTCTTGCTTGACGAGAGGAGTTATTTTTGGCACGATTTGTCTTCTTAGGACGATCATCATCTGAATCATTGATTTTATAAGATTTAGATCCTGTTTGCTTAGATGAATCGACACTGTTTTCGCTTCCAAGTGATCCATCGGATTGATTATCATGTGAATCGTCACTTTCGGTGTCAGATTTAAAGTCAGCTTTTCTGGATGATTGTCTTAAATCTCGGTCATCGGAATCATAGTCGCTATCAAGGCGACGGCGTCTAGGTGACGGGTCCACTTTATGGTGTTCTCTGTGTGATTTTTTCTCAGATTTTCTATGGTGGTCTTCTTCTACACTACGTGATCGGCGAGTTTGCTTAGGTGATTCGACACTGTTTTCGCTCCCAAGTGACCCATCGGATTGATTATCATATGAATCATCACTTTCGGTATCAGATTCAAAGTCAACTTTTCTGGATGCTTGTTTTAAATCTCGGTCATTGGAATCATAGTCGCTATCACGGCGACGGCGTCTAGGTGACGGGTCCACTTTAAGGTGTTCTCTATGTGGTTTTTTCTCAGATTTTCTATGGTGGTCTTCTTCTACATTACGTGATAGACGAGAAGGATTACTTTTGGGAAGATTTTTGTCACGTTTGGATGAAGATGCTTTTGCGCCAGACTCACTTCTACGCTGTTTTACAGCACCATGACCATCTGCATCCCTAGAATGTTGGCCCAAATGTCTGCGTCTCTCCGGAGATGTTCGTCCTGAGTGATGATTGTTTCTGGATGTTCTCAACTCTCTGGCTCTAGGTTCGTCGTAATCGCTGCCACTGGTTCTGTTTAGGTCATAGTCATCTCTGCTGTATTCCACCTTTTGGTGTTGTTCTTCTTCGACCGTTTCCTTGTCCAAGTTGATTTTTTGCCCCACGACGACAGTGAAATTTTCCCGGGTTTCTTTGTTGCGACAACTGACCGATTTGTGTATCAGTTCTTGTATGGTTGGCCCCATGTGTTTCAAATTATAGAGCTTTGAGATACTCTTCTGGATTCCTTCAGGAGTCAGATTTTTGATTACAGCTCCCGTTTGGAATTTTTTCTCGCTTTCTTGGAAGGCTTCTTGCATGTGTTGGTGGCGACTGAGGAGTTTCTCGAGTTCTGTGATGACTTGCTGATCAGCGAATTTTTCTAGTTGCTTTTCACTGAAAACACTACGTTAGTTTTGGTCAAAATATATGCGATGGTTTACTTTTTGATAAGCTGCTCAATGTAGTCCTTGTAGGCGTCATTGAAGGGCGTCAGTGCGTGTTCCTGCAAGAAGTACGAAAACTGGGCGACGATTTTAGAAATGGTTTTGCTTTCTTCTTCCAGTTCTACCTTCCGTGTGTTTAAATATTTCATCACTATCTCTATTTCAACGCGGGCATCTTTTTTGTTTTTTATGGCGTTTTTCACGTTTTGGTCTTCTTTCTTGACTTCGACTTTCTGGGTTTCTTTGTAGATGTGCAAGTGGGCTCTCCAGTGACATCCACACTTCTTGCATATGTCTTTGTCCATGGCGTAACAACTACGGATTCTCGGATCGGCGATCATTTCTTTGGGAATTCCAGTTAGATGACAGGGATTGTGACATCTCTGTTTATAGTGCAATTGCGTGACGCCATTGACCTTAAACACCAAGAAAGTCAAAAACCTTTACAAAAGTCAACGTCTCACCTTTACAACCTCCGCACAATTCATACAAACGGTTACAGGTTGAGGCAGCTTTTTCACTTCAAAGTTAATGCAGGGTATGTACAGTTGTTCTTTCAGTTCTTCAAGACTTTGGTCCTTCTGAGTCAGTTTTTCCCTGTGTCTGTCAATTAATCTGATATTGTCTTGTATAAGTCCTGACACTTCAGCAATAGGAGTTGTGAGTTGTTCAACGAGAAATCTGACGTTGTTGATACTGATTGTATTTTCAACGTCATGGGGTTTCAAAGCTGCATTTTTGGCACCCCCAATAATGTATTTGAACAAACTACAAAATAAGAATAGTTACTGTGATAAAAGAGAGTGCATAGTTACCGTCGAATTTCCTTCGACGACTTTTTCCAACTATGCTTCATACTTTTCATTTCGTGTTTGTCGTACTGTCGGCCTTCCTGGATCCCCAACAAGCCGCTAAATGCTTCGTTCTCCACAGCAAAAACGTTCTCATCGCTTAGAGGAATTTCTACATGTGGAGGTCTTGACATTACGCTTCTAACCAGTGGCAACAGACATTGATTCTTGGTATTTTCAGCTGTGTACCCAGATATTTTGCTATAAGTAGTAATGAAAATGATATTCTGACTGGCGCTTTTATCCAGTCGTGTCAATATCTGCTTCAGACAATACTCTATGAACTTAGTAAATCTCGTCTGGTTCGACTTCAAAACAAAACAAATCCCGTGGAGTTTCTTCAACGTGGCTAAATACGCAAGAATGTTGTCCAGATGGACATTATCCTGCTCGATTCCTCTGGGATCTCCAACCCCCGGCGTATCGATCAACCTCAAATTGAACTTTCTGTTCTGCATTTTGACCGGGAATAGGTACACTTTGACGTTCTGAGTGGCCGATTTGCCCTCTTCGTGGAGTTCGTTGTCGTCTGGTTTGCCAAAAATTTTGCTTTCGTCGTTAATGTTTAGGCACACCGGGATTAAAATGTCGATCTTTCCTTTTCGAGCTTTCTTGAAACTGGAATAATTGAAGTAATTCGAAATGGAGTTTACCAAAGTTGACTTTCCGACCCCTGTTTCGCCCAGCAGGAGCAGGTTGACGTCATCGTCTAGGGTCTTGGTGTCTTTCCTGGATTTCTGTTTCCACATTTTGGAGTAGTGGGTGAGAATTTTATCTGAAATGTTGTTGGTTTTTTGCTTCACGTCTGTTGTCACTCACTGCAGTAATGGCGATTCGACTGATAAGAAAAATGATAGATAAGTAGTATCAGTTACAAAATTTATGGGGATTAATTCAAATGCGATTAATAAAATTTTCCGTGAAATTTAGGCTTCCATCTTTCAAAATGGCACAACAACGAGTTTTAAATAAGAGAACTGTGGTATATACGAAATTGTAAAAATAAACTCGAGTGCACTTTGACAGCAGAAATTATCTCAATTATTAAAGCACCTTTCTAATCTTCTAGAAGAAGACTGCAATCAAAATTTTGAGTGATGCCCAAGAAGTTCTAACTAACTCTTTGGACAACTGTCAAGAAAATTAGTGTTCGTCTTACCTGTTCCTTCAATGAGAACACTAGATAACCAAATGTTATAAATGGCTCCACATGTTTATATAACTGTGATATTGTTATCAATTTAAACAATTTTATCGGGCCAGAAATGTCTAATTATCCTTAGGAGATAAAAAAAACCCATTCGATCAGCAAAATTTTGAGCTACCGCCATTAACTTTTTGTAGGAGATAGTCAAAGTTTGATTAGAAATTTATCAGGCTTATGATGACTTTAAAATCTTTGATTCGGTTTTATACAGTTTCGTAAAATTCAGCAATTTTTTGGGCAAATTTTTGATGGACGATATTCGACAGGCAGACGGAAACGGAGGACCTACTTTTCCATACACTTGTTTGGAAAACCTCATAAGGCAAACGAAAGCCTAAAACGAGAAATACAAGTGATCTTAAAAGGGGAACGTCAAGTAAATTACAATCTAAAGTATTTTTGACGCACTAGTCCATTTCACTGATTTCTTTGTATGCTAAATTTGACTACACTATTTTTAAACAGATTCTCGAATAAGCTGATGTGATTTCTTAAAAGGATAAAGATACGTTATCGATTATCTATATACAAATCAAAATCTATGGAAGGAAGGTTAAAATTTTAAGTAAAAATAATATTTATAAAACCAATATCGGGATACGAAAATACCCGTCATCACTGTTCACACAGACAATTTAAAAAAGTCCTCCAAAGTTTCTTAAATTTACAGATTTTAAGTCGGCCAAATTTATTTATTTATTTATCGTCTTCAGAAAACTGAAGTCTTTTTTCTTCAGTCAGTCTTCCTCCTGATTAATGTGTCAACAAAGTGGTTCACACACTGGGAATCTGGGAATCTGAGAAGTTGAGACTTGAGAACCTGAAGACCTGAAGATCTGAGAACATGTGAAACTAATTGCCTGACAAACTGAGAATCTGAAAATCTGGGAGTCTGTGTTTTTGAGAATTTGGAAATTTGGTGATCGGAGAAGCTAAAAAGCTGAGAATCCTAGAACATGATAAACTGAAAATTTGACAATCTGAGTATCTTAGATTCCAAAGTCTGAAATCTTGAATTGTTGGATTCTTGTATACTTGGGTTCTTGAATTCTTGGATTCCTGGATTCTGGATCCTCGGAAACTCGGAAGCTGGGAATCTGGGAATACGAGAACCTGAAAACCTGAGAACTTGAGAAACCGAGAAACCGAAAACTTGAAAATGTTGAATTCTTGGATTATGGGATTCTGGGAATCTGGGAATCTGCGAATGTAGGAATTTGAGAATCTGAAAATCTGAAATATGAGATTTCTGATTCTTGGATTCCTAGAATCTGGGAATTTGAGAATCTGGGGACCTAAGGATCTGAGGACCTGAGAATCCGAAAATCTAGGAGTCTGTGACTCTGAGAATTTGGGAATTTGGGCATCTGAAAACCTGAGAAGCTGAGAAACTGAGAATCTGGGAATCTTAGAATCTAAAGTCTGAAATCTTGGATTCCTTGGAAATTCGGAAGCTGCGAATCTGAGAATCCGGGATATAGAAACCTGAAAACCTGAGAACCTGAGAAACCGAGAAACCGAGAATCTGAAAATGTTGAATTCTTAGATTATGGGAATCTGCGAATGTGTGAATCTGAGAATCTGGAAATCTGGAAATCTGAGAATCTGAGAACCTAAGGACCTGAGGACCTGAGAAAATAAGGATCCTAAAATCTGGGAGACTGTGAATTTGAGAATTTGGAAATTTGGGAATATGAGAACCTGAAAACTTGAGACAACGGAAAACTGATACCTTGAAAACCTGAAAATCTTGGATAAAGAATCTGAAGATTTGGGAATCTGAGAAGATGAGAATTTGAAATATGAAATCCTGGATTCTTAGAATCTAAGAATCTGGGAATCTGGTAAACTGGGAATTTAAGAATCTAAAATCTGATATCTTGAATTCTTGGATTCTTGGATTCCTGGAATTTGGATCCTTGGAAACTCGGAAGCAGGAAATCTGGGAATATGGGAACCTGAAAATCTGAGAACCTAACAAATCGAGAAACCGAGAACCTCAAAATGTTGAATTCTTGGATTATGCTATTCTGGGAATCTGGGAATCTGCGAATGTGGGAATCTGAGAACATGGAAATCTGAAATATGAGATTTTGGATTCTTGGATTCCTAGAATCTGAGAATCTGGGAATCTGGAAATCTGGGAATCTGAGAATCTGAGGACCTGACAAAACGTGGTGAACCTAACTACCTGAGAATCTAAGGATCCGAAAATCTGGGACTCTGTGAGTCTGAGAATTTGGGAATTTGGGGATCTGAGAACCAGAGAAGCTGTGAAACTGAGAATCTGAAAATCTTAGAATCTAAAGTCTGAAATCTTGAATTGTTGGATTCGTGTGTATCTGGATTCCTGGATTCATGGTTTCTAGATCCTTGGAAACTGTGAATCTGGAAATATGGGAACATGAAAATCTGAGAACCTAACAAACCGAGAAACCGAGAACCTCAAAATGTTGAATTCTTGGATTATGCTATTCTGGGAATCTGGGAATCTGCGAATGTGGGAATCTGAGAACATGGAAATCTGAAATATGAGATTTTGGATTCTTGGATTCCTAGAATCTGAGAATCTGGGAATCTGGAAATCTGGGAATCTAAGAATCTGAGGACTTAAGGATCTAAGTACCTAAGAACTCGTGGTGAAGCTATCTAACTGAGAATATAAGGATCCGAAAATCTGGGAGTCTGTGAGTCTGAGAATTTGGGAATTTGGGCATCTGAGAACCTGAGAAGCTCAGAAACTAAGAATCTTAGAATCTAAAGTCTAAAATCTTGGATTCTTTGGAAATTCGGAAGCTGGGAATCTGGGAATCTGGGAATATGGGAACCTGAAAACCTGAGAACCTGAGAAACCGAGAAACCGAGAATGAAAATGTTGAATTCTTGGATTATGGGAATCTGCGAATGTGTGAATCCGAGAATCTGGAAATCTGAAATATGAGATTTTGGATTCTTGGATTCCTAGAATCTGAGAATCTAGGAATCTGGAAATCTGAGAATCTGAGAATCTGAGGATCTAAGGTCCTGAGGACCTGAGAACACGTGGTAACTACCCGAGAATATAGGGATCCTAAAATCTGGGAGTCTGTGAGTCTGAGAATTTGGGGGTAAATATGCTGAAAACCTGAGAAACAGGGAAACTGAGAATTTTAGAATCTAAAGTCTGAAATCTTGGATTTTTGGATATGTGTAAACTTGGATTCGTGGATTCCTTGGAAACTGGGAATTTGTGAATATGAGAACCTGAGAAACCGAAAAACTGAGATTTCGAGAACTTGAAAATCTTGGATATTTCGATTCTGGAATTCTTATAATCTAAGAATCTGAAAATCTGGAATACTGAGACAATGAGAATTTGAAATATGAACTTTTGGATTCTTAGAATCTAAGAATCTGGGAATATGGTAAACTAGGAATTTAAGAACCTTAAATCTGAAATTTTGGATTCTTGAACTTTTGGGTTCTTGGAATCAGAGAATTTTGGAGCTTGGGGGTCTGAGAATTTGAGAATTTGAGAATTTGAGGATCTGAGCAGCTGAGAAACTGGGAAGCTGAGATTCTTAGAATCTTCTAACCTGAAAACTTGAAAACCTGAAAACTTGAAAACTTGAGAACATGAGAACCTGAGAACTTGAGAACATGCGAACCTGACTACCTGAAAACTGAGAATCTAAAAACTTGAAAATCTGAGAATCTGGAAATTAAAAAGGAACAATTCGTAGACAACAATGTTTATATATTTACTTTAGAGTTAATACAATTTGAAACAAACTATATTTATATAGTCTGTGCAACAGTAGCAATGAGTTTTTAAGTTTTCAATTCTAGATATCAACTCAAAACGGTTTCAAAATCACTTCCACTTTCGGTACCTTCATTGGATTCGGAATCACTTTCGCTACTTTCTGAATTTTTTGCTACAACTGTATGGGTCTCAAATGAAGAAGAACCATCAGATGAAGTGCTCGTAGAAGACACTTCGTATCTTTTCGCATTCTGCGATGAACCAGATTTCGATTCTTTTTGCTTTTCAGGCTTAGTATCCCGCAGTTCATCGCTGCTACTAGAATCAGACAATTTTTCCTCAGATTTAGGGTTCTTCTGACTTTCGAACTCTCTTTCTTTGGTACCGCGTTCTTTTCTGGAGAGTTTAGTATCATATGTATCCCGTTCGTTAGGTTTATCAACAGGACTAGATTTTCTTGGGGTTTTAGAATCTGCGGGTTTAGCATGTTTGCTTCTGGAAGATCTTGTAGATTTAAGATCGGAATCTGCTTTGTGTACATTGCGCCCAGTTTTGGCAGACTGGGTGGGACGGTCAGCATCTGAATCATGGTTTTTATTAGCAGATTTAGACTTTTTTGGGTTCTTGGATTGCTTGACAGGGTTTTTGGTCGAATGGTCATCATCTGAGTGGTGCTTTGCAGAACTCGATTTATCTTTACTTTTAGTAGTATGACCCTTTCGAGACGATTTTCTGTGGTCATGATCGTCTGAATCATAGCTATCGCTTCTATGGCGACGCTGCCTAGATGAGTCTTCCAACTTTTTGTCTGTTTTGTTCCTTGATTTTGTCCCAGTTGTTGTGTCGTCGTATTCTACATCTCTTGCTTGACGAGAGGAGTTATTTTTGGCACGCTTTGTCTTCTTAGGATGATCATCATCTGAATCATTGACTTTATAAGATTTAGATCCTGTTTGCTTAGATGATTCGACGCTGTTTTCGCTCCCAAGTGATCCATCGGATTGATTATCATGTGAATCATCACTTTCGGTATCAGATTTAAAGTCAACCTTTCTGGATGATTGTCTTAAATCTCGGTCATTGGAATCATAGTCGCTATCCTGGCGACGGCGCCTAGGTGACGGGTCCACTTTATGGTGTTCTCTATGTGATTTTTTCTCGGATTTTCTATGGTGGTCTTCTTCTACACTACGTGATCGACGAGTTTGCTTAGATGATTCGACACTGTTTTCGCTCCCAAGTGATCCATCGGATTGATTATCATGTGAATCATCACTTTCGGTATCAGATTTAAAGTCAACCTTTCTGGATGATTGTCTTAAATCTCGGTCATCGGAATCATAGTCGCTATCACGGCGACGGCGTCTAGGTGAATGATCCACTTTATGGTGTTCTCTATGTGATTTTTTCTCAGATTTTTTATTTTTACCACGTTTGGATGAAGATGCTCTTGCGCCAGACTCACTTCTACGCAGTTTTACAGCACTATGACCATCTGCATCCCTAGAATGTTGGCCCAATTGTCTGCGTCTCTCCGAAGATGTTCGTCGTGAGTGATGATTGTTTCTGAAGGTTCTCGACTCTCTGGCTCTAGGTTCGTCGTAATCGCTGCCGCTGGTTCTGTTTAGGTCATAGTCATCTCTGCTGTATTCCACTTTTTGGTGTTGTTCTTTTTCGACCGTTTCGTTGTCCAAGTTGAATTCTTGCCCCACGACGACAGTGAAATTTTCCCGGGTTTCTTTGTTGCGACAACCGCTCGATTTGTGTATCAGTTCTTGTATGGTTGACCCCATGTGTTTCAAATTATAGAGCTTTGAGATACTGTTCTGGATTTCTTCAGGAGTCAGACTTTTGCTTACAGCTCCCGTTTGGAATTTTTTCTGGCTTTCTTGGAAGGCTTCTTGCATGTGTTGGTGGTGACTGAGGAATTTCTCGAGTTGTGCGATGACTTGCTGATCAGCGAACTTTCCTAGACGTTTTTCGCTGAAAACACTGTGTTAGTTTTGATCAAAATGTATGTTATAGTTTACTTTTCGATAAGTTGCCCAATGTAGTCTTTGTAGGCGTCATTGAAGGGCGTCAGTGCGTGTTCCTGCAAGAAGTACGAAAACTGGGCGACCATTTTAGAAATGCTTTCGCTTTCTTCTTTGAGTTCTGCCTCCCGTTGATTTAATTCTTTCATCAGTTTCTTTATTTCAGCCTGAGCATCTTCTTTGCTCTTTATTGCGTTTTTCACGTTTTGGTCTTCTTTCTTACCGTCAACTTTTTTGGTTTCTTTGTAGATGTGCAAGTGAACTTTCCAGTCACATCCACACTTCTTGCATATGTCTTTATCCATGGCGTAACAATTACGGATTCTCGGATCGCCGATCATTTCTTTGGAAACTCCAATCAGTCTACAACGGTTGTGACATCTCTGTTTATAATCCAATTGCGTGACGTTATTGACCTTAAACAACATGAAAGTAGAAACCTTTACAAAAGTCAACGTCTCACCTTTACAACGTCCGCACACTTCATACAAACGGTTACAGGATGACTAAGTTCTTTCACTTCAAGGTCAATGTAGGGTATGTGCAGTTGCTGTTTCAATTCTTCAAGACTTTGGTCCTCCAAAGTCAGTTTTTCCTTGTGTCTGTCAACTAATCTGAGATTGTCTTGTATAAGTTCTGATACTTCAGCAATAGGAGTTGTGAGTTGTTCAACGAGAACTCTGACCTTGTTGATACTGATTGTATTTTCAACGTCATGTGGTTTCAAAGCTGCGTTTTTCGGACCTCCAATAATGTATTTTAACAAACTACAAAATAAGAATATTTACAGTGATAAGAGAGAGTGTGTAGTTACCGTCGAATTTCCTTTGACGACTTTTCCCAGCTATGCTTCATACTATTTATTTTGTGTTTGTCATAATCTAGGCCCTTCTGGATACCCAACAAGGCACTGAATCCTTCGTTCTCCACAGCAAAAATGTTATCGCTTAAAGGAATTTCTACATGTGGAGGTCTTGACATTATGCTTCTAACTAGTGGCAACAGACAGTGTTTTTTACAACTTTCAGCAGTGTAGTCAGACGTTTTGCTATAAGTAGTAATAAAAATGATATTCTGACTGGCGCTTTTATCCAGTCGTGTCAACATCTGCTTAAGACAGTACTCCACGAACTTGGTAAACCTCGTCTGATTCGCCTTCAAAACAATACAAATCCCGTGGAGCTTCTTCAGCGTGGCTATGTATGAAAGAATGTTGTCCAAATGGACATTGTCCTGATCCATTCCTCTGGGATCTCCAAGCCCCGGCGTATCAATCAACCTCAATTTGAAGGCTCTATTCTGCAGTTTGACAGGGAATAGGTACACTTTGACGTTCTGAGTGGCCGATTTGCCCTCTTCGTGGACTTCGTTGTCGTCTGATTTACCAAAAACTTTGCTTTCGCCGTTAATGTTTAGGCACAACGGAATTAAAACATCGAGTTTTCCTTTTCGAGCTTTCTTGAAACTGGAATATTTGAAGTAATTCGAAATGGAGTTTACCAAAGTTGACTTTCCGGCGCCTGTTTCGCCCAACAGGAGGAGGTTGACGTCATGGTCTGGGGTCTTAGTATCTTTCCGGGATTTATGTTTCCACATTTTGGAGTAGTGGGTGAAAATTTTGTCTGTGGGTTGATTAGTTTACTGAAAAATTAGATATTTGAATACCGAATTAAGAAACAAATTTTGAAATAAATTTCTTGAGATACACTGAGATACACTGACTACAGTAATGGCCATCCGACGGATAAGAAGAATGAAAGATAAGTAGTATCAGTTACAAAATTTATGAAGATTAATTCAAATGCGATTAATAAAATTTTCAATGAAATGCACCCTTCCGTCTTTCAAAATGGCGAAACAAGGGGTTCTTAGATTAAAAGAATGCAATTATTTTGACGAGGGTTGTCAGTCAGTTATTATGTAATCGGGGATTAAATGATACTCAGTCCTGGAGCATATACGAACTTGTAAAAATAACTTCGAATGCAGTTTGACAGCAGAAATTATCTCAAATGTTAAAGCACCTTTTGTAATCTTTTAGTAGAAAACAGCAATCAAAATATTTAGTGATGTCCAGGAATTTCTAAATAACTTTTTAGACAACTGTCAAGAAAATTAGTGTTCGTCTTACCTGTTCCTTCAGTGAGAACACTAGATAATCAAACATGTTATAAGTGGCTTCACATCCTTATATAACTGTAACATTGTCATCAATTTCAAGAGTTTGTGATTATCTTTAGCAGATAAAAAAACCCATTCGTTCAGCAAAATTTTGAGCTACCGCTATTAACTTCTTGTAGGAGATAGCCAAACAATAAGTTGCCCGCTGAGACAACTTCTGTAATATTATTTGTTAACGTAATTTACTTAAAAAATCTCCGATTATTGCTATGTACACAATGTACAACAAAATATCCAAGGACTTTGATATTTCTGATTAAAATGCTAGCATTGCTGCTAGCATTACTGCTGAATATGGTATTTAGTGTATGTATTATCTCGTATTATCTTTAATCTACAAACTAAAATTTTGTCTTTTCTTCTGACATGCCCAATTTAATTTTTTTTTTTTCACTTTTCTTATAAAGTGGGTTATCCCGTTGGGAAAGTTACAATTAATAATAATATTAATGCTAATAATCATAATAATAATTAGAAATTTATCAGGCTTATGATAACTTTAAAATCTTTGATTCGGTTTTGTACAGATTCGTAAAATGACAACATTTTACGAAACTATCCAAAACCTATTTAAAATTTTTCAACAAATTTTTGGTAGACGATATTCGACAGGTACACGGAAACGGAGGATCTACTTTTCCATACAGAATTGTGTATTTTTTAATGTTTTTGTGGGATGTGGGGCGATTTAGGGGCTGAAAATGTGATTTAACACTTGTTTGGAAAACCCCATAAGGCAAATGAATCCCTAAAACAACAAATACAAGTGATCTTCAACGGCTGACCTTCGAACGTCAAGTAAATTACAATCTAAAGTATTTTTGACGCACTAGTCGATCTCGTTGCTTTCATTGTATGCTAAATTTGATCTAAGCCTTGATTACGCCAATTTTATTAAATTTGTCGAATAAGGTGAAGTGCTTTTTTAAAAGAATAATACGTTGTAGATTATCTAGATATAAATAAAAATCTCTTGAACGAAGGTTACCACTAAAAATAAAATTTATAAAACAAATATCGTCACAGTTCACACAGCCAAGTTAGAAAAAGTTCCGTAAGTCTCGTCTTCAGAAAACTGTCGAGGTTATATTTACACTTTTTTCCTCAGTCAATCTTCCTCCTGACTAATATGTCAACAAAGTGATTAATCAAAATACTAATAAAGCTCAAACATTTACTAAAATTTTAAACAATAGGTCTACACGTTCGCTACATAAACATTAAAGTATTTTTTTGTGTTTTCAACAGGTTCCTAGTTTTCCTATCTACAGATTATCTTTGGAATTTTTGCCTTGAACTGTACGTATTTCAGACATATCACTGCAGTTTGCGTAGATTTTTGATTTGTGTGATGAAGCAGACTTGGATTCTATTTAATTTTTTAAGGTTTACGCTCTTGAACTGTATCTTTACTAGCAAATTTAACAGATTGTTTACCACGCCAATCACAATTTTCGTTCTTAGCATTATAGTTTGATTTGTGTTGATGTTAGGTTTTTTGTAGAAGATTCAGTAGAATTTGGATCAACTGAACTAGACTTTCCTGGGGTTGTAGACTCTGGATCTGTCTTTCCATTTTTAAAAAATCTTCCAGAACGCTTATCATTTGAATCACTAGTTTCGTGTTTATCCTTTGGTGTGATGTGTGCACTTTTAGATGATTTGACAGGACCTGAATCATGTTTTTTATTAGACTCTCTATGATTCTTAGACTGTTTAAGACTATTTCCAGTAGAATGACAGATTTGTCTTCGCGTCTAGAGTGTTTACCATCACCCTTTTGGGACCGTTTTCTAGGAACACGGTGATCTGCTGAATCGTAATTGTCGCTTCTAGGGCGGTGATGTTGACGTCTGGACGACTCTTTCACTTCGTGTCGCGATTTTTTCTCAGTTCTTGTGCTGCGCTGTTGTTCTGAGCCAGTCTTATCCTTAGATCGATTGACACTGCTTCTGCTGTCAAAGGATCTAGCAGAACTTGCACTATCACTACTGGACGATCTTCCAGATTCATGGTCATGTGAATCATAGCTTTCGCTACTACTGCGGTGACGTCTAGAGGAGCGTTTCCCTTTATGGTGTTTTCTGTGTGATTTTTTTTCACGTTTCTTGTCAGTGTCTTCGTCTGAACTTCTACGTCTACGAGAAGATTTATTTTTGACGTAACGTGACTGCTTCTGACGATCATCATTTGAATCATAGTCTTTATAAGAGTTAGATCTCGTTCGGTGCCTAGATGGGTTGTCATCTGAGTCAAAACTTTCGGATCCATCTGTGTATCTAGTAGCATGACGGCGCGACGATCTTCTAAAGTCGCGGTCCGATGAATCATAGCTTTCGCTACGACGACGGTGACGTCTCGGTGAATAGTGCGTTCTATGGTCCCTTCTATGTGATTTTCTCTCGGTTGTGGAATGGTATCGTCCTGGACTTGTTGATCGAGGAGAAAAATTGCTTCTGGTGAGGTAGTTTCTACTTCCAGATGCTTCAGCAAGTCTGTTGTCTTCTTCGGGGTGATATCTGGCGTCATAATTGCGTGGTTCTCTTGGATCGTTGTAAGTTCTCTCCGTACTCGGATACTCAAGTCTTCCATCATCAGTTCTCGGTTTTGAAGATTTGTCGTCTTCTGAGTTGTTAGTTCTATAGGTATATGGTACTGTGTAGTCAAGTTCGTTTTCTGGCGATTCTTTCTGGGTGGCACTTTCAACATCCTTGGAGATGGTTTCACTCTCATTGCGTTCGCTGTGTTCCATTTGATGATGTTTATTTCTGCCATCTTCAGAGTCGCTAGATCCAGCATTACTTATTATTACCAAAATAGATGAAACAGAAATATTGCAAATACTTACGACAAAAAAGACTTCAAATTGTCGATGTTTTCCATTTCGTTACTTTCTAAAAGTAATCCAATCTTCTCCATAGACTGCTTGACATTCTCTCGTTGCTTTTTCATTGTTTCGTATACATTTTGCATCAAGTTTTCCTGATTATTCACATTGTCTGAGATGCTGGCGATCTCTTTCTGCATGTCAGAGGTGGTGGGGGTCATTTTCTGTTGGTCGTCTTGGGTTCGGCTCTTAAACAGTAAGATAAAGCTGTTGAATTGGTTAAAAACTATGTGGTTAGCATTTCATAAGTTTTTGGGGCAACGTCACCAACTTTGAAGGGGTATTGAATGATCATAATTTTCTACTAATTACTAGTTAGTATGCGATGGTATTATTACCATTTTCAGCTTTTGACTTTTGTTGAAAGACAACACTTAAGTTTTCAGTGGTATGACCGTAGTACCTAGTTTTTGCGGTAATTATGGAAATACTATTTCAAGTTAGTATTGTTGTTTGTATTTACAGCCTGTTGAGGACTTGTATCCGGACTTCCTCAAATTTTGCATTGTACTATTCTGGAAAGTTATTAGATTGACATAAAAATGTTTTATAATGCATTGTTTTAATATTGTGCTTGTTAACTAAAAGGATTTCGCTTTAGAAGCTAATTTTATCATTTATATGAGAAACCGGGCTTACTAAACGTTTGGCTTTAGCGGTAAGGTCAGTTAGACAATTGAATACTCACTGTAGGGTTTCGTATAGTCAAGTGGTGTTCCTTGTCGTCGTTTCTTTTCATTTTTTCCTTTCCCTGTTTTTCACCTCTGCGTGACTAAAAACCATCAAGGATGAAATAAGTTTGCTTGATTTTTCTGTGTACTCACTGTGGGTTTAGCAGAGTCGGATTCGTCATCGCTTACTAGCAAGGTGCGGTGAAGTTTTGAATGGTTAGACTGGTGTTTTATGTCATCACTGTTTCCGGGTCCGTCTGGGTGACATTGGTTTTCAAACATTTCTTCTTCAGACCCTTTGTTCTGGCGTGGTTGTACGTCGTCATCGCTCTCTGTAAATTCAAATTGTTCTCGTTCAGCTATTGTCTTATCCAAGTCGACTACTTCTCGCAACGTAACGCAACCGAAATTTTTCTGCGTTTCTTTGTTGCGACAAGCGTTGGATTTTTGTATCAGTTCTTGTATGGTTTGCCCCATGTGTTTCAATTTGTAGAGTTGCGCGATACTTTTCTGGATTCCTTTAAGGGATAAATCGTCGGAAGGTTCTCCTTGGGCATTCTTAGCGCTCTCGTGGAAAGTTGCTTGTAAATTATAGTGTTGGCTGAGGAGGTTTTCGAGTTTCGCTATGACCTCCCGATTGGCGAACATTCCTAGGTACTTTTCACTGAAAATAGTGCGTTAGTTTTGATCAAAGTGCACCTGATGAATTACTTTTTGATAAGTTGATCAATGTATTCACCGTAGGCGTCATTGAAGGGCGTCTGCGCGTGTTCCTGCAAGAACCACGAAAACTTGGCGACGATCCTCGAAATGGTTTCGCCCTCTTTTTCCAGTTCTCGCCTCCGCGTGTTTAAATCTTCGATTAGTTTATGCATATGGATTCGAGCGTCTTGTTTGCTTCTGATGACGCCTAACACGTTCTGGTCTACTTTGCGAACTGAAACTTTGGTGGTTTCTTTGTAGATGTGCATGTGGACTTGCCAGGGGCATTCACACTCTTGACAATTGGGTCTGTTTGCCATGGCGGCACAATACATCAGATTGGGATCGCCGATGATTTCTTTAGGAACCCCGGTCAAGTGACAGGGGTTGTGGCATCGTTGCTTGTAGTGCCACTGGGTCACGTTGTTGACCTTAAACAACAACAAAGTAGAAACTTTTACAACAGTCGAAGTTTTACCTTCACGATTTCTGCACATTTAGGGTCCGTGCAAACCGTTACCGGTTGAGTTAGTTCCTTCACTTCAAGATTAACGCAAGGTATGTGCAATTGCTGTTTGAGTTCTTCGACAGTTTGGTCATCTTGTTGCAATTTTTTTTGATGAGCGTCAAGTACTCTGATGTTGTCTTGGATGAGTTCCAACACTTCCGCAATGGGAGTCGTGAGTTGTTCAATGTGCAACCGGACTTCGTTGATACTGATTGTGTTTTCGACGTCGTGGGGTTTCAAACCTGGACTAGACGCGTCTCCAATAACGTACCTCAATAATCTACAAAACAAGAATTTGGTTTGTGGAAAGAAGACATTGTTTAGTTACCGCTGAATTTCGTTCGACGACACCTGCCAGCTCGTCTCGAAACCTTTGACTTCGCGTTTGGTGTATCGTTTTCCATCTTGACTGGCCAACAAGGCTTTGAATGCTTCGTTGTCCAAACAGAAGACGTTGTCGTCGCTCAAAGGAATATTAGCATGTGGGGGTGTCGACATGATGTCTTTAACCAGAGGCGCCAAACAGTGACTCTTCGTCTCCCCAGCTGTATAACTCTCCGTTTTACTGTAAGTCGTAATGAAAATGATGTTCTGACTGGCACTCTTATCCAGGCGCGTCAATATCTGATTAAGACAGTACTCCGCGAACTTGGTGAACCCTGTCTGATTCGACTTCAAAACGAAACAAATTCCGTGGAGTTTCTTCAGCGTGGTCAAGTACGCAAGGACGTTGTCCAGATTGATTTCGTCTTGTTCCATTCCTCTGGGATCTCCCACTCCCGGTGTGTCGATTAGTCTCAGGTTGAAGGTCCTGTTGTTCATTTTAATCGGGAACATATATTCTTTGACAAACTGAGTGGTGCATTTGCCTTCATCGTAGTCTTCGTTCTCGTCTGCTATGCCGTAAACTTTTCTACTTTCCGTTGAATACATAGGGATTAAAATGTCGATGATCCTTTTTTGTGCTTCTTTGAAACTAGCATATTTGAAGTAGTTCGAAATGGAGTTTACCAGAGTTGACTTCCCGACTCCTGTTTCGCCCAACAGGAGCAGGTTTACGTCATCGTCTGCGTTATAAGTGTCTTGAAACAAATGCTTTATGGGACCAAACATTGTTAAATAATCGGCAAAAGTTTTTCTGGAACTATCGAAGCGTTTCGTCAAAAAGTCAACCGTTGTTTTTAACAGGAAAAAGTTATGTAATCTTTATGAAGTGGGTCGTTGGTTGGAACAGTTAACTAAAAAACAATCTGCTAGCAGTCTTTCAAGGTACACTTAACAAAAATTAAGAAATAATTTTCTTACCTGTTTCTTTAGTGGTAATATTAGTACACTGCATTAATCTGTAGACGATCATTCTGAATATTCTACACACCCACGATAAGGTTATCAGTTTTAAAATCTATAGTCCATGTTGTTGAAAATAATCACCGACGCATAATACTGGAAACACTACGAGTAGAAACACAGTTTTAAAAAAACAACGTTTCTAAATTTATTATGGTATTAACTGAATTAAAAATTCTACCACTAAAATTTAGAGCGTATTTGGTGTAATTCATTTATTCATTGCCTTTAGATATACCATGAGGTTTTTTTTTTTTCTTTGAACATAGGACATACATAGGATCAATGTTAAGTTGGTTGCATACCTGCTTGTAATAGATTGTCAAAGATATTGCCATTGACATTTGGCACTGTCTTCATGTTAAGGTATTGTAATAAGTACAAGTTTAAAGAACAGAAAATTTACGTTATTGATCTTTTTAAAAAAAAAATCGTTAAACATTTTACTGTAAATGTCATCGTTGACATGGCCTACTCGTCAATTATGACGAATCTTATGTGATATTATGTTCAGTTTTTAAAAGTCCAAATCAATCTGTGGTGAACCGGAATTTCAACCCTTAAAACAGTCCTACTGTAGCACATAGTATTTGTCCATAACGATTCTACCCTTCATTATCATGGGAACCAAAAGTCCGAACTTCCCAGTATTGTCAATTAATATCATCTTCAAGGCAAACGATCGCTTCTCACGGCCCCACATAGTCACACTTCCTTCCAGGAATATTCGCCAAAATGCATTCCATGCCCAAATATGGAGAACAACTTCGCGCCCAATCAAATCACTCCAATTGCAATTAATATACAAAGTTGCATGGGAAACCTGGGGTCAAAGCAAACACTTCCGATCAAGGCCAATAAGTCTGACGAATGCGTTATCATTCTGGGGGGTCCGATGCCAATTAATTATGGGAAATGCATTTTTACAAACACTCGCCGCCGTTTCCGGCGACAAAATTGCGAGAAATGCATTTTTTTGTTACATCTTCTTCGCTATTCTCACGCTTGAAAACCCTATAAAAACGTCTCGATGAGAAATAAAATTCAGTTTGATTCCGATTCAGTCTGGCGTGTGGATGGGACTGCTTCCTGGTGTGATCGCGATACCCGACTTCCGGCCGCTGTGCTAGTGGCAAGGGCGAAAGTGCATCTTCCAAGCCAACTTTCTTCAGCTGTTGCAGTGGCGCTTCGTCCCTTCCAATCTTCCACCGAGCCGCTAACTCGACGACATGTAAGTCCCACTGACCTAGTTACGGCATGCCCTATTCTGTCCTTGCGGAGACCGGGTTATCGGTCATTAGCGGCATCTCAGAGTGATTTTAAAGCATCGTCAGGATGAATCTCGCTCATCAAGTGATTGACTCCCCTTATCAAACCAGATTCTTTCGGCTGTATTCGGGACCCCCGTGCCGTATCAGAGGAGTTTGCCCTATAGGGCACTGCCCACGTTTTTATCTCATCTACGCGTTCAATCCCGTGAACCAGCACTCCTCCGCCGTCAAGGAATACGTTTCCAACACTGGAAGCCCTATCCTTTAGGAAGGGTTGTAATTATATCACTTACCCCCCCCCCCCAAATCTCGAGCCATGACCTAGGAAAGCGCCAACAACCCTCTAATTCTCATCTATATTATAGTTTTAATAATACTTTAAAAAGGGAACATTTCACAACCCTGCCCGTTTCTTCTAACTTAGTTTAATGTTTATGTTTACTGCCCTTTTATTATTCTTTCTAATCATGCGCAATATTTTCTTAGTCTTAATCACGAATAAGATGTACGAGCCCTAATCTTGTTCCGTCTCGTTTACTCGTTTAAACTGTAGCATTTGTTTAAATAGATTATCTATGGAGCGAACCGTTTCGCGTTTAACTTACCCTTCTCACATCCCGAAACGGCCCTCACGGGCCAGGACCTAAGGGGCACCATTTTGTGACGCCCACCGGCCATAAAAACTCGGACATCAAAAGTTGGACATTAAATATTGAAATAAATTATAGAAAATAGCCGGCAGGGCCACCACAAATCCATTGGAGGATGGATATGCAACCCAACATACTATGCTCAGAGAAAAAAAAACTTCACGGTATAAAAGTTTTACAAAGACGAAGACTGCACGCAGTCCAACTAAAATGAAGAAGTGAAATTTTGTGACGACCTCTAACACAATAGAATGTACAATTTAATCAAAAAATGCTTAAGATACTAATTGTTAAATATTTTATCGAGGATCTCCTGGTAATGTTGAAGATTTTTGAGCTCTGTCACAATCGTCACTACATCGTCCTTCTTCACCCCAGTTGCAGTGCTTTTAACATTTTTATAACTCTATCGATCTCATTTTTCCTAAAATTGTTATTAAACGTATACAATTATTTAAAAAGAAGTTCACATAAGAAACTCACCTTGTAGAAGACAATGCGGAAGCAATTTCCTCTCCTAAATTGTCATATAAGCGACACTTTTCCAAAAACGTAGCAATTGTAGCAAAATTTTCTAAAGTCTTACGAATTTCCTCCTGTTGCGCATCAACTACTTTATGTGCATCTGTGATAAATTCTTTGTGTTTTTTCAGTATAATTGCTGTCTTTTTTAGGTTTGTTTTTATATCACTATCAACATGGTGTTCTGTTAGCGGTGCCTTAAACCACAAAAGTACAAATTTTTCCAATTTACTTCTATACACTTACCGCATTTTTGCTAAAATCAATATTCGCATAAGTTACGCGATTGTCTTCATTCTGCTTTCTATAATCATTTGCTTGTCTAGACTGTAAGAGTGCTTTGTTGAGCAGACTGAGTGAATATTATATTTCTACATACCTGTCCTTCATGCTGTTCAATTGATCGTTTCATGGCTTCAACCAACTGACACACTGCTTTCGAATCCTCTACGAGTTTTTCGCACTTCTCTAAATTCTGGGAATTGGACTCAATTATGTCCAGTAAGCGAGGCGAATTTTCCTTGAGAAGTGTTTGAATCGCTTCAACCGCACCATCAACCGGAAGTTGAAACGGTTTCAATTTACTAACATAGTCTAGCAGTCTGAAAAACACCACAGATATTTGTTTACCTTAATTTTAATAAAGTTACCGTTTGCACTCTTTTAATGAAGATTTCCAGCTGTACTCAGTGTAACACGTATCTTTTGGACTTAAACTTGTGCCACACTTGTATGCCACCAAATGAACGAACGCTTCATTGTCCACACAGTACATGTTGTCGTTATGTAAGGGAATGTTAATTTGAGGTGATGTCGATTTGATTGTATGTACAATTTTCCTTAAATCACTCTTTGCAACGGTAGGATAAAAGGTAACTTTTCTGCCTTCAGTGAAAATAAAAATAAAATTTTTGACAGCGGCTACGTCTAAATTTGCCATGGTTTGTCTTATCAGGTTTCCGACTGAAACTAGTTGCAGATCCGACGATCTTAGAAAAAAGCAAACTGCGTGCAGCTCTTGTAGATCACCAAGTTGTTGGAAGATATTTTTAAATTGGTTTTGCTCATGTTTCGACATATCAAATCCTGGGGTGTCTATGAGCCTTAACTGATGTCCATTTATCGGGACTAAGTACTCTTTCGTTCTTGTGTTAGTTTTAACATTATATATTCCATCAATGTTTGCGTTTAAGGAAAGAGATACATCTTTGTTATTTGCATTGATTATGGAGAACGATATTGGTGCTGCCACTATGGCCGTACTCATGACAGCAGTATCTATGTTGTCGTACCGAAAGTAGTTGATAAGAGAATTGATGAAAGTTGTTTTTCCAACCCCACGCTCACCAAGCAGAAGTAAATTGAAGACTGTCATACTTTAAACCAAAATCAAAACTTTGCCACTGATTGATGTTTTCTGAAAAAAAAAAGAAAATTTAGTCACAAAAAGCTTAATAGTTATCGACGTTTTGGCAATTTGGTTAAATAAAAAACTGTCAAAGCTTTAATGTTTATTACAGCGTGCTACAAAGCATTTTCTAAACTTAAAACGTCCACACATCATTCTTCGTTTTCAACTGCTTTGAAACTTGTTTCATCTGAACTAGGGACGTTTTTGGTTTCAAGATCGCTGGAAGATCTGACCGAACGTTTATCATCCGAGTCACAACTTTCGTCCTCAGATTTGAGCTTCTTCTGATTTTTAGAACCCTTTTCTTTCGTACTGCGCTCCTTTCTGGACGATTTAGTAGGATGTTCATCAACAAGACTAGGGTGTCAATCAGTCTCAGGTTAAAGATTTTCTGGCCTATTACAATGGGGAATGGATACACTTTGACACGTTGAGTGGCATATTGACTTGAATCTTCCGTTAATCGTAACCGTATTGGTATTAAAATATCGATTTTCCATTTTTGCGCTTCTTTGAAGTTGGGATAAATGAAATAATTCGAAATGGAGTTGATCAAAGTGGATTTTCCGATTCCGGTTTGGCCCAAGAGGAGAAGGTTTATCTCGTCAACTGTGGTTGGACGGCTACCCACTTGAGAGTTAATACTTTCAATCACACGGGTTCCCAAAAGCGCGTTTCTACAACCTCCAACTATATACCTCAATAATCTGAAATAGAGAAATTTTGATTCCAAAAAGAGGACACTTAGGTACGCATTTACCGTTGAATTTCCTTTGACGAGACATTCCAGCTTTGCTCGAAACCTTCCATTGCTTTTGTTGATGGTAATAATTTCCATCTCGCATCTCCAACAAGGCCTTGAATGCTTCGTTGGCCACAGCAAAGATGTTACTATCGCTTAAAGGAATACTCACATGTGGGGGTTTTGACTGTATATTTTTAACCAGTGGTATCAGACAGTGATGCTTCGTTTTGCCAGCTATGTAACCAGCCGCTTTACTATAAGTAGTGATAAAAATAATGTTCTGGCTGGGCCGTACTTTTAGTCGTGTCAGTATATATTGCAGATAGTACTCCACGGAATTTGTGATTCTGGTCTGATTCGCTTTCAAAACCAAACAAATCGCGTGGAGTTTCCCCTGGCTTTCCAAGTACGCAAGGATATTGTCTAGAATAAGATTGTTTTGTTCCATTCCTCTGCGATACTCAATTCCTGGCGTATCAATCAATCTCAAGTCAAAGGTTTTGTCGTCCATTTTGATGGGGAATCGGTACACTTTGCCGTACTGAGTGGCACATTTGATCTCTCCGTGGAGTTTGTTCCTATTTTGACCAGAACCATTGATACTTTCCGGTGCGTTTAAAAACACGGGAATTAAAATATCGACTTTCTCTTTTTGCGCTTCCTTAAAGTTGGGATAATTGAAATAATTCGAAATGGAATTTATCAAAGTCGATTTTCCGGCGCCTGTTTCGCCCAGTAGGAGGAGGCTTATATCACTGGGTGGGTTAGGAGCAACTTCAGTGAAACTACGAATAAAACTCCACATTTTGGAGTTATTGCCAAAAGATTTTTTGGAACGATCCATTTTTAATGTAATGGGTTGTTGGTTGGAGCAGTTAACTTGTAGCTACAAAACAGTACTAGCAATCTTTCAAGGTATACTTAACAAGAGTTCAAAAATATTTCTCTTACCTGTGCCTTTAGTGATAATATTAAATACACTGCAGTGATCTATCTGTAAACTATCGTTCTGAAGACACCCACGATAAGGTTATCAGTTTTAAAATCTTTAGTCCACGTTGTTAAAAAATAATCACCGACGCATAATAATGGAAACACTATCAACACCGTTTTCAAAAGACAAAATTACAAAGTTTTTGTCACTATGTAGGGGAAAAATGTTATTTTATTAAATGCGTTTTATTATAGAACACTCGGTAGTTGAAATAGATAAATAAGTTTGGAATAAACACTATGGCGTTATCAGATTAGACAATAAGTAAAAGGTGGCAGATTAACACAAATAAGATAACTCTAAAATAAAATTTTATCATTTTCTGTCATTAATTACAAAACGACATGTGATTATAAACAAAAACACTTAAAAAAAAACGTTTTTAAATTTATTGTGGTATTGATTGTCTTAAAAAGTTTCTAAAAGGTACTACCTCAGATTCATGTGACGCTGGTGGTACTCTGAGATGAGTGATGTTAAGTAAAAATAACTTTGCAGTTTTTTAACACATTATTTTATTGTTATGTAACAAAACACATATATAGAATTTCAGAAATATAAAAGTTTTACAAAGACGAAGACTGCAGTCAGTCCAACTAAAATGAATAAATGAAATATTGTGACAAACTCTAACACAATAGAGTGCAATATTTAATTAAAAAGTGCTTAAGATACTAATTGTTAAGTAGTCTATCGAGAACCTCCTGAAGTTCTACCAACTCTTGTGTGCTTTTAAAATTGTTTCCTGAATTTTTCGTTAAACTGTGTGTTATTCAGACTTGGATCTTATTTTATTTTTAGGCTTACTCACTTGAACTGTATCTTTATTAGAAGATTTAACAGATTGTTTATCAAGGGAATCACAATTTTCTTTGTTCTTATTAGGCTGCTTTTCAGACTCTCTTTCATTGCTGTTAGGTTCTCTTGTGGAAGATTGACTAGAATGTGGATCAACCAAATCAGACTTTCCCAGGGTTGCAGACTTTTCATCTTTCGTGTTTCCACTCTTAGAAGATTTTGCAGGACGCGTATCATTTGAATCACCAGTTTTTTTTTTATCTTTTGGTACGCTGTGTGCACTTTTGGAAGATTTGACGGGACGGTCACCAACTGAATCGTGTTTTTTATTAGACTGTCTTTGATTCTTGGACTTCTTAAGACCATTTCCAGTAGTATGACCACCATCTGAATCACAGTCAGATTTGTCTTTGCGTCTAGAGTGCTTATTACCACTTCTTTGGGACCATTTTCTAGAATCACGGTCATCCGAATCGGAAATGTCGCTTCTAGAGCGGTGACCATGACGTTTAGACGACTCTTTCACTTCCTGTCGCGATTTTTTCTCAGTTCTTGTGCTGCGGTGTTGTTCTGAGCCTCTTGATCTACCAGTCTTATCCTTAGATCGTTTGACACTGCTTCTGCTGTCAAAGGATTTAGCAGAACTTGCACTACCACTACTAAACGATCTTCTAGATTCATCGTCATCTGAATCATAGCTTTCGCTACTACTGCGGTGACATCTACACGAGCGTTTTCCTTTATGGTGTCTTCTGTGTGATTTTTTCTCACGTTTCGTGTCAATGTCTTCGTCTGAACTTCTACGTCTACGAGAAGATTTATTTTTGACGTGACGTGATTTCTTATGACGATCATTACTTGAATCATAGGCTTTATAAGATTTAAATTTCGTTCGGTTCCTAGATGGGTTGTCGTCTGAGTCATAACTTTCGGATTCGCCTGTGTATCTCGTAGCATGACGGCGCGACGATCTTCTAAAGTCACGGTCCGATGAATCATAGCTTTCGCTACGACAACGGTGACGTCTAGGTGAATAATGCGTTCTATGGTCCCTTCTGTGTGATTTTCTCTCGGTTGGGTAATGGTATCGTTCTGGACTTGTTGATCGAGGAGAAAAATTGCTTCTGGTGAGGTGGTTTCTACTTCCAGATGCTTCTGCAAGTCTGTTGTCTTCTTCGTGGTGATATCTGGCGCCACTATGTCGTGGTTCTCTTGGATCGTTGTAAGTTCTCTCCGGACTCGGATACTCAGGTCTTGCATCGTCAGTTCTCGGTTTTGAAGATTTGTCGTCTTCTGAGTTGTTAGTTCTATAGGTATATGTTACTTTGTAGTCAAGTTCTGGCGATTCTTTCTGGGTGGCACTTTCAAGATCCTTGGAGATGGTTTCACTCTCATTGTGTTCGCTGTGTTCCGTTTGATGATGTTTATTTCTGCCATCTTCTGAGTCGCTAGATTCAGCATTACTTATTATTACCAAAATAGGTGAAACAGAAATATTGCAAACACTTACGACAAAAAAGACTTAAGTTGTTTTTTCAAAGTGTCGATGTTTTCCATTTTGTTACTTTCTAAAAGTAATCCAATCTTCTCCATAAACTGCTTGACATTCTCTTGTTGCTTTTTCATTGTTTCGGATACATTTTGCATCAAGTTTTCCTGATTATTCACATTGTCTGTGATACTGGCGAGCTCTTTCTGCATGTTGGAGGCGGCGGGGGTCAATTTCTGTTGGTCGTCTTGGGTTCGGCTCTTAAACAGTAAGATAAAGCTGTTGAATTGGTTAAAAAGTATATGGTTAGGATTTCATAATTTTGAATGATCATAAGTTTCTACTAATTGCTAGTTTAATTCAAATCTTTATTTTGCGTGCGGTTCAAATTTTACAAGTCAAATCAAATTATATATACGAGTAATGTGCAAAAAATTGTATTATTCTGGAAAGTTATTAGATTGACATAAAAATTTTCGATAATACGTTTTTTCAATATTGTACTTGTTAACTAAAAGGATTTCACTTTAGAAGCAAATTTTATAATTTATATGAGAAACCGGGCTTACTAAACGTTTGGCTTTAGCGGTAAGGTCAGTTAGACAATTAATTTACTCACTGTAGGGTTTCGTATAGTCAAGTGGTGTTCCTTGTCGTCGTTTCTTTTTATTTTTTCCTTTCCCTCTATTTTACCTCTGCGTGACTAAAAACCTTCAAGGATGAAATAAGTTTGCTTAAATTTTCTGTGTACTCACTGTGGGTTTAGCAGAGTCGGATTCGTCATCGCTTACTAGCAAGGTGCGGTGAAGTTTTGAATGGTTGGACTGCTGTTTTATGTCATCACTGTTTCCGGGTCCGTCTGGGTAACATTGGTTTTCAAACATTTCTTCTTCAGACGGTCTAGCGGAATGCGCACTATCTGAATCATGATTTTCAAAATCGTGCCTAGAATGTCTGCTCCTCTCAGTATATTCTCTTCTAGACGAGTTTCTAAAATCGTCGCTTCTATGGGGTTGTCTTGTAGGCGAGTATTCCACTTTGTTGTGCTTGCTGGGTGATGTGTTGTAGTATTCTTCTGAAGAATTATTTCCGGGAAAGTGGTTTCTACGTCTGGTTGACGATCTTTCTTCTTTTTCTACGTGGCGTTGATGAGCATAATTGCGTCGGTCGTATTTTGCCTTTGCTTCATTTCTGTGTGATTTTACAGGCTCATAGCCATCTGAATCCCTAGAATATTGGGTTCGATGTTTGAAATTGTCTCTTTGGGTGTAGGTATCTCGTGGTTGGACGTAACGTCTGTCTGGAGATGTTCGTCTTGAGTGTTGCCTAGAATTAAATCCGTCATCATCTATGAAAGTTCTCGGCTTTGACGATTGTCTAGATGTGGAATGATGATAATTTGAAAAGATTGATCTGTCGTCTTCTCGGTTGCTACCGTTATACGTGTATGTTACTGCACTCACAGGTTCGTACGGAACGTAGCTTTCTTTGCCCCAGTCTACGTCCACTTCATATTCTTCTTCAGACGCTTTGGTCTGGCGTGGTTGTTCGTCGTCATCGCTCTCTGTCAATTCACATCGTTCTCGTTCAGCTGCTGTCTTATCCAAATCGACTACTTCTCGCAACGTAACGCAACCGAAATTTTTCTGCCTTTCTTTGTTGCGACAAGCGATGGATTTTTGTATCAGTTCTTGTATGGTTTTCCCCATGTGTTTCAATTTGTAGAGTTCGGCAATACTTTTCTGGATTCCTTTAAGGGATAAATCGCCGGGAGGTTGTCCTTGGGCATTCTTAGCGCTCTCGTGAAAGGTTGCTTGTAAATTATAGTGTTGGCTGAGGAGGTTTTCGAGTTTCTCTATGACCTCTCGATCGGCGAGCCTTCCTAGGTACTTTTCACTGAAAATAGTGCGTTAGTTTTGGTCAAAGTGCATCTGATCAATTACTTTTTGATAAGTTGCTCAATGTATTCACCGTAGGCGTCATTGAAGGGCGTCAGCGCGTGTTCTTGCAAGAACCACGAAAACTTGGCGACGATACTCGAAATGGTTTCGCCCTCTTTTTCCAGTTCTCGCCTCCGCGTGTTTAAATCTTCGATTAGTTTATGCATATGGAATCGAGCGTCTTGTTTGTTTTTGATGACGCCTAACACGTTCTGGTCTTCTGTGCGGACTGAAACTTTGGTGGTTTCTTTGTAGATGTGCATGTGGACTTGCCAGGGGCATTCGCACTGTTGACAATTGGGTCTGCCTGCCATGGCCGCACAACACATCAGTTTGGGATCGCCGAACATTTCTTTAGGAACCCCGGTCAAGTAACAGGGGTTGTGGCATCGTTTCTTGTAGTGCCACTGGGTCACGTTGTTGACCTTAAACAACAACAAAGTAGAAACTTTTAGAACAGTCGAAATTTTACCTTCACGATGTCTGCACATTTAGGGTCCGTGCAAACCGTTACCGGTTGAGTTAGCTCCTTCACTTCAATATTAACGCAAGGTATGTGCATTTGCTGTTTGAGTTCTTCGAGAGTTTGGTCATTCTGTTGCATTTTTTTTTTATGAGCGTCGAGTACTCTGATGTTGTCTTGGATGAGTTCCGACACTTCCGCAATGGGAGTCGCAAGTTGTTCAATGTGAAATCGTACTTCGTTGATACTGATTGTGTTTTCGACGTCGTGGGGTTTCAAACCTGGACTAGACGCATCTCCAATAACGTACCTCAATAAACTACAACACAAGAATTTGGAGTGTGGAAAGAACACATTGTTTAGTTACCGCTGAATTTCGTTCGACGACACCTGCCAGCTCGTCTCGAAACCTTTGACTTCGCGTTTGGTGTATCGTTTTCCATCTTGACTGGCCAACAAGGCTTCGAATGCTTCGTTGTCCAAACAGAAGACGTTGTCGTCGCTCAAAGGAATATTAGCGTATGGGGGTCTTGACTTGATGTCTTTAACCAGTGGCGCCAAACAGTGACTCTTCGTCTCCCCAGCTGTGTAACCTGCCGTTTTACTGTAAGTCGTAATGAAAATGATGTTCTGACTGGCACTCTTATCCAGGCGCGTCAATATCTGCTTAAGACAGTACTCCGCGAACTTGGTGAACCTCGTCTGATTGGACTTCAGAACGAAACAAATCCCGTGGAGTTTCTTCAGCGTGGCCAAGTACGCAAGGACGTTGTCCAGATTGATGTTATCTTGTTCCATTCCTCTGGGATCTCCCACTCCTGGTGTGTCGATCAGTCTCAGGTTGAAGGTCTTGTTGTCCATTTTAATCGGGAATACGTAGACTTTGACGTACTGAGTTGCAGATTTGCCTTGGTCGTGGACTTCGTTCTCGTCTGCTGTGCCAAAAACTCTGCTACTTTCGGCTACGTTTAAATACATGGGGATTAGTATGTCGATGTCCCGTTTTTGCGCTTCTTTGAAACTGGCATAATTGAAGTAGTTCGAAATGGCGTTGACCAGAGTTGACTTTCCGACTCTTGTTTCGCCCAAAAGGAGGAGGTTTACGTCATTGTCTGCGGCGTCGGTGATTTTGAAGAAACTCTTGAAATAATAGTTCATCATTTTGGTAAGGGTTTCTATGGAAAGATTGATATCGGCAATTAACAGTTTTTAAAATACTGGAACGTATTATCACTGAGATAAGATAATATTGGGAGTAGTCAAAATTTACAAACTTATATACAAAGACAAACAGATAATTGAAAATATAAGCTTTTCTATGAAATTTAACTTTCTGTTCTATACTACTATAGTACTATCCTGTACTATTTAATAAATAAATAAATGTGCAGCTAGTTTGACAACTGATTTTTGTGTAAAGTATTGAGGTGTTCGTTCATTAAATCCGTAATCTTTGTGTGAAACACAGTTCAGTTCAAAGAACATTTAGTCGATTCAACGGTGTTATTTCACGTCCTGTAATGCCCACGAATAAAAAAATTAAAGTCTTACCTGCCCCTCCAATGATAACACTATAAATCTACATTAATCAAGCCTGTGAACAAAGTTTCACATCGTTATATACTTGTGATATCGTTATCAGTTTTAAATTTTTTATCGTAAATTGTATTACAGGTACGTAGTTCTTGTCAACTTATATTGATAAAAATTGGCAACTGAATTTATTAAACGAATATTAGTGATTCTGTGCAGAATCAGAGTAAACGATAAATAAATGTATTATATATACCCCGAAAAGTTTCGCTTTATAATTAACACATTTACTCTTTATATAGTATAAAGTACAATATAATAATATAATCTTCCTAAGTTCTTTAATTTCTGAATACTTTAGACAGAAAAATGTATTAAGCACTGGAACATCTTAAGATTTGAAAGTTGAAAATCGGAAATTAGAAACTGAAAACTAGGAAATGAGAAACAGGAATTTGGAAAATTGGAACTGGAGCTTACAATTGGATTACGAATTGAGAATTAAGAACAAATGGGAATTTGAAACCGGAGCTATGAAACTCGAAACTCGGAATTTGAACTCTTAACTCGGAGCTCGCTACTCGATACAGGAAACTTGAAACTGAAATTCGAAAATTGAAAATTCGAACCCGAGAACTTGAGACTCTGAGAATCAGAAATCTGAAACATAGTTGGGTCTTTTGAATCTTGGATTCTTGGAATCTGAGAATCTGAGAACACGAGAACCCGTGAACCTGAGAAACTGAGAAATTAAAAACCTGAGAATCTTAGAATCTGAAGTCTGAATTCTTGGACTGTTGGAAACTGCGAATCTGGGATTTTGGGAATTTGGGAATATGAGATCCTGAGAACTTGAGAACCTGAGAGACCGATAAACTGAGAACTTGAGAACCTGGAAATCGGATACTTGGATCCTTGGGTTTTATGGGAATCTTGAAATTTAGGAACCTGGGAATCTGAGAATCTGAAAATCTGGGACTCTGTGAGTCTGAGAACCTGATAATCTGAGAACTTGAAAACCTGAGAATCCTAGAATTTATAGTTTGAATTTTGAATTGATGGATACTTGTACACTTGGATTCTTGGACTCCTGGATTTTTGGATCCTTGCAAACTGGGAATCTGAGAATTTGGGAATATGGGAACTTGAGAAACCGAGAAACCGAGAACTCGCGAACCTGGAAATCTTGGATTCTTGGATTATGGGAACATATGAATATGAAAATCTGGGAATCTGCGAATGTGAGAATCGGATAATATAAAAATCTGAAATGTGAAATCTTGGATTCTTGGATTCTTAGAATTTGGCAAGGTGGTAATCTGGGAATGTAAAAATCTGGGAAACTGAGAAGTTGACAACCTGAAAACCTAAGGACCTGAGGACCTGAGAACATGTGAATCTGACAACCTGAGAATCTGAAAATCTGGGAGTCTGTGAGTCTGAGAATCTGAGGGTTTGGAAGTTTGAGAATTTGTGAATTTGAGGATCTGAGAACTTGGGAAACTGAGACGAATCTTACAACCCGTGAATCTTAGAATCTAGAGCCTGAAATCTTGGATTGTTAGATTTTTGTATACTTGGATTTTCGGATTTTTGGAAACTGGGAATCTGGAAATATGAGAATCTGAGAACCTGAGGGACTGAGAAACCGCGAATTCAAGAACCTGTAAATCTTGGATACTTGGATTCTTGGATTATGGGAATCTAGCAATCTGGGAATCTGCGAATGTGGGAATCTGAGAATCTGGAAATCTGAAATGTGAAATCTGGGATTCTTGTAATCTGGGAATTTAAGAAGCTAAATTCTGAAATCTTGGATTCTTAAATTTTTAGATTCTTGAAATCTGGGAATCTGGAAATCTAGGAATTTGGGATCTAAAAATCTGGGAATCTGAGAAGTTGAGAACCTTAGAACTTAAAGACATGAAGATCTGAGAACATTTGGACATAATTACCTGAGAATCTGGGGGTCTGTGAGCCTGAGAATTTGGGGGTTTGGAAGTCTGAGAATTTGGAAATTTGGTGATCGGAGAACCTGAGAAGCTGAGAAACTGACAAATTGAGAAGCTGAAAATCATAGAACATAATAACCTGAGAATCTTAGAATCTAATTTTGGATTGTTGAATTCTTGTATACTTGGATTCCTGGATTCTTAATCCTTGGATACTGGGAATCTGGGAATCTGGGAATATGAGAATCTGAGAACCTGAGAAACTGAGAACTCGAGAACCTGGGAATCTTGGATACTTGGATTCTTGAATTTTTGAATTATGGGAATCTAGAAATCGGGGAATCTGGGAATCTGCAAATGTGCGAATCTTGGATTCTTGAATTCTTAGAATCTGATAATATGAAAATCTGAGAATTCAGAAATCCGGGATTCTGAGAATCTGAGGACCTAAGGATCTGAGGATCTGAGAACATGTGAACCTAACGACCTCAGGGTCTAAGAATCTGACAATCTGGGAGTCTGTAAGTCTATAAATTTGAAAATTTGGTGATCGGAAACATACAAATCTGTGAAACTGCGAAAATGAAAATCATAGAACATAATAACCTGAGAAACTTTGAATCTAAAGTCTCTGAAATTTTGGATTGTTGAATTCTTTTATACTTGGATTTCTGGATTCTAGATTTTTGGATACTGGGAATCTGGGAATATGAGAATATGAGAATCTGGGAATGTGGAAATCTGAAATATGAAATCTTGGATTCTTGGATTCTTAGAATCTGATAATTTGAGAATCTGAGAATCCGGAAATCTGGGAATCTGTGAGTCTGAGAATTTCGGGATTTGAGAACCTAAGAAGCTGAGAAACTGGGAAGATAAGAATCTTAGAACCTGAGAACATGTGAATCTGAGCATCTGAACACATGATAATCTAAGCACCTCAAAATGTGAGAATGTGAGAACCTGAGAACTTGAGAACATGCGAACCTGAAAACCTCAAAATATGATGATGTGAGGACCTGAAAATATGAGAATTTTGAAATCTAAAAAAAAACAAAATTCGTAGACAACAGTGTTTATATATACCTATATACTTCAAATATTTAATACAATTTGGAAAAAATAATATTTACATGGTCTGTGCAACAGTAGTAATGAATTTTAAAGTTTACGATCCAAAATCTCAATACGAAACGTTTTCAAAATCACTTCCACTTTCGGTACCTTCATAGGATTCGGAATCACTTTCGCTGCTTTCTGAATTTTTTGCTTCAACTGTATGGATCTCAGATGAAGAAGAACTATCAGATGAAGTGCTTGTAGAAGACACTTCGTATCTTTTCGCATTCTGCGATGAACCAGATTTCGATTCGTTCTGCTTTTCAGGCTTGGTATCCAGCAGTTCATCGCTGCTACTAGAATCAGACAATTTTTCCTCAGATTTAGGGTTCTTCTGACTTTCGAACTCTCTCTCTTTGGTACCGCGTTCTTTTCTGAAGAGTTTAGTATCACATGGATCAGATTCGTAAGATTTATCAACTGGACTAGATTTTCTTGGGGTTTTAGAATCTGCGGGTTTAGCATGTTTGCTTCTGGGAGATCTTGTAGAAAATTTGTGATCGCGAGTTTCGGGATCTGCTTTGGGTACATTGCGTCGACTTTTGGAAGACTGGGTGGGACGCTCAGCATCTGAGTCATGGTTTTTATTAGCAGATTTAGATTTTTTTGGGTTCTTGGATTGCTTGACAGGGTTTTTGGTCGAATGGTCATCATCTGAGTGGTGCTCTGCAGAACTCGATTTATCTTTACTTTTAGTAGTATGACCTTTCCGAGACGATTTTCTGTAGTCATGATCGTCTGAATCATAGCTTTCGCTTCTATGGCGACGGTGCCTAGATGAGTCTTCCAACTTTTTGTCTGTTTTGTTTCTCGATTTTGTCCCAGTTGTTGTGTCGTCGTATTCTACATCTCGTGCTTGCCGAGAAGAGTTATTTTTGGCACGATTTGTCTTCTTAGGACGATCATCATCTGAATCATTGATTTTATAAGATTTAGATCCTGTTTGCTTACATGATTCGACACTGTTTTCGCTCTCAAGTGATCCATCGGATTGATTATCATGTGAATCATCACTTTCGGTATCAGATTTAACGTCAACCTTTCTGGATGATTGTTTTAAAGCTCGGTCATCAGAATCATAGTCGCTATCACGGCGACGGCGTCTAGGTGTCGGGTCCACTTTATGGTGTTCTCTATGTGATTTTTTCTCAGATTTTCTATGGTGGTCTTCCTCTACACTACGTGATCGACGAGTTTGCTTAGGTGATTCGACACTGTTTTCGCTCCCAAGTGACCCATCGGATTGATTATCATGTGAATCATCACTTTCGGTATCAGATTTAAAGTCAACCTTTCTGGATGATTGTCGTAAATCTCGGTCAGCGGAATCATAGTCGCTATCACGGCGACGGCGTCTAGGTGACGGGTCCACTTTATGGTGTTCTCTATGTGATTTTTTCTCAGATTTTCTATGGTGGTCTTCTTCTATACTATGTGATCGACGAGAAGGATTACTTTTGGGAAGATTTTTATCGCTTTTGGATGAAGATGCTTTTGCGCCAGACTCACTTCTACGCTGTTTTACAGCACCATGACCATCTGCATCCCTAGAATGTTGGCCCAAATGTCTGCGTCTCTCCGGAGATGTTCGTCTTGAGTGATGATTGTTTCTGGATGTTCTCAACTCTCTGGCTCTAAGTTCGTCGTAATCGCTACCGCTGGTTCTGTTTAGGTCATAGTCATCTCTGCTGTATTCCACCTTTTGGTGTTGTTCTTCTTCGACGGTTTTCTTGTCCAAGTTGATTTTTTGCCCCACGACGACAGTGAAATTTTCCCGGGTTTCTTTGTTGCGACAACTGACTGATTTGTGTATCAGTTCTTGTATGGTTGGCCCCATGTGTTTCAAATTATAGAGCTTTGAGATACTCTTCTGGATTCCTTCAGGAGTCAGATTTTTTATTACAGCTCCCGTTTGGAATTTTTTCTGGCTTTCTTGGAAGGCTTCTTGCATGTGTTGGTGGCGACTGAGGAGTTTCTCGAGTTCTGTGATGACTTGCTGATCAGCGAATTTTTCTAGTTGCTTTTCACTGAAAACACTACGTTAGTTTTGGTCAAAATATATGCGGTGATTTACTTTTTGATAAGCTGCTCAATGTAGTCCTTGTAGGCGTCATTGAAGGGCGTCAGTGCGTGTTCCTGCAAGAAGTACGAAAACTGGGCGACGATTTTAGAAATGGTTTTGCTTTCTTCTTCCAGTTCTATCTCCCGTTCGTTTAAAAATTTCATCAGTATCTCTATTTCAACGCGGGCATCTTTTTTGTTCTTTATGGCGTTTTTCACGTTTTGGTCTTCTTTCTTGACTTCGACTTTCTGGGTTTCTTTGTAGATGTGCAAGTGGGCTTTCCAGTGACATCCACATTTCTTGCATATGTCTTTATCCATGGCGGAACAACTACGGATTCTTGGATCGGCGATCATTTCTTTGGGAATTCCAGTTAGATGACAGGGATTGTGACATCTCTGTTTATAGTGCCATTGCGTGACGCCATTGACCTTAAACACTAGGAAAGTCAAAAACCTTTACAAAAGTAAGCGTCTCACCTTTAGAACCTCCGCACAATTTATACAAACGGTTACAGGTTGAGGCAGCTTTTTCACTTCAAAATTAATGCAGGGTATGTAGAGTTGTTCTTTCAGTTCTTGAAGACTTTGGTCCTTCCGAGTCAGTTTTTCCCTGTGTCTGTCAATTAATCTGAGATTGTCTTGAATAAGTTCTGACACTTCAGCAATAGGAGTTGTGAGTTGTTCTACGAGAAATCTGACGTTGTTGATACTTATTGTATTTTCAACGTCATGGGGTTTCAAAGCTGCGTTTTTGGCACCCCCAATAATGTATTTGAACAAACTACAAAATAAGAATAGTTACTGTGATAAGAGAGAGTGCATAGTTACCGTCGAATTTCCTTTGACGACTTTTTCCAACTATGCTTCATACTTTTCATTTCGTGTTTGTCGTACTGTCGGCCTTCCTGGATCCCCAACAAGGCGCTAAATGCTTCGTTCTCCACAGCAAAAATGTTCTCATCGCTTAGAGGAATTTCTACATGTGGAGGTCTTGACATTATGCTTCTAATCAGCGGCAACAGACATTGGTTCTTGGTATTTTCAGCTGTGTAGCCAGACGTTTTGCTATAAGTAGTAATGAAAATGATATTCTGACTGGCGCTTTTATCCAGACGTGTCAATATCTGCTTCAGACAATACTCCACGAACTTAGTAAATCTCGTCTGGTTCGACTTCAAAACAAAACAAATCCCGTGGAGTTTCTTCAACGTGGCTAAATACGCAAGAATGTTGTCCAGATGGACATTATCCTGCTCGATTCCTCTGGGATCCCCAACCCCCGGCGTATCGATCAACCTCAAATTGAACTTTCTGTTCTGCATTTTGACCGGGAATAGGTACACTTTGACGTTCTGAGTGGCCGATTTGCCCTCTTCGTGGAGTTCGTTGTCGTCTGCTTTGCCAAAAATTTTGCTTTCGTCGTTAATGTTTAGGCACACAGGGATTAAAATGTCGATCGTTCCTTTTCGAGCTTTCTTGAAACTGGAATAATTGAAGTAATTCGAAATGGAGTTTACCAAAGTTGATTTTCCGACCCCTGTTTCGCCCAGCAGGAGCAGGTTGACGTCATCGTCTAGGGTCTTGGTGTTTTTCCCAAATTTATCTTTCCACATTTTGGAGTAGTGGGTGAGAATTTTATCTGAAATGTTGTTGGTTTGTCGTTTCACGTCTGTTGTCACTCACTGCAGTAATGGCGATCCGACTGATAAGAAAAATGATAGATAAGTAGTATCAGTTACAAAATTTATGGGGATTAATTCAAATGCGATTAATAAAATTTTCCCTGAAATTCAGGCTTCCATCTTTCAAAATGGCACAACAACGAGTTTTAAATAAGAGAACTGTGGTATATACGAAATTGTAAAAATAAAGTCGAGTGCACTTTGACAGCAGAAATTATCTCAAATGTTAAAGCACCTTTCTAATCTTCTAGAAGAAGACTGCAATCAAAATTTTGAGTGATGCCCAAGAAGTTCTAACTAACTCTTTGGACAACTGTCAAGAAAATTAGTGTTCGTCTTACCTGTTCCTTCAATGAGAACACTAGATAATCAAATGTGCACATGCTTAAATAACTGTGATATTGTTATCAATTTAAACAATTTTATCGGGCCAGAAATTTCGAATTACCCTTGGGAGATAAAAAAAACCCATTCGATCAGCAAAATTTTGAGCTACCGCCATTAACTTTTTGTAGGAGATAGTCAAATTTTGATTAGAAATTTATTAGACTTATGATAACTTTAAAATCTTTGATTCGGTTTTATACAGTTTCCTAAAATTCAGCAAATTTTGTGGGCAAATTTTTGATACACGATATTCGACAGACAGACGGAAACGGAGGACCTACTTTTCCATACACTTCTTTGGAAAACCTCATAAGGCAAATGAAAGCCTAAAACGAGAAATACAAGTCATCTTAAAAGGGTAACCTTGGATCGTCAAGTAAATTACAATCTAAAGTGTTTTTGACGCACTAGTCCATCTCACTGATTTCTTTGTATGTTAAATTTGACTACAGTATTTTTAAACAATTTCTCGAATAAGTTGAAGTGATTTCTTAAAAGGATAAAGATACGTTATCGATTATCTATATACAAATCAAAATCTATAGAAGGAAGGTTAAACGTTTAACCAATATCGGGATACGAAAATACCCGTCGTCACAGTTCACACTGACAATTTAAAAAAGTCCACCAAATTTTCTTAAATTTACAGATTTTAGGTCGGTGGAATTCATTTATTGATCGTCTTCAGAAAACTGACAACGTGATATTTACACCTTTTTTCTTCAGTCAGTCTTCCTTCTGATTAATGTGTCAACAAAGTGGTTCACACACTGGGAATCTGGGAATCTGAGAAGTTGAGACTTGAGAACCTGAAGACCTGAAGATCTGAGAATATGCGAACCTAACTGCCTGACACACTGAGAATCTGAAAATCTGGGAGTCTGTGATTTTGAGAATTTGGAAATTTGGTGATCGGAGGAGCTAAAAAGCTGAGAATCTTAGAACATGATAAACTGAAAATTTGACAATCTGATTATCTTAGATTCCAAAGTCTGAAATCTTGAATTGTTGGATTCTTGTATACTTGGGTTCTTGAATTCTTGGATTCCTGGATTCTAGATCCTCGGAAACTCGGAAGCTGGGAATCTGGGAATACGAGAACCTGAAAATCTGAGAACCTGAGAAACCGAGAAACCGAAAACTTGAAAATGTTGAATTCTTGGATTATGGGATTCTGGCAATCTGGGAATCTGCGAATGTAGGAATTTGAGTATCTGGAAATCTGAAATATGAGATTTAGGATTCTTGGATTCCTAGAATCTGGGAATCTGAGAATCTGAGGACCTGAGGATCTGAGGACCTGAGAATCCGAAAATCTAGGAGTCTGTGACTGAGAATTTGTGAATTTGGGCATCTGAGAACCTAAGAAACTGAAAATCTGGGAATCTTAGAATCTAAACTCTGAAATCTTGGATTCCTTGGAAATTCGGAAGCTGGAAATCTGGGAATCTGGGAATATAGGAACCTGAAAACCGGAGAACCTGAGGAACCGAGAAACCGGAAATCTGAAAATTTTGATTTCTTGGATGAATCTGCGAATGTTTGAATCTGAGAATCTGGAAATCTGGAAATCTGAGAATCTGACAACCTAAGGACCTGAGGACCGGAAGACCTGAGAACACGTGGTGAATCCAACTACCTGAGAAAATAAGGATCCTAAAATCTGGGAGTCTGTGAGTCTGAGAATTTGGAAATTTGGGAATATGAGAACCTGAAAACTTGAGAAAACGAAAAACTGAGATCTTGGGAACCTGAAAATCTTGGATAATTGGATTCATGGGTTCTTATAATCTAAGAATCTGAAGATTTGGGAATCTGAAAATCTGGGAATCTGAGAAGATGAGAATTTGAAATATGAAATCTTGGATTCTTAGAATCTAAGAATCTGTGAATCTGGCAAACTGGGAATTTAAGTATATAAAATCTGATATCTTGAATTCTTGGATTCTTGGATTTCTGGAATTTGGATCCTTGGAAACTCGGAAGTAGGGAATCTGGGAATCTGGAAATATGGGAACCTGGAAACCTGAGAACCTGACAAACCGAGAAACCGAGAACCTCAAAATGTTGAATTCTTGGATTATGCTATTCTGGGAATCTGGGAATCTGGAAATCTGAGAATCTGAGTATCTGAGGACCTAAGGATCTGAGGATCTGACAACACGTTGTGAACCTAACTAACTGAAAATATAAGGATCCGAAATTCTGGAACTCTGTGAGACTGACAATTTGGGAATTTGGGGATCTGAGAATCAGAGAAGCTGTGAAACTGAGAATCTGAGAATCTTAGAATCTAAAGTCTGAAATCTTGGATTCGTGTGTATTTGGATTCTTGGATTCATGGATTCTAGATCCTTGGAAACTGTGAATCTGGAAATATGAGAACCTGAGAACCTGAGAAACCAAAAAACTGAGATTTCGAGAACTTGAAAACCTTGCATATTTGGATTGTTGGATTCTTATAATTTAAGCATCTGAAAATTTGGGAATCTGAGAACATGAGAATTTGAAATATGAAATCTTGGATTCTTAGAATGTGAGAATCTGGGAATTTCATAAAGTGAGAATTTAAGAATCTAAAATCTGATATCTTGAATTCTTGGATTCCTGGATTCTGTACCTTTGGAAACTCGGAAGCTGGGAATCTGGGAATCTGAGAAAATGAGAACCTGAAAACCTGAGAACCTAAAAAACCGAGAAACCGAAAACTTGAAAATCTTGGATTATGGGGTTCTGGGATTCTGCGAATTTGCGAATGTGGGAATCTGAAATATGAGATTTTGGATCCTTGGATTCCTAGAATCTGAGAATCTGGGAATCTGGAAATCTGGGAATCTGAGAATCTGAGGACCTAAGTACCTGAAGACCTAAGAACACATGGTGAAGCTATCTAACTGAGAATATAAGGATCCGAAAATCTGGGAGTTTGTGACTCTGAGAATTTGGGAATTTGGGCATCTGAGAACCCGAGAAGCTGAGAAACTGAGAATCTGAGAATCTTAAAATATAAAGTCTGAGATCTTGGATTCCTTGGAAATTCGGGAACTGGGAATCTGGGAATCTGGGAATATAGGAACCTGAAAACCTGAGAACCTGAGAAACCAAAAAATCGAGAATCTGAAAATGTTGAATTTTTGGATTATGGGAATCTGCGAATGTGTGAATCTGAGAATCTGGAAATCTTAAAATCTGAGAATCTGAGGATCTAAGGACCTGAGGACCTGAGAACACGTGGTGAACCTAACTACCTGAGAACATAAGGATACTAAAATCTGGGAGTCCGTGGGTCTGAGAATTTGGGAATTTGGGTGTCAATCAGTATTCTGAGAACCTGAGAAACTGGGAAACTGTGAATTTTAGAATGTAAAGTCTGAAATCTTGGATTTTTGGATTTGTGTATACTTGGATTCTTGGATTCTTGGATTCCTGGATTCTAGATCCTTGGAAACTGGGAATTTGTTAACATGAGAACCTGAGAGACCGAAAAACTGAGATTTCGAGAACTTGGAATTCTTGGTTACTTGGATTCTTGAATTCTTATAATCTAAGAATCTGAAAATCTGGGGTACTGAGAAGATGACAATTTGAAATATGAAATTTTTGGATTCTTAGAATCTGAGAATCTGGGAAGATGGTAAACTGGGAATTCAAGATTTTTAAATCTGACATCTTGGATTTTTGAACTTTTGGGTTCTTGAAATCGGAGAATTTGGAAGTTTGGGGGTCTGAGAATTTGAGAATTTGGGGATCAGAGAACTTAAGAAGCTGAGATTCTTAGAATCTTCTAACCTGAAAACTTGAAAACTTGAAAACATGAGAACCTAAAAACCTGAAAACCTGAGAATCTGGCAATTAAAAAGAAACAATTCGTAGACAACAATATTTATATATACATATACTTTAAAATGTTAATACAATTTGAAACAAACATAATTTTTATGGTCTGTGCAACAGTAGCAATAAATTTTTAATTCTAGATATCAACTTAAAACGGTTTCAAAATCACTTCCACTTTCGGTACCTTCATAGGATTCGGAATCACTTTCGCTGCTTTCTGAATATTTTGCTTCAACTGTATGGGTCTCAGATGAAGAAGAACTATCAGACGAAGTGCTTGTAGAAGACACTTCGTATCTTTTCGCATTCTGCGATGAACCAGATTTCGGTTCGTTCTGCTTTTCAGGCTTGGTATCTAGCAGTTCATCGCTGCTACTAGAATCAGACAATTTTTCCTCAGACTTAGGATTCTTCTGACTTTCGAACTCTCTCTCTTTGATACCGCGCTCTTTTCTGGAGGGTTTAGTATCATATGGATCCCATTCGTAAGATTTGTCAGCTTGACTAGATTTTTTTGGGGTTTTAGAATCTGTAGGTTTGTTTCTGGAAGATTTTGGATCGCGAGTTTCGGCTTTGGGTACAGTGCGTCCAGTTTTGGAAGACTGGCTGGGACGGTCAGCATCTGAATCATAGTTTTTCTTAGTAGATTTAGACTTTCTTGGGTTCTTGGATTGCTTGACAGTGTTTTCGGTCAAATGGTCATCATCTGGATGGTGTTTTGCAGAATTCGATTTATCATTACTTTTAGTAGTACGACCCTTTCGAAGCAATTTTCTATAGTCATGATCGTCTGAGTCTTCCAACTTTTTGTGTGTTTTGTTTCTTTTTTTTATCCCGGTTGTTGTGGCGTCGTATTCTTCTACATCTCTTGCTTGCAGAGAAGAGTTATTTTTGCCACGATTTGTCTTCCCAGAACGATCATCATCTGAATCACGGACTTTATAAGATTTAGATTTTGTTTGTTTAGATGGTTCGACACTGTTTCCGCTGTCAAGTGATCCATCAGATTGACTATCATCAGAATCGTCACTTTTACTGTCAGATTCATCTTCGCTGGCAGTGTAAATCTTTCTGGATTGTCTAAAATCTCCGTCATTGGAATCATAGTCACTATCACGGTGTTCTCTATGTGATTTTTTTTCGAATTGTCTACCGTGGTCTGCTTCTACACTACGTGATCGACCAGAAGTATTACTTTTGGCAAGATATTTATCGCGTTTGGATGAAGATGCTTTTGCACTCGACTCACTTCTACGCAGTTTTGCAGCTCCATGACCATCTGGATCCCTAGAATGTTGGCCTAAATGTCTGCGTCCGATAGCTTCTTTGTCTCTCTCCGGAGATGTTCGTCTTGAGTGATGATTGTTTCTGAAGGTTCTCGACTCTCTGGCTCTAGGTTCGTCGTAATCGCTGCCGCTGGTTCTGTTTAGGTCATAGTCATCTCTGCTGTATTCCACTTTTTGGTGTTGTTCTTCTTCGACCGTTTCCTTGTCCAAGATGATTTCTTGCCCCACGACGACACTGAAATTTTCACGGGTTTCTTTGTTGCGACAACCACTCGATTTGTGTATCAGTTCTTGTATGGTTGACCCCATGTGTTTCAATTTATAAAGCTTTGAGATACTCTTCTGGATTCCTTCAGGAGTCAGATTTTTGATTACAGCTCCCGTTTGGAATTTTTTCTCGCTTTCTTGGAAGGCTTCTTGCATGTGTTGGTGGCGACTGAGGAGTTTCTCGAGTTCTGTGATGACTTGCTGATCAGCGAACTTTCCTAGACGCTTTTCGCTGAAAACACTGTGTTAGTTTTGATCAAAATGTATGTTATAGTTTACTTTTCGATAAGCTGCTGAATGTAGTCTTTGTACGCGTCATTGAAGGACGTCAGTGCGTGTTCCTGCAAGAAGTACGAAAATTGGGCGACGATTTTAGAAATAGTTTCGCTTTCTTTTTTCAATTCTGTCTCCCGTTGATTTAATTCTTTCGTCAGTTTCTTTATTTCAGCAAGAGCATCTTCTTTGCTCTTTATTGCGTTTTTCACGTTTTGATCTTCTTTCTTACCTTCGACTTTCTTGGTTTCTTTGTAGATGTGCAAGTGAACTCTCCAGTCACATCTGCACTTTTTGCATGTGCCTTTCTCCATTGCGTCACATCTACTGATTTTCGGATCGCCGATCATTTCTTTGGGAACTCCAGTCAGTCTACAAGGGTTGTGACATATCTGTTTGTAATCCAACTGCGTGACGTCATTGACCTTAAACAACATGAAAGTAAAAACCTTTACAAAAGTCAACGTCTTACCTTTACAACGTCCGCACACGTCGTACAAACGGTTACAGGATGACTAAGTTCTTTCACTTCAAGGTCAATGTAGGGTATGTGCAGTTGCTGTTTCAATTCTTCAAGACTTTGGTCCTCCAAAGTCAGTTTTTCCTTGTGTCTGTCAACTAATCTGAGATTGTCTTGTATAAGTTCTGACACTTCAGCAATAGGAGTTGTGAGTTGTTCAACGAAAAATCTGACTTTGTTGATACTGATTGTATTTTCAACGTCATGTGGTTTCAAAGCTGCGTTTTTCGGACTTCCAATAATGTATTTTAACAAACTACAAAATAAGAATATTTACAGTGATAAGAGAGAGTGTGTAGTTACCGTCGAATTTCCTTTGACGACTTTTCCCAGCTATGCTTCATACTATTTATTTTGTGTTTATCATAATCTAGGCCCTTCTGGATACCCAACAAAGCACTGAAACCTTCGTTCTCCACAGCAAAAATGTTCTTATCGCTTAAAGGAATTTCCACATGTGGAGGTTTTGACATTATGCTTCTAACTAGTGGCAACAGACAGTGTTTTTTACAACTTTCAGCAGTGTAGTCAGACGTTTTGCTATAAGTAGTAATAAAAATGATATTCTGACTGGCGCTTTTATCCAGTCGTGTCAACATCTGCTTAAGACAGTACTCCACGAACTTGGTAAACCTCGTCTGGTTCTCCTTCAAAACAATACAAATCCCGTGGAGCTTCTTCAGCGTGGCTATGTACGAAAGAATGTTGTCCAAATGGACATTGTCCTGATCCATTCCTCTGGGATCTCCAAGCCCCGGCGTATCGATCAACCTCAACTTGAAGGTTCTGTTCTGCATTTTGACCGGGAATAGGTACACTTTGACGTTCTGAGTGGCCGATTTGCCCTCTTCGTGGACTTCGTTGTCGTCTGATTTACCAAAAACTTTGCTTTCGCCGTTAATGTTTAGGCACAGCGGAATTAAAACATCGAGTTTTCCTTTTCGAGCTTTCTTGAAACTGGAATATTTGAAGTAATTCGAAATGGAGTTTACCAAAGTTGACTTTCCGGAGCCTGTTTCGCCCAACAGGAGGAGGTTGACGTCATGGTCTGGGGTCTTGGTATCTTTCCGGGATTTATGTTTCCACATTTTGGAGTAGTGGGTGAGAATTTTGTCTGAAATGCTTTTATTGGGTTGATTAGTATACTGAAAAATTAAATATTTGAATACAGAATTAAGCAACAAATTTTAAAATAAATTTCTTAAGATACACTGAGATACGCTGACTACAAAAATGGCCATCCGACGGATAAGAAGAATGAAAGATAAGTAGCAACAGTTACAAAATTTATGAAGATTACTTAATTCAAATGCGATTCAAAAAATTTTGAATTAAATGCACGCTTCCATCTTTCAAAATGTCGAAACAAGGGGTTTTTAGATTAAAAGAATGCAATTATTTTGACGAGGGTTGTCAGTCAGTTATTATATAATCGGGGATTAAATGATACTCAGTCCTGGAGCATATACGAACTTGTAAAAATAAATTCGAATGCAGTTTGACAGCAGAAATTATCTCAAATGTTAAAGCACCTTTCTAATCTTTTAGAAGAAAACAGCAAGTAAAATATTTAGTGATGTCCAGGAACTTCTAAATAACTTTTTAGACAACTGTCAAGAAAATTAGTGTTCGTCTTACCTATTCCTTCAGTGAGTACACTAGATAATCAACATGTTATAAATGGCTTCACATCCTTATATAACTGTGACATTGTCATCAATTTCAAGAGTTTGTGATTATCTTTAGCAGATAAAAAAAACCCATTCGTTCAGCAAAATTTCAAGCTACCGGCATTATTTGTTAATGTTATTACAAAGTTTGTCTCAGCGGGAAACTTATTGTTTGCTGATGATTTTAAGATCTACAGAGTTATCAAATGTTTATTGGTAACGTCTAATTTGTCGCCGATTTATTTTCAATATAGCATGAATGAAACAGTACGACGACAAAACTCTATATTAGATCTAGGAATATTGTTTGATTCTGCTCTAACGTTTGTACCGCATATTGGAAATATGAGTTCAAAAGTCTACAAAATTTTAAGATTCATTTACCGAAACAGCAGTGTTTAATAAAACGCAAACCTTTAAAACCTTGTTTATTGCACTTGTCAGATCTAGGTTGGACTATGGCTCAATCATTTGGCACACCACATATCAAGTCCACGTTAGCAATATTGAATCTATAAGGAGAATGTTTTTAAAGTATCTGGTCAATCGTGAAGATCATGTATATCCTGTGAGAGCGTATCCGCAATTACAACTGTTAAGTAGAGTCAACTTCTCCTCTCAAAATACAAGAAGACTAATTTTAAGTGTCGGATTTATTTTAAATTTAATTAACCATGAATTGATTGCGCGTGGTTGCTTGATAGACGATATTCGACAGGCAGACGGAAACGGAGAACCTACTTTTCCATACAGAATTGTGTATTTTTTAATGTTTTTGTGGGATGTGGGGCGATTTAGGGGCTGAAAATGTGATTTAAGACTTGTTTGGAAAACCCCATAAGGCAAATGAATCCCTAAAACAACAAATACAAGTGATCTTCAAAGGCTGACCTTCGAACGTCAAGTAAATTACAATCTAAAGTATTTTTGACGCACTAGTCGATCTCGTTGCTTTCATTGTATGCTAAACTTGATCTAAGCCTTGATTACACCAATTTTATTAAATTTGTCGAATAAGGTGAAGTGCTTTTTTAAAAGAATAATACGTTGTAGATTATTTAGATATAAATAAAAATCTCTTGAACGAAGGTTACCACTAAAAATCAAATTTATAAAACAAATATCGTCACAGTTCACACAGACAAGTTAGAAAATGTTCCGTAAGTCTCGTCTTCAGAAAACTCTCGAGGTTATATTTACACTTTTTTCCTCAGTCAATCTTCCTCCTGACTGATATGTCAACAAAGTGATTAATCAAAATACTAATAAAGCTCAAATATTTACTAAAATTTTAAACAATAGGTCTACACGTTCGGTACAAAAGCATTAAAGTATTTTTTTGTGTTTTCTACAGGTTCCTAGTTTTCCTATCTACCTAGATTATCTTTGGAATTTTTGCCTTGAACTGTACGTATTTCAGACATATCACTGGAGTTTGCGTAGACTTTTGAGATGTGTGATGAAGCAGACTTGGATTCTATTTAATTTTTAGGCTTACGCTCTTGAACTGTATCTTTACTAGAAAATTTAACAGATTGTTTACCACGCCAATCACAATTTTCGTTCTTAGCATTATAGTTTGATTTGTGTTGATGTTAGATTTTTTGTAGAAGATTCAGTAGAATTTGGATCAACTGAACTAGACTTTCCTGGGGTTGTAGACTCTGGATCTGTCTTTCCATTTTTAGAAAATCTTCCAGAACGCTTATCATTTGAATCACCAGTTTCGTGTTTATTCTTTGGTGTGATGTGTGCACTTTTAGATGATTTGACAGGATCTGAATCATGTTTTTTATTAGACTCTCTATGATTCTTAGACTGTTTAAGACTATTTCCAGTAGAATGACAGATTTGTCTTCGCGTCTAGAGTGTTTACCATCACCCCTTTGGAACCGTTTTCTAGGATCACGGTCATCTGCTGAATCGTAATTGTCGCTTTTAGGGCGGTGATGTTGACGTCTGAACGACTCTTTCACTTCGTGTCGCGATTTTTTCTCAGTTCTTGTGCTGCGCTGTTGTTCTGAGCCTCTTGATCTACCAGTCTTATCCTTAGATCGTTTGACACTGCTTCTGCAGTCAAAGGATCTAGCAGAACTTGCACTATCACTACTGGACGATCTTCCAGATTCATGGTCATGTGAATCATAGCTTTCGCTACCACTGCGGTGACGTCTAGAGGAGCGTTTCCCTTTATGGTGTTTTCTGTGTGATTGTTTTTCACGTTTCTTGTCAATGTCTTCGTCTGAACTTCTACGTCTACGAGAAGATTTATTTTTGACGTAACGTGACTGCTTCTGACGATCATCATTTGAATCATAGTCTTTATAAGAGTTAGATCTCGTTCGGTGCCTAGATGGGTTGTCATCTGAGTCATAACTTTCGGATCCATCTGTGTATCTAGTAACATGACGGCGCGACGATCTTCTAAAGTCGCGGTCCGATGAATCATAGCTTTCGCTACGACGACGGTGACGTCTAGGTGAATAGTGCCTTCTATGGTCACTTTTATGTGATTTTCTCTCGGTTGTGGAGTGGTATCGTCCTGGACTTGTTGATCGAGGAGAAAAATTGCTTCTGGTGAGGTAGTTTCTACTTCCAGATGCTTCAGCAAGTCTGTTGTCTTCTTCGGGGTGATATCTGGCGTCATAATTGCGTGGTTCTCTTGGATCGGTGTAAGTTCTCTCCGGACTCGGATACTCAAGTCTTCCATCATCAGTTCTCGGTTTTGAAGATTTGTCGTCTTCTGAGTTGTTAGTTCTATAGATATATGGTACTGTGTAGTCAAGTTCGTTTTCTGGTGATTCTTTCTGGGTGGCACTTTCAACATCCTTGGAGATGGCTTCACTCTCACTGTGTTCGCTGTGTTCCGTTTGATGATGTTTATTTCTGCCATCTTCAGAGTCGCTAGATCCAGCATTACTTATTATTACCAAAATAGGTGAAACAGAAATATTGCAAATACTTACGACAAAAAAGACTTCAAATTGTCGATGTTTTCCATTTCGTTACTTTCTAAAAGTAATCCAATCTTCTCCATAGACTGCTTGACATTCTCTTGTTGCTTTTTCATTGTTTCGTATACATTTTGCATCAAGTTTTCCTGATTATTCACATTGTCTGAGATGCTGGCGATCTCTTTCGGCATGTCAGAGGTGGTGGGGGTCATTTTCTGTTGGTCGTCTTGGGTTCGGCTCTTAAACAGTAAGATAAAGCTGTTGAATTGGTTAAAAACTATGTGGTTAGCATTTCATAAGTTTTTGGGGCAACGTCACCAAATTTGAAGGGGTATTGAATGATCATAATTTTCTACTAATTACTAGTTAGTATGCGATGGTATTATTACCATTTTCAGCTTTTGACTTTTGTTGAAAGACAACACTTAAGTTTTCAGTGGTATGACCGTAGTAGCTAGTTTTTGCGGTAATTATGGAAATACTATTTCAAGTTAGTATTGTTGTTTGTATTTACAGCCTGTTGAGGACTTGTATCCGGAGTTCCTCAAATTTTGCATTGTACTATTCTGGAAAGTTATTAGATTGACATAAAAATATTCTATAATGCATTGTTTTAATATTGTGCTTGTTAACTAAAAGGATTTCGCTTTAGAAGCTAATTTTATCATTTATATGAGAAACCGGGCTTACTAAACGTTTGGCTTTAGCGGTAAGGTCAGTTAGACAATTGATTACTCACTGTAGGGTTTCGTATAGTCAAGTGGTGTTCCTTGTCGTCGTTTCTTTTCATTTTTTCCTTTCCCTGTTTTTCACCTCTGCGTGACTAAAAACCATCAAGGATGAAATAAGTTTGCTTGATTTTTCTGTGTACTCACTGTGGGTTTAGCAGAGTCGGATTCGTCATCGCTTACTAGCAAGGTGCGGTGAAGTTTTGAATGGTTAGACTGGTGTTTTATGTCATCACTGTTTCCGGGTCCGTCTGGGTGACATTGGTTTTCAAACATTTCTTCTTCAGACCCTTTGTTCTGGCGTAGTTGTACGTCGTCATCGCTCTCTGTAAATTCAAATTGTTCTTGTTCAGCTATTGTCTTATCCAAGTCGACTACTTCTCGCAACGTAACGCAACCGAAATTTTTCTGCGTTTCTTTGTTGCGACAAGCGTTGGATTTTTGTATCAGTTCTTGTATGGTTTTCCCCATGTGTTTCAATTTGTAGAGTTGCGCGATACTTTTCTGGATTCCTTTAAGGGATAGATCGTCGGAAGGTTCTCCTTGGGCATTCTTAGCGCTCTCGTGGAAAGTTGCTTGTAAATTATAGTGTTGGCTGAGGAGGTTTTCGAGTTTCGCTATGACCTCCCGATTGGCGAACATTCCTAGGTACTTTTCACTGAAAATAGTGCGTTAGTTTTGATCAAAGTGCACCTGATGAATTACTTTTTGATAAGTTGATCAATGTATTCACCGTAGGCGTCATTGAAGGGCGTCTGCGCGTGTTCCTGCAAGAACCACGAAAACTTGGCGACGATCCTCGAAATGGTTTCGCCCTCTTTTTCCAGTTCTCGCCTCCGCGTGTTTAAATCTTCGATTAGTTTATGCATATGGATTCGAGCGTCTTGTTTGCTTCTGATGACGCCTAACACGTTCTGGTCTACTTTGCGAACTGAAACTTTGGTGGTTTCTTTGTAGATGTGCATGTGGACTTGCCAGGGGCATTCACACTCTTGACAATTGGGTCTGTTTGCCATGGCGGCACAATGCATCAGATTGGGATCGCCGATGATTTCTTTAGGAACCCCGGTCAAGTGACAGGGGTTGTGGCATCGTTGCTTGTAGTGCCACTGGGTCACGTTGTTGACCTTAAACAACAACAAAGTAGAAACTTTTACAACAGTCGAAGTTTTACCTTCACGATTTCTGCACATTTAGGGTCCGTGCAAACCGTTACCGGTTGAGTTAGTTCCTTCACTTCAAGATTAACGCAAGGTATGTGCAATTGCTGTTTGAGTTCTTCGACAGTTTGGTCATCTTGTTGCAATTTTTTTTGATGAGCGTCAAGTACTCTGATGTTGTCTTGGATGAGTTCCAACACTTCCGCAATGGGAGTCGTGAGTTGTTCAATGTGCAACCGGACTTCGTTGATACTGATTGTGTTTTCGACGTCGTGGGGTTTCAAACCTGGACTAGACGCGTCTCCAATAACGTACCTCAATAATCTACAAAACAAGAATTTGGTTTGTGGAAAGAAGACATTGTTTAGTTACCGCTGAATTTCGTTCGACGACACCTGCCAGCTCGTCTCGAAACCTTTGACTTCGCGTTTGGTGTATCGTTTTCCATCTTGACTGGCCAACAAGGCTTTGAATGCTTCGTTGTCCAAACAGAAGACGTTGTCGTCGCTCAAAGGAATATTAGCATGTGGGGGTGTCGACATGATGTCTTTAACCAGTGGCGCCAAACAGTGACTCTTCGTCTCCCCAGCTGTATAACTCTCCGTTTTACTGTAAGTCGTAATGAAAATGATGTTCTGACTGGCACTCTTATCCAGGCGCGTCAATATCTGCTTAAGACAGTACTCCGCGAACTTGGTGAACCCTGTCTGATTCGACTTCAAAACGAAACAAATTCCGTGGAGTTTCTTCAGCGTGGTCAAGTACGCAAGGACGTTGTCCAGATTGATTTCGTCTTGTTCCATTCCTCTGGGATCTCCCACTCCCGGTGTGTCGATTAGTCTCAGGTTGAAGGTCCTGTTGTTCATTTTAATCGGGAACATATATTCTTTGACAAACTGAGTGGTGCATTTGCCTTCATCGTAGTCTTCGTTCTCGTCTGCTATGCCGTAAACTTTTCTACTTTCCGTTGAATACATAGGGATTAAAATGTCGATGATCCTTTTTTGTGCTTCTTTGAAACTAGCATATTTGAAGTAGTTCGAAATGGAGTTTACCAGAGTTGACTTCCCGACTCCTGTTTCGCCCAACAGGAGCAGGTTTACGTCATCGTCTGCGTTATAAGTGTCTTGAAACAAATGCTTTATGGGACCAAACATTGTTAAATAATAATCGGCAAAAGTTTTTCTGGAACGATCGAAGCGTTTCGTCAAAAAGTCAACCGTTGTTTTTAACAGGAAAAAGTTATGTAATCTTTATGAAGTGGGTCGTTGGTTGGAACAGTTAACTACAAAACAATCTGCTAGCAGTCTTTCAAGGTACACTTAACAAAAATTAAGAAATAATTTTCTTACCTGTTTCTTTAGTGGTAATATTAGTACACTGCATTAATCTGTAGACGATCATTCTGAATATTCTACACACCCACGATAAGGTTATCAGTTTTAAAATCTATAGTCCACGTTGTTGAAAATAATCACCGACGCATAATACTGGAAACACTAGAAACACAGTTTTAAAAAAACAACATTTCTAAATTTATTATGGTATTAACTGAATTAAAAAAATTCTACCACTAAACTTTAGAGCGTATTTGGTGTAATTCATTTATTCATTGCCTTTAGATATACCATGAGGTTTTTTTTTCTTTGAACATAGGACATACATAGGATCAATGTTAAGTTGGTTGCATACCTGCTTGTAATAGATTGTCAAAGATATTGCCATTGACATTTGGCACTGTCTTCATGTTAAGGTATTGTAATAAGTACAAGTTTAAAGAACAGAAAATTTACGTTATTGATCTTTTAAAAAAAAAAAAATCGTTAAACATTTTACTGTAAATGTCATCGTTGACATGGCCTACTCGTCAATTATGACGAATCTTATGTGATACTATGTTCAGTTTTTAAAAGTCCAAATCAATCCATTGGAGGATGGATATGCAACCCAACATACTATGCTCAGAGAAAAAAAAACTTCACGGTATAAAAGTTTTACAAAGACGAAGACTGCACGCAGTCCAACTAAAATGAAGAAGTGAAATTTTGTGACGAACTCTAACACAATAGAATGTACAATTTAATCAAAAAATGCTTAAAATACTAATTGTTAAATATTTTATCGAGGACATCCTGGTAATGTTGAAGTTTTTCGAGTTCTGTCACGATCGTCACTACATCGTCCTTCTTCACCTCAGTATTTGACTTTCTTCTCACGTCTCCTTTCATCCGTCCGTAGCCCAGTTGCAGTGCTTTTAACATTTTTATAACTCTATCGATCTCATTTTTCCTAAAATTGGTATTAAACGTATATAATTATTTAAAAAGAAGTTCACATAAGAAACTCACCTTGTAGAAGACAATGCGGAAGCAATTTCCTCACCTAAACTGTCATATAAGCCACACTTTTCCAAAAACGTAGCAATTGTAGCAAAATTTTCTAAAGTCTTACGAATTTCCTCCTGTTGCGCATCAACTACTTTATGTGCATTTGTGATAATTTCTTTGTGTTTTTTCAGTATAATTGCTGTCTTTTTTAGGTTTGTTTTTTATCACTATCAACATGGTGTTCTATTAGCGGTGCCTTAAACCACAAAAGTACAAATTTTTCCAATTTACTTCTATACATTTACCGCATTTTTGCTAAAATCAATATTCGCATAAGTTACGCGATTGTCTTCATTCTGCTTTCTATAATCATTTGCTTGTCTAGACAGTAAGAGTGCTTTGTTGAGCAGACTGAGTGAATATTATATTTCTACATACCTGTCCTTCATGCTGTTCAATTGATCGTTTCATGGCTTCAACCAACTGACACACTGCTTTCGAATCCTCTACGAGTTTTTCGCACTTCTAAATTCTGGGAATTGGACTCAATTATGTCCAGTAAGCGAGGCGAATTTTCCTTGAGAAGTGTTTGAATCGCTTCAACCGCACCATCAACCGGAAGTTGAAACGGTTTCAATTTACTAACATAGTCGAGCAGTCTGAAAAAATACCACAGATATTTGGTTCCCTTAATTATAATAAAGTTACCGTTTACATTCTTTTAGTGAAGATTTCCAGCTGGACTCAGTTTAATACGTATCTTTTGAACTTAAACTTGTGCCACACTTGTATGCCACCAAATGATTGTCCACACAGTACACGTTGTCGTTATGTAAGGGAATGTTAATTTGAGGTGATGACGATTTGATTGTATGTACAATTTTCCTTAAAGCACTCTTTGCAACGGTAGGATAAGAGGTAACTTTTCTGCCTTCAGTGAAAATAAAAATAAAATTTTTGACAGCGGCTATGTCTAAATTTGCCATGGTTTGTCTTATCAGGTTTCCGACTGAAACTAGTTGCAGATCCGATGATCTTAGAAAAAAGCAAACTGCGTGCAGCTCTTGTAGATGACCAAGTTGTTGGAAGATATTTTTAAATTGGTTTTGCTCATGTTTCGACATATCAAATCCTGGGGTGTCTATGAGCCTTAACTGATGTCCATTTATCGGGACTAAGTACTCTTTCGCCCTTGTGTTAGTTTTAACATTATATACTCCATCAATGTTTGCGTTTAAGGAAAGAGATACATCTTTGTTATTTGCATCGATTATGGAGAACGATATTGGTGCTGCCACTATGGCCGTATTCATGACAGCAGCATCTATGTTGTTGTCGTACCGAAAGTAGTTGATAAGAGAATTGATGAAAGTTGTTTTTCCAACCCCACTCTCACCAAGCAGAAGTAAATTGAAGACTGTCATACTTTAAACCAAAATCAAAACTTTGCTACTGATTGATGTTTTCTGGAAAAAAAAAAAGAAAATTTAGTCACAAAAAGCTTAATAGTTATGGACGTTTTGGCAATTCGGTAAAATAAAAAACTGTCAAAGCTTTAATGTTTACTACAGCGTGCTACAAAGCATTTTCTAAACTTAAAACGTCCACACATCATTCTTCGTTTTCAACTGCTTCGAAACTTGTTTCATCTGAACTAGGGACGTTTTTGGTTTCAAGATCGCTGGAAGATCTGACCGAACGTTTATCATCCGAGTCACAACTTTCGTCCTCAGATTTGAGCTTCTTCTGATTTTTAGAACCCTTTTCTTTCGTACTGCACTCCTTTCTGGACGATTTAGTAGGATGTTCATCAACAAGACTAGGATGTCAATCAGTCTCAGGTTAAAGATTTTCTGGCCTATTACAATGGGGAATGGATACATTTTGACACATTGAGTGGCATATTGACTTGAATCTTCCGTTAATCGTAACCGTATTGGTATTAAAATATCGATTTTCCCTTTTTGCGCTTCTTTGAAGTTGGGATAAATGAAATAATTCGAAATGGAGTTGATCAAAGTGGATTTTCCGATTCCGGTTTGGCCCAAGAGGAGAAGGTTTATCTCGTCAACTGTGGTTGGACGGCTACCCACTTGAGAGTTAATACTTTCAATCACACGGGTTCCCAAAAGCGCGTTTCTACAACCTCCAACTATATACCTCAATAATCTGAAATAGAGAAATTTTGATTCCAAAAAGAGGACACTTAGGTACGCATTTACCGTTGAATTTCCTTTGACGAGACATTCCAGCTTTGCTCGAAACCTTCCATTGCTTTTGTTGATGGTAATAATTTCCATCTCGCATCTCCAACAAGGCGTTGAATGCTTCGTTGTCCACAGCAAAGATGTTATTATCGCTTAAAGGAATACTCACATGTGGGGGTTTTGACTGTATATTTTTAACCAGTGGTATCAGACAGTGATGCTTCGTCTCGCCAGATGTGTAACCAGCCGCTTTACTATAAGTAGTAATAAAAATAATGTTCTGGCTGGGGCGTTCATCTAGTCGTGTTAATATACCGGGCATTTTTTTTTTAAACTGAACATAGGCCTATGTTCAGTTTTAAAACGACGCAGTCAATTGCAACTGTATTGCAACCAACATTACAACAACTCCATTGCGTTGACAGCGTTGTTTTAAAACTGAACATAGGCCTATGTTCAGTTTTAAAAAAAATGCCCGGTATATTTCAGATAGTACTCCACGGAATTTGTGATTCGGGTCTGATTCGCTTTCAAAACCAAACAAATCGCGTGGAGTTTCCCCTGCCTTTTCAAGTACGCAAGGATATTGTCTAGAATAAGATTGTTTTGTTCCATTCCTCTGCGATCCTCAATTCCCGGCGTATCAACCAATCTTAAGTAAAAGGTTTTGTCGTCCATTTCGATGGGGAATTGGTACACTTTGCGGTACTGAGTGGCACATTTGATCTCTCCGTGGAGTTTGTTCCTATTTTGACCAGAACCATTGATACTTTCCGGTGCGTTTAAAAACACGGGAATTAAAATATCGATTTTCTCGTTTTGCGCTTCCTTAAAGTTGGGATAATTGAAATAATTCGAAATGGAATTTATCAAAGTCGATTTTCCGGCGCCTGTTTCGCCCAGTAGGAGGAGGTTTACATCGTCGGGTGTGGTCAGAGGGTGTGAGATGCGTTCCCGGATAAAACTCAACATTTTGGAGTTATCGCCAAAAGATTTTTTGGAACGATCAAAATGTTATATCGATTTTTAATGTAATGGGTTGTTGGTTGGAGCAGTTAACTTGTAGCTACAAAACAGTATGCTAGCAATCTTTCAAGGTATACTTAACAAGAGTTGAAAAATATTTCTCTTACCTGTGCCTTTAGTGATAATATTAAATACACTGCAGTGATCTATCTGTAAACTATCGTTCTGAACACACCCACGATAAGGTTATCAGTTTTAAAATCTTTAGTCTACGTTGTTGAAAATAATCACCGACGCATTATAATGGAAACACTATCAACACCGTTTTCAAAAGATAAAATTACAAAGTTTTTGTCACTATGTAGCGGAGAAAATGTTGTTTTTATTAAATGCGTTTTATTACAGAACATTCGGTAGTTGAAATAGATAAATAAGTTTGAAATAATCACTATGGCGTTATCAGATTAAACAAAAAGTAAAAGGGGGCAGATTAACAAAAATAAGATAACTCTAAAATAAAATATTATCATTTTCTGTCATTAATTAAAAAACGACATCTGGTTATAAACAAAGACATTTAAAAAAACGTTTTTACAGATATTAATTGTCTTAAAAAGTTTCTAAATGGTACCATCTCAGATTCATGTGACGCTGTGTACTCTGAGATGAGTGATGTTAAGTAAAAATAACTTTTTGCACTCATGACCTTTTTTGATAGCTTTCGCGCATTCACCAGAGTGCGGGAGGTCGAACTTCCCGCACACGTGCATTTAACTTCCCGTTGTCATGGTAACCTTAAAATACTCGGGTAGTGTCAACATTGTGACGTGTTGACGGCGCTGTCAATGGCGTTGTTTATAAATAACTCACAGTTAATCTCTTCAGTTTAAAGGTTTATTCGTCGCAAAAAATATTGTACACAACACGTTCGTGAGCCTGCTTCCCGCATTCACGCAAATGCGGCACTCCCTTCGGTCGTGCCTCAAACAAGCGTTCATGCGGGAAGCAGGCTATCCCGAACTAGTTGCGTAAATTACTATTGCAGTTTTTTAACACATTATTTTTTGGTTATGTAACAAAACACATATATAGAATTCCAGAAATATAAAAGTTTTACAAACACGAAGACTGCACTCAGTCCAACTGATAAGTAGTCTATCGAGAATTTCCTGAAGTTTTACGAATTCTTCTGCAGTCCTGTAGTTGCAGTGCTTTTAAAACTGTTTTTTGAATTTTTTCGTTAAACTGTGTGTGTGTCAGACTTGGGTCTTATTTTATTTTTAGGCTTAATCACTTGAACTGTATCTTTATTAGAAGAGATAACAGATTGTTTATCAAGGGAATCACAATTTTCTTTGTTAGTATTAGGCTGCTTTTGTTGCAGACTCTGTATCTTTCGTGTTTCCACTTTAGAAGATCTTGCAGAACGCTTCGTCTTTATCTTTTGGTACGCTATCTGCACTTTTGGAAGATTTGACAGGACGGTCACCACCTAAATGGTGTATTTTATTAGACTCTTTCTCATTCTTGGACTGGTTAAGACTAGAATGACCACCATCTAAATCAAAGTCAGATTTGTCTTGGCGATTAGAGTGGTTATTACCACCCCCTTGGCGCGCTTCTCTAGAATTACGGTCATTCGAATCGTAACTGTCGTTTCTACGGCGCTGACCAAGACATCTGGACGAGTCTTTCACTTCGTCTCGCGATTTTTTTCCAGTCCTTGTGCTGTGGTGTTATTCTGACCCTGTTGATATACTAGAAGTCTTATTCTTAGTACGAATTGATTTCCTAGATGCGAATTTGCCCCTAGATTGTTTGACACTGCTTCTGTTGTCAAAGAATCTAGCAGAACTTGCACTATCACTATTGGACGATTTTCTAGATTTGTGGTCATCTGAATCATAGCGTTCGCTACTACTACGGTGGCGTCTAGACAAGTGTTCCCTTTTATGGTGTGTTCTGTGTGGTTGTTTCTCACGTTTTGTGTCAAGGTCTTCGTCTGAACTTTTACGATCACCACTTTTGTCTTCTTCTTGGTGATATCTGGCATCATGATTGCGTGGTTCCCAAGAGTTGTGGATTCTATGTGGGCCGCCGAGAGCTTCTCTTGGATCGTTGTAAGTTCCCTCCGGAGACAGTTTCTCAGGTATTAGTCTTGTGTTTTCGATTTCATCTGTAAATGCCTTGAGGTCCTCTTCCTTTATATCTGGACCTGTTTCTCGCAGTTTTATTTGTACTCGTTCATACTCCTCCAGCAAATTTTCAAATTTCACTAACGGGTGTGTGTCCCTGCAAGCAACAAAACTGTGAAACAAAAAATCGAAATATTTAGGACACTTACGACAAAAAAGACATTAGTTGTTTTTTGAAAGCGTCGCCGTCCGTTCTGTTCCTTTCTAAAAATAATTCCACCTTAGTCATATTCTGTATGAAATTTTTAAGGTTGGACTGGAATACATTTTGGATAAAGTTTTCATCATTCTTCGCAATCTCTGAGATGCGGATTAGCTTCTCGTGCATGTCGTCTTGGGTTCGGCTCTTAAACAATCAGATAAAATTGTTGTAATGAAAACTGGTTAATAATAATTGTTTGAGGTGATATCACAAACTTTAAAGAGGGGCTGAATATTGCATTTCCCTGCCTAGGCAACGTTTTTAATTACATTTGATTCCATTATTATTAATATTTATATTTGTATTTTATAGATTGCACGTGTTAATCCCAGATAAAGCGTTCGTATTTTTTATAACAACATTATTTTCTTTACTAATTGCCAAATTTCGAACACCCAGCAACTCTTGATTTTTTGCCTTGATATCCGTCAACTTGTCCTTTCAAGGACGCAATAAGCTTTTATTTCCATTAACCTTCTTGGCCTTACACCAATCTTCAAAAGCTTGATAAAGCCCGTTGTACCTGATTTTTTATTTTTTTAGTAACAGGCCCGTCACGGCCTTTGCTTTCGCTTCGTAAATGCCTAAAGGAACCTCGTCCCAAATATTTCCATTGCAAAAAACTTGGACACGAAAAATGGAAAAATGATGATTTTTGCCTATTTACTAATTTTTTTTGTGGCCTTTTAGAAACGAACGAAATGCACCACTAGATATTTATAGAAAAACAGATTTAAGGATTAAATTTAAAATCAATATTTTTATTGTAATTAACGGTTTCAGAAAAAATGTAAAAAGTACATGACATGTCAGTATAATGTCCGTATTTGACTCGGAGCCTCGTATTTCAATAGAGCTCCTCGTCAGAAATGATTTATTTTCCTGACGTTTATGTAAATAACTTTTCCATAATTTTTGTGTGTTCTGACTGCCGGTTTAACCGAGTTGGAATCGTCTTCGGTTATAAGCGAGTGGTGACTGCCGTGAGATCTTGAGCACTTCAAATTTCCTGAAAACAACACTTAAATCTACGACTGCACTACAAATTTTTAGTGACATTTAAGGAAATAATCTTTCAGGTTTTTCTTAGAGCCTGTTGAAAATCTGTGCTCCCACTTTACAATCAAATTTTATAATTTTTCTGAGAAACCGGGCTTACTAAATAAATGATTGAGGTAGGTATGTTCTGTCTAAATAAAATTAGATCATTATTTACTCACTGTAGGGTCTCGACAAGTCGACGGTTGTTTTTGCAAGATAATTGCCTTTTTTTCTGAGCTTGCTCTTATATCACCACAGAAGTATAAATTTGGCAGTCGGCTGATTTATTTTTATATGCTCACATATTTTTGATAAATTCGATAAAATCTAATTTATCATACGAGTAACTCATAAGCTAAGTTTTCATTCTGCTTTCTGGAATATTTGTTATTATGGTTGGTCAGAATAAAGGTTAGGTACTCATGTGTCTTGCCCACAGAAAGGTTAACATTTTCACCAATTTATTTAAGTATTTAAATTATATAAAAATAAAATTTGTAGAAACAAATTGTATAAATCTGAAAAAATTAGAAATTGGGTTTTGAAAAAAATTGCGCTTGAGCGGTGAGATAAGTTCTGTCTGAGTAAAATTAGACCATTTTTTACTCACTTTAGGGTTTCTGCTAACCGATTGGTGTCCCTTGTGGTCGTTGTCTTCAACGGTTGCTTTATCCAAGATGATTTCTTGCTCAACGGTGCAGCGGAATTTTTTCTGGCGTTCTTTGCGTCTACTATTGCTCGATTTTTTTATCAGTTCTTGTATCTTCTTCCCCATGTGTTTCAAATTGTAGAGCTCCGTGACACTGTTCTTAATTTCTTCAAGGGTCAAATGGCTGCTCGCAGCTTGTAACCCTCTTGGGTTTTCTTGTAAGGTTTTTTGAAGCTGTTCATGCTCTTTGAGCATTGACTCGAATTTTGTGATGACTTGCTGATCAGCGGACTTTCCTAGATCCGTTTCACTGAAAACACTACGTTAGTTTAGGTCAAAATATATGTAAGGATTTACTCTTTGATACGTTGCTTAATGTAGACGCTGTACAGGTCATTGAACGGAATCAGTGCGTGTTCTTGCAGGAAGCACGCAAACTTGGCGATGGTTTTCGAAATTATTGCCCTTTCTGCTTCCAGTTCTGTTCTCCGTTGGTTTTCGTTGTTCACAGTTTTCTCTATATGAACCCGAGCATGCTTGTCGAGCACCCTGGTGTTGTCTTGTATCAATTCTGACACTTCAGCGATAAGAGTGGTGAGCTGTTCGATGAGAAACCTGACTTCGTTAATGCTGACGGTGTTTTCAACGTCGTGAGGGTTCAAAGCTGAATGTTTAGAATCTCCAATTATGTACTTCAACAATCTACAAAACAACAACTTTGTTTCTGGAAAAAAGATAGTTGAACGGTTACCGTTGAATTTCCTTTGTGGACTTTATCCAGCTTTGCTCGAAACCTTTCATTGCGTGTCGGTCGTAATTAGTCCCGTCTTGGATCTCCAACAGGGCCTTGAATCCTTCGTTGTCCACAGCAAAGATGTTCTTATCGCTTAAAGGAATACTCACATGTGGAGGTCTTGATCGTATACTTCTAACCAGCGGCTCCAAACAGTGACTCTTGGTCTCGCCAGCTGTGTAACCAGACGTCTTACTATAAGTAGTAATAAAAATGATGTTCTGACTGGCACTCTTATCCAGTCGTGTCAATATCTGCTTAAGACAGTACTCCGCGAACTGGGTAAATCTCGTCTGGTTCGCCTTCAAAACGAAACAAATCCCGTGGAGTTCTTTCAGGGTGGCCAAGTACGCAAGAACGTTGTCCAGATTGATATTATCCTGTTCTATTCCTCTGGGATCTCCGACTCCTGGCGTATCGATCAATCTCAGGTTGATAGTTTTGCGGTCGAGTTTAATAGGAAAAAGATGTACTTTGACGTTCTGGGTGACGGATTGGCCAGGTTCGTGGACTTCGTTGTCGTCTGGTTTGCCATAAACTTTGCTCTTTTCCGATATATTTAAACACATGGGGATTAAAATCTCGACCTTCTCTTTCTGGGCTTTTGCGAAATTGGAATGGATGAAGTAGTTCGAAATTGAGTTTATCAAAGTCGACTTTCCGACTCCTGTTTCGCCTAACAGGAGGAGGTTCACATCGTCGGGTGTGGCATGAGGGTCCTTATTGAAACGAGGGAGAAAACCCCACATATTGGAGTTTGACCAACGGTTTGTCTGGAATCATAGAAACGGTTTTCAAAGGAATAAGTTATTTTTAGCACGAAGAAATTAGAGCGATTTTATAAAAGTGAGCTGGGATGGTCGAATATAATCTAGGTTTTGAACCACGAAATAATTGAAAGATAAAAATAAGTTTTAAATTAAATATCTCAAAATATATTATTTGGTGAGATAATACGAAAGATAAGATGAATCCACAGTAATAAGCAATACTTAGGGTTGTCTTAAAAAAAATTCAAACACTTGTACGAATTTGGAAAGTCATATCTCATAAAAAAATTAGCGGAAGGAAGAAAGATTAAAAAAGTGTTTATCTAAAAAATTATTTTAACTTGTACGTACAAAACAATCTGCCGCCAGTGTTTTAAAATACACATAATAATAATATGTTTAAAAATATTTGAAACATATTTCTCTTACCTTTGACTTCAGTAATAATACTAAGCACACTGGGTTACGCCTGCGATAAGGTTATCAGTTTTTAAATCTTTATCGGTAATTTAGTCCCCACATTATTGAAAAAAATCTCATAAATAAACACACAATGGTAACACTAGTGACACAGCTTTCAAAAGACTAAATTGAAAAATTTTTATCACTTTTTAAGGAGAAAATTGATGTGTTACTTATTATTACAAAACAGTCAGTATTTGAAATAGATAAATAAATTTGAAATAAACACTTGTGATAACTCTATTTTATATTTTATCAGTAAAATATGTAATTTAATTATCTATAGCCACAAGCTGCTCATTTGGTGTCATATAAAAAACGTCATTTAAACAAAGAAAAAATTGCCTTAAAAAATTTCTACCACTAAACTTTAGAGCTTATTTGGTGGAATTCATTTATTCATTGCCTTTAGAAAGTTGTTGAGTTGAAAGGTACCACCTCAGTCTCATCTGGCACTGTTGGTCCTCTGAAATGTGTGATGTTAAGTAAAAATATCTTCGTAGTTTTTTAACATATTATTTTATTGACATGTAACAAAACACATAAAGAACTACAGAAATGTAAAAGTTTTACAAAGACGAAGACTACAATCAAACTAAAATGAAGACGTGAAATTTTGTGTATAGCAAACTTTAAAAGTGCTTAAAATACTAATTGTCAAATATTTTATCGAGAACCTCCTGGTAACGTTGAAGTTTTTCGAGCTCTTTCACAATCGTCACTACATCGTCTTCCTTTACCTCCGCGTTTGTCTCCCTTCTCGCTTCTCCTTTCATTTGTTCGTACCCCAGTTGCAGTGTTTTTAATACTTTTACAACTCTATCAACGTTAGATTTCCTGAAATTGTTAATAAAAATATAAAATTAATTAAAAAAGGTCCATACAAGAAACTCACCTTGTAGAAGACAATGCGGAAGCAATTTCTTCTCCTAAACTGTCATATAAGCCACACTTTTCCAAAAACGTTGCAATTGCAGCAAAATTTTCTAAAGTCTTACGAATTTCTTCCTGTTGCGTCTCAACTATTTTGTGTGCATTTGTGATAAATTCTTTGTGTTTATTCAGTATAGCTGCTGTCGTTTCTAGGTTTGTTTTTATATCACTGTCAACATCGTGTTCTGTTCGCTGTGCCTTAAACCACAAAAGTACAAATTTTTCCAATTTACTTCCATACACTTACCTACCGTATTTTTGTTAAAATCAATTTCCGCATAAGTTACGCGATTGTCTTCATTCTGATTTCTATAAACATTTGCTTGTCTATACTGGAAGAGTGCTTTGTTGAGCAGACTGAGTGAACATTATATTCGTACATACCTGTCCTTCATACTGTCGTCCATTTTGATAACTTGGTACTGAAGTCTTGTTTGATCGTTTCATGGCTTCAACCAACTCACACACTGCTTTCGAATCCTCTACGAGTTTTTCGCACTTTTCTAAATTTTGGGAATTGGACTCAATTATGTCCAGTAAGCGAGGCGAATTTTCCTTGAGAAGTGTTTGAATCGCTTCAACCGCACCATCAACCGGAAGTTGAAACGGTTTCAATTTACTAACATAGTCGAGCAGTCTGAAAAAATAACACAGATATTTATTTCCCTTAATTTTAATAAACCTACCGTTTGCATTCTTGTAGTGAAGTGTTCCAGCTGGACTCAGTGTAATACGTATCTTTTGAACTTAAACTTGTGCCACACTTGTATGCCACCAAATGAACGAACGCTTCATTGTCCACACAATATATGTTGTCGTTATGTAAGGGAATGTTAATTTGAGGTGATGTCGATTTGATTGTATTCACAATTTTCCCTAAAGCACTCTTTGCAACGTTAGGACGAAAGGTAACTTTTCTGCCTTCAGTGAAAATAAAAATAACATTTTTGACAGCGGCTACGTCTAAATTTGCCATGGTTTGTCTTATCAGGTTTCCGACTGAAACTAGTTGCAGATCCGATGATCTTAGAAAAAAGCAAACTGCGTGCAGCTCTTGTAGATGACCGAGTTGTTGGAAGATATTTTTAAATTGGTTTTGCTCATGTTTCGACATATCAAATCCTGGGGTGTCTATGAGCCTTAACTGATGTCCATTTATCGGGACTAAGTACTGTTTTGTCCTTGTGTTACTTTTAACATTATATATTCCATCAATGTTTGCGTTTAAGGAAAGAGATACATCTCTGTTATTTGCATCGATAATGGAGAACGATATTGGTGCTGCCACTATAGCCGTACTCACGACAGCAGCATCTATGTTGCCGTACCGAAAGTAGTTGATAAGAGAATTGATGAAAGTTGTTTTTCCAACCCCACGCTCACCAAGCAGAAGTAAATTGAAGACTGTCATACTTTAAACCAAAATCAAAACTTTGCCACTGATTGATGTTTTCTGAAAAAAAAAGAAAATTTAGTTTACAAAAAACTTAATAGTTATGGACGTTTTGGCGATTTGGTTAAATAAAAAACTGTCAAAGCTTTAATGTTTACTACAGCGTGCTACAAAGCATTTTCTAAACTTAAAACGTCCACACATCATTCTTCGTTTTCAACTGCTTCGAAACTTGATTCATCTGAACTAGAGCCGCTTTTGGTTTCAAGATCGCTGGAAGATCTGACCGAACGTTTATCATCCGAGTCACAACTTTCGTCCTCAGATTTGGGCTTCTTCTCACTTTTAGAACTCTTTTCTTTCGTACCGCGCTCCTTTCTGGATTTCGATACATTGCTGTCAGTTTTGGAAGACTTGGTGGATTTAGGCTCCTTTTGGTTCTTGGATCGGTTACCACTGTTTATGGTAGATTCGTCACTATCAGAATTGTCTTCGTGTTTACCCTTCCGGGACGATTTTACAGAATTGCGGTCATCTGAATCGTCGCTTTGGCTTCTGCGACGATGTCGCCTGGACGATTTTTTCTCAGTGCTGCTGTCGTAGGATTCTTCTGAATCTGTTGACTGAGAAGAAGAGTTCTTTTTGGCACGATTGGACTTCTTAGGACGCTCATCATCTGACTTGTGGTGTTTATGAATTTCATCTTCTTTGAAACTTGTTTCATCTGAACTAGTGCCGTTTCTGGCTTCATGATCGCTGGAAGATCTAACCGAACGTTTATCATCCGAGTCACAACTTTCGTCCTCAGATTTGGGCTTCTTCTGACTTTTAGAACCCTTTTCTTTCGTACTGCGTTCCTTTCTGGATGATTTAGTAGGATGTTTATCAACGGGACTAGATTTTCTTCCTGCGTGTTTCTTACGTCCACTTCTAGACGATTTATCATTCCGAGCGCGAGTTTCTTGCTCAGATTTAGATACATTTCTGTCAGTTTTGGAAGACTTGGTGGATTTAGGCTCTTTTTGGTTCTTGGATCGGTTAACACCGTTTTTGGTAGAATCGTCACTATCAGGATTGTCTTTGTGCTTAGAATGTTTACCCTTCCGGGACGATTTTTTGTCAGTGCTGCTGTCGTAGGATTCTTCTGAATCTGTTGACTGAGGAGAAGAGTTCTTTTTGGCCCGATTTGACTTCTTAGGACGCTCATCATCTGAATTGTGGTGTTTGTGAGATATACGTCCTTTTTGGGTCTTAGATCGTTTGACACGGTTAGAGGATCTAGCAGGACGATCGTCATCTGAATACCGTCTTCTGGACGAACTTCTGTTACCACGATCATCGGAATCGTAGCTGTCGCTGCTATGTTGGCGACGTCTAAATGACACTTTATGGTGTCTTCTATGTGAAAGTTCTGGACTTCTTGATAGACGAGAAGAACGTTTTTTGCGACTGGGTTTTTCATCTCGCGAAGATTTTTCACTTTTTTCTAGGTGGTGGTGACGAGAGCTGTGTTTTTCCTTCGTTTCATTTCTATTTCGTCGCTCCGGAGATCGTTTTGAGTGGTGCCTAGAAGGAGATCCGTGACCATTTCTGAAGTTTCTCGAATTTGGGAACCGGCTATCTTCATCTCTGTATATAAAAGGCTGTCTAGGACTAGAATCACGATAATTTGGAGATCTGTTTTCTTCGGAATCGCTAGCTCTAGACATATACGTGACTGTATAATCAGGATCGTAGTAGTTGTCTGAGTTGTATTCACTTTCAGGCGATTTGTAGTACTGATACTGTTCTTCGGCGGTTTTCTGGTCCAAGTCTATTGCTGGCGAAACAACGCAGCTGAAATTTTTCTGGGTTTCTCTGTGGCGACAACTGCTCGATTTTTGTATCAGTTGTTGTATGATTCTCCCCATGTGTTTCAAACTGTAAAGTTCCGTGATACTCTTCTTGATTCCTGCAGGGGTCAAATCACTTGTACCCTCCTTTTGGAAGTTTTTCGCACTTTCTTGGAACGTTTTTTGCAGTACTAGGTGCTGGCTGAGGAGTGTCTCCAGTTTGTCGATAACATCCTGATCAGCGAACTTTCCAAGATGCTTTTCACTGAAAAGACGGTGTTAGTTGTGGTCAAAGCATAAACAATTGTGTACTTTTTAATAAGCTGCTTAAGGTAGTCACTGTAGGCGTCATTGAAGGGCGTCAGTGCGTGTTCCTGCAAGAAGTACGAAAACTTGGCGATGATTCTAGAAATAGTTTGGCCTTCTTCTTCCAATTCTGATCTCCGTTTGTTTAGATCTTTCATCAGTTGCTCAATGTAAACTCGAACCTCTTCTTTATTTTTGATAGCGTTTTTCACGCTTTGGTCTTCTTTGTGAACGTCGACTTTCTTGGTTTCTTTGTAGATATGCATGTGGACTTGCCAGGGGCACTTACAATGTACGCACTTTTCGCCTGACATGGCAGCGCAACCGATAAGTCCGGGATCTCCGATCATCTCTTTGGGAATCCCAGACAAGAAACAGGGATTATGGCATCTCTGTTTGTAATGCCACTGCGTAACGTTATTGACCTTAAACAACAAGAAAGTAGAAACTTGTAACACAATCGAGGTCTCACCTTTACGACATCTGCACATTTAGTGTCCGTACAAACGGTTACAGGTTGTTCTAGTTCTTTCACTTCAAGATCAACGCAAGGTATGTAGAGTTGAGTTTTGAGCTGGTTTAGAGTTTGGGTCTCTAAATTGAGCCGTTCTTTATGTCTGTCGAGCAGTCTGATGTTGTCTTGGATCAGCTCTGACACTTCCGCAATAGGAGTTGATAATTGTTCGATAAGAAACCTGACTTCGTTAATACTGATAGTGTTTTCAACGTCGTGCGGTCTCAAAGCTCCTTTTTTAAAATCCCCGATAATGTACTTCAACAATCTAAAAAACAGTAACTTTGACTACGAAAAGTAGACACTTATTGCGCATTTACCGTCGAATTTCATTTGACGATATCTTCCAGCTGTACTCAAGACCTTCCATATCGTATTTGCTGAAAGTTTTGCCTTCCTTGATTTCCAACAAAGCTGTCATTGCTTCATTGTCCAAAGCAAAGATGTTGTCATTGGTCAGAGGTATAGTGACATGTGGAGGTCTCGACTGTATGTCTTTAATCAGCGGTATCAAACAGTGGTGTTTCGTCTCTCCAGCTGTATAACGCGCCGTTTTGCTATAAGTAGTAATAAAAATGATGTTCTCACTGGCGCTTTTATCCAGTCGTGTCAATATCTGCTTCAGACAATACACGAAAAACTTCGTAAATCTCGTCTGGTTCGACTTCAACACAAAGCAAATGGCGTGGAGTTGTTGAAGTGTCGCCAAGTACGCGAGAATGTTATCTAGATTGACGTTGTCGCGTTCCAAGCCTCTGGTATCTCCAACTCCAGGCGTGTCAATCAGTCTCAGGTTGAAGGTTTTGCCGTCCATTTTGATGGGAAACAAGTAAACTTTGACTTGTTGGGTCGAAGATTCGCCGTTATTGTGCATTTCGTTGTCGTTTGGTGTACCATGAACTTTGCCACCTTCCGACATGTTTATGCACATGGGGATTAGAACGTCGATTTTTCCTTTTTGCGCTTTTTTGAAATTGGGATAATTGAAGTAGTTGGAAATGGAGTTTATCAAAGTCGACTTTCCGACTCCTGTTTCGCCGAACAGGAGAAGGTTCACGTCACAATCTGTGGTCTTATTGTCTTTAAAATAGTCACGAATACGATCCCACATTTTGCAGTTGAGGGTTCGTCTGGAACGATTGAAAAACTACATATTGAACCACGAACTCAATTTCAAAATGTTGAGATGAGATAAGCAAACTGATGCGATGATTCCAGACTGATAAGTAATAGTTAGAGCAGCAGTTACAAATTTTGAAAAGTTTGGTTGTTAGTTAAACAATTTTTTCTGGCTGTGTGGAAGACTTAACCGCAGAATTTACAATTATATATGTATATTCTGAAATAAAAAACATGCAGTGTTTGTCTTACCTGTCTCTTGAATGCTAACACTAAGGACTCCACGTTAATCAGACTTGTGATAAATAGTTACACGCGTTTATATAGCTGCGATACCGTTATCAGTTCTTAATATTTATCCGTAAAACCCTAAGTTATCAAAAGCTTCTCATCAATAGCAAATCGTTTTGGAAAGTCAAAATTGCAAAGTCCTTGTCAGTTTTCCGCCTCATTATTAAATTAAACATTAAAAGAAAGTAACTGGTAAGAATTCTACAATACGGTTTTATCATTTCTCAAAAACAACAAAGATAATGCGTATACAGTAAGCTGGATCTGTAGATAACAATATCAAGGAGACAATCTTATAAAAAAAGCATGTTGAGTGTTTCGTTTACAACATTACGTTATCGTTATCTATATAAAATAACGCAGATAAGTTTTGACCAATTTCCCTGACGTTACCTATTAAGACCTATTTAAAATCAAGAAGATAATTTCTAAAATTAAAAACACAACTCACGATAAAAATTTATTGTTCCTCACAATACTAACTATTCTCTTGAAGTACCCAAGAGATAAACAGATCAGAAATAGACAACCATGACCATCAAATTGTTGGTATTCACTTTTATTTTAGAATTCTAACTTTCGTCTCCAGATTTAGGTTTCTTCTGGGTTTTCGGACCTCTTTTGGTACTGCGTTCTCCTCTGAAAGATTCGTTACGTTGACTAGATTTTCCTCGGGTTTTTGACTCTGTTTCTTCTGTCCACGACCAGAAGATCTTGTAGACGATTTGTTACCCGGATCTCTACTTTCGTCCCCAGATCTGCGTCTAGATCTAGTCAACTTGGTAGACCGATCATCACCTGATTCATAGTTCTTAGATTGTTTTAAACTCTCAATATCAGATCGATCTTCGTGTCTAGAATGTTTACTTCGAGCAGTATAACCCTTTATAGAATCATGATTACTTGAGCCATAGCTGTCATTTCTGTGACGATGACGCCTGGGCGAATCTTCCACTTCATCGCGTGCTCTTTGTCTTGTTTTTTTCTCAATTCTTCTGTAATTCTCTTCTGAATCTCTTGGTTGCCGAAAAGAGTCATTTTTGCCACGATCTGACTTCCTAGAACGATCGTGGTGTTGCTTTTGTGAACGTTTGGTACTGCTTCTCCTGTCAAAAAATCGAGCAAAATGACCACCATCCAAGTCATTGTCAGAGCTGGATTTTCTAAAATCATGGTCATCTGGTGAATGGTCCAAGTGCCTTCTATGTGATTTTTTTTCGGTTGGGGGGTATTCTTCTGGATTTCTATATCGACGAAAAGAATGCTTTCTGATTAGGCGGTTTTCATGTCTCTGCGGAGATGGATTTTGTCTTACGAGCTGCGTAGAACTAGAGTCGTTAGTTAGATATGTTTAAGTTACTTTAATAACAGGTTCGTCACTGTTATCGCTTTCGTTGCTAGTGTTAACTTCATCATCGTGTTCACTGTCATCCGTCTTCTGATATTGATCTTCGGCGATTGTCTCGTCCAAGCTGAAATTTTCCTGGGCTTCTCCGTGACGACAAATGCTCGATGTTTGTGTCAGTTGTTGTATGGTTTTTCCCATGTGTTTCAAACGGTAGAGGCGGGAGATGCAGTTCATGATTGTTTGAAGAGTCAATTCTCTGCTTCTAGCTTCGTTTTGGAACTTTCTGGTGCTTTTTTGGACGATTTTTTGGCGAGCTTGGTGTTGGCTTAAGAGCTTCTCGAGTTTTGCAACCATTTCCGGATTAGTTGAGTTTTCTAGATCCTTCTCGCTGAAAGGATGGTGTTAGTTATGGTCAAAATATATAACATTCTTTACTTTTTGATGCGCTGTTTAATTAAGTCGTTGTAGGAGTCATTGAACGGCAAGATTGCGTGTTTTTGCAAGAAGTACGAAAACCTGGCTATAATTGTAGAAATGGTTTCGGCTTCTTCTTCCAGTTCTGAGTTCTGTTTGTTTAAATCTTCAACCAGTTTCTCGATTTGACTACGATAGTCTTGCTTGCTTTTGATAGCGTCTTTGACCATCTCGTCTTCTTTTCGAAATTCTTTCTTCTGGGTTACTTTGCAAGTGTTCATGTGGAATTGCCAGGCGCAGCCGCAACGCTTGCACTTGTCGTTTAACATTAAAGAACAAAAACGAAGTTTCAGATCGCCGACTGTCGTTTCGCTATTTCCGGGTAGGTAACAGGGACTGTGGCATTGTTTGTAGTGATATTGTTTGACCTTAGCGACCTTAAACAACAAGAAAGTAGCTATTTCTTTCAAAAGTAGATCTTACCGTCATGACTTCTGTACATTTAGCGTTCGTACAAACGGTTGCAGGTTGGGTCAGTTTTTTCACTTCGAGTCCAACGCAGGTTATGTATAGTTGTGGTTTTAGTTGTTGAATTAGTTGGTCCTCTGTAGTGAGACGTTTTTGATGAGTGTCGAGTGATTTCATGTTGTGTTGTATACGTTCTGATATTTCTGGAATACAAGTCGCGAGTTGTTCGACCAGAAATCTGACTTCGTTAATACTGATTATGTTTTAAAGGTCGAGGGACTCTAACGTTTTAATGTGCGTCAACAATCTATAAAACAAGAAATTGACTACGGAAAGGTGAAAGTTGTGTATTTACCGGCGAATTTCCTTTGACGAGGTTTCCCAGCTTTGGGCAAATCCGTCTAATTCGTGTCTCTTGTACCTTTTTCCTTCCTGAATTTTCAATAAAGCTCGGAATGCTTCATTGTCCAAAGCGAAGATGTTGTTCTCGCTCAAGTCAATTCTAGTATGTGGAACTTTATTATTTTATGTAGCCACTTAAAATACTTATAATTACCTATAGCAACAAGGAGCCCATTTGCTGTTGTTTAAAAAACGACATTTGTTTATAAACAAAGACACGTTTAAGAAAACGTTTTTAAATTTATGATGGTATTAATTGTCTTTAAAAGTTTCTACCACTAAACTTTAGAGCGTATCTGGCGGAATTCATTTATTCATTGCCTTTAGAAATATATAAGTTTTACAAAGATGAACTCTAACACAGCAGAATGTCCTATTTAATTAAAAAGTGCTAAAAATTTTATCGAGAACCTGCTAGTTGAAATTTTTCGAGCTCTTTCACAATCGTCACGTGTTTGACGCCCTTCTCGAGTCTCCTTTCATCCGTTTGTACCCCAGATGCAGTGCTTTTAACATTTTTATAACTCTATCGATCTTATTTTTCCTAAAATTGTTATTAAACGTATAAAATTATTTTAAAAAAATTCACATAAGAAACTCACTTTGTAGAAGACAATGCGGAAGCAATTTCTCTTTCTAAATTGTCATATAAGCCACACTTTTCCAAAAACGTAGCAATTGCAGCAAAATTTTCTACAGTCCTACGAATTTCCTCCTGTTGCTTCTCAACTATTTTATGTGCATTTGTGATATATTTTTTGTATTTTTTCAGTATAATGGCTGTCTTTTCTAGATTTCTTTTTATATCATTGTCAACATCGTGTTCCGTTAGCGGTGCCTTAAACCACAAAAGTACAAATTTTTCCAATTTACTTCTATACACTTACCGTATTTTTGTTAAAATCAATTTTAGCATAAGTTACGCGATTGTCTTCATTCTGCTTTCTATAATCATTTGCTTGTCTAGACTGGAAGAGTGCTTTGTTGACCAGACTGAGTGAACATTATATTTCTACATACCTGTCTTTCATAGTGCTCAATTGATCGTTTCATGGCTTCAACCAACTGACACACTGCTTTCGAATCCTCTACGACTTTTTCGCACTTTTCTAAATTCTGAGAATTGGACTCAATTATGTCCACTAAGCGAGGCGAATTTTCCTTGAGAAGTGTTTGAATCGCTTCAACCGCACCATCAACCGGAAGTTGAAACAGTTTTAATTTACTAACATAGTCGAGCAGTCTGAAAAAATGCCACAGATATTTATTTCCCTTAATTTTAATAAACCTACCGTTTGCATTCTTGTAGTGAAGTGTTCCAGCTGGATTCAGTGTAATACGCATCTTTTGGACTTAAACTTGTGCCACACTTGTATGCCACCAAATGAACGAACGCTTCATTATCCACACAGTACATGTTGTCGTTATGTAAGGGAATGTTAATTTGAGGTGATGTCGAATTGATTGTATTGACAATTTTCCCTAAAGCATTCCGTGCAACGGTAGGATAAAAGCCAACTTTTCTGCCTTCAGTGAAAATAAAAATAAAATTTTTGACAGCAGCTACGTCTAAATTTGTTATGGTTTGTCTTATGAGATTTCCGACTGAAACTGTTTGCAGATCCGACAATCTTAGAAAAAAGCAAACAGCGTGCAGCTCTTGTAGATGACCGAGTTGTTGGAAGATATTTTTAAATTGGTTTTGCTCGTTTTTCGACATATCAAATCCTGTGGAGTCTATGAGCCTTAACTGGTGTCCATGTATCGGGACTAAGTACTCTTTCGTTCTTGTGTTCGATTTAACATTGTATTTTCCGTCAACGTTAGCGTTTAGGGAAATAGATACCTCTCTGTTATTTGCATCGATGATAGAGATCGTCATTGGAGCTCCATTATGGCGGTACTCATGACAGCGGCATCTATGTTGTCGTACCGAAAATAGTTGATAAGAGAATTGATGAAGGTTGTTTTTCCAACCCCACGCTCGCCAAGCAGAAGCAAATTGAACACTGTCATACTTTAAACCAAAATCAAAGCTGATTGATGTCTTCTGAAAAAAAAAACTAGTCACAAAAACCTTAGTAGTTATCGACGTTTTGGCAATTTGGTTAAATAAAAAACTGTCAAAGCTTTAATGTTTACTACAGCGTGCTACAAAGCATTTCGAAACTTGTTTCATCTAAACTAGGGCCGTTTTTGGTTTCGAGATCGCTGGAAGATCTGACCAAGTGTTTATCATCCAAGTCACAACTTTCGTCCTCAGATTTGGGCTTCTGATTTTTAGAACTCGTTTCTTTCGTACTGGGCTCCTTTCTGGATTTCGATACATTGCTGTCAGTTTTGGAAGACTTGGTGGATTTAGGCTCTTTTTGATTCTTGGATCGGTTATCACTATTTTTGGTAGACTCGTCACTATCAGAATTGTCTTCGTGTTTACCCTTCTGGGACGATTTTACAGAATTGCGGTCATCTGAATCGTCGCTTTGGCTTCTGCGACGATGAAGCCTGGAGGATTTTTTCTCAGTGCTGCTGTCGTAGGATGTTTCTGAATCTGTTGACTGAGAAGAAGAGTTCTTTTTGGCACCATTGGACTTCTTAGGACGCTCATCATCTGACTTGTGGTGTTTGTGAATTTCATCTTCTTTGAAACTTGTTTCATTTAAACTAGCGCCGTTTCTAGCTTCATGATCGCTGGAAGATCTGATCGAACGTTTATCATCCGAGTCACAATTTTCGTCCTCAGATTTGGGCTTCTTCTGATTTTTAGGACCCTTTTCTTTCGTACTGCGCTCCTTTTTGGACGATTTAGAAGGGTGTTCATCATCCGATTCGCAACGCTGCCCAACCGGACTAGATTTTCTTCCTGCGTGTTTCTTACGTCCACTTCTAGACGATTTATCATTCCGAGCGCGAGTTTCTTGCTCAGATTTCGATACATTGCTGTCAGTTTTGGAAGACTTGGTGGATTTAGGCTCTTTTTGGTTCTTGGATCGGTTAACACCTTTTTTGGTAGAATCGTCGCTATCAGGATTGTCTTCGTGCTTAGAATGTTCACCCTTCCGGGACGATTTTTTGTCAGTGCTGCTGTCGTAGGATTCTTCTGAATCTGTTGACTGAGGAGAAGAATTCTTTTTGGCTCGATTTGACTTCTTAGAAGAACGATTTTTGCGAATGGGTTTTTCATCTCGTGAAGATTTTTCACGTTTTTCTTTGGCGGTTTTCTGATCCAAGTCGATTGCTGTCGAAACAACGCAGCTGAAATTTTTCTGGGTTTCTCCGTGGCGACAACTGCTCGATTTTTGTTTGAGTTCTTGTATGGTTCTCCCTATGTGTTTCAAATTGTAAAGTTCCGTCAAACTCTTCTTGATTCCTGCAGGGGTCAAATCGCTGTTTGTACCTTCCTTTTGAAAGTTTTGCGAGCTTTCTTGAAACGTTTTCTGCAGTGCTAGGTGCTGGGCGAGGAGTTTCTCCAGTTTGTCGATAACATCCTGATCAGCGTCCTTTCCTAGATGCTTTTCACTGAAAAGACGGTGTTAGTTGTGGTCAAAGCATAAACAATTGTGTACTTTCTAATAAGCTGGTTCAGGTAGTCACTGTAGGCGTCATTGAAGGGCGTCAGTGCGTGTTCCTGCAAGAAGTACGAAAATTTGGCGATGCTTCTAGAAATAGTTTGGCTTTCTCCTTCCAGTTCTGATCTCCGTTTGTTTAAATCTTTCATCAGTTTCTCAATATGAACTCGAATCTCCTCTTTATTTTTTATAGCGTTTTTGACGCTTTGGTCTTCTTTGTGAACGTTGATTTTCTTGGTTTCTTTGTAGATGTGCATGTGGATTTGCCAGGGGCATCCACAAAGTGTGCACTTTCCGTGTGACATGGCAGCGCAACTGATAAGTCCGGGATCTCCGATCATCTCTTTGGGAATCCCAGGCAAGTAACAGGGATTATGGCATCTCTGTTTGTAGTGCCACTGCGTAACGTTATTGACCTTAAACAACAAGAAAGTAGAAGGTTGTAACACAATCGAGGTCTCACCTTTACGACGTCTGCACATTTAGTGTCCGTACAAACGGTTACAGGTTGTACTAGTTCTTTCACTTCAAGATCAACGCAAGGTATGTAGAGTTGAGTTTTGAGCTGGTCTACAGTTTGGGTCTCTAAATTGAACCGTTCTTTATGTCTGTCGAGCAGTCTGATGTTGTCTTGGATCAGCTCTGACACCTTCGCAATAGGAGTTGATAGTTGTTCGATGAGAAACCTGACTTCGTTAATACTGATAGTGTTTCCAACGTCGTGCGGTTTCAAAGCTCCTTTTTTAAAATCCCCTATAATGTACTTCAACAATCTAAAAAACAGTAACTTGGACTACGAAAAGGAGACACTTATTGCACGTTTACCGTCGAATTTCGTTTGACGATACCTTCCAGCTCTGCTCAAGACCTTCCATCTCGTATTTGCTGAAAGTTATGCCTTCCTTGATTTCCAACAAAGCTGTCATGGTTTCATTATCCAAAGCAAATGTGTTGTCATTAGTCAGAGGTATATTGACATGTGGAGGTCTCGACTGTATGTCTTTAACCAGGGGTATCAAACAGTGGTGCTTCGTCTCTCTAGCTGAATAACGCGTCGTTTTGCTATAAGTAGTAATAAAAATGATGTTCTCACTGGCGCTTTTATCCAGTCGTGTCAATATCTGCTTCAGACAATACACGAAAAACTTCGTTAATCTCGTCTGGTTCGACTTCAACACAAAGCAAATGCCGTGGAGTTTTTGAAGTGTGGCCAAGTACGCGAGAATGTTCTCCAGATTGACGTCGTCGTGTTCCACGCCTCTGGGATCTCCAACTCCTGGCGTGTCAATCAGTCTCAGGTTGAAGGTTTTGCCGTCCATTTTGGTGGGAAACAAGTAAACTTTGACTTCTTGGGTGGAAAATTCGACGTTATTGTGCATTTCGTTGTCGTTTGGTGTACCATGAACTTCGTCACCTTCCGACATGTTTATGCTCATGGGGATTGGAACGTCGATTTTTCCTTGTTGCGCTTTGTTGAAATTGGGATAATTGAAGTAGTTCGAAATGGAGTTTATGAAAGTTGACTTTCCGCCTCCTGTTTCGCCGAACAGAAGAAGGTTCACGTCACAATCTGTGGTCGTATTGTCTTTAAAAATGCCACGAATACCATCCCCCATTTTGCAGTTGAGGGTTCGTCTGGAACGATTGAAAAACTACATATTGGACCACGAACTCAATTTCAAAATGTTGAAATGAGATAAGCAAACTGATGCGATGATTCCAGACTGATAATTAATATTTAGAGCAGTAGTTACAAATTTTGAAAAGTTTGGCTGTTAGTCAAACCATTTTTTCTGTCTGTGTGGGGGACTTCACCGCAAAATTTACAATTATATAAGTATATTCTGAAATAAAAAATATACAGTGTTTGTCTTACCTGTCTCTTGAATGCTAACACTAAGGGCTTCACGTTAAGCAGACTTGTGATAAATAGTTACACTCGCTTATATAGCTGCAATACCGTTATCAGTTCTTAAAATTTATGGGTAAAACCCCAAGTTACCAAAAACTTCTGCAATACACTTTTATCATTTCTCAGAAACATCAAAGATAAGGCGTATACAGTCAGCTGGATCTGTAGATAACAATATCAAGGAGGCAATGTAATAAAAAAAGCAGGTTTGAGTGTTTCGTTTACAACATTACGTTATCGTTATCTATACAGTGCATTTTTTTAAAATATAGGGATTCCCAGGTTAAATTTTAGACCCCATGTTAACTTTTGTTAGGGTGAAAACCCAGAGATGATTTTTACAGAGAAAATAACCTTCGGGTTCTACTTTAATTCTCACTACCACTTTTTGCAGTAATTGCTAATTTGTGCTTTAAAAAATAAAATTTATTTTCATTAAAAAATTTGGTACATCAGACGGTTTTGACTTATCATTTTAACTTGTCATTTTTAACAGCATAATTTTGATTTAATCATTAAATACCTTGATTGCAGTTTTTAGAGAAGAAACAAAATGATGGAATTCAAACATAAATGAAGATAATAACAGATAATTTGACTGAAATTGTGTTTTTAATGTCTATGATCGAAAAAACCTGTGTTTATAAATATGCCACAAAATTTTTAAATTGTGCTCTTGCCGAGTATGGAACGATGTGGGAATGCTGCAGCAAAATTTTGCGGAGTTTCTCTGTTGTCGATAAGGCTTTAATGTATCCATCAGTGACTATTTCTTCTTTTTCTTTAATTATGTACTGCGGCATGTTGACGAATTTCGGTCACTAAAAACCAGTAATTGAGCGAGTAATCAAAGTTTACAAACGTCAGGTACATGTCTGTTTTTACATGGCTGCCTACAATATTAGCGACAAAAATATCCAAATATTTTGATTTTTTTAAAGAAATGTCCTTTAATTTAAAACATGATTTTTAATAAAATCGACAAAAGATAACCCGAGTTACATCCAGTAACACATGGGGTATTAAATTTAACATGGGAATCCCTATAGCCACTTTAAAAAAAATGCACTGTATAAAATAACGCAGATAAGTTTTGACCAATTTCCCTGACGTTACCTATTATTATCTATTTAAAATCAAGAAGATAATTTCTAAAATTAAAAACACAACTCACGATAAAAATTTATTGTTCCTCATAATACTAACTATTCCCTTGAAGTACCGAGAGATAAACAGATCAGAAATGGACAACCATCACCATCAAATTGTTGGTATTCACTTTATTTTAGAATTCTAACTTTCGTCTCCAGATTTAGGCTTCTTCTGGGTTTTCGGACCTCTTTTGGTACTGCGTTCTCCTCTGAAAGATTCGTTACGTTGACTAGATTTTCCTCGGGTTTTTGACTCTGTTTGTTTCTGTCCACGACCAGAAGATCTTGTAGACAATTTGTTACCCGGATCTCTACTTTCGTCCCCAGATCTGCGTCTAGATCTAGTCAACTTGGTAGGACGATCATCACCTGAATCATAGTTCTTAGATTGTTTTAAACTTTCAGTATCAGATCGATCTTCGTGTCCAGAATGTTTACTTTGCGCAGTATAACCCTTTATAGAATCATGATCACTTGAGACGTAGCTGTCATTCCTGTGACGATGACGCCTGGGCGAATCTTCCACTTCATCGCGTGCTCTTTGTCTTGTTTTTTTCTCAATTCTTCTGTAATTCTCTTCTGAATCTCTTGGTTGCCGAAAAGAGTAATTTTTGCTACGATCTGACTTCCTAGAACGATCGTGGTGTTGCTTTTGTGAACGTTTGGTACTGCTTCTCCTGTCAAAAGATCGAGCAAAATGATCACCATCCGAGCCATTGTCAGTGCTGGATCTTCTAGAATCACGGTCATCTGGTGAATGGTCCTCTCTAGTTTCGTCCCCAGATCTGCGTCTAGATCTAGTCAACTTGGTAGACCGATCATCACCTGATTCATAGTTCTTAGATCGTTTTGAACTTTCAGTATCAGATCGATCTTCGTGTCTAGAATGCTTACTTCGAGCACTATAACCCTTTATAGGATCATGATCATTTGAGACGTAGCTGTCATTTCTGTGACGATGACGCCTGGGCGAATGTTCCACTTCATCGCGTGCTCTTTGTCTTGTTTTTTTCTCAATTCTTCTGTAATACTCTTCTGAATCTCTTGGTTGCCGAAAAGAGTCATTTTTACCACGATCTGACTTCCTAGAACGATCGTGGTGTTGCTTTTGTGAACGTTTGGTACTGCTTTTCCTGTCAAAAGATCGAGCAAAATGACCACCATCCGAGTCATTGTCAGAGCTGGATTTTCTAAAATCACGGTCATCTGGTGAATGGTCCAAGTGCCTTCTATGTGATTTTTTTTCGGTTGGGGGATATTCTTCTGGATTTCTATATCGACGAAAAGAATGCTTTCTGATTAGGCGGTTTCCATGTCTCTGCGGAGATGGATTTTGTCTTAAGCGTTGCGTAGAACTAGAGTCATTAGTTAGATATGTATAAGTTACTTTAATAACAGGTTCGTCACTGTTATCGCTTTCGTTACTAGTGTTAACTTCATCATCGTGTTCACTGTCGTCCGTCTTCTGATATTGATCTTCGGCGATTGTCTCGTCCAAGCTGAAATTTTCCTGGGCTTCTTCGTAACGACAAATGCTCGATGTTTGTGTCAGTTCTTGTATGGTTTTTCCCATGTGTTTCAAACGGTAGAGGCGACAGATGCAGTTCATGATTGTTTGAAGAGTCAAATCTCTGCTTCTAGCTTCGTTTTGGAACTTTCTGGTGCTTTCTTGGACGATTTTTTGCCGGGCTTGGTGTTGGCTTAAGAGCTTCTCGAGTTTTCCAACCATTTCTGGATTAGTTGAGTTTTCTAGATCCTTCTCGCTGAAAGGATGGTGTTACTTATGGTCAAAATATATAACATGGTTTACTTTTTGATGCGCTGTTTAATTAAGTCGTTGTAGGCGTCATTGAACGGCAAGATTGCGTGTTTTTGCAAGAAGTACGAAAACCTGGCTATAATTCTAGAAATGGTTTCGGCTTCTTCTTCCAGTTCTGAGTTCTGTTTGTTTAAATCTGCAACCAGTTTCTCGATTTGACTACGAGAGTCTTCCTTGCTTTTGATAGCGTCTTTTACCATCTCGTCTTCTTTTCGAAATTCTTTCTTCTGGGTTACATTGCATGTGTTCATGTGGAATTGCCAGGCGCAGCCGCAATGCTTGCACTTGTCGTTTAACATTAAAGAACAAAAACGGAGTTTCAGATCGCCGACTGTCGTTTCGCTATTTCCGGGTAAGTAACAGGGACTGTGGCATTGTTTGTAGTGACATTGTTTGACCCCAGCGACCTTAAACAACAAGAAAGTAGCTATTTCTTTCAAAAGTAGATCTTACCGTCACGACTTCTGTACATTTAGGGTTCGTACAAATGGTTGCAGGTTGGGTCAGTTTTTTCACTTCGAGTCCAACGCAGGTTGTGTATAGTTGTGGTTTTAGTTGTTGAATTAGTTGGTCCTCTGTAGTGAGACGTTTTTGATGAGTGTCGAGTGATTTCATGTTGTCTTGTATACGTTCTGATATTTCTGAAATACAAGTCGCGAGTTGTTCGACCAGAAATCTGACTTCGTTAATACTGATTATGTTTTGAAGGTCTAGGGACTCTAACGTTGTAATGTACGTCAACAATCTATAAAACAAGAAATGGACTACGGAAAGGTGAAAGTTGTGTATTTACCGGCGAATTTCCTTCGACGAGGTTTCCCAGCTTTGGGCAAATCCGTCTAATTCGTGTCTATTGTATCTTTTTCCTTCCTGAATTTTCAATAAAGCTCGGAATGCTTCATTGTCCAAAGCGAAGACGTTGTTCAAGCCAATTCTTATACGTGGAGGATTTGACCGAATACCTCTGACCAGTGGTACTAAACAATGATGCTTCGTCTCTTCAGCTGTGTACCTAGAGGTTTCATTATAGACAGTAATAAAAATGATATCCTCTTTGGCACTCCTGTCTAGTCGTGTCAACATCTGCTTAAGACAATACTCCATGAACTTTGTGACCCTCGTTTCATGTGCCTTGAAAACAAAACAAACTGCGTGGAGTTTCTTTAGGGTCGCCAGGTACCCTAGAATGTTCTCCATGTTGGTATTGTCCTGTTCTATTCCTCTGGGATTTCCCACTGGGGGCGTATCAATCAGTATCAAGTTGAAGGTTTTGAGGTCCATTTTGATGGGGAGTTTGTACACTTTGAGGCCTTCATCTACACTATAAACTTCACTGTCGTGTGTTACAGTCTCGATGTTTCCTCGGGCTGCTCTGAAAATGGGATATTTGAAATAGTTCCAAATGGAGTTTATCACAGTTGAATTTCCGGTCCCTGAGTTGCCGAACAGGAGGACGTTTACGTCATCTTCTGTGACGTCAGGTTCCACCAATACGACTTTCATCAAGTTCTTTAGAACACCCCACATTTTGGAGTTGGTGTTTTTTAAAATCGATATCTTGAAATATATTGTCTACAGAGATAGCAATAACGCGCTGATACGCAGTTTCTGAGTGGAACACTCAGTTTTAATTTGTAGCTACAAAAGACTCTTATTAGCAGCATTTACAAAAAGGTGAAAAGAATAGTCTTACCTGTGATTTTACTAATAACTTTAAGAAATTGCGTTAATTAGTACGTGAAAAATCGTTCTAAATTATTTTTAGGACGAGATATGTTTATCGTTATCAAATTTTAACCGTTATCAAATAACTTAATCCGCCGCCAAAATCTTACAAATAATCGTCGATGCATCGTAATGGCTACAGCGTGTTTAAAAAATCGGTCTCACGTACAGCCCAACAAATCCTGCTTCTCTGAAAATTTTTAAAAATTGATTTTGCGGAAAAACTCAAATCGGAGGCAGACAGTCCGAAACGGGTGACTACTTTTTTCGTCATCTTGGTGTCACATTTTTCGGTCCTTTGTGTTCAGTTTCGATTTCCGTCTGGTGGCAGCAACATCGGAGCATTCGGAGCCCCGTTTCGGCTCGCGAATTTTTAATGTACTGTTACTAAATATTAGTGAAAATGTTTGCGTTAGTGGTGTGAACACGAAAGAAAGTGGATATTTTCCCAAAAATTTATCGGAGTCTGTGATTCGTATTTTGACAAATCTCAAAAACCGTTTTCCTACAAACATGAAGTTATTAAAAACAATTCAATTTGTGTAAACAATGTTAAATTAACCCCGAAAATGACACAGTAATTATCAAACTTGGATCGTCTTATCGGACAAACCAATTAATATTAATTAGTCTAATATCTTTTTTAGTTTACCACAAATTCCGCCGTATGCGAATTATTGATTTATAACAAAAATATTCGCCAGAACCAGATAATAAACACAAAAGCACACAACTCACAATAAAAATTTATTGTTCCTCACAACACTAACTATATACAACATAAATATTCTCTTGAAATATCCAAGAGATAAACGATGAGAGATGAGCAACGACGACGCAGCGATGACGATGATAGAGCAATGACGATTAGAACGACCCAAACCTAGTAGTGACCACCCAAACCTAGACCCCCATGACCTCCACCTACAGCAATGGGTACTGCAATGGCTTTCGATACCAACAACTGCGGATGAACAGCATGTCCCACCCTGGACACCACAGCGTTGAACCCGTTGTGCTTGTCAGCTGTGTACTTGACAATGCGGATGGTACCGTCGGGTTCCGCTAACGAGTACTGCCCTTTGACCACATCCCCGACGCGAACTTCGGACTGCTCCTTGTTGTCGCCGGTTTTAGGGTCCTCAACGCCGTATTTGAACTCGTAATGAGCCGGGGTCTGGAATTTAAACACAGATGCAGATGAATCTGTCTAGAAGGAATAGTCTTTGGTACTTACGTGATAATCCACTACAGTCTCTTTGATGGCGATGGGTGCCACTGCGATCCCATGCCCGCCTCCCAAACCTCCAAGCCCCACTCCCCCATGGAGCCCTCCAAGCGCTATCCCCCCATGGAGCCCTCCAGCCGAGTACGATAGTCCAGCACTAGCCGAAGCCACCAAGAAGACCAAAGCTGCGATCTACAAAAACAAAATCGTCAACGTCTAAATGAACACCCCAACCCCTATTCCAGTACTTGAGCGATCATGTTGTTGTACTAGAGGACCTGTGTTTGCACTGCCAATTCCTCACCTTCTTCCCCCTTATATACAACAACCCATTCACTTTAATTGTGAAAAATGCAAGTACGCTATTAATCCGACGAAATATTCGCTATTTGAAAGTGCAGTACCGAGCGACTCAGAATCGGGCCGCACTACTTCCTGTTACAATTACGGCTCATTATTGTTATCTGCCGGTCGCAGGTCCTGACGAAACGGAGTCTGCGGTCGCCGTCGTGCCGGCGTGGCGAAACGTCGCCGTAATTACCCTGGCTCGGGGCCGTCGCGGCTGAACGGCGGTGTGCGGAAAAATGAAAATTCAGCGTTTTGCAACGGATTTTTCGGCCTGATTTTGTGAGGCGGTTTGAGGTTTTTTCAGTGGAGATGTGATTGTGCGGAGTGTGGGTATATAGCGGGTCGGGCGAAATTGGGTTTTCTATTTGTTATTTAATCGTTGCATGGGCAGTATGTGTGTCTGTGTCAGCGTATGCAGTTAAGCGTGCAAAGTATGGGTAATAAAGAATCGCGGGTAATTAACTACCGGCAGGTTGCGGCTAGTGCGGGGTTTGTGAGATGCAAAGAAGTTGTCAGTTATTATTATTAGGTCTGTAAATTTCGTTATACGGTTTTCAGTTGGTTCTTTATTGACGACTGGGAAAATCGTTCTAGGGTTCATCACTCTATTTTTTTATATTTCTTTGAAAAAGTGTACAGTCGTCTCACGTCATCTATACCATTACTAACCAATAAAATTTTAGGCTGCATGTGACCTCGGAACAACTGAAGCACGCTACATTTCTTCCCAAGGTTCAAAATTGGACAAATCACAGCGATAATTTATTTTTGGTAGATACTCAAACCGAAGGTCAATTTTATACGATAGCTTTTATTTTATTTTGATTTGTATTAATTTGTCTATTTTAATAAATTAACACCATCTAAAACTAAAAAGGATTTTTGTGTGTTTGAATTTTTACTTCCCTATTTAACTCCCTCCTTTTGTAGCCTTTTTTGTTGTATTTTTTGTCCCCTATTTGTTGTCGTCTTTTTTTATGGTAGTTTTTAATTCCTTTTTTGGTCGTCTTTTTATCAATTTTTGTTGTCATTTCTGGCTACTATTTGTCTTTTTTGACTCTTTATTTTTTAGACGCGTTTTTGTGCTCACTGATTTTTGTATTTTGACAATTTTTTTTGAGTCTTTTTTGGTCGTCGTTGTCTTGTTGTCTTGTGTTGTATTTTATTGTGATCTTACGATTGCTTTCTGACTCCTAATTTTTTAAGCTTCTTTTTGTTGTCTCTCCTGGTAGCTTTTTGTCTCTCTATAACAAGATTTTTTTTGTCACGTTTTCTTTTCGTCTTTTTTGCGTCTTTTTTGTGACCTTTTAGTCTCTTTCTGAGTCCCATTTTTCATAGTCGCGTTTCTCTGTCTTCTCTTCTTTTATTTATCTGCTCTTATAGTGTTTTTTTTTATTTTCTAATTTTTAGTCTCCGTTTGCATGATATTTTTTACAATTGTTATTTTCCCATTCTCATAAATATTTTGTTGACTTATTTCGTCTCTGGTTGCCCTTTTTTTGTGTATTTTTTTTACATTTTAGTCGCTTTTTGACTCCCAACTTTTAGTCGGGGTTTTTTGTTTCTTTTTTCGACGCTTTTTTCTCTCTTTTTTATATTCTATAACTTTTTGATAACTGTTTCTAGCTTTTTTTTGTTTTCTCTTCTAGCAGCTTGTTTGTCTTTTTGTAACTCTTCTTTAGTCGCGTTTTTGTGGTCTCTTTTGTCGCTTTTTTATCCCATAATGGATGTTTTGACGACTTTTTCACACTTTTGGTTGCCTTTTTTTTGTAGTGATTCGTTTTTTTGTAGCATTTTTGCCTTCTTTTTCGCCTTTTTCTGTGTATTTTTGTGACCTAATAATAGCTTTTTTCTCACTCCTAATTTTTTAGACGCATTTTAGTTTCCATTTTTTATCGTTTTTTATCATTATTTTGTCTATTTTTCCGCCGTTTGTGGCCTCGTTTTTATTGCTTTTTTTTAATCATTTTTTGTGCATTTTTTTCTGGTGACCTTTCACTTTCTTTTTGATTCCTATTTTTTAGTCGAAATTTTGTGTTTTCTTTTTTGTATGCTTTTTTCTCACTTTTTTTGACGGTTTTTTTGCGATTTTTGTAACTCCCTATTTTTTGTCGAGTATTTTGTGGGCTTTGAAAATATTTTTGCTGACCTTACGTTTTTTTTTGACCCCCTATTTTTAATTTTATTATTCTTTTTTTTTTATAAATATATTATTCATTTTTTTCTCTTTTGTTGTCTTGTTTGTGTTTTTTTATGATCTTTTAGCTGCTTTTTGACTCCCAATTTTTAATGGTGTTTTTTTATCCCTTTTTTTGAAAGCGTTTCTTCTCTTTTTATAATTTTTTGACAACTCTTTTACCTGTTTTTTTTGTTGTTTCTTCTGGGAACCTTTTTGTCTTTTTGTAACTTTTTTATAGTTCTGTTTTTTGTGATCTTTTTATCGCTTTTTTATCCCGTTATTGATGTTTTATCGACGTTTTCACTGTTTTGTTGCCTTTCTTGTAGTCTTTGTAGTACTTTTTTTGCCTTTTTAATCGCTTTTTTGTCGTCTTCCCTTTTCGTCTTTTCTTTGTGGTTCACTCCCTATTTTTAAATCGCGTTTTGTATAATTGTTTCGCCTTCTTTTTCTTCTTTTGTTGTCTACTTTTTGTTTTTTTGTCATCTTTTTTGTGTATATTTTTGTAATCTTTTAGTCGCTTCTTGACCCCCTGTATTTTGTCGCGTTATTTGTCGTCTTTTTTTTGTATTTTTTATCCAATAATTTATGTTTTGTCGACTTTTTTTAAACATTCTTTGGTGACCTTACGGTTTTTTGATCCCTTACTTTCATTTGTTTTATTCCTTTTTTCTATAATTGTTTTATCCACTTTTTCGCTTTTGTTGTCATCTTTGCGCGTTTTTTTAAATAAATTTTTTGCCGGTTTTTGATTCCCAATTTTTAGTGGTCCTTTTTGTCTCCGTTTTGGATGCTTCTCTTCTCTTTTCATATATATTTTGACAACTTTTTTAATTTTTTTGTCTCTTCTGGGACCTTTTTTGTCTCTTTGTGTCTTTTTTTTGTCCCGTTTTTTGTGGTCTTTTTTGTCGTTTTTTATTCCATAATTGATGTTTTGTCTAATTTTTCACTAGTTTGTTGAATTTTTGTTGTATTTTTTGTAGTAATTTTTCCCTTTTTAATCTCTTTCTTGTCGCCTTCCCTTTTCGTCTTTTTTTTGGTTTCACTCCATATTTTTTAATCGCCTTTCTGTGTGAATTTTTTGTCGTTTTGTATAATTGTTTGTCCTCTTTTTCTCCTTTTGTTGTCTCTTTTTTGTCGCCTTTCTTTGTGTTTTTCTTTTGTGTCTATTAATCACGTTTTTTTAATTCCTTATTTTTTTAGGCATGTTTTATTGGCCATTTTTATCGTTTGTTATCATTATTTTGTTGATATTTCGCCTTTTTGTTTTTATATATTTTGTCATCTTTTTTGCATTTTTCTTTGTTAATCTTTTACTTTATTTTTGATTCCTATTTTTTAGTGGAGTTTCTATGCTTTCTTTTTTGTATACTTTTTTCTCGCTTTTTTTTTTGTCGCGTATTTTGTGTTTTTTTTTTTTTGGCTTTGTATTTCTATTTTTATTATTCCTTTTTTTTATAATTATTTTGTCCATTTTTTCGGTTTTGTTGTCGTCCTTATGTAATTTTTTAATAATTTTTTGCAATTTTTCGACTCCCAATTTTTAGTGGTGCTTTTGCCTCTTTTTTGGATGCTTTTTTTCTCTTTTATATTTTGTTGACAACTCTTTTCGCTTTTTGTTGTTGTCTCTTCTGGGAACTTTTTTGTCCTTTTGAAACTGTTTTTTGTCTCCTTTTTTGCTCTTTTTTTAGCGTTTTTTATCTCATAATTGATGTTTTCTCGACTTTTTCACTTCTTTGTTTTATCTTTTTTGTAGCCATTTTTCGCTTTTTTATCGCTTTTTGGGCGCCTTTCCTGTTTTTTTTTTGGTTTCAGTCCCTAGTTTTTAATTGTGTTTTTGTGTAATTTTTGTGTTGTTTTGTATAATTGTTTAGTCTTCTTTTTCTCCATTTTTGTGTCCATTTTGTTGCTTTTGTGTCGCCTTTTTTTGTGCCTAGTAATCGCCTTTCATTACGCCTTATGTGTTAGGCTTGTTTTACTGTCCAATTCTTGTTGTTTTTTTATCATTATTTTGTCGATTTTTTTGCGTTTTTTTGTACTCTTTTTGATTACTATTTTTTCGTCGAGTTTTTGCCTTTTTTTGTATTTTTTTCCTTTTTACGGCTTTTTCATCTTTTTTTATAACTCCCTATTTTTTGTCGCATTTTTTCTCGACTTTTTTTGTAAACATTTTTTAGTGAACTTTCTTTATTCCTTTTTTACAATTGTTGTGTCCATTTTTTTCGGTTTTGTTGTCATCTTTTTTCTGCGTTTTTTAACCCCCAGTTTTTACTGGTGCTTTTTGTCTATTTTTTGGATGCTTTTTTTCTCCTTTATATATTTTTGACAATTCTTTTAGCTCTTTTTTGTTGTCCGTTCTGGGAATTTTTGTGTCTTTTTGTAATTTTTTTAGTCCTGTTTTTTTGCTCCTTTTTGTCGCTTTTTTATCCCATAATTGATGTTTTGTCGATTTTTTCGCTCTTTTAATCACTTTTTGTCGCCTTTCCTTTTCGTCTTTTTTTTTTGTTTCATTCCCTACTTTTTAATCGCTTCTTTCTGTCAATTTTTTGTCGTTTCGTATAATTATTTTGTCCTCTTTTTCTCCTTGTGTTGTCTCCCTTTTTTTGTTGTTTTTAGTCGTCTTTTTTGCTTATTTTTTGTGATCTTTTAGTTGCTTCTCGACTCCATATTTTTTGTCGCGTTTGTTGTGGCCTTTTCTCTTATTTTATTCAATTATTTATAATAATTTTGTCCACTTATTTTCAGTTTTTGCAGCCGTTTCTTGGTTTTTTTTTTGTAGCCATTTTTTGTTTTGTTAGAGCTTTTTTTCGTGTTTTCTCGTCTACTTGTTTTGTGTTCTTCTTTTACTTTTTTTCTCTATTTTTTTCTGGCGTTGTTGTATCGTATTTTTTGTTGTTTTATTATCCCCTTTTTGATTTCCTGTTTTTGTAGTTGCGTTTTTGTCTATTTTTTTTTTGAACGCTTTTTTCTCCCTTTTATAGATTTTTTTGACTGCGTTTTTTTCACCGTTTTTGGGTTGCTTTTTCTTTTCGATTTTTGTCGCCAATTTTCGCCTTTTTGTCGCTTTAAAAAAATTGGCAAAATTTAATTTTATAATTTAAATAGGAAACTGGAATTGGAAACGAAGAAAGTTCTGTCTAAATAATTGTAGACCATCTTTTAACACCAAATTTAGAGACTTTAAATGAAATCAACTTATAAGAAGATGAAAAAAATCAATTAAAAGCTTGTTCTCAACGAGTATACAATAAAATGCCCAATCTAGAAACGATGACGAAAATAAACAAAAAATCAAACACCACATTTTCAAAAATTGCTGTATTAAACATATATAATAAATTATACAAATCAAAAAGACAAAACACTTAAATAACTTATCACAAAATTAATAGTGCTCATAAAGGGGCTCCGCGTACCCCTTCCCGTAGAGTGGTACCGGGTGCACCGCATGCCCCTGCTTGGTGACAACCGCGTTGAACCCATTATGATCATCGGCCGTGTAGTGAACGGTACGCAAAGTACCATCAGGATCGGCCACCGAATAGGAACCCTTCACGACATCCCCATCCCGAATTTCCTCCTGAGATTTGTGGTCGCCGGTGTGGGGATCGTGAACCCCGTAACTGTACTGGTACTTCGGATAAGCCTAAAAGTTAAAATTAGTACTTGTTGAAAATGTGTCAGAAGGCAGCTTTACGTAGTGGTCCTTTTCACCGCCGTATCCACCGTCGTATCCACCGTCGTATCCACCCCCGTATCCACCCCCGTATCCACCCCCGTATCCACCTCCGTATCCTCCAGCGTACCCAGCTCCGTAGCCGTACTTAGGGTAGGCGGCGTACCCATATACTGGTACTGCGTACTTGGGGTAAGCGTTGTAGACTGGTACCGCTGCGGTTTCTACATTGACGTACGATGTGGCACCTCCACCATAACCGTCGTACCCACCATATCCACCGTAGCCAGCATATGGAGATTTGACATAGGTGGCGCTAGTACCATAAACCAGACACGCCAGGAGGAAGAAACCCTGAAGCAAAAAAGTCGTACCGAAGTCGATCAGTACCACCACAGTACTCACTTGTTTGGAGAACATGTTGCTCGACACTGATTGTTCCTTCCGACTTTCGATATTTATAAGAATCTGCGTTTTATTCTAGACCTCGAATTATTAGTTTTTGTATATATTTTTAAATTAAACAATAAAGAACATTGCCAAGTACTCTTTCTCAATTTGAATGTTTTGTGAAACCGACTGTTGACCTAATAGCTGCTAAGGTTACGGTAAAGACACGTAATGGGCTTTCTTTGGTTGCTTTTCACGGTAATGAGATCAACTTTATGCGTTGCATAGCTACATTATCATATGTTAATAACCTTATTATTTAACGAAATCGTTAAGCTGATTTGCTTAATTAAGTCGACTTATTTTATTGTGATTAGTAAGTGTTCAAGTGCAGCCTTCACGCTCGGTCGCTACGGTTTGATGCTAGAGTTTTTCTGGATCTGGATTGCGAGAAAAGCGACCTTTGAGGTTAATTCCGTAGTGAAAAAACCGGGAATTCGTGTCTGGTTTGATTAAAGATTGGTTTTTTCTGGAGCGATGTTGAAAGTTGATTGTGAGCGTTTTCAACGTCGCGGACTTTTAATTTCTAATACCGCATAAAAGTGTGATTCTTGTCTTCTCCGGCGTATAAAATTACGCCACATGTCGTAATTAGAAAGCCAATTACTCCAAAATTCACATTCTCACGAGTGCATTAATCTTACTCCTCCACCAACGTCTGCGGAATTTGTAACGATAATTTTAATTTCTTGTAGTTTGACAAGTCGCTCTACTTATCGCCTCAAGTTATGCGAAACCAGGTCTCTCACTTTTTATGTAAATTTTTAAGCAATCTTCACAGTTAGATAACAACCATTAATCACCAGGAAATTGTGAAAATATTTATTAAAATTATTTTGTACAAGAATAAGTAAAAAAATAATTCGCTCTATACAGGATATGCGCGTTCTGGAAACCTAATAGTGACCGTAGGCGCCAATGCCCAACCCGTAGCCGTGCACGGGCACGGGGGCGGCGACCACCGCCTTCGCCACGGGGGCGGCCACAATAGCTTTGGCAACATGACCAGGGTGAACGGCGTGTCCTGAACGCTCCACTACGGCGTTAAAACCGCTATGATGGTCGGCGGAATAATGCACGGTACGATGAGTACCATCAGGGTCCACCACGGAGTACGAACCCTTCACTACGTCACCATCGCGGGTCTCGTGCTGGGACTTGATGTCACCAGTGTGGTGGTCCTCCACGCCGTAGCTGAAGTCGTACTTAGGAGGAGCCTGCAAAAGTACCACCTCAAAGTCGAGACAAACAAGCTAAAAAGTAGTTACGTATGGCTCGACGGCGACGGCCTTCACTGCGACGGGGGCGGCGTGAATGGCGGGGGCGGCGTGCACCACAGGAGCGGCGTGCACTAGAGGGGCGGAGTGCACCACAGGAGCGGCGGGGATGGCCAGAGGGGCGGCGTGGAAAGCGGGAGCGGCGTGCACCGCGCCGAAGGACAAACCAGAGTACGAGCTGGCGATGCCGTGCGACGCCACGATGGGGGCGGCGTGGGCGGCGAACACGGGAGCGGCGACTTTGGCGATGGCGGGGCCGGCGTGGCCGATGTGTTGCGAGAAGGAGGCGTACGAAGTGGCGTGGCCGTGCTCACCCAGGGCCTGGGCGCAAGCCACCAACACAGCGATACCCAAAACCTGGAAAAGGGTTAAGTCGTACCAGATAGTACCGAACAATGTGTCGTGGTTGCTTGCTAACTATACTTAAGTAAAATTTAACTTAAAGTTTGAAAGTACCGAGGTACTGAGGAACACACACCTTATCGAACATGTTGTGAGAAGTGCTAGAGCTGACTGAGTGTGAGGATCCACCACGATCTTTTTATACTTATTTTTGAGCACCTTCACTGTCAATGGAAACTGGGCCCTGTGGCTTACTGACTTTGCCTTTGCGCAATGGGTTGACCCAGATCAAGATTTGGGCAGAGGTTGTGTCGACACAGTAGTCCGAAAAAGGGTGGTACCGCTGCGACGCTTTTCAGCGACAAAAACAATGAGTACCATAAATCATGTTTTTGAAGATGAAGGGCAAAATGTTGAGAAACGCTAAATTAAAAGCCATCAGCATTCCGGTCATTATTGATTGCGATATGATTTCTTATTTCTTGCATAACCTTTACTCTGAATTTATTGGATGCATTCTCGGACGCCAGTGGCGGCGCCGGGTCAAGTACCACCACCAAAAAAAACTTTAGTCTTTCTGAAACCAAGGTTTCACTACTTTCTGTTATCTGATTTTATTGTTCAGAGCAGATAAGGCTGGAAATAAGAACGAGGTACTACATGGTACTTGATCGTGGTCACCCCAACAATACAACCCTGATATTCGTTGTCGCCGCATTTAAGATTCCTAACATCTACTTTAATTTCGAAATAATCGCTAATGGAGCTGAGGTATTTGGTACTAATGTCCAAAATTCGAACAAAAAATTTTAGTCCAGTTTCGGAGATTTATTCAAGTATTCACCGCGACCATTTTGCAACTATGATATAATCTTCTTCACACGCTTAAAAAACTCAAGTACTACCCAAATCGTCGCCTTTAATCTAAAATTAGACGTGACTTTCCTCAGTCGTACCAACTTGAATTACCCAACTCTACCATCTTCTAGTCCCGAACTCGTTCGGCGCCTCCAGCTCTTTCACCGATCATTAATTTCGGAAGCTAATCTCGTCCAACAGCTGCCACTGACCTTAGTACCACTGACATTTTCATTGTTTATCCACGCGCAAATCGAACGAGTTTCGGGTACCACCTTCCAAATGTCAATGTTGCTTCTAAAAATAGACCCATCGTGGCGCTTTTCCCGAAAGTACCACCCGACTGTCCGTGGGTGTGTCGGAAGTAAAAAACGTACTAGATTGTCGTTAAGTAAGCGTTTCGTCACCGAAAGCGACCGCTTTTTACCTAATCCCTTTGTGAGTCAAGGACACGTGCATATTTCGAGTTGCGCAAAGTTCTGGAAGTAATTGGTGCTACGATTAATGGTTTCCGGTACTTGCAGTACTTGCGTAAGCGCGGTGTGAGCGATCATCTTCGCGAAATTGAGCGAGTTTTGGTTTTAATTTAAAAGGCGATAAAAAGTGTGTTCGGGTGTTCTATTAATTTGCATTTTAATTAAGCGCTGCATAAGCAGAACCTGTTAGTACTTAATTGAGTTAGATAAGTGTGGAATTCCTGAGGTAACTTTATTGTTGGACGATATCGAAATTTGAGGGAATTATGTAAGACACAGAGGTTTTGGTTGGTGTAGGACCGGGGAAATTTTGGGTCAGTCTGGTACCACTTTTTGTTAAAGAAAAAAAAAATGTTACTAAACGGTGGCTTGCGGAAACTGAATTATCTTAGTACCACCAAACTATGCTTTATTAATATTCTCGGACCATTCTGCTTCGGTACTACCTTGGTAAATAGAGATTTGCAAAAAAAAAGAATATTTCGTACTAAAATTTGAACCATTTTTTCTGTACTGCTCAATATATAGTTCTAAAGTGGTTGCCATCAAGTAAACACAAAACACAAAGGTACTATTAAAATAAATATATTTTGTAAAAAAATATAAAAACATTTATCTAAACAAAACAATTCTTAATGATGAACGGGTACTGCAACTACTGCGTGTTGAACATGTTGAGGGTGGGCGGCGTGTCCGGACCTTTGGACCACAGCGTTGAACCCACTGTGCTTGTCAGCGGTGTAGTGGACGGTCAAGATGGTACCATCGGGTTCATGGACGGAGTAAGAGCCTTTGACGACATCTCCATCACGACTTTCCTCCTGTTCTTTAATATCACCGGTGTGGTGGTCCTGGACTCCATATTTGAAGTTGTATTGGGGATGGGCCTGCAACCAAATATTGTCACACTTGTCTCGTATTATCTGATGGTACTTACATGGTAGTCCACGGTGTGGTGTACCGGATGTGCTACAACGGGAGCGGCGTGGAGCTGGGTGTGGACGGCTACAGGAAGGGTGGCTTTAACAAGGGTGTGGATTTGGGGGTGGGAGTCGTGTCGGGTGACGGAGGCGTAGGAGGTGGCGTGGTGGCCGTGTTGGGCGCGGGCACAAAGTACCACCAAGGAAAGAGCTAAAATCTGTAACAATATTATTATTATTTTTTTGTCTAGTTGTTTGTAATGAAATAATTACTTTGGTGAACATTCTGGTTTGGTTGATTGGAAGTGTCGTACTCAACTGGAGTTACAAATTCGACAACTGGCTTTTATAGTAGGAAAAATGGTACCGTTCACTGCACGGATATGTGTTTGGGTACTTTGTTGTCGAGGGGTTATATAATCGGTTTGATTTTAATAAATGTTTCCAAATTTATTTTGCATAAATAATACGAGTGATTGACAATTGTAACGGTGTCGAATATCTGGTAACCTACTTAGGGTACTCGAAGCTGGGTTTGGTAATTCGTGTTTTGGTTGTTTGTAGGTGGAGAATGTTTATTTGGCGTTGTACTAGAATAAACACAAATTGTTAATAGAGAAAAAAGTACCATTATTGTCTTGGTACTTCCATCGGTGGTACCAATTTGGCAAAATTTTGAAAATTTTAAACTGGTATTAGAGATTAGTATTGTGAAATTTGTAACTGAGATTCAAGAAATCAGGAACTAGAAATTAATAAGTCACTGAAAACTGGAAAGTTAAGAAGTACGAGTTGAGAATTGGAGAATTTCGGAACAAGGAATTGGGGAATTTAGAAATGAGACTTAAAAATTTCGGAACTAGGAATTTTAAACAGAATTTTGGAATTACAAACACGAAGATTTTTATTCTTCAGGAGTTCGAAGCTGTGGTGTTGCAAAAATCTAAAAAAAATTGGAATTTGAAACAAATGGAAATTGGGACTTGCAATTTAAAAATTATGAAACTGACAACTTAGAAATTTGGAATTGGAAATAGAACTTTAGAACTTAGTAGCTACTTGGAATTTGGTAACTGAATTTTGAGAATTCATAAATTAGAAATTAATAATTGAGAATTGGACTACTGAGAATTCAAGAATTTCTAATCTCAAATTAAAAATTCTGGAACTGAAAAGAGAGATCTGTCAAATTCAGGAATTGCCAACTGGGAATCAGGATTCAGGGACCTTGCAGTTGGAACTAAAAATCACTATTTGTAATTTGAAAAGCGAAAATTAAGAATTGGAAATTTACCCAAATTTGTAAACTGCGCAATGACAATTAGGCATTTAGAACCTGATAATTTATAAATGAAAATGAGAGTTTGAAAATTAGGGATTTAAGACGAAAGGCACAAAAAATGAGACAGTGTAAACTGTGAATTCAGGAATTCGAAATTAAGAATTTAGAAATTGAGAGTTTCGAAACGGGGAATTTTGGAATTGAGAAGTAAGATTAAAATATTCGGTTACTAGGAATTTTAAGAACTTTTTTGGAATTTGGAATAATTGGAATATTGAACTTGTTATTTGAAAATTCTGGATTGACAACTCAGGAATTTGAAAATGAAGTGGGAATTTAAAATATGGGAAATGCAAATTAAGAACTCACAAAGAGAAATGAATATCTGAGAATAAGGACCTCATCAGAATTTAAGAATTTCAAATTGGAAATATTAAAAAAAAATAGAAATTTCATTTTGACATTAGGAATTAATATTCGGAATTTGTAAATTGAGATTTGAGAATTCCGAAATCGTAAATTATTAAATCCGAATTTTCCATACAAAAATAGGAAACTGAGAACTCAGAAATTTGAGTTACAAGTTGAAATTTTGAAAATTTCAAATTTTGAATTTAAAAATTCTGGAACTGAAAAGAAATATCTGTGAAATTCGGAAATTGGTAACTGAGAACCTGGTTTAGTAAAATGTTGGCATTAGGAATTAGTACTTCGGATTTGGAAATTGGGATTTGGGAATTCGGAAACCAGCCATTAATAAGTTTGGGAAGTAAAAAGAGGAGACTGAGGAAAACGTGGACTTGAGGTGGTGAGTTGAAAATTTGAGAATTCCTAATTTGGAATTTAAAATTTTGGACTGAAAAGAACATCTGTGAAATTTGGGAATTGGTAACTGAGAACCTGCATCCGGCGAACTTGACTTTGGAAATAAATAATTACTACCTGTAATTCAACAATTATAATTTGGAAACTAAAAATTAAGAACTGGAAATTTGGAAACAACAATTTATTACTGAGAATAGAATATTTGAAAATTAGGAATTCAAAATCAGGCATTTAGGAACACAAGTACTAGAAATTAAGTAGTATAAACTAAGACTTCGGGAATTCGAAATCAAAAATTTGTTAAACCTTTTATTTGGGAAATGAGAATTTTGAAACGGGGAATTTGAGAATTGAGAACTGAGCTTTCAAAATTCGCAAAATAAAAATTTTCGAGACAATTTTGAAGTTTCAAATACGACGGTTTTTATCCTTCAGGAGTTCGAGACGTAGTGTTAAAAAAACGTAGTGTGAAATTCTTGAATTGGGAAATTTCGAAATTTGCAAAAGCAATGAAAATTTAGCATTTACAACCTTAATAAGTTGTAACTGAGAGTAGGAATTTGGGAATTGGGAATTTAGTAACGCGAATTCTGGAAATTAAGCACCGTAAGCTGCGAATTCAAGAATTCGAAATTAAGGATTTGAAAATTTTGCATTTGGAAAGTTAGAATTTCGAAAGTGGGAATTTGGGAATTGAGAACTGAGATTTAAAAATTCGGAAACCAGAAATTAGTAATTTTGGGAAACAAAAGCAGGAAATTGAGAAAAAGACGGAAACATGGTTGTGAGTTGAGAATTTGAGAATTTCTGGACTGAAACAGAGAGATCTGTGAAACTCGGGAATTGGTAACTGAAAACCTAGATACAGAGAACACGAATTTGAAAATATAAAAATTACTATTTGTAATTCCAACAACTGGAATTTGAAAACTGAGAATTGAGAATTATAAATTGCTAAATTTTGAAACTGAGCAATGAAAATTTAGCATTTACAACCTGATAATTTTTAACTGAGAATAAAAGTTTGGAAATTGGTAATTGAAAATTAGGAATTTAAAACCGCAGACAAAAAATTAGACACTGTAAACTGTGAATTCAGAAATTCGAATTAATGATTTAAAAAAAATGATGTTGGAAAGTGAGAATTTTGTAACTGGGAATTTGTAAATTGAGAATTGAGATTTAAATATTCGGCAACTAGAAATTTTAAGAAGAACTTCATCAGAATGTAATTTTTTTTTTTAATTTGGAATGATTGGAATTTTGAAGTTGTATTTGAAAATTCTGGATTGACAACTTGGGAACTTTGAAAGTGAAGTAGGAATTTAAAATATGGAACGTGAACTAACAGTGGGAAATGGATTTCTGAGAATAAAGAACTCATCAGAATTTACAAATTGAAATTGGAAATACACACATTTTGGCATTAGGAATTAATATTCAGAATTTGTAAATCGAGATTTGAGAATTCCGAAATCGTAAATTATTAATTGAGGACTGGAACATCCCAATTTTCGATACAAAAATCGGGAATTAAGAACACGAACACTTGAGAATTACGAGTTGAAATGAATGAGAATTCCAAATTTGGAATTTCAAAATTCTGGGACTGAAAAGAGATGTGTCAAATTCGGAAATTGCTAACTGAGAATCTGGTTTTGGGAAAATTCATACCGAAAATTAAAAATTACTATTTGTTATTTAACAATTGGAATTTGAAAACTGAGATTTAAGAATTGAAAATTTCGATATTTGAAAACTGAGCAATGAAGATTGAGCATTGAGAACAGGTAATTGAAAACTAGGAATTTAAAAACTCAAGTACTAGAAATTAATTCCTGTGAGGTAAGAATTCAGGAATTTGAAATTAAGAACTTGGAACTCTTGCATTGAAAATGTGAGAATTTCTAAACTGGGAATTTTTGAACCGACAACTGACATCTAAAAATTCGAAAAGTGGGAATTTTAAACATAATTTGGGAATTTCAAATATCAAAATGTTTATTTTTTCGGAACAGTGGTGTTTGAAGAAATAAACAAAAAAGTTTGGAATTTGGAATAATTGGAATTTTGAACTTGTAATTAAAAATTCTGGATTGACAACTTGGGAATTTAAAAGCGAAGTGGGAATTTAAAATATAGAAAGTGCAAATTAAGGACTCACATTAGGAAATGGAAATCTGAGAATAAGGACCTCATCAGAATTTAGGAATTTGAAATTGGAAATATAATTATTTTGCCATTAGGAATTAGTATTCAGAATTTGGAAATTAAGATTTGAGAATTCCGAAATCATAAATTAATAATTGAGAACTGGAAAATCTGAATTTTCGATACAAAAATCGAGAATTAAGAAGTCGAACACTTAAAAGTTACGGGTCGAAATTATGAGAATTCCAAATTTGGAATTTAAAAATTCTGGAACTGAAAAAAATATCTGTAAAATTCTGAAATTGGTAACTGAGAACCTGGTTTTGGGAAAATTCAAACCGAAAATTAAAAAATACTATTTGTATTTCAACAATTGGAATTTGAAAACTGAGAATTAAGAATTGAAAATTGCGAAATTTGAAAATTGAGCAATGAAAATTGAGCATTTATTATCTGATAATTTTTAATTGAGAACAGGTAATTGAAAACTAGGAATTTAGAAACTCATGTATTAAAAATTAATTCTTGTGAGCTAAGAATTCAGAAATTTGAAATTAAGAACTTGGAACTCTTACATTGAAAAAGTGAGAATTTCCAAACTGGGAATTTTTGAACAGAAACTGACATTTAAAAATTCGAAAAGTGGGAATTTTAAGCAGAATTTGGGAATTTCAAATAACAAGATTTTTATTTTTTCGGAACAGTGGTGTTTGAAGAAATAAAAAAAAAATGGAATTTGGAATAATTGGAATTTTGAACTTGAAAATTTTGGATTGACAACTTAGGAATTTGAAAATGAAGTGAGAATTTAAAATGTGAAAAAAAACTTGGAACTCTTACATCAAAAAGTGTAAATTCCTAAATTGGGAATTTTTGAACCAAGAACTGAGATATAAAAATTCGGAAAGTGTGAATTTTAAACAGAATTTTGGAATTTCAAATGGGAAGAAAGAAAATTCTGGATTAACGTTAAACCTGAATTTACAACACGAAAAGCATGAAAGTGAGAATTCACAATGGAAAATGAATATCTGAAAATAGGACTTAAGAATTTAGGAATTTAGACTGGCAATATACAAATTTTGGCAATAGGAATTGATATTTAGAATGTGGAACTTGAGTTTTCAGAACTCGGAAACCAATAATTAATAATTGAGAATTGGAATATCGGAAATTGTGATACGAGCAGAGGAAATTGAGAGTTTGGAAAATTGAAAGCTACGAGTTGAATTTCAATAATTGGAATTTGAAAATTGAAATTTAGATGTTTTAAAATCTAAGCAAGACTAATAAATAAAATCAAACGACAAATTCTTATCAAAAATAATTTTATTTTTACAAAAATAAACAACAATTATACAACAAACAATTCTTTAGTGGTGAACCGGGACGGCAACAACGGCATGCTGAACATGTTGGGGGTGAGCAGCATGTCCCGACCTTTGAACCACAGCATTGAACCCGCTGTGCTTATCAGCGGTGTAGTGGACAGTCAGGATAGTACCATCGGGTTCATGGACAGAGTACGACCCTTTCACCACATCCCCATCTCTAGACTCCTCTTGCTCTTTAACATCACCGGTATGGTGATCTTGAACTCCATATTTGAAAGCATATTTGGGGTGAGCCTGCAAATCATCATTAGAACAAAAAAAAAAAAACAAAAAAGGGTACATACATGGTAGTCTACGGTGTGATGAACCGGCTGGGCTAAAACGGGGGCGGCGTGCAGTTGGGTGTGGACGGCGACAGGAAGGGTGGCTTTAACCAGAGTGTGGATCTGGGGGTGGGAATCGTGTCTGGTGACGGAAGCGTAGGAAGTGGCGTGGTGGCCGTGCTGGGGGGCGGCGTCCACCAGAAGTACCACGAGGGCGAATCCCAAAATCTGTAAACTCGAGGATGCAAACATTGTTCTGACTTGATTGTTTGTGGTGTCGGACTGAACTGACTTTAAAAATTCGCAACCCGGCTTTTATACCTAATTGAAAAATAGTCGGTACCGTTCACCGAATCCACCACATGTACAGTGTGATAGTTGGGTTTGCGATTTGGACATGAAGTTATATAATCGGTTTAATTTTAATAAATCGTTTCCGAATTTGTTTGGTCTAAAAAATCGATTGGTTAACAATTGTAACGGTATTGACTTATCTAATAACTCTATTAGTTCGAACGAAAAGTGGTACAGCTACTGGTTGTTGACACCCACTTTTAGTAATTGTGAATTTTGTTATATTGTTAAGTAATTAGGTAGATGTAAATTATTTTTTTATGGTGTGTAGTAATGCAGTCACACTCTGTTAAGATTTGTACCTGTTGGGTAATTTCAGGAGAAGTGAATACATTAGTGAAAATTGCTTCATTTGGGTACGGCGTGATAATATTGTTATTCTGTTGGAAAGATAGCGTTTTTTCGTATATGTGGACTTGAAATGGGCGCTACCTTATGCATATTAATTGTCGCTTTTACTACTTTATGTTTTTTTCGTGATATATTTCATTATCTAACTTGTGTTTGGGTGTTATTAATTTCACGTCACGATTAAACTAATAAATGAAATTAACGGCACGGTAGCATCTAAGTGGAGTACTTAAACAAGATAAATAACTCTCATATATCGTTTTTACTTCCATATAAATCAAAATTGCTCTTATATAATTTACAAACGCACTGAAAGTTATTTGCTTGTTATTACTGCAGCGTGCTCCAATTTTTATTATTTGTGTAATTTAATGGATCTCTATTAATGTTATTTTGTCTTATTTTGTCCCTACATTTATTTTATTTTTTACATTCAGGTTACTAAATTCTATTGCTTCCGTCTCGGATTTGTTTACATTTTATTTAGTGGGTGGGTTTAGGAAGTTTGTTTGCAATAAATTAAAAACGCTATAAAAGTGCTACAAAATCAAAATAATAAATAGGTTTCTAATTTTAGATATAAATTTTTTTAAATAAATCAAACCCATTGAGTTCAGAAAGTAGAAATTACTAATTGAGAAGTAGAGCATCCAAATTTGGGAAGAAATTGAGAAGTTGTAAACTTAAGTGTTACGAGTTAAGAATTTGAGAATTTCTAATTTGAAATTTAAAAATTCTGGAACTCAAAAAAAAATGGTGAAATTCTGAAATTGGTAACTGAGAACCTGGATTCGGGAAACGTGAAATTGGAAATTAAATACTGCTATTTGACTGAGAATTACGAATTGGAAATTTCTGAATTTGCAAACTGTAATGAAAATTTAGCTCCTGATAATTTCTTACTCAGAAAAGGGATTTTGAGAATTGGGATCGAAAATTACGAATTTAGGAACGTAGTAATAGAAATTAAAAGCTGAGGATTCAGGAATTCGAAATTAAAGATGCATTTAGAAAGTGTGAATTTCGAAACTGGGAATTTGGCGATTGAAAACTGAGATTTAAAAATTCGTGAACTAGGAGTTTTAAAGAGAATTTGGAATTTAAATACAGATACTTATTTTCTTTCTTTAGGAGTTCCTAACAGTGGTACTAAAAAATTTTAAAAAATTTTTGGAATTCGGAATAATAAGAAATTTGCTCTTAGAATTTGCAAATTCTGGACTAACAACTTGGGAATTTAAAATACATAAAACGCAAATTGAGAACTCACAATCGGAAATGGAATCTAACATCAAAAAAGTATAAATTTAGGAATTTGGAAATGGAAATATAAAAATTTTGGCATTAAGAGTTAGTATTTATAATTGAAAATCGTCATTTGAGAATTCGAAAACCAAAAATTTATCAATTTAGGAAACAAAAACAGAAAACTGAGGAAAATATGGAAACTTAGTGTTGCGAGTTAAGAACTTGAGAATTTCTAATTTGGAATTTACAAATTTTTGAACTGAAAAGAAAGAATGTGGAAAATTGAGAATTAGGAATTGGAAATTTCTAAGTTTGCAAACCGAACCATAAAACTTAAGCTCCTGATAATTTATTTCTGAAAACAGGAGTTTTGGGAATTGGGAATCGAAAATTACGAATTTAGGAACGTAGGTACTAGAAATTAAAACCTGAGAATTTAGGAATTCGAAGTTCAGAAAATTTTGCATTTGGAAAGTGAGGAGAATTTCGAAGCTGAGAATTTAGGAATTGAGTACCGAGATCAAAAATTCGAGAACTAGGAATTTTTAAGGAAATTTTGTAATTTCAAATACGAAGATTTATATTCTTCAGGAGGTCGAAAATTCAAAATTCAAATTCTGGATTAAAAACTTGGCAATTTGAAAGTGAAGCTGGAATTTAAAATACATGAAACGCAAATTGAGAACTCGCAGCTGGAAATGGAATCTAAGATCAAAGAAGTATGAATTAAGGAATTTGGAATTAGAAATATAAAAATTTTGACATTAGGAGTTAGTATTTAGAATTGGAAATTGAGATCTGAGAATTCGGAAACCAAAAATTAATAATTTTGGGAAACGAAAACAGGAAACTGAGGAAAACATAGAAACTTAAGATTGAGGGTTGGGAATTTGAGAATTTATAATCTGTAATTTAAAATTCTTAACTGAAAAGAGAAATCTGAAATTCGGAAATTGGTAACTGAGAATCTGAATTAGAACAATTAGAATTTGAAACTGAAAATTAAGAATTGGAAATTTGGAAATTTGCAAACATTTGGCGTTTAGAACCTGATAATTTATTACCGAAAATAGAGGTTTTGAAGATTAGGAATTTAAAATTAGGCATTCAGGAATGACAAGTTGAAAATTTGAAAGTCAAGCCGAAATTTCAAATACGAGAAGCGAAAATTAAAGATTTACATTGAGAAATTGATATCTGAAAATAAGGAACTAAGAACGTAGGCATTTGAATTTCGAAAAATTTTAGGATTAGGAATTAGTATTTCGAATTTGGAAAGAGAGATTTGAAAATTGGAAAACCAGAAATTAATCATTCAGAACTGTAATAGTGGGATTTGGGAACCGAGAATAGGAAATTCTAATTTCAATAATTGAAAATTTGAATTCAGGGAATTTGTAATTGGAAATTAAAAATTACTATCTGAATTTTTCAACAAACAGAATTTAAAAACTGAGAATTAAGTATTAGAAATGTCGAGATTTAGAAACAGAAATAAAAATTTAGCATTTAGGACCCGATAATTTTTGACTGAGAATAGGAATTTTGGGAATTGGAAATTGAATATTGGAAATTTAGGAACGTAAATCCTAGAAACTAAGCGCTGTAGGCTGCAAATTCAAGAATTCGAAATTAAGGATTTAAAAATTTTACATTTAGAAAATGAAAACTTAGAAAATGGAAATTTGGGAGTTGAGAAGTTAGATTTAAAAATTCAGAAAATTGGAATTTTCAACAGAATTTTCGAATTACAAATGCGAAAATGTTCATTCTTCGGGAGTTCGAAACTCTAGCTTTAAAAATCATTTTCTGCATTTGAAATTGACAATTTGAAAATTTGAAAGTGAAGCCGAAATTTAAAATACGACGGAAATTGAGAACTCACTTTGAGAAATGGTTATCTGAGAGTAAGGAACTAAGAATGTAGGAATTTGGATTTTGAAAAATGTTGGCATTAGGAATTAGTATTTCGGAAATTGAGGTTTGGGAATTCGGGAACCAGAAATTAATAATTTTGGGAAGTGAAAACAGGAAACTGAGGAAACATGCAAACTTACGATTGTGAGTTGAGAATTTGAGAACTTGAGAATTTCTAATTTGGAATTTAAAATTCTGGACTGAAAAGAGTGTTCTGTGAAATTTGGGAATTGATAACTGAAAACCTGGATTCGGCGAACTTGAATTTGAAAATAAATAAATACTATCTGTAATTCAACAATTATAATTTGGAAATTACGAATTAAGAATGGGAAATTTGGAAATTTGGAAACTGAGCAATGAAAATTCGGCGTTTAAAACCTGATAATTTATTACTGAGAATAGAATTTCTGACAATTAATCAAGAATTTGTGTTGTAAACCTTGTATTTGGAAAATGAGAATTTCGAAACTGGGAATTTGAAAATTGAGAACTGAGTTTTCAAAATTCGGAAAATAAGAATTTCAAAAAGAATTTTGGAATTTTAAATATGAAGTTTTTATTTATCAGGAGTTCGAAACGTAGCATTAAAAAAAACGTAGCGCGAAATTCTTGAATTGGAAAATTGCTATTTGCAATTCCACAAACGAAATTTGAAAACTGAGAATTAAGCATTGGAAATTTCGAGATTTGCAAACAGCAACGAAAATTTAGCATTTAGAATCTTATGAGTTGTAACTGAGAGTAGAAATTTGGGAATTGGGAATTTATTAATGCGAATTCTAGAAATTGAGCACCCTAAGTTGCGAATTCAGGAATTCGAAATTAAGTGTTTAAAAATTTTGCATTTGGAAAGTGAGAACTTCGAAACTGGGAATTTGGGAATTGGGAATTGAGGTTTAAAAATTCGGAAACCAAAAATTAATAATTTTGGGAAAAGAAGCAGGAGAATTTGAGAATTTCTAATTTGGAATTTAAATTTCTGGACTGATAAAGAGAGATCTTTGAAAGTTGGGAATTGGTAACTGAAAACCTGAATACGGAGAACATGAATTTGAAAATAAATAATTACTATTTGTAATTCAACAAATAGAATTTTGAAACTGCGAATTAAAAACTGTTTATTTGCAGACTGGGCATCGAGAATAGGTGTTTTCAGAATTAGAAATTGAAAATTAGGCATTTAGGACCGCATGTACTAGAAATTGAGTACTGTAAGCTGCGAATTCACGAATTCGAAATTTAGGTTTTATTAATCTTGTAATCAGAAAATGAGAATTTCGAAACTGGGAATTTGGGAACTGAAAACTGAGATTTCATAGCTCGGGAATTAGAAATTTTAAACAGAATTTTGCAATTTCTACAGGAATTCGAAACCGTAGCGTTAAAAATGAATTTGTGTTGCATTTTGTAATGATTGGAAATTATTGGAACAGGCAACTTGAAAATTCCGGATTGACAATTGGGAATTTAAAAGTGAAACCGGAATTTAAGATTCGAGAAGCGGAAATTGAGATCTCACATTGAGAATTTGGATTTGGAAATGCAAAAATTTCGGCATTAGGAATTCGTATTTAGGATTCGGAAATTGAGACTTGAGAATTTGAAAACCAGAAATTAATCATTCAGAACTAAAATATCTAAACTTGAGAAACGAGACTTTGGGAATTTCTAATTTCAGTAATTTGGAATTTAAAAATTATAAAACCGAAAAGAGAGATCTGTAAAATTCTTGAATTCGTAACCGAGGATTTGGATTCGGGAAACTTGAAATTGGAAATTAAAAATTACTATTACTAGCAGAATTCGCAAACTGAGAATTGAGTTTTGGAAATTTGGAGATTTACAAACAGTAATGAAAATTTAGCAATGTAGGAGTTTAGAAATTGCGAATTAAAAATTAGGAATTTAGTAACGCAAAAACTAGAAATTAAGCACCGTAAGCTACGAATTGAGGAATTCGAAATTAACGATTCAAAAAATTTTGCATTTAAAAAGTGAGAATTTCGAAATGGGGAATTTAGGAATTGAGAAGTGAGATTTAAAAATTGAAATACAAAGATCTTTAGTGTTCAAGAGTTCTAAACAGTAGTATTAAAAACCCAAAAAAATATTTCCAATTTTGAATAATAATCAGAAATTCGATCTTGCAATTTGAAAATTCTGAACTGACAACTTGAAATTTCAAAATGAAGCCGGAATTTAAAATACGAGAAACGCAAATTGAGAAACTACACTGGGAAATAGACATCTGAAAATAAGGACTAAGAATTTAGAAATTTGAAATTGGAAATGTGAAAATTTTGGCATTAGGAATTAGGAATTTGAACCTGGAAATTAAAATTTCAGAATTCGGAAACCATAAAATAATAACTGAGAACTGGAATATCGGAATTTGATAAACGAGAATGGGAAATTGAGAACCTGAAAACTTAAAAGTCAAGCGTTGAGCATTTGAAAATTTCTAATTTGGAATTTAAAAGAGAGATCTGTGAAATTCTGGAATTGGTAATTGAGACCCTATATTCGGAGAACTGGAAATTTGAAATCAAAAATTCCAATTTGTAATTCAACAAACAGAATTTGGAAACTGAGAATCAAGTATTGGAAATTTCGAGATTTGCAAACAGCAATGAAAAATTTAGCAATTTAGGAGTTTGATAATTGGGAATTTAGTGACGCAAAAACTAGAAATTAAGGAATTCGAAATTAAGGATTTAAAAAATTTTGCATTTAGAAAATGAGAATTTCGAAAGGGGGAATTTGGGAATTGAGAAGTGAGATTTAAAAATTCAAGAACTAAGAATTTTAAAGAGAATTTGGGAATGTCAAATACGAAGATTTTTAGTCTTCAGGATTTCAAAACAGTAGTATTTTAAACACAAAAAATGTTGGAATTTTGAATAACCAAAAATTCGATTTGTAATTTCAAAATTCTAGATTGACAACTTAGGAATTTAAAAATGGAAAATGTGAAAGTTTTGGCATTGGGATTTCGTATTTACGATTTGGAAATTGAGATTTGAGAATTCGAGGACCAGAAATTAATCATTTAGAACTGGAACATCTGGACTTGGAAAACGTGAATAGGAAATTAAGAACCTGATAACTTATGACTTACGAGTTGAGAATTTGAGAATTTTTAATTTCAATAATTTGGAATTTAAAAATTCTGAATCTGAAAAATGAGAGAATTCTTGAACTGGTAACCGAGAATTTGTATTGGGGAAATTAAAAATTACTATTTGTAATTCAATAAATAGATTTTGAAAACTGATAATTAAGTATTGGAAATTTCGAGATTTTCAAACATCAATAAAAATTTAGCATTTGGAACCTCATAATTTGTAACTGAGAATAGGAGTTCTGGGAACTGAGAATTAGGAATTTAGGAACGGAAATACTAGAAATTAAGCACCATAAGCTGAAAATTCATGAATTCGAAATTAATGGTTTAGTAGGAAGAGTTATGCGTTGAGCACTTGAGAATTTCTTATTTGGAATTTAAAAGAGAGATCTTTGAAATTCGGGAATTGATAACTGAGAACCTGGACTCAGAGAATTTGAAATTTGGAATCAAAAATTACCACTTGTAGTTAATTCAACAATTACAATTTGAATAGGTAAAAAAACTGTATCTTTAGATTAATGTTAAACATCTGAAAGCTCCAAAATAACAATGAAATAAAAAATTTATTAGTTAAGAAAGTATTAAAATTTTCACATTTTTAAAGTCATACTAATTGTGACAAGTGACGCAAAAAAAATCAGAGTTCTGTCTTAAATTTTTACATTTTAAAGTTTAACAGAGAACCAAATATCAGTTTTTTTTACTATTTCAAACAAGTTCTTTTGAACAACAAAATTTCTGAAAATCGTTTCAGTTGTGGAAAATCCTCATTCTTCACCTCTTGTTAAAATGACTCAATTCTCACTAAATAAACAAACGCCCTTTTCTCAAAATAAAGTTTTATTAAAAATATAAACATATACAAAAGTTAAAGCATCAAAAATCAACAAAAAATCAAACACACTACAAAACAATCAATAATGATGAACAGGTACAGCGACTACAGCTTTTTGAACATGTTGTGGGTGTGCAGCATGTCCAGACCTCTGAACCACCGCATTGAACCCACTGTGCTTATCAGCAGTGTAGTGAACAGTCAAGATGGTACCATCGGGTTCATGGAGAGAGTAAGAACCCTTCACAACATCCCCATCTCTAGTCTCCTCTTGCTGCTTAATATCACCAGTGTGATGGTCCTGAACTCCGTATTTGAAAGCGTACTTAGGAGGAGCCTACAACAATAAAATAAAAAAAATTGGGAAAAAATGACAAAAAAAAACACTCACATAATGGTGATCTTCGTGATGAACTGGAGCAGCATGCACTACTGGAACCGCGTGAACAACAGGGGCGGCGTGCACGATGGGGGCGGCGTGTACAATGGGAGCGGCGTGAACAACGGGGGCGGCGTGGACCACAGGCACGTGCTTAACCGGGTGTCCATACGAGTGTTGTTGCTTCACTGTGTAGGACACTCCATGTCCTCCGTAGTACTGCGCTCCAACTGTGGCCACCAACAAACAAACACCCACAATCTACAACAACAAAATAACAAATTTTACAATGAAAAAGCGCACAACAGAGATAACATACTTTGGCAAACATTTTCGTTTCGCTTGGCTGCTCGACTCGAACTGGTCAGCCATTGCCCAGCGAGCTTTATATACATGAGAAAAAATTAAACATTCACAAATTATGAATTTTGTCGTAGACAATTACATAATTGTATGACAAGTCGGTTCGTTCCGACACAAGACACGCGTACGTTCTTGAAATAATTTTACATAATGGCGCATGACTGATTAATGGGCGACGAACTGAAAAAAAAGGAATGTTGAGGCTGCTGACCTAGTATGGACAATTCGGTCGTGCGGTATATGATTGCGGGACACCTACGGTCGTAAATTTCACTTTTTACGATTAATTAAAATGTGTGCGTAAACATAGACATTTTTTTTGGATCGGGTGACAACCTCGTTTCCGAAATTAGAAGTTCCTTGTTGTGAAACTGAGATGGAGGAATTTGGGAGAAACGAGCGGGTTTTGATTTTGATTTATGGGCGGTGGGGGTTTGTGGAGCGGTTGCGTCGATGGGTGGAGTCTGGAGTGATAAGATCGATGTGGTAGATTATGCCAATTTGACTATTTTTAGGACTGCAAAAAGTAGAAGCTTTGGTTACATGGTTTTAACCTGCTGATGTTTTTTTGCTGAATCAGAATCGTCTAAATGTACAAAAAAGATGTACACAGAATTTTTTTCCTTTTTTTTGTCAAATTCGGTCTTAAATCGGATAACTTTGGTATCTTTTGTGTTGTAATGGAAGATTTGATTCATTTGTTGGCTGTGTAATTGGCAATTTCATGCTCAGCAGAGGTCAATCAGAACTTTTACCAAATGTTAAATTTACGACGAGATCATATGAAAGCTTCTAAAAGTATGAAAGTTTACCCACTAAAGATTTTTTTCACACTACAATTCCTTCAGTTAGAATTATAAAATCTGATGCACTTTAAGTGTAATAAAAATAAACGTAATAATAACAGCTAAAAATACAATTTTTTTCAGGGGCAGCAAAAATATATAAAATATAAAAATTTCTGAATATAAAATTACCAAGAAACTTATCATAATTTTAGAGTTTAGAGATTTCTCAAAATTTTTTTCCCGAATGTAAGCTAAGTGAAAAAAATCCCTTCGTCCTTCGTCCTTTGTCCTTAGTCCTTCGTCCTTCGTCCTTCGTGTTTCGTCCAAAAATTCTCGAATGTAGATCTTGATGTGCTAATTCGAAAAATATATGGCGTGTTTCCGGATTAAAGATTTCCGGAAAATTTCGACTGAAAATTAATTTCTTTAAAAATCGGAAAAATTACCATATTCAATTCATGATTTTGGAAAAACGGTCGGAATTCGAAAATGATTTCTGGACGTTGAAATCTACAAGAAAATATTTTTTGCTAGTTTTCGAAGATGGTTGAAAAATGGTCGAAAATGTCAAAATGGGAGAGTAGGTATTGAAAAATTAAGTCTAGAAAAGTTATCCAAAAATTTTCAAAAATATTCTGGAGTATAGATCTTGACGTGTTGATTCGAAAAAATGTAGCATCTTCATAGTCCTAGATTCAAAATTTTCCAAAAATTCGGATTCAAAAGGATTTTTTTTTAAATTCCAAAAATTACTAAAAAATTCTGGAATAAAGATTTTTACGTGTTGATTCGAAAAATATAGTTTTTCATAGCCCTGAATTAAAAATTTCCGGAAAATTCGGATGAATGTGATTTTTTTTAATGTTAGAAATTGTCATATTTCAGTTGGAAAATCTTGACAGTCGGCGGAAATTTTCGAAGAAACGAAGCCGAAAATGACGTTTGGATGCCGCTATCTACAGGAAAATGTCTTTAACTGTTTTTCGAAAATGATCGAAAAATTGTGGAAAATGTCAAAATGGGGATTTTCGAAAAACTGAACTTTGGAAAAATTATCCAAATCTTCTCAGGAAATTCTGAAATCTAAGGTGCTGATTAGAACGTGTTCATAGATCAGGATTAAAAATTTTCGAAAAGTTTCGATTGAAAGTGAATTTTTTTAATAATTGTAAAAATTGCCAAATTTCAATTACCGATTCTGGAAAATCGGTGGGAATTTTCGAAAAGACGAAACCGAAAATATCTTCAGCTAATTTTCGAAAATGGTCGAAAAATTGTTGAAAATGTCGAAAAATTAAGCCTCTGGAGAAGTTATCCAAAAATTTTCAAAAATGTTCATAGTCCTAGATTAAAAATTTTCCAAAAATTCGGATTCAAAAGGTTTTTTAATATTTGTAAAAATTACGATTCCGGAAAATCGGTGCGAATTTCGCAAGAGACCAAACCGAAAATGTCTTCTGGATGTCAAAATCTACAAGAAAATATTTTTACTTGATTTTCGAAAAAGTAGAAAAATTGTCCTTTAGAACAGTTGTCTAAGAATTACCAAAAAATTCTAAAATGTAGGTTTTGACGTATTGATTCGAAAAATATACATTTTCATAGCCCTGAACTAAAAATTTCCTGAAAATTCGGATTGAATGTGATTTTTTTTTTAATTTTAAAAGCTGTCATATTTCAGTTGGCAAGTTTTGAAAATCGGTGGAAATTTTCTAAGAATCGAAGCCGAAAATGACTTTTGGATGCAGGAATCTACAGGAAAATGTCTTTAGATGTTTTTCGAAAATGATCGAAAAATTGTGGAAAATGTCAAAATGAAAATTATCGAAAAACTGGACTTTGGAAAAGTTATCCAAAAATTCTGGAATGTAGATCTTGACGTATTGGTTAAAAAAATATAGAATGTTCGATTGTTCATGTTGCCGGATTAAAAATTTTCCAAAAATTCGGATTCAAAAGATTTTTTTTTTAATCGTAAATACGATTTCGGAAAGTCGGTGGAAATTTCCTAAGAGACGAAACCGCAAATGTCTTCTGGATGTTCAAATCTACAAGAAAATGTTTTTATTTGATTTTCGAAAAGGTCGAAAAGTTGAGCTTTTTGAAAAGTTGTCCAAAAATTACCAAAAAGTTTTGTAATATAGGTTTTGACGTGTTGATTCAAAAAATATAGTTTTTCATAGCCTTGTAAAAATTTCGGGGAAATTCGGATTGAATGTGATTTTTTTTTAATTTTAAAAATCGTCATATTTCAGTTGCCAAATCTTGAAAATCAGTGGCAATTTTCGAAGAAACAAAGTCAAAAATGACTCCTGGATGTCGAAATATACAAGAAAATGTATTTTGCTGATTTTCGAAAATGATCGCAAAATTGTGAAAATGTCAAAATGTAGATTTTCGAAAAACTGAACTTTGGAAAAGTTACCAAAAAATTCTCAGGAAATTCTGGAATCGTAAGGTGCTGATTAAAAAATTATAACGTTTTCATAAGTCAGGATTGAAAATTTCGAAAAATTTCGATTGAAAGTGAAATTTTTTAAAAATCCTAAAAATTGCCTAATTTCTGTTACCAATTCTGGAAAATCGGTGGGAATTTTCGAAAAAATGAAGCCGAAAGTATCTTTAGCTAATTTTCGAAAATAATCGAAAAATTGCAAAAGTGGCCCAAAACTTATCAAAAAATTCTGAAATGTACCCACATCTTTAAAAATACCCGGAAAATTCGGATTGAGTATAATTTTTTTTTAAAATTGTAAAAATTGTCTAATTCAATAACCGGTTCTAGAAAATCGGTGGGAATTTTTGAAGAGATGAGCCCGAAAATGATCTCTGGATACTGAAATCTACAAGAAAATATATTTAGCTAATTTTCGAAAATGGTCGAAAAATTCTTCAAAATGTCGAAAAATTAAGCCTTTGGAGAAGTTGTCCAAAAATTTTCAAAAATATTCTGGAGTATAGATCTTGACGTGTTGATCTGAAAAAAATGTAGCATGTTCATGGTCCTAGATTAAAAAAAGGTTTTTTAATACAATTTTTAAATTAAAATTACGATTCCGGAAAATCGGTGCGAATTTCCCAAGAGACGAAATCGAAAATGTCTTCTGGATGCCAAAATCTACAATAATATATTTTTACTTGATTTTCGAAAAAGTCGAATAATTGACCTTTTGAAAAGTTGTCCAAAAATTACCAAAAAATTCTAAAATGTTGGTTTTGACGTGTTGATTCGAAAAATATACGTTTTCATAGCCCTGAATTAAAAATTTCCGGAAAATTCGGATTGAATGTGATTTTTTTCTAAATCTTAAAAGCTGTCATATTTCAGTTGGCAAATCTTGAAATTCGGCGGAAATTTTTGAAGAAACGAAGCCGAAAATGACTTTTGGATGCCGGAATCTACAGGAAAATGTCTTTAGATGATTTTCGAAAATGATCGAAAAATTGTGGAAAATTTCAAAATGAAGATTTTCCAAAAACTGAACTTTGGTAAAGTTATCCAAAGATTCTCTGGAAATTCTGGAATCTTTAGGTGCTGATTAGAAAACCATAACGTATTCATAGATCAGAATAAAAAAATTTCTAAAAATTTCGATTGAAAGTGAAAATCTACAAGAAAATATTTTTATTTGACTTTCGAAAAGGTCGAAAAATTGAGCTTTTTGAAAAGTTGTCCAAAAATTATCAAAAAATTTTGAAATGTAGGTTTTGACGTGTTGATTCGAAAAATATAGCATTTCATAGCCCTGAATTAAAAATTTCCGGAAAATTTGGATTGAATGTGATTTTTTTTTAAATCTTAAAAATTGTCACATTACGGTTGGCAAATCTTGAAAATCGGCGGAAATTTTCGAAGAAACGAAGCCAAAAATGACTTCTGGATGTCACAATTTACAAGAAAATGTCTTTAGCCGATTTTCAAAAATGATCGAAAAATTGTGGAAAATGTCAAAATGGAGATTATCCAAAAACTGGATTTTGGAAAAGTTATCCAAAAATTGTCAGGAAATTCTGGAATTTTAACGTGCTGATTCGAAAAATATAACGTTTTCATAGATCAGGATTAAAAATTTTCCAAAAATTTCGATTAAAATTTTTTTAAAAATTGTAAAAACTGCCAAATTTCTAATACCGATTCTGGACAATCGGTGGGAATTTTCGAAGATACAAAGGCGAACATCATTTCTGGATGTCGGAATCTACAAGAAGAGATCTTTGGCTAATTTTAGAAAATGGTAGAAAAATTTTTGAAAATGTCAAAAAACTGCGGGTTTGGAAAACTTGTCCAAAAATTCTCAGAAAATTTTGGAATGTAGATCTTGACGTATTGGTTCGAAAAATATAGAATGTTCATAGTCCCGGATTCAAAATTTCCCAAAATTTCGGATTGAAAATGTAATTTTTTAGAAATTGTAAAAATTGCGATTCTAGAAAATCGATGTGAATTTCCGAAGAGACGACGCCGAAAATTACTTCTGAATGTCGAAATCTACAAGAAAATATCTTTAGCTGATTTTTAAAAGTGATCAGAAAATTGTCGAAAATGTCAAAAACAAGAACTATCGAAAAACTGAGCGGTTTAAAAAGTTGTCTTAAAATTTTCAAAATTTTCAAAAAATGTCAAAATGTGGGTATCAAGAAATTAAACATTTGGAAAAGTTTTAGAAAATCGTCGAAAAATTGAGCGTTTGAAAAAGTTGTCCAAAAATCCTGCAAAAATTCTTGACAGTAGGTCTTGACGTCTTTATTCGGAAAATATATTATGTTGATAGTCCTGGTTTAAAAATTTCTCCATTTTTTTTTAAATCGTAAAATTAGCGATTCTGGAAAATCCCATGGGAATTTTCAAAGAAAAAGTAAATGGTCAAAAAATTGTCGAAAAATTGAGTACTTGGAAAAGTTGTCTAGAAATACTCAGAAACTTCTGGAATATAGATCTTGAGGTGCTGATTCGAAAAATTTAGCGTGTTCATAGTTTCGGATTAAAAATTTCCAAAAAATTTGGATTGAAAGTCAAATTTTTTTAAAGTGTAAAAATTGGCATATTTCAGTTCCTGATTCTCAAAAATCGGTGTGAATTTTCGAAGAAGCGAAGCCAAAAATGACTCCTGGATGTCGAAATCTACACGAAAATGTCTTTAGCTGATTTTCGAAAATGGTCGAAAAACTGAGTGTTTGGAGAAGTTGTCCAAAAATTCTCAAAAAATTCTCGATTGTACATCTTGGCGTCCTAATTCGAAAAATACATCGCTTTTATAGTCCTAGATGAAAAATTTCCGGGAAACTTGGAATGAAAAAAATATTTTTAAAAATTATAAAATTTACCACATTTCAATGAAGTATTTTGGAAAAATGGTTTGAATTTCCTAAGAGTCAAAGCCACAAATGACTTCTGGATGTCGAAATTTACAAGAAAATGGCTTCAGCTAATTTTCGAAAAAGTTTGAAAAATTGTGGATAATTTCAAAAAACTTTGGAAAAGTTATCCAAAAATTCTCTGAAAATTCTGGAATCTTAAGGTGCTGATAAGAAAATTATAACGTGTTCATAGATCAGGATTAAAAATTTCCAAAAATTCGAATTGAAAGTGAAATTTTTTAAAAATCGTAAAAATGTCATATTTGAATTTCCGATTCTGGAAAATCCGTGCGAATTTTCAAAGAAAAGCTTGTCAAAGTGGGAGGATAGGTATCGAAAAATCAAGCGATTGGAAAAGTTGTCCAAAAATTCCCAAAAAATAAAACAATTCTTACGTGTTGATTCGAAAAATTAGCAAGTTTATAGTCCCGGGTTAAAAATTTCGAAAACATTAGGATTAAAAATGAAATTTAAAAAAAAAACGTGAAAATGGTCCAAAAATGGTGGCAAAATTGAGGTTTGCAAAAGTTGCCCAAAAATTCGCAAAAAATTCAGGAATGTAGGTCTTGATATGTTGACTCGAAAAATATATGTTTTCATAGACACGAATTAAAAATTCCGATTAAATGTGTTTCTTTTTAATTCATAAAAATTGCCATACTTCATGAAAATCGGTGTAAATTTTCGAAGAAAGAAAGCTTGATGTCAAAATTCACAAGAAAATGTCGCTAATGATCGAGAAAACGAGAAGATAAATTTTAAAATGTTATAACAGTTTCAAGTTTAATTATTATTGCACTTCAAAATTTTCAAATTTGTCAATATTTCAGGAAATTCAAAACTGGGTTATTTTCTGTTAAAATTGTAAACCCAGAAATAGATCTAAAATTTTTAAACATCTTAGAGGATTTAATATACTTTCTGCATTTATTAAATTCTAGCCAAGTATGTAACAATTTTAATATCGACTAACAACACACATAATCTTACAAATATTCATACTCCTATTTCCCGCTTCGCTAAAAACTATCTACCAATTTTCATTACCAACCGCCTTACACAACCATTATCACCTAAAACAAACCCAATTCAACCAGTGAATGTGTATTTTAGCAAACACGTATAAAAACCGGCCCGCCAAAATTCCAATCAGTTCAAACTTGATCCTCGACCAAACAACAAAACAAACAAAATGTTTACCAAAGTAAGTACTTACCTAAATACACAATTACATCCATTAGGTACTAATATCAATTAATAGCTCGTGGGCTTATCCCTCCTGGCACTCTACGCCACCGCCGCCCCCCAAGGCGTCTCCTACACCGTCAAACAACAACACACCTACGGCCACGGCCACGACAGCGGCCACGTCGCCATCGCCGCAGCGCCCGCCGTCCACTCCGCCCAGTCCTTCGCCACCCTCGACATCGGCCACGTAGTCGCCGCCCCCGCCGTCCACGTCGCTCCTGTCGTCCACGCATTACCAGTGGTGCACGCCGTCCCCGTTCACCACGAGGAACCTCACGTACGTGCCATAGTCTAAAAGTACCCCCGGTACTCATTTTTGTTGTTACAGCACCACCCCAAGTATGCTTTCAAGTACGGAGTTGAGGATCATCACACTGGCGATATTAAGCAGCAGGAAGAGACCAGGGATGGGGATGTCGTCAAGGGTTCCTACTCCCTTCATGAACCCGACGGTACCGTCTTGACTGTCCACTACACCGCTGATAAGCACAGCGGGTTCAATGCGGTGGTTCAGAGACACGGACATGCGGCTCATCCCCAGCACGTGCAGCATGTGGTGGCGGTACCCGTCCATCATTAGGGGTTGAAGGGTTAAATGTGCCACGTTGTTGTTAAATTGTTGAGAGATTTGTATATTTTATATGTAGATATATTATTAATAAAAATATATTTTGACTAAATATGTGTCTTTTTATCGCAAAAAAATATATAAAAAAGTGTTCTAATTACGTATCGGGTTCAGTTTTTTGTAGTCGTTAATTTTGAGGTATTTAACACTTAATTAATGAATTTAGTCGTGAAAATTAAGAACATTTTTTATGTAACTTCATAATTAAGTTGATAATAAAATAAAACTAATTAGTGATAAAAACGGAGCAAATAACGACTGGAAAGTAATTTGTGCGATGTTTATTAATATTTTTTAAATTTTGATGTGCGAAATTTGTGCCGATTACGTCAACAGAATTTTTATATCTCAATTATTTAGTACTGCATTACCTTTGAATCCGAATAGGAAAAGAAAGCCGAAGAAATAGGAACAATCGACAAAATCATATTAAAATATTTATAAGATTGTCAAAAAATCTCAACTTAGAAAAGAAACAAAAAAAAATGTCGTCAGAACTGGCGTCAGTGTCGAAATCATACTAAGTGATTGTAAGAATTATCAAAATACCGGGTGATTACTAATGAGTGAAGAAAATTTTTGGGTTGGCAATCCTGAATTACTGACGGCAATGTAAGCAACCACTAAGAAGATGGTAGCCTAAAATTTTAAATATGTTGCCAACCTGACAAACAAATCACAAATATTAATAGTCCGTCACCTGAGAACGAAAAAATGAATAATCGAAAAATGTAGAATTTTAAAAATCGAAAAATTGAGAAATCGAAATATCAAAAAATCGATAAACTGAAAAATTCCAAAATGTAACAACCGAGAAATCGAAACGCCAAAATTTAAAAAATCGAAACATCGAAAAATTCATAAACTGAAATATCGAGAAAATTCAAAAGTTCGAGAAATCGAGAAGTTGAACACATAAAAATTCAAAAATCGGAAAACTAAAATATTCAAAAATTAAGAAAAGAAAAATGTAAAACCGGGAAGTCGAAACATTGATTATTGAGAAATCAAACCATCAAGAAGTTGAAAAATCTAAATTGACAAATAATAAAATTAAAAAATCGAGAAATCGAAATATCAAAAAGTCTCAAAACTGAAATATCGAAAAATTGAAAAATAAAAATATCAAAGAACTGAAAAATCGAAAAATTGAGAAATCCAAATATTAAAAATCAGTACAGTGAAAAATTCCAAAATTTAAAATTGAGAAATCGAAACGCCAAAATTCAAAAAATCAAAAAATTAAAAAATTTAGTAATTTAAAAATCAAAACGTCGAAAAATTGGAATATCGAAATCGAAAAGCCGAAAAGGAAAAAATCGAAAAACTGAGAAATTGAAAAATTGAAATATCTAAAAATTCATAAAGTGAAACAATGAGAAATCGAAAAATCAAAAGATCGAGAAATCGAAAAGTCGGAAAGTCGAAAAATTGATAAATCGAAATTTTGAACAATCAAAACTTCGAACCTAATCTTGATAAATGGGGAAAGTAAATAATTCAAAAACTGAAACATCAAGAAATCGAAAAATCGGAAGATCGAGAACTCGAGAAGTCAAAAAGTCGAGAAGTTGAAAAGTCAAGAAGTCAAAAATCGAAAAATTGGAAAACTAAATCGAGACACAGAAGAATTAAAAAACATCAAAACAACCAAATCTCGAGAAATCGAGAAATCAAAAAATCGAAATAACGAAAATTTGAAAAATCGAAAAATTAAAAAACAGAAAATTTAAAACCAGAAAGTCAAAACATTGAACATTGAGAAAGCGAAACATCAAGAATTGAAACATTAAAAAATCCCAAAACTGAAATATCGAAAAATTGAAAAAATGAAAGAAAAACTGAATGGAAAAAGTAAAAATTCAAATAATTGAAAAATGGCAAATAAGTATCGAAGAACTAAAAAATCAAAAAATTGAGAAATCTAAATATCAAACAATCGGTTATGTGAAAAATTCCAAAATTTAAAAACCGAAAAATCGCAACGCCAAAATTTAAAATATCGAAAAATTTAAAAATTATATAATGTAAAAATCAAAACATCGAAAAATTGGGATATCGAAAACTCGAAAAGCCGAAAATTAAAAAATCGAAAAACCGAGTAATTGAAAAATCGAAACATCGAAAAATTCAAAAACTGAAACATCGTGAAATCGAAAAGTCCAAAAATTGATAAATCGAGATTTTGAACAATCAAACATCGAAACGTTCTAATCTCCAAAAAATGGAGAAACCAAAAAATTGAAACATTTAAAAAAAAGAAAAATGTAAAATCGGCAAGTTAAAAACCGAAAAGTCGAGAAATCAAAACATCAAAAAGGTGAAAAGTCTAGAATGTAAAAAGCCGAAAAGTTGAAAAATTGAAATGTCAAGATCGAGAAGTCCAAAGTTCAAGAAGTCAATAAATCGAAGAACTGAGAAGACAAGAGACCAAAATCCAAAAATCAAATAGTTAAACATTGAAAAATTGTAAAATCGAAAAGCCAAAAAATCGAAACACCGAAAGATTCAAAAACTGAAGCATCAAGAAATCGAAAAATGAGAAGATCGAGAACGTGAGAAATCAAAAAGTCGAAAAGTTGAAACGTCTAGAAGTCAAAAATCGAAAAATTGGGACACCAAAATAGGTCAAAATCGAAAAATGGAAAAATTAAAAATTTAAAAATCGATAAATCGAGAACTCAAAAAATCGAAATATCGAAAATGAACAATTGAAAAACAGAAAATTTAAAACCAAGAAGTCAAAACATTGAAATCGAAAAATCGAAAAGGCGAATAATCGAAATATTAAAAAATCCCAAACCAGAAAAAATTAAAGAAAAACTAAAAAATCGGAAAATTGAAAAATAGAAATATCGAAGAACTGAAATATTGGAAAAATTGAAAAATCTAAATATCAAAAAATCGATAAAGTGAAAAATTCCAAAATTTAAAAACCGGAAAATCGAGACGCCAAAATTTAAAAAATCGAAAAATTGAAAAATTAGGTAATTTAAAAACCAAAACATCGAAAAATTGGAATATGGAAAACTCGAAAAGCCGAAAAGTAAAAAACCGAACAACCGACAAATCTCGGTAAATCGAGAAATCAAAAAATCTAGATATCGAAAATTTGAAAGATCTAAAAATTGAAAAACAGAAAATTTAAAACCAAAAAGTTAAAACATTCAAATCGAAAAATCGAAAAGGCGAAGAATCGAAATATTAAAAAATCCCAAACCAGAAATATCGAAAAATCGAAAAAATGAAAGAAAATCTGAGAAATCGGAAAATTGAAAAATAGAAATATGGAAGAACTGAAATATTGGAAGAATTAAGAAATCTAAACATCAAAAAATCGGTAAAGTAAAAAATTCCAAAATTTAAAACCGGGAAATCGAACCGCCAAAAATTTAAAAAATCGAAAATTGAAAAACTAGATAATTTAAAAATCAAAATATCGAAAAATTGGAATATCGAAAACTCGGAAAACCGAAAAGTAGAAATTCGAAAAACCCACAAATCTCGATAAATCGAGAAATTAAAAAATCGAAATATCGAAAATTTGAAAGATCGAAAAATTGAAAAACAGAAAATTTAAAACGATAAAGTCACAACATTGAAAGATTGAGAAATCGAAATATCAAAAAGCTGGAAAATCCAACTGACAAGCAGAAAAAGTAAAGAATCGAGAAATCGAAAAATCCAGAAGTCGAAAATGCGAAAAGTCGAAGAATCGAAATATTAAAAAATACAAAACATAAGTATCGAAAAAGTGAAAAAACGAAGGAAAGACTGAAAAATGAAAAAAGTGAAATATCGCAAAAATTGAGATATTTAAAAATTGAAAAACTCGAATAATTCATAAACTGAAACATCGAGAAATTGAAAAATCCAAAATCGAGAAATATAGAGGTCGTAAGGTCCAAAAATTAATAAACCAAAATTTTCAACAATCAAAGTATCAAAACGTCTGAATGTCATAAATCGAGAACTTAAAAAATTCCAAAAAAACTAAAATATTGAAAAAAAAAGCAAAATGTAAAACCGGGAAGTCGAAAATCGAAAAGTTGAGAAATCAAAACATGAAAAAAATTGAGGACCATATCAAGAAATCGATATATCAAAAGATCGAGAAATCGAGAAGTCGAAAAGTCAAGAAGTCGAAAATTGGGAAACCAAAATAGGCCAAAATAAAAAAAAAATTGAAAAATTGATAAATCGAGACACTTAACAATTAAGAACCATCAAAACATCCAAATCTCGATAAATCGAGAAATCAAAAAAATCGAAATATCGAAAATTTGAAATATCGAAAAATTAAAAACAGAAAATTTAAAACAAGGAAGTCAAAACATTGACTATTGAGAAATCAAACCATCAAGAAGTTGAAAAATCTAAATTGACAAGTAGAAAAAGTAAAAAATCGAGAAATCGAAAAATCCAGAAGTTGAAAAATCGAAAAGTCGAAAAATCGAAATACAAAAAAATTCCAAAATTTAAATATCGAAAAATTGAAAAAATGAAAGAAAAATTGAAGAATGGAAAAAGTAAAAAATTACAAAACTTGAGATACAAAAATTCAAAAACCCAGAAATCGAAAAATTGATGAATTGAGGGAGTGAAAAATCGAAATAATCGAAAGTCGAGATGACGTCGAGAAATGGTAAAATCAAAAAATCGATTAATTGAAAATCGAAAAATTGAAATTTTAGAAACGTCAAAAACTGAAAAATTGAAAAATCTAAATATTTAAACTTCGTAAAACTGAAGAGGAGAAAAACTGAAACATCGGAAAATTGAGAAATCGAAAAATTAAAAAATCGAAAGATCGAAAATTTGAAGAAGTCTAACACTGAATATCGAAAACTGGTATTCGAAAATTGAAAATCGAAAGTACTCAATCGTTATTCGAAATTAAAATTAAAATGAAAATAAAAATAATCGTCAGAATTGAGTACTACTAAGACGAAAACGCAATGTTTTGCCATCTGTCCTAATTAATTGTTTTTGAGCTGTAGGGATTTTAAAAACTTCGAAAATACCAGAGTACTTCAAATTTCCACAAAAAGGGGTAATAACAAAAATTCATACGTAAAAATAATACAAAAATAAATTTATTCATGTAAAACAACCACAATGAAACATGATAAAATAAAATGACGATGCAACAAGGTACCACCATCTAGTAACCCTAATGATGATGAACAGGTACTGCCACTACAGCCTTGGCAACATGCTGAGGATGAGCAGCATGTCCTTCCCTATGTACCACAGCGTTGAATCCATTGTGCTTATCAGCGGTGTACTGAACCTTAAGAACGGTACCATCGGGTTCATGAAGAGAATATTCACCCTTCACAACATCCCCATCTCTGGTTTCGTGCTGAGACTTAATATCACCAGTATGATGATCCTGTACGCCGTACTGGAACTCATATTTGGGGTGAGCCTGGAATAGTACCACATTTAGTTTGAGTATGTACACTGAAGGTACTTACGTAGTAGTCGACTGCGTGGTGGGCGGGGGCAGCATGAGCAATAACGGGGGCGGCATGCACTACAGGAGCGGCATGGACAACAGGGGCGGCGACATGTCCTATTCCGATGTTAGAGTACGACTGTGCGTGACCTGCGGAGTGAACGGCTACCACGGGGGCGGCGTGCACTACAGGAGCGGCATGGATAACAGGGGCGGCATGGACAACAGGGGCGGCATGAACCACGGGGGCGGCGACATGTCCTATTCCGATGTTAGAGTGACCTGCGGAGTGAACGGCTACCACGGGGGCGGCTTTGACGAGGACGGGGGCGGTTTTTACAAGGACGGGGGCGGCTTGGACGACAGCGCCGTGTCCTTGCAGGTGCGTGGTGACCGAAGAGTACGAAGTGGCGTGTCCTTGGTCTGCCTGGTGGTAGTGTTGGGGGGCGGCGTTGACGTACGCCACCAGCAACGACACACTTAAAATCTACAACAAATTAATAAATAATTGGGCACTTCACTGGTCGGACACTCACTTTAGCGAACATTGTGTTGGTTGCGGTTGATTGATTTGAGTTGTACTGGTTTGGTGGTACCCCGGGTGCTCTTATATATCGGAAAAAACACACACTCACTCCCCTGTTTGTTTGATCGATTAACAATGATCGAGTTATGTAATTTCATTAAGGAACTTGCGTGCTGGTCCCGAAATACGGCGAGAAAGGAATTATTGGTCAAGCATTTAGAAAAAGTGCAATTGAGACACCAGGTGATTTAATTAATGCATATGGGTGGTACCGTATTATTAAATCAAAGCTAACTTATTACATGTTAATAAGTGGTGCCACGGTTTCGTAGCTGACAGTTCATAATTCATAAGTGGATATTATGACTTAATGACTATCTAAACTGAGGTCGATAATTTTTGGATTAGGTGGTACTTCCTAGATGGATTTTTGGGATGGAAGTTCATAGACGAAGATAGAGATGATCCAGTTTTTATTAAAGACACATTTAGATTAACACCTACTTGTCTTCAGTCGGTTTGAAAAGCGATCTCTTGATCTCAGTTAAATTATGTGGTGCTTTTAGGTACTATTTTTTCATTTTACGAAAAGAGTGTAACCTCTTAGGTAAGTTTAAAATTTTAGACAAAAAAATAAATCAAATTTCATAGTCACCTCTGTATCTATAGTTTTGAACTTGAGAGATCGGCAATGGTACTTTAGTGACTTTTTTTCAGGAAATTTAAAAATCTGTCCAATTACCTACTAAGTACAAATTGTCTTAGTTTCAATTTTTAATATTTTTCTAAGATCTGGTGACATTTTTTAATGCAAAGATAAAATTAACAACGCCCTTAGTGGTATGATTTAAACTAAAGTAGGTACCATACAAAGGAGATTTATTAAAATTTTAGTACGATAACCCTAAAATCTATAAATGTAAAAAATATCTACGTTCATTCTTGTTTGAAATTATATAATTCAGGTCATAATGACGACATACATCATACAAAAAACACAATATGTCTTGATTAAATAGTAACGCGTGACTATTAATGATTGAAGAAAATTTTTGGGTTGGCAATTCTGGATTGTTGGCGGCAATGTTAACATGGCATTTCTAAATTGTCAATTTTGACACGAGGTATTGTCATAATAAAATTTTAAATATGTTGACAACCAAATAAATCACAAACATTAATAGTCATCCGGTAGTTATCTAACTTGATAATCAGGTCAATAAATCATAGTCTGTCCGGTCTAGACAAAATGTAAATGGAACTGACAAACAAAATGTTGTTTTTTAAAATAAGTCCAGAATTGAGTACTACCAAGACGAAACTGCTATGTTTTGCTGTCTGTACTAATTCAAACTCTTATTAAAGCCTGTAAGGATTTTTGCAACTTCGACAGTACCAAAGTACTTCAAACTTCTATAAAATCGGGAGAATAACAAAAATGCGTGCGTAAAAGTAATAAAAAAATAAATTTATTCATGTAAAACAACCACAATGAAACATGATAAAATAAAATGACGATGCAACAAGGTACCACCATCTAGTACTCTAATGATGATGAACAGGTACTGCCACTACAGCCTTGGCAACATGTTGGGGATGGGCGGCATGTCCTTCCCTATGTACCACAGCGTTGAACCCATTGTGCTTATCAGCGGTGTATTGTACCCTAAGAACGGTACCATCGGGTTCGTGAAGGGAATATTCGCCCTTTACGACATCCCCATCTCTGGTTTCATGCTGAGACTTAATATCGCCGGTATGATGATCCTGTACGCCGTACTGGAACTCATATTTGGGATGCGCCTGAAACAGTACCACATTTAGCTGAGTTTGTACACCATAAGGTACTTACGTAGTAGTCGACTGCGTGATGGGCGGGGGCAGCATGAGCAATAACTGGGGCAGCATGAGCAATAACGGGGGCGGCATGAAGTACAGGAGCGGCGTGAACTACGGGGGCGGCGACATGTCCTATTCCGATATTAGAGTACGACTGTGCGTGTCCTGCGGAATGAACGGCCACCACGGGGGCGGCTTTGACGAGCACGGGGGCGGCTTGAACGACACCGCCGTGTCCTTGCAGGTGCGTGGTGACCGAAGAGTACGACGTGGCGTGCCCTTGATCAGCTTGGTGGTAGTGTTGAGGGGCGGCGTTGATGGACACCACCAACAAAGACACACTTAAAATCTACAACAAAATATTAAATAATAATTATAAAGTTTGTACACTCCAATATTTGAACTCACTTTGGCGAACATTGTGTTGGTTTCGCTTGATTGATTGCACTGACTTGGTAGTACTCGGGTGCTCTTATATATCGAAAAAAACTCGCACTCACTCCCCTGATCATTGTCCAACGATTAACAATATTCAAGTTATGTAATTTACTAACCTGCGTGCTACTCCCGAAATACGTCGAGAAAGGAAGTGTTGGTCAAGCTTTAAAAAAAAATGCAATTGAGACACCTCGGTGACTTAATTAGTGCATATGGGTGGTACCGCATTATTAAATCAACACAAGCTTATTAAATGCGTGACCTGAGGCATCGCATCTGACAGCACCTCATCAAGCTTCTTAATAATTCAATAAATATGTGAAAAACAGGCGAAAATCTTGTAAGAGGTACTCTTAAATTACATAATGAGTGATTGATTGACAATTAGCGCAAAAAATGATCGATGAATGTAAATCGTGTGTGTTATTAATTTGGCGCATTTGGTCTGTGGCCCGGAGCTTTGGTTTCTCTTTTTCTTGAGTAATTAAATGTGTAACGAGAAAAATTGTGTGTACGCGGGGATAAAAAAGCCACTTTGTATGACTCCGGAGTGACGGCTTCAAAATGGACTAGATTAGACGGGCTGTGTTTCAGGTGCTTGCCCCAGGCCAGTAATCAAACTTTTAATTTAGTTGGCGCTTTGTTGCAAAATTCGGCGAAATGATTAAACTCTCTTTATGTGTTTGGAAAAAAATATATTTTGTAATGGAATAAACGGACAATAAACTGCTTTTACTTTGAGTTGGTCCATTCGGGAAGAGAGTTATTATATTTGGACTTTCTACATTGTATTTAGTTTTTGTAATTGCGCAGATGTGTTTCAAAATTCGTTGTTTGACAATCATGGAATCAGACATAAAATTGTCAATAATTATTCTGTTGCGAAATAAAATGCAAGAAATATTTTTAAGGAAATAGTTTTATTAAAAAAATAAACATCAATAATAACAACAATAATGGTTTGGTGATTCAAGATGGGTGATAATGAGCGAAAATGAATAGGTTCTTAGTGGTGTCCGTGCTGGGGATGGGCAGCATGTCCTTGCCTTTGAACCACCGCATTGAACCCACTCTTCTTATCAGCGGTGTAGTGGACAGTCAAGATGGTACCGTCGGGTTCATGGAGGGAGTACACGCCCTTGACTACATCCCCATCTCTAGTTTCTTCTTGTTGCTTGATATCCCCGGTGTGCTTATCTTCAACTCCATATTTGAAAGCATACTTAGCAGGAGCCTAAATTGATTGACATTAAAACTTGGAACAAAAAACTACGAATATCATTTACATGGTGATCTTCGTAGTGGTGAGTTTCCACGGGTACTGCAACTGGTACCGCGTGGTGTGATCCTCCTTGAGAGTACGAAATGTACGAAGCTCCTCCATGCCCGGACCCTCCGCTGGAACCACCATAGGCACCCAAACCCAAAGACGCTCCCCCATATCCCCCTGAAGACCCCCCAAGACTTTGTCCTCCTGAGTGTCCTCCTGCTTGGCTGAACGTTACATAAGAACTAGCGTGTCCCTGCTGGTGGTGCTGCGCTTGCACGATCACAGCCAAAAGGGCTACACTCACAACCTAAAAAAAATCGTTGATTTTGGTTTCCACTTTTGCGTTTGTTTTCTTACTTTGGAGAACATGTCTTGAGGTTTGGAATGCCGGATTGGACTGATTTGGCGCAGTCTGTCGTTGTCTTTTATAGTGTAAAAATTATACATTCACTGTATTTTTAGACTGGCGACGTTATATAATTGTGTGCAGATTTTTTGGCCCCGAAAGGGAGCACGCGTATTTTTATGTAATTGCAAATCGGAATCGACACGATTTATTTTATTATTTGATGAAAAAATAATTATGAGTTTCGTCGAGCGAGTACCGGAGGCGGATAAAAAATTTATTAGCATAATTAAAAGTGCACCTGCGAGGTGTTATTAATTTCGCTGGGTGCACGCGGAGGTACGTAGCGGGAAAAGTAAGAATATTAAGAATGTAATGTAATTACGGTTCTGTTCTTTCAGTTGGGTCTGTTTTCAGGAAAAAGTCGGATTGATTAATTATTAAATCGAGGTCAAGGTCATGAGACAGCTGTTATGTCAATCGCTCGTGTGATCGAATTTTTTGTGAACGTTTTAGAAATTTATGGTTTTTAGTTTATCTAGGTTTTTCAAAATTTAATGTTTTTGGTAAATTTTAAATTTATACTCTGAAACGGTTCTACACTGTGGACTCTGAAACTGACCTGGAGCAAGTCTAAATCTTTTTAACAAATAATGTAAAAGTGTTTTTTATTACAGAGAAACCACAATAGTGGATCTTCATAGATGCTCTAAGCTTAGTTCTGATTTGTCATTTTATACAGCATTCAAGTATTAAAGAAGAGAAATTTCCACATATATAGATTTTTATTGATGAAGAATTATGTAATTTCCCTTGTATATTCGACAGTACTAAGATTTTTTCAACTAACTCATTTGCTCAAGACACACTTCTGCGTCTGAATAAAAAAATACCTTTTTATAAAAATAGAATCTTTTTATTTATCACAAATAAATAAACGTAAGTACAAAAATAAAATCTTTAAATAAAAAAGAACATCTTAATGGTGAGACTTCTGGGGGTGAGTGGCATGTCCAGACCTGTGAACCACCGCGTTGAACCCACTCTTCTTATCAGCAGTGTAGTGCACGGTCAAAATGGTACCATCGGGTTCATGGAGAGTGTACGATCCTTTAACTACATGTCCGTCACGAGTTTCTTCGTGTTGCTTGATATCACCGGTGTGTTTATCTTGTACGCCATATTTGAACTGGTACTTAGCTGGAGCCTACACAAAAACGTCAACAACAATAATCAAAATAATCCTATCCAACTTACGTGGTGTTCCTCGTGGTGACCATACCCAGTCGAAGAACCTCCAGAAGATGAAGAACCACCAAGTCCAAGAGATGCACCACTGTGACCTCCTTGGGAGTAGGAAATGTATGAAGAACCTTGGTGACCACCGGACGAAGAACCACCTCCGTAGCCACCCAAATCCAAAGATCCTAATCCGGAATGTCCTGCATCTTGTGTGAAAGAAATGTAGGAAGAACCGTGTCCTTGTTGCTCGTGGTACTGGGCATTGATGTAAGTTGCCAAAAGGGCAATTCCTAAAATCTGTAAGAACGACATTTTAGGAAAAATTGAACGTAATTGATAACGTTAATTACTTTTGAAAACATTGCTTTTCTTTGGTGTTTGGAGCACTGATCTGAACTGACTCTCCACTGCCTACAAGTGTCTTATATAGTTCGTAAATATTTCCATTCACTGCTAATATTTAGATATAGACCGTTATATAATTAAAACCTGGTGCGAGGGTTTTGTTTCAAAAATTATGTACACTCTAGATTTTTACATAAGCCCATAAAATATATGCATACCAGTCAATAAGAAAGATAATAGAAATTCTTTCGGCTTAGAGGTGCATGAAAAAATACATTTACATAAAGAACGAGACATATTTAATTCAAAAATAAATTATTCATTAGCATGGAATTAATTAATTTATTTTTATATTCAAATATAGGTCCTTTCTTACAATTTTGTGATGTGACACCAAAAATCATGCATAATAATAATAATAATATTATCAAAATTATCTAATTGTTATAAACAATTTTTGTTACTAGGAAAAAATATAAATTATACCGGGTGTCTGGAAAATGGCGAATTAACTTATCGCTACGCTCTTAACAGTCAAACAGATTAGTCTGGGAAAAATAGGATAAATTTAAAGGAATCTGGTGTTTTGTTGTTGGATGAACTGTCATTTGCCAAAATCGATCTTATTTTCACAAGTAGGTACTAGACTCGCTCACCAGCAAAATCGCTCTTACCTTGGCAGACATTAGCCCCGCCCACCCACCCTGTTTTTTCTTTGAGGGTATGTTATTTGCCAAAATTAGTTTTACCTTAGCAGGTGCTAGCCCCGCCCACCCACCCGGTCTTTTCTTAGAGCGTATGTTATTTGCCAAAATCAATTTTAGCCTAGTAAGTAAAGCATAGATTTTCTGTCAGCTCCATTAGGTTATTACACCAAGGATATTATTTGTTCATAACGTGATACATATATGCTTAGATTTACTTTTACGGCATAACTGATCTCTATTTTTCAACTAATATCGAAAAATTATTTCCAAGACCTCGATTCCTTTAAAAAATTTAAGTTGCCTCTTAGAAAAAATATTTCAAAATATTGAGTACGAATGTTCGAACGTTTAGTGGAGATCAATATAGCAGTGACAGTCTTCCATTATCACATGAACTGTCACTAAAAATTTAAAAATGGGTAAACTATGGCAACATTTACATTTTCTTATGCATTTTGATCTACTTTAAGAAGAAAACAAGAGAAATTTTCCAAAAATATTGAAATCACCGGATAACATCCAGGTTCTGAACAATTTTTTTTATAAGAACTAGGAATCGTATTTTGTGCCAAAAGTCGTTTATTTGTATATTTACACGATTATTGTGTTGTACGGGAGAAATTCTACTTGAAAATATAATTCCCATGTACCTCAGAAAAATCATAATATGTCTAAAAACTTGATTTGTTAAATATGTAACTTTTTGTTTTTGTTACAATTCTTGATTTACTCCTGTAGCATTAATAAATTATTCTACTAGAAACTGCATTTTTTTATGCTAGAAATTACTCATTTTTGCTTTCTCTCTTAATTTACTTTTCATCGTTTTATTTCAACGTAAGAACTAAAAAGTACCTTTTAAAAAAATAAAAACTCTTTATTTAAAAAATAAATAAAAGTACAAAAATATAAACTATTCAAACAACAACAACATCTTAATGGTGAGACTTCTGGGGGTGAGTAGCATGTCCGGACCTTTGAACCACCGCATTGAAGCCACTCTTCTTATCAGCAGTGTAGTGCACAGTCAAAATGGTACCATCGGGTTCATGGAGAGAGTACGATCCTTTAACTACATGTCCGTCACGAGTTTCTTCGTGTTGCTTGATATCACCGGTGTGTTTATCTTGTACGCCATATTTGAACTGGTACTTAGCTGGAGCCTACACAAAAACGTCAAAAACAATAACCAAAATAACTCTAGACTACTTACGTGGTGTTCCTCATGGTGACTTTCAGTCTGAATTACGGGAATGGCATGCCCGATTGAACCACCAAGAGAAGATCCGGCGCCTCCTTGCGAATAAGAAATGTACGAGGAACCATGACCAGAAGAACTCCCAGAGCTTCCCAAAGAGGAGCCGCCGCTTGTACCACCGTGTCCTCCTTGCGAGTAGGAAATGTATGAAGAGCCGTGACCAGAAGAAGAACCTCCAGAAGATGAAGAACCACCAAGACCGAGAGACGAACCGCTGTGTCCTCCTTGGGAGTAGGAGATGTAGGAAGAACCTTGGTGGCCACCGGACGAAGAACCACCGGAACTTCCATATCCTCCGAGAGAGCTACCTCCGTAGCCACTCAAACCCAAAGAGCCTAATCCGAGTCCAGAATGTCCTGCATCTTGTGTGAAAGAAATGTAGGAAGAACCGTGTCCTTGTTGCTCGTGGTACTGGGCGTTGATGTAAGTTGCCAAAAGGGCAATTCCTAAAATCTGTAACAACGAAGTTTTAATAAAAAATTGGCGTAATTGGTAATTTGAATTTACTTTTGAAAACATTGTTTTTCTTTGGTGTTTAAAGCACTGATCTGAACTGACTCTCTACTGCCGACAAGTGTCTTATATAGTTAACAAATAATACATTCACTGCTAATATTTAGATAGCGACAGTTATATAATTAAAAGTTGGTACGAGGGTTTCGTGTCAAAAATTATGAACACTCTAGATTTTTACATAAGACCCATAAAACACATGCGTACTAATCAACAAGAAAGATAATAGAAACTGTTTCGGGTTAGAGGTGGATAAAAAATACATTTACATAAAGAACGTGAGAGATTTAATGTAAAAATGAATAATTCATTAGTGTGGAACTGATTTATTAATTTTTTTATTTAAATCTATGTCTTTTTTAAAACTTTGTGTCGATTACGATACAAATTAATATTTTAGGTGATATTTAAATGTGGTGGTAAAATTTTTGATATTTTCGAAAGATAACTGTTATGCTGTATTCATTCAACCCGTATGTGACACCAATAAATCATACATAATAATAATAATGTTATCAAAATTATCCAATTTTTATAAACAATTATTGCAACTAGGAAAATATATAAATTATACCGGGTGTCCAGAAAATGACGGATTAACTTTTCGGTACGCTTTGAAGAATCAACTGGTAAGTCTGTGAAAAATAGTAAAAAAAATCCTTCTCACACTTTGGTGAAATTACAACGATTTTAAAATTGGTTCCCTTGCTACGTTTAACAAATAAACAACACATCCATTGTAACAATTACTAGTAATAAAACTTTTGGTTAATATTTCTCACGTCTATGACCATGTTTATATACCGTTTCAGTTATAATGTACAAAGATATGTTTGTGTTCTTTTTGAAATAATTTGATAAAATTCCATTTGAGAATAATATTTGCCTGATATAAAGCGAAGGTACAAATCAGCAAAAATCGAGTAAGCAGTTAAAAATGTTTGACGTTATCAAAAATTGTCAAAGTTTTCATAAAACTGCCTTTAAAATGTTCGCAGTTAATTTTGGGTCCCCTGGTGTTCTATTTTCGGAAAAATTTGAAGGAATCTGGTGTTTTCTTGGTGGATGAACTGTGATTTGCCATATTCGGTCTTATTTTAACAAGTAGGTACTAGACCGGCCCACCAGCTTTCTCTTTTCTTAAAGGATATCTCAATTACCAAAATCACTATTATTTTGGCAGACAGTAGCCCCACCCACCCACCCTGACTTTTCTTACAGGATATCTCATTTGCCAAAATCACTCTTATCTTGGCAGACACTAGCCCCGCCCACCCACCCTTTCTTTTCTTAGAAGATACGTCATTTGCCAAAATCACTCTTATCTTATCAGGTACTTGATCCATCCACCCTCTCTTTTCTCAGGGAGTATGCCATTTGCCAAAATCGGTCTTATTCCAGCAGAGGCTAGCCCCACCCACCACATTTTTTCTTAGAGAGTATGTTATTTGCCAAAATTAGTTTTAGCTTAGCAGGTAAAGTAGAGATTTTCAAGCATTTTCTGTCAGCGGCATCAAGTTGTTGTACCAAGGAGGACACAATTTGTACATAATGTGATACATGTATTATTATTAGATTTGCTTTTACGGCATAACTCATCTCTATTTTTCACCTAATATATTTAAAAATTTAATTTGTCAATTATGTAACCTTTTCGTTTTGTTACAAATCTTGATTTATTCCTGTAGCAATAATATACAGTTATTATTCAAGCAACTGCATTTTTTATGCTAGAAAATTACTCATTTTTGCTTAATTTACCTGTTCATAGTTTTATTTCAACGTAAGAATTAAAAAGTACCTTTTAAAAAACTAGAAACTCTTTATTTAAAAAATAAATAAAAGTACAAAAATATAAACTATTCAAACAACAACAACATTTTAATGGTGAGACTTCTGGGGGTGTGTAGCATGTCCGGACCTTTGAACCACCGCATTGAACCCACTCTTCTTATCAGCAGTGTAGTGCACTGTCAAAATGGTACCATCGGGTTCATGGAGAGAGTACGACCCTTTAACTACATGTCCGTCACGAGTTTCTTCGTGTTGCTTGATATCACCAGTGTGTTTATCTTGTACGCCATATTTGAACTGGTACTTAGCTGGAGCCTACACAAAAACGTCAATAACAACAACCAAAATAACTCTACACAACTTACGTGGTGTTCTTCGTGGTGACTTTCAGTCTGAATTACGGGAATGGCATGCCCGATTGAACCACCGAGAGAAGATCCGGCGCCTCCTTGCGAATAAGAAATGTACGAAGAACCATGACCAGAAGAACCCCCAAAGCTTCCCAAAGAGGAGCCACCACTTGAACCACCGTGTCCTTCTTGCGAGTAGGAAATGTACGAAGAGCCGTGACCGGAAGAAGAACCTCCAGAAGATGAAGAACCACCAAGACCGAGAGACGAACCGCTGTGTCCTCCTTGGGAGTAGGAGATGTAGGAAGAACCTTGGTGGCCACCGGACGAAGAACCACCGGAACTTCCATATCCTCCGAGAGAGCTACCTCCGTAGCCACCCAAACCCAAAGAGCCTAATCCGAGTCCAGACTGTCCTGCATCCTGTGTGAAAGAAATGTAGGAAGAACCGTGTCCTTGTTGCTCGTGGTACTGGGCGTTGATGTAAGTTGCCAAAAGGGCAATTCCTAAAATCTGTAACAACGAAGTTTTAATAAAAAATTGGCGTAATTGGTAATTTGAATTTACTTTTGAAAACATTGTTCTTCTTTGGTGTTTGAAGCACTGATCTGAACTGACTCTCCACTGCCGACAAGTGTCTTATATAGTTAACAAATAATACATTCACTGCTAATATTTAGATAGCGACAGTTATATAATTAAAAGTTGGGACGAGGGTTTCGTGTCAAAAATTATGAACACTCTAGATTTTTACATAAGACCCATAAAACACATGCGTACTAATCAACAAGAAAGATAATAGAAACTGTTTCGGGTTAGAGGTGGATAAAAAATACATTTACATAAAGAACGAGATAGATTTAATGTAAAAATGAATAATTCATTAGTGTGGAATTGATTTACTGATTTTTATATTTAAATTCATGTCTTTTTGAAAATTTTGTATCGATAACGATAGAAATTAAAATTTTATGCGATATTTATATATGGTGGTAAAATTTTTGATATTTTCGAAAGATAACTGTTATGCTGTATTCATTCAACTCATATGTGACACCAATAAATCATACAAAATAATAATAATGTTATCAAAATTATCCAATTTTTATAAACAATTATTGTAATTAGGAAAATATATAAATTATACCGGGTGTCTAGAAAATGGCGGATTAACTCTTCGTTACGCTTTGAAGAGTCAACTGGTAAGTCTGTGAAAAATAGTAAAAAAATTCCTTCTCACTCTTTGGTGAAGTTATAATGATTTTAAAATTGGTTCCTTTGCTACGTTTAACAAATAAACAACACATGCATTATAACAATTACTAGTAATAAAACTTTTGGTTAATATTTCTCACGCCCATGACCATGTTTATATACCATTTCAATTATAATGTACAAAGATATGAATGTGTTGTTTTTGAAATAATTTGATAAAATTCCATTTGAGAACAATATTTGCCTGATATAAAGCGAAGGTACAAATCAGCAAAAATCGAGTAAGCAGTTAAAAATATTTGACGTTTGACGTTATCAAAAATTGTTAAAGTTTTCATAACCCTGCGTCTAAAATGTTCGCAGTTAATTTTGGGTTTCCTGGTGTTTTATTTTCGGAAAAATTTGAAGGAATCTGGTGTTCCCTTGATGAATGAACTGTCATTTGCCATATTCGGTCTTATTTTAACAAGTAGGTACTAGATCGGTCCCCCAGCTTTCTCTATTCTTAAAGGATATCTCAATTGCCAAAATCACTATTATTTGGCAGACAGTAGCCCCGCCCACCCACCCTGTCTTTTCTTACATGATATCTCATTTGCCAAAATCACTCTTATCTTGCCAGACACTAGCCCCGCCCACCCACCCTTTCTTTTCTTAGAAGATATGTCATTTGCCAAAATCACTCTTATGTTATCAGGTACTTGATCCATCCACCCTATTTTTCTTAGAGCGTATGTTATTTGCCAAAATTAGTTTTAGCTTAGCAGGTAAAGTAGAGATTTTCAAGCATTTTCTGTCAGAGACATCAAGTTGTTGTACCAAGGACATTATTTGTTCATAATGTGATACATGTATTATTAGATTTATTTTTACGACATAACTCATCTCTATTTTTCACCTAATATGTTTAAAAATTTGATTTGTCAATTATGTAACCTTTTCGTTTTGTTACAAATCTTGATTTATTCCTGTAGCAATAATATACAGTTATTATACAAGCAACTGCATTTTTTTAAGCTAGAAAATTACTCATTTTTGCTTAATTTCCTGTTCATAGTTTTATTTCAACGTAAGAATTAAAAAGTACATTTTAAAAAAATAGAAACTCTTTATTTAAAAATAAATAAAAGTACAAAAATATAAACTATTCAAACAATAACAACATCTCAATGGTCGGACTTCTGGGGGTGAGTAGCATGTCCGGATCTTTGAACCACCGCATTGAACCCACTCTTCTTATCAGCAGTGTAGTGCACAGTCAAAATGGTACCATCGGGTTCATGGAGAGAGTACGACCCTTTAACTACATGTCCGTCACGAGTTTCTTCGTGTTGCTTGATATCGCCAGTGTGTTTATCTTGTACGCCATATTTGAACTGGTACTTAGCTGGAGCCTGCACAAAACGTCAAAAACAATAACTAAAATAACTGTAGACAACTTACGTGGTGTTCCTCATGGTGACTTTCAGTCTGAATTAAGGGAATGGCATGCCCGATTGAACCACCGAGAGAAGATCCGGCGCCTCCTTGCGAATAAGAAATGTATGAAGAACCATGACCAGAAGAACCGCTTGAGCTTCCTAAAGAGGAGCCGCCACTTGAACCACCGTGTCCTCCTTGCGAGTAGGAAATGTACGAAGAGCCGTGACCGGAAGAAGAACCTCCAGAAGATGAAGAACCACCAAGACCGAGAGACGAACCGCTGTGTCCTCCTTGGGAGTAGGAGATGTAGGAAGAACCTTGGTGACCACCGGACGAAGAACCACCGGAACTTCCATATCCTCCGAGAGAGCTACCTCCGTAGCCACCCAAACCCAAAGAACTTAATCCGAGTCCAGAATGTCCTGCATCCTGTGTGAAAGAAATGTATGAAGAACCGTGTCCTTGTTGGTCGTGGTACTGAGCGTTGATGTAAGTTGCCAAAAGGGCAATTCCTAAAATCTGTAACAACGAAGTTTTAATAAAAAATTGGCGTAATTGGTAATTTGAATTTACTTTTGAAAACATTGTTTTTCTTTGGTGTTCGAAGCACTGATCTGAACTGACTCTCCACTGCCGACAAGTGTCTTATATAGTTAACAAATAATACATTCACTGCTAATATTTAGATAGCGACAGTTATATAATTAAAAGTTGGGACGAGGGTTTCGTGTCAAAAATTATGAACACTCTAGATTTTTACATAAGACCCATAAAACACATGCGTACTAATCAACAAGAAAGATAATAGAAACTGTTTCGGGTTAGAGGTGCATAAAAAACACATTTACATAAAGAATGAGACAGATTTAATGTAAAAATGAATAATTCATTAGTGTGGAACTGATTTATTAATTTTTTTATTTAAATCTATGTCTTTTGTAAAACTTTGTGTCGATAACGATACAAATTAATATTTTAGGTGATATTTAAATGTGGTGGTAAAATTTTTTATATTTTCCAAAGATAACTGTTATGGTGTATTCATGTAACCCGTATCCCGTATGTGACACCAATAAATCATACATAATAACAATATTGTTATAAAAATTATCTAATTTTTATAAACAATTATTTTAACTAGGAAAAAATATAGATTATACCGGGTGTCTAGAAAATGGCGGATTATCTTTTCGTTACGCTTTGAACAGTCAACTTGAAAGTCTGGGAAAAATAGTAAAAAAATTCCTTCTCACATTTTGGTGTAATTATAATGATTTTAAAATTGATTCCATTGCTACGTTTAACAAATAAACAACACATCCATTGTAACAATTACTATAGTAATAAAACTTTTAGTTAATATTTCTCACACCCATGACCATGTTTATTTACCATTTCAGTTATAATGTACAAAGATATGAATGTGTCGTTTTTGAAGGAATTTGATAAAATTCCATTTGAGAACAATATTTGCCTGAAATAAAGCGAAGGTACAAATCAGCAAAAATGGAGTAAGCAGTTAAAAATGTTTGACTTTATCAAAAATTGTCAAAGTTTTCATAACACTGCGTTTAAAATGTTCGCAGTTAATTTTGGGTCCCCTGGTGTTTTATTTTCGGAAAAATTTGAAGGAATCTGGTGTTCCCTTGATGGATGAACTGTCATTTGCTATATTGGGTCTTATTTTAACAAGTAGATACTAGACCGGCCCACCAGCACTCTCTTTTCTTAAAGGATATCTCATTTGCCAAAATCACTCTTATCTTGGAAGATACTAGCCCCACCCACCCACCCTGTCTCTTCTTAGAGGGTATATCATTTGCCAAAAACAGCCTTATGTTAGCAAGTATTAGCCCCGCCCACCCACCCTCTCTTTTCTTAGAAGATATGTCATTTGGCAAAATCACTCTTATCTTAGCAGGTACTTGGTCCATCCACCCTCTCTTTTCTCAGGGAGTATGGTATTTGCCAAAATCGGTCTTATTCCAGCAGAGACTAGTCCCGCCCACCCACCCTGTTTTTTCTTAGAGGATATGCTATTTGCCAAAATCAGTTTTAGTTTACCATGTAAAATAGAGATTTTCAAGCAATTTCTGTCAGCTGCATTAGGCTATTACACCAAAAACATTATTTGTTCATAATGTGATACATGTATTATTAGATTTAATTTTACGGCATAACTCATCTCTATTTTTCACCTAATATGTTTAAAAATTTGATTTGTCAATTATGTAACCTCTTCGTTTCGTTACAAATCTTGATTTATTCCTGTAGCAATAATATACAGTTATTATACTAGCAACTGCATTTTTTTATGCTAGAAAATTACTCATGTTTGCTTAATTTACTGTTCATGGTTTTATTTCAACGTAAGAATTAAAAAGTACCTTTTAAAAAAATAGAAACTCTTTATTTAAAAATAAATAAAAGTACAAAAATATAAACTATTCAAACAATAACAACATCTTAATGGTGAGACTTCTGGGGGTGTGTGGCATGTCCGGACCTTTGAACCACCGCATTGAACCCACTCTTCTTATCAGCAGTGTAGTGCACAGTCAAAATGGTACCATCGGGTTCATGGAGAGAGTACGACCCTTTAACTACATGTCCGTCACGAGTTTCTTCGTGTTGCTTGATATCACCGGTGTGTTTATCTTGTACGCCATATTTGAACTGGTACTTAGCTGGAGCCTACACAAAATCGTCAATAACAATAATCAAACTAGCTCTATCCAGCTTACGTGGTGTTCCTCATGGTGACTTTCAGCCTGAATTACGGGAATGGCATGCCCGATTGAACCACCCAGAGAAGATCCAGAGCCTCCTTGGGAATAAGAAATGTACGAAGGACCATGACCAGAAGAACCCCCAGAGCTTCCTAAAGAGGAGCCGCCGCTTGAACCACCGTGTCCTCCTTGCGAGTAGGAAATGTACGAAGAGCCGTGACCGGAAGAAGAACCTCCAGAAGATGAAAAACCACCAAGACCGAGAGACGAACCGCTGTGTCCTCCTTGGGAGTAGGAGATGTAGGAAGAACCTTGGTGGCCACCGGACGAAGAACCAGCGGATCTTCCATATCCTCCGAGAGAGCTACCTCCGTAGCCACCCAAACCCAAAGAGCCTAATCTGAGTCCAGAATGTCCTGCATCCTGTGTGAAAGAAATGTAGGAAGAACCGTGTCCTTGTTGCTCGTGGTACTGGGCGTTGATGCAAGTTGCCAAAAGGGCAATTCCTAAAATCTGTAAGAACGACGTTTTAATAAAAAATTTACGTAATAGGTAATTTGATGTTACTTTTGAAAACATTGCTTTTCTTTGGTGTTTGAAGCACTGATCTGAACTGACTCTCCACTGCCGACAAATATCTTATATAGTTCGCTAATAATACATTCACTGCTAATATTTCGATAGCGACCGTTATATAATTAAAAGTTGGTACGAGGGTTTCGTGTCAAAAATTATGAACACTCTAGATTTTTACATAAGACCCATAAAACACATGCGTACTAATCAATAAGAAAGATAATAGAAACTGTTTCGGGTTAGAGGTGGATAAAAAATACATTTACATAAAGAACGAGATAGATTTAATGCAAAAATGAATAATTCATTAGTGTGGAATTGATTTATTGATTTTTATATTTAAATTCATGTCTTTTTGAAAATTTTGTGTCGATAACGATAGAAATTAAAATTTTATGCGATATTTATATATGGCGGTAAAATTTTTGATATTTTCGAAACATAACTGTTATGCTGTATTCATTCAACCCATATGTGACAACAATAAATCATACATAATAATAATAATGTTATCAAAATTATCCAATTTTTATAGACAATTATTGTAATTAGGAAAATATATAAATTATACCGGGTGTCTAGAAAATGGCGGATTAACCCTTGGTTACGCTTTGAACAGTCAACTGGTAAGTCTGTGAAAAATAGTAAAAAAATTCCTTCTCACACTTTGGTGAAGTTATAAAGATTTTAGAATTGGTTCCTTTGCAACGTTTAACAAATAAACAACACATCCATTATAACAATTACTAGTAATAAAACTTTTGGTTAATATTTCTCACGCCCATGACCATGTTTATATACCATTTCAATTATAATGTACAAAGATATGAATGTGTTGTTTTTGAAATAATTTGATAAAATTCCATTTGAGAACAATATTTGCCTGATATAAAGCGAAGGTACAAATCAGCAAAAATCGAGTAAGCAGTTAAAAATATTTGACGTTTGACGTTATCAAAAATTGTCAAAGTTTTCATAACCCTGCGTCTAAAATGTTCGCAGTTAATTTTGGGTTTCCTGGTGTTTTATTTTCGGAAAAATTTGAAGGAATCTGATTTTCCCTTGATGAATGAACTGTCATTTGCCATATTCGGTCTTATTTTAACAAGTAGGTACTAGACCGGTCCCCCAGCTTTCTCTATTCTTAAAGGATATCTCAATTGCCAAAATCACTATTATTTCGGCAGACAGTAGCCCCGCCCACCCACCCCGTCTTTTCTTACAGGATATCTCATTTGCCAAAATCACTCTTATCTTTCCAGACACTAGCCCCGCCCACCCACCCTTTCTTTTCTTAGAAGATATGTCATTTGCCAAAATCACTCTTATCTTAGCAAGTACTAGGTCCACCCACCTTCTCTTTTCTCAGGGAGTATGCTATTTGCCAAAATCGGTCTTATTCCAGCAGAGGCTAGCCCCGCCCACCCACCCTGTTTTTTCTTAGAGGGTATGTTATTTGCCAAAATCAGTTTTAGCTTAGCAAGTAAAGTAGAGATTTTCAAGCATTTTCTATCAGCGGCATCAAGTTGTTGTACCAAGGACATTACTTGTTCATAACGTGATACACGTATTATTAGATTTACTTTTACGGCATAACTCATCTCTATTTTTCACCTAATATGTTTAAAAATTTGATTTGTCAATTATTTAACCTTTTAATTTTGTTACAAATCTTGATTTATTTCTGTAGCAATAATATACAATTATTATACTAGCAACTGCACTTTTTTATGTAAGAAAATTACTCATTTTTGTTTAACTTACAGTTCATAGTTTTATTTCAACGTAAGAATTAAAAAGTACCTTTTAAAAAAATAGAAACTCTTTATTTAAAAATAAATAAAAGTACAAAAATATAAACTATTCAAACAATAACAACATCTCAATGGTGAGACTTCTGGGGGTGTGTAGCATGTCCAGACCTTTGAACCACCGCATTGAACCCACTCTTCTTATCAGCAGTGTAGTGCACAGTCAAAATGGTACCATCGGGTTCATGGAGAGAGTACGACCCTTTAACTACATGTCCGTCACGAGTTTCTTCGTGTTGCTTGATGTCACCAGTGTGTTTATCTTGTACGCCATATTTGAACTGGTACTTAGCTGGAGCCTACACAAAAACGTCAATAACAATAATCAAACTAGCTCTATCCAACTTACGTGGTGTTCCTCATGGTGACTTTCAGTCTGAATTACGGGAATGGCATGCCCGATTGAACCACCAAGAGAAGATCCGGCGCCTCCTTGAGAATAAGAAATGTACGAAGAACCATGGCCAGAAGAACCTCCGGAGCTTCCCAAAGAGGAGCCGCCGCTTGAACCACCGTGTCCTCCTTGCGAGTAGGAAATGTACGAAGAGCCGTGACCAGAAGAAGAACCTCCAGAAGATGAAGAACCACCAAGACCGAGAGACGAACCGCTGTGTCGTCCTTGGGAGTAGGAGATGTAGGAAGAACCTTGGTGGCCACCGGACGAAGAACCACCGGAACTTCCATATCCTCCGAGAGAGCTACCTCCGTAGCCACCCAAACCCAAAGAGCCTAATCCGAGACTAGAATGTCCTGAATCCTGTGTGAAAGAAATGTAGGAAGAGCCATGTCCTTGTTGCTCGTGGTACTGGGCGTTGATGTAAGTTGCCAAAAGGGCAATTCCTAAAATCTGTAAGAACGACGTTTTAATAAAAAATGGATGTAATTGGTAATGTAATGTTACTTTTGAAAACATTGCTTTTCTTTGGTGTTTGAAGCACTGATCTGAACTGACTCTCCACTGCCCACAAGTGTCTTATATAGTTCGCAAATAATACATTCACTGCTAAAATTTAGATAGCGAATGTTATATAATTAAAAGTTGGTACGAGGGTTTCGTGTCAAAAATTATGAACACTCTAGATTTTTACATAAGACCCATAAAACACATGCGTACCAACCAATAAGAAAGATAATAGAAATTCTTTCGGGGTAGAGGTACATGAAAAAATACATTTGCATAAAGAACGAGACATATTTATTGCAAAAATGAATAATTACTTAGTGTGTAATTGCTTTATTAATTTTTATATTCAAATCTATGTCCTTTTCTACAATTTTGTGTAGATGATTGTAGAAATTAAAATTTTACGTAATATTTATCTGTGGTGGTAAAATTTTTTATATTTTCGAAAGTTTACTGTGTTATGCTGTGCGCATGCAACGAACATGTGACACCAAAAAATTATATATAATTGTAAAATTATCTAATTTTTATAAACAATTATTGTAAATAGGAAAAAATATAAATTAAATACTTAGATTTATTTCTAGGGAATAATTGATCTCTATTTTTCACCTAAACTCGACAATTTATTTCTAAGACTTTGGTTCTTCCAAAAAATTTAAAGTTTGCTTCATAGGAAAAATGTTTCAAGATCTTCGAACATTTGGTAAAGATCAGCGTAGCAGTGACATGAAGACTGCAGAAATGTTACTAAAAATATTAAAACGGCTAAATTATGTCAACATATAAATTTTCTTGTGCATTTTTATCTACATTAAGAAAAAAACAGGGACAATTTCCTAAAAATATTGATATGATACAGTATGAAATCCAGGTTCTGATCAATTTTTTTTATAAGAACTAGGAATCGTACACCAAAAGTCGTTTATTTGTATCTTTAGTCGGTTACTGTGAAAAATAATATCTTCAAAAACTTGATTTGTCAATTATGTAACCTTTTCTTTTTGTTACAATTCTTAATTTATTCCTGTACCATTAATTTATTATTCTAGAAGCAACTGCATTTTTTTATGCCAGAAATTCATTTTTGATTACTTTCTCTCTTAATTTATTGTTCATCGTTTTATTTCAACGTCATAAATAAAAAAATACCAATTAAAAAAATAGGATCATTTTATTTAAAAAATAAATAAAAATACAAAAATATAAACTCTTAAAACAATAACAACATTTTAATGGTGTGACTTCTGTGGGTGTGTGGCATGTCCGGACCTTTGAACCACCGCATTGAACCCACTCTTCTTATCAGCAGTGTAGTGCACAGTCAAAATGGTACCATCGGGTTCATGGAGAGAGTACGACCCCTTAACTACATGTCCGTCACGAGTTTCTTCGTGTTGCTTGATATCACCGGTGTGTTTATCTTCTACGCCGTATTTGAACTGGTACTTAGCTGGAGCCTACGCAAAAACGTTAATAACAATAATCAAACTAGCTCTTATCCAACTTACGTGGTGTTCCTCATGGTGACTTTCAGTCTGAATTACAGGAATGGCATGCCCGATTGAACCACCAAGAGAAGATCCGGAACCTCCTTGCGAATAAGAAATATACGAAGAACCATGACCAGAAGAACCCCCGGAGCTTCCCAAAGAGGAGCCGCCGCTTGAACCACCGTGTCCTCCTTGCGAGTAGGAAATGTACGAAGAGCCGTGACCGGAAGAAGAACCTCCAGAAGATGAAGAACCACCAAGACCAAGAGACGAACCGCTGTGTCCTCCTTGGGAGTAGGAGATGTAGGAAGAACCTTGGTGACCACCGGACGAAGATGAAGAACCGCCACCACTACCCAAAGACAGGCCGCCACTTAAACCACCGTGTCCTCCTTGGGAGTACGAAATGTAGGAAGAACCTTCGTGACCACCGGACGAAGAACCACCAGAACTTTCCAAACCACCGTAGCCGCCCAAAACCAGAGAAGCTAAACCGAGTTCACTAGATCCTGCTCCAAGACCGGAATGTCCTGCATCCTGTGTGAAGGTGATGTAGGAAGCGCCTTGTTCTTGTTGTTCGTGGTACTGAGCGCTGATGTAAGTCGCCAGAAGGGCAAGTCCTAAAATCTGTAACAACGATGTTTTAATAAAAATTGAACCTAATTGTTAATAGTAATTACTTTTGAAAACATTGCTTTTCTTTGGTGTTTGGAGCACTGATCTGAACTGACTCTCCATTACCTCCAAGTGCCTTATATAGTTCACAGATAATACATTCACTGCTAAAATTTAGATAACGAGCATTATATAATTAAAAGTTGGTACGAGGGTTTCGTGCCAAAAACTATACACACTCTAAATTTTTACATAATACCCATAAAACACACGCATACCAATCGAAAGATAATAGACATTCTTTCAGCGTGCATGAAAAAATACATTTACATAACGATCGAGACATATTTAACGCAAAAATACATAATTCATTAGCACGTAATTAATTCGTTATTAATTTTTATATTCAAATCTGGGTTCCTTTTACAAGTGTGTAGGTACTCTACAAATTATGGACGGTTTTTTGCGCGTCTGCAAAAATGGGTCGCAGAGGAATTTTTTCTGATTAGCCGCGAGCTTGCGTGAGAAAATAAATTAACTAATTTATTTAAATCATTAACAACATAAATTTCTTTTTTATGGTTGCGTTTTGGTTTAGTTGTTGATCATTGAGATTATCTCGTCTAGATCTGCTCGATCCAATAAAATACGACGGGCTGAAATTTCAGAGCGGTTGTTGATGATCATTTAAATTTACAATCTTGGAAAAGAAATCAGCGGAAAAAACTGGAAGGATGTGGGACTTTGTATCAACAAAACTTGCATTTGGAAATTAATTAACTAAAGCTACTTAATTGTTCCAGTTTTTAAATTAAGTGAAACTGTTGTAGTCGTGAAAAAGAAAAAAACCTCTTAATTAATACGTATCCAAAGAGTCTATAAAATTTTACTAAGAGAGATCTTCAAAGTTAAAGTGAGTACGACATAGTGGCACTGTGACCAGTTTTTTAAATTTTGTTACTCATGTTATAAATGAAAAATATAAATATATAAAAATAAAATTTATTTATAAAAACAGTACAAAAATATAAACAATTATATAAATTCTAGTTTAGTGATGGGAGGAGTGCTGGGGGTGAGCAGCGTGCCCGCTTCTGTGAACCACCGCATTGAACCCGCTCTTCTTATCAACAGTGTAGTGAACGGTCAAAATGGTACCATCAGGTTCATGGAGGGAGTACGACCCTTTGACGACATCCCCATCTCTAGTTTCCTCTTGTTGCTTGATATCACCGGTGTGCTTATCTTCAACGCCATATTTGTAAGCGTACTTAGGGTGTGCCTAAATTTTTTCAAAATTATTAAATAAGTCAAATTTTGAAAATCTGGATGAACTCACGTGTGGTTCTTCATGGTGGTGATCATAACTTCCAGAACCACCCCCAGAACCCCCAAGTGAAGATAAACCACCCCCTAAACCATGACCTTCACCCTGGCTGTAAGTCAAGTAGGAACTGGCGTGTCCTTGGTGACCAGAATATCCTTGGGCTTGCACGTAGGCGACCACGAGGGTGAGACACAAAATCTGTAAACAATAACTCTAGAAGATTGTTTTTTTCTTATTCCTTGACACTCACTCTGGTGAACATTTTTAAAAAAGCTTTGGTTGGGCTGCTGGGTGTTGATTGAATGAAATTCAGTTTGAACTGATTTTGTCAATGCAGTAACTGCCTTTTTATACCAAAGTGGAGAAATATACGCTTTCTGCTCTATCTGTTTAGATAATAAATTTATGTAGCGATAAGTGTTGCATAAGGGGTAAAATGTATGTAAATTCTGATTGAAAAAATGGGTATTAAAAATCAGTGGGTTTGCGTAACGTGGACATGGACATGTGTAGGTACGTAAAAGTTGCGCTCTAAATTCGGCAAAATTAATTAATCGGGTTTATTGTCGTCGTTTGTACAAAATTTGGGTACTTTCTACAAGGGTTCAAGAAGTTCAAGTTCAGCAAAATTCTTTGAAGTAAATACAAAATTATTATGGATATTGTTTATTTAAATTTTTTAATTAATTTCTTAAAGGGAATAAGTGACTGTCTGACCCTAGCTCAATATTAGTGCCTTACTAAAAATTTTATAGAAGTGCGTTACTAATTTTCTCATTTTGTTTCTCATACTTTGCGTAATTTTGAAACAAAAATCCTAGTGGGTTATTAAACCGATTTAAACCTAATGATAAAATGCTTAACCCCTAAAATAAATAACATAAATTGTGATGAATTTTTTATTCGTTGTCAGATCTGGGGGCGGAGCGTAAAAATCCTTATTTTGCTACAAAATTTGGCATTTTGGACATGTTTTAAGTGTCTTAGTATGAAGAGAGGGCTACGTATATTAAGAAAAAAAGCAAAATATAAGCCCCGCCCACCCGCCCTATCACAATTGTGATGATCTTTTTTATTCGTCGTCAAACAGGGGAGGGGGGGCGGAGCTTAATTGCAAAATCTTTATTTTTCTACAATAAACTACCATTTGAATGTTTTCGACAATAAACTATATAACTGGCAGAAAATAATAATAAAAAGACGAGTTTGTAATTTATATAAATTACCAGATTTTTAGGAATTTTACTGATATTGAAAATATTTAATCTGTTTTAAATGGATGATAAGGAGAAAGCAATAAAAACACAATCTTAGACGCCCATGTATTTTTGAAAGTTTGTCTTTGATCGTTACATTTCCAACTCAAACTTTTAGATTTACAGAAAGCCGTCAAGATGACAACTGTATCAAAAATAAATCTTGAAAAGTCCATGATTGCTTTCTTGTTAGGAAAAGAAGACTAGTGAGTATATTAAAAACAAAGCAAATACTAAGCCCCACCCACCCGCCCTCATCTCAATTCTGATGAATTTTTCATTCGTTGTCAGACCGAGGGGCGGAGTTTAATTGCAAAATCCTTATTTCTTTACAAAAATTTCGCAAGTTTTTTGCTGTGAAAAGAAAGCTACGTATGTTAAGAAAAAAACTGTTTCAGGTATTTAAACAATAGTTGCAATTTTTTTATTGTGCTTAAAGTGATGAATTAATTTTATATAGTTACGAAAAAATAAAAATATAAAAAAAAACATAAATATATAAAAAATAAATTTTATTTATAAAAACAAATACAAAAATACAAAACACAAATAATCTCTTAATGATGGGAAGAATGTTGGGGATGAGTGGCATGTCCTTCCCTATGAACCACAGCATTGAACCCGCTGTGCTTATCAGCGGTGTAGTGAACGGTCAAAATGGTACCATCGGGTTCATGAAGGGAGTAAGAACCTTTGACGACATCCCCATCCCTAGTCTCCTCCTGTTGTTTAATATCACCGGTGTGTTTATCTTCAACTCCGTATTTGAACGAGTACTTAGGATGAGCCTATTTTTAACAAAATACTTAGTTCAAACAATCTAATTTAGCAAATGGTACACATACATGTGGTTCTTCGTGGTGGTACCCATGACTTCCCCCAGATCCACCCACAGAACTTTGACTTTGAGAAACATACGAAGAGCCACTCTGGTGATGGCTACCAAGATCCAAAGAACCGTAACCTCCTAAACCCAGCGAAGAAGCGTCCAGAGAAAGACCACCGTCCAACCCATGACCGTAGGTAAAGTACGAACTGCCGTGTCCTTGAGCTTGCACGTACACGACGAGAAGACTCACACACAAAAACTGAAAACAATAATTATATTTATAAAAATATTTTGTTTGTTTATTTGTTTCTTTTTTTGCACTTCACACTCACTTTGGCGAACATTTTTTATTCTTCTTTGGTCGTGCTGCTGTTAACCGAATTTCGATTTAAACTGATTTGTTTGTGGTGGAACTGCCTTTTATAGTTACTTACGAACTTTCTGCATTATCTTTTAGGTAATTTTTTTATGTGGCGATAAGTGTTGCGTCACACGTAAGGTGTATGTAAATTTTGCTCGAAAAATTGGAATTAGTAATCGTAGGTTTTATATAACGCGGTAGCGTGTAGGTACATAATGTTAATTAACGTAAAAGTTTTGTTCTAAATGCAACATAATTAATTAGCCAAGTTCATTATCATACAAAAGTGAAATTTACGAGCTGGGTAATGCGGATTATGTGTACCAAATTTTGCATTTTTGCACTTCTTGGATTTTGAAAAAAGTGTTGCAAGTATATGGTGATAAAAAATCGACTTTAAATCACACACAAGTTAAGAAATAATTGCGGGGCTGTTTCAACAAATGTTTCACAGTTTGTAGAATCCGAAAAGGTCGGTTTTTTAACCTTCTGTTCGTCTGCCTTTCTTAGCAATTTTGCTAGACAGAACGTCTTCGAAATTGCAAGCTTTGAAATTTTCGGTGTATTTTAAGTGTTACTTAGTAACCAACATTCCCTCCAAAATATGAATGACGTCATTAGAATTTCACAAATTCTTAAAAGATTTAAGATTCTAAGGATTATAGAGATTCTATGAATTACAAATATTTTAGAGATTCCACGGATTTTAAAGATTCTGTAACTCAAAAATTGGGCGAAAATTTTATAAATTCAAAGGTTCCAGAAATTCTTAAGATCCTTGAAGACTAGGGATTTTAGATCTTAGATAAATCAGAAACTGCAGAAATTATGAAGTTTTCACACAATTCAGAGAACCCTATTATATTTAACAGATTATTTTATTTTTATATTGAACAGAAATAAAATTACTCTTTAAAATGAGAAGAGGGTGGGTGGGTGCGGCTAGTACTTGCTAAGATAAGACTGATTTTGGCATGTAACATACCTTCCAAGAAAAGAGAGGGCGGGTGGGTGGGGCTAGTATTTGTTAAGATACGAATGATTTTTACTAGTCCCGCCCACCCACCCCACACTCTTTCCGTGGAAGGTATGTCATTTACCAAAGTCAATCTTATCTTGGCAGATACTAGCCCCGCCCACCCACCCTGTCTCTTTTTCAGTGATTGCTTTTATCCGATTTGAATTAAATAAATGATCTTATACTAAGAGAAATAAAATTAGTCGTTAGACTGATAAGAGTGGGTGGAGCTAGTACTTGCTAAGATAAGACTGATTTTGGCAAATTACATACCTTCCAATAAAGAGAGGGCGGGTGGGCGGGGCTAGTATTTGCTAAGATACTAATGATTTTTACTAGCCCCTCCCACCCATCCTTTATTTTCTTAGAGGGTATGTTATTTACCAAAATCAATCTTACTATAGCAGATACTAGCCCCGCCCACCCACCCTGTCTCTTTTTCAGTAAGTATTTTTATCCGGAAAATTCGGGAACCTCGAAGGTCTCAGAGACACTAGATACCGCAGAAGTCCTAAAGATCATAAGAATTATGAAAAATCTAACTAAAGAATTCAGATCAATGACTTTTCAAAGATTCAAGGCCGCAGATCCGATGGAGATACAAAAAATTCCAGATACTTAGAAGTTCCACGAATATTAGAGATTTTAGTAGTTCCAATTGGAAATTTTAGAGATTCAAAGATTCCAAAAATATTTGAGATACTCCTAGAGATCTTAGATATATCAGAGATTTTAGGGACTTCGAAGAGTCCAGGGAATCCAAAAATTCTAGAGATTCAGAAATTTTAGAGATGCTTTCGTCCTAGAGATCACAGAGATTCTAGACGTATCATGGTGATACAAATCCTTAAAATTTTACGAATCCTAAAATTCTTCAGATTCTACAAAACCAAGAACCTCAGAGGTCTCAAAGATACTATTAGGTACTACAGAAATTCTAAAGATTATAAATATTCCAAGGATTTTAGTTATAGATTTAATTTCTTAAAATTCTTAAAATTCTTAAGATTCTACAGAACCTAGAAATCCTAGAACCTCAGAGGTTTTAAAGATACTAGGTACCGCAGAAATTCGAAAAATCATAAATATTCCAAGGATTCTATACTTAGAGATTTCAGAGGTTTCAGTATTCTCAGCGATGGCACGGATCCAAAGTATTTTGAAACCTATTCCCTAGACTCCAAAAACTTTTTGAGACTCCTGAAATTTTTGAAATACCTGATATGCATAGATCCTTAACGACTTTGAGATTGAAATGCTTATGGAGACACAACAAATTCCAGATATTCCAAAGTTCCACCAATATTGGAGATTGTAACATTTCTAGCGATTGTACGGAAATTTTAGACAATCAGAGAATCTAAAAATATTTGAGATACTCCTAGAGATCTTAGATATACCAGAGATTTTAGGGACTAAAAAACTTCGAAGAGTCCAGGGGATCCAAAAATTCTGGAGATGCTTTCGTCCTAGAGATCACAGAGATTCTAGACGTATTCATGATGATACAAATCCTTAGAACATTACGGATCCTAAAATTCTTAAAATTCTTGAGATTCTACAGAACCAAGAAATCCTAGAACCGCAGAGGTCTCAAAGATACTAAATACCACAGAAATTCTAAAAATCATAAATATTCCAAGGATTCTATACTTAAGGACTTTGAGATTGGAATGCTTATCAAGACACAACAAATTCCAGATGTTCCAAAGGTCCACCAATATTAGAGATTGTAACATTTCTAGCGATTGTATGGAAATTTTAGATAAATTGGAGATTGTAGCATTCCTAGAGATCTGAGATGTACCAGATATCTTGAAGACTAAAAAGACTCAAAGACTCGGAAGATTCCAGGGAATCAAAAAGTTCTGAAGATTCAAAGGTTTTAAAGATTCTTTCGTCCTTAAGATCATTGAGATACTAGACGTATTCATGATGATACAAATCCTTTGAATTTTACGGAACTCAAAAATACTAAATACCACAGCAATTCTAAAAATTATAAATATTTCAGGAGTTCTAGAATTAGAGATTTCAGAAATTTTAGTATTCCCAATGATGATCCAAAGCATTTTGAAATCAATTCCCTAGAAGTCAGAAAGTTCAAACTTTTTTGAGATTCATCAAATTTTTGAGATACCCGATATACAGAAATCCTTAAGGACTTCGAGACAGGAATGATTATAGAGATACCAGAAATTCCAGATAATCAAAAATTCCACCAATATTAGAGATTGTAGCAGTTTTAGCAATTTCAGGAAAATTTTAGAGAATTGGAGATTCCAAAAATATTTGAGATAATCCTAGAAATTTTAGATATACCAGAGATTTTATAGATTATAAAAACTACAAAATTTTCAGAGAATCCAAAAATTGTAGACATTTTACTTCGTCCTAAAAATCATAGATTTTCTACATATATTTATGGTGATACAAATCCTTCAGATTTCAAGCATTCTAGAATTCTGTAGATTGTCGAGATACTACAGAACCTAGAAATCTTAGAACCTCAGAGGTCTCAAAAATACTAGATCTCATAAAAAATTTAAAGGTCATAAAGTTTCTAAAGAGAGATTTATGTTCCAGCGATGCCACAGAATCAACGTGTTGTAAAATCTGTTCGCTAGATGCCAAAAAGTTGAACACTTTTTGAGACTTCTCAAATTCTTGAGATACCTGAAATACAGCGATCCTTAAATACTTTGAGTATGGAACGATTATGAAGATACCAAATATTGCAGATAATAATCAGAAGCTTCATAAGTACTAGAGATTGTAGTAGAAGAGATTCCAAAAATATTTGAGATACTTCTAGAAATCTTCGATATATTAGAGATTTTAGAGATTATAAAGGCTAGAAAGATTCTAGAGGACCCAAAAATTGTAGAGATTCTTCGTTCGTCCTAGAGAGAACAGAATTTGTACAAATATTTATTGTGATACAAGTCTTTCAAATTTTACGGATTCTAGAATTCTATAAATTCTAGAGATTCTACAGCACCTAGAAATCTTAGAACCTCAGAGGTCTCAAAGATACTAGATATCACAAAAATTCTAAAGATCTTAAAAATTTCTAGCGATAGATTACAGAAATTTCTATATTTGCTGCAATGTCATACATTCAGCGTATTTTGAAATCTGTTAGCTAGATGCCAGAAAATCCAAACCTTTTTGAGACTTCTCAATTTCTTGAGATACCTGCTAAAATACGAAGATCCTTTAGAACTTTGAAATTGGAACTATGATGGAGATACAAAAATTCCAAATATTCAGAAGTTCTACGAATATTAGCAATTATAGCAGTTCTAGTGATTGAGAGATAGAAATTCCAAAAATATTTGAGATTCTTCTAGAAATCTTCGATATATTAGAGACTGTAGAGATTCTTCCTTCGTTCTAGAGATCATAGAGATTCTACATATCTTTATGGTGATACAAATCCTTCAGATTTTAAGCATTCTAGAATTCTATAAATTCTCGAGATTCTACAGAACCTAGAAATATTAGAACCTCAGAAATCTCAAAGATATTAAATATTATACAAATTTTAAAGATCATAAAGATTCTAGTGAGAGATTACAGAGATTTCAATGTTCCAGCGATGCTACAGAATCACCGTATTTTAAAAATCTGTTCGCTTGATGCCAAAAATTTGAAACTTGTCTCCATGTTTCTGAAATTCTTGAGATACTTGAAATACAGAGATCCTTAAGAACTTTGAGAATGGAACTATCATGAAGATACCAAATAGTCCAGATAATCAGAAGCTTCATAAATATCAGAAATTGTAGAAGTTCTAGCGATTGGATGGAAATTTTAGAGACCAAGCGCTTCAAAATATATTTAAGATAATTTTAAGACGAAGGATCCTAAAATTGTATAGATTCTTCCTTCGTTCTAGAGATCACAGAGATTCTCAATCTCTATGGTGATACAAATCCTTCAAATTTTGCGGATTCTAGAATTCTATAAAGTCTCGAGATTCTACAGAACCTAGAAATCTTAGAACCTCAGAGATCTCAAAGATACTAGATATCACAAAAATTTTAAAGATCATAAAAATTCTAATGAGAGATTACAGAGATTTCAATGTTCCAGCGATGCCACAGAATCAACGTATTTTAAAATCTGTCCGCTAGATGCCAAAACGTTGAACCCTTTTTCAGACTTCAGAAATTCTTGAGATACCTGAAATACAGAGATCTTTAGGAACTTTGAGAATGGAACGATTATGAAGATACCAAATATTCCAGATAATAATCAGAAGCTCCAGAAATATTAGAGATTGTAGCAGTTCTAGTGATTGGACGGAAATTTTAGAGACCAAGAGTTTCCAAAAATATTTGAGATACTCCTGGAAATTTTCGATATATTAGAGATTTTAGAGACTATAAAGACTAGAAAGATCATAGAGATTCTACATATCTTTATGGTGATACGAATCCTTCAGATTTTACGGATTCTAGATTTCTATAAATACTCGAGATTCTACAGAAACTTGAAATCTTAGAATCTCAGAGGTCTCAAAGATACTAGATGTCACAAAAATTCCAAATATTTAGAAGTTCCACTAATTTTAGTGATTGTAGGAGTTCTAGTGATCGGACGAACATTTTAGACAAACAGATATTTCAAAAATATTTGAGATACTATTAGAGATTTTAGATATATCAGAGATTTTAGAGACTAAAAAGACTGCATAGATTCCAGGAGACCCAAAAATGCTATGGATTCTCCAATTTTAGAGATTCTTGCGTGCTAGAGATTCTTGCATGCTAGCGATCCTAGAGATTCTAGGCATATTTGTGATGATACAAATCCTTAAAATTTTAAGGATCCTAAAATTCTATAACTTCTTAAGTTTCTAAAGTATAATAAATATAAAAAATATTTGAGAATGCTCCTAGTTATTTTAAACATATGTATTAGAAATTTTAGAGTTTGTGAAAACCCCAAATAGTCCAGTTGTTCGAAAAATTCTAGAGAGAAAGAATTTAGAAATTTTAGAACCTCAGAAGTCTCGCAGAAACTAGATATCATAGAATATCTGCCCATTATTAAATATTTCAAGGATTTCACGTACAGATCTGGAAAAACTGTAGATTTTAGATATATCAGTATTTCTACAAATCTAATTTTAAAGTGAAAAATTTCTGAGGTTCCAAATATTATAAAATATAAAAGATATTACTGATTCTATGAGCTGCCGAAACTCGTGAAAACAAGGTTACATAATCGTCAAATGAGTTATTTGACAACAAGGAAGTAAAATTGATTAAAAAAAAAATAGATATATAGGGAGAGTACGACAATAAACCAAGACACCAAAGTATATACAAAAATAAATGTTTTTATTTAAAACATAAAAACAACAACTTAACAACAATAACTCAGTACTCTAATAATGGTGCCCAGACACGTGCTGCGGATGACTGGCATGCCCTGACCTCTGAACCTGGGCGTTGAACCCGCTGTGCTTATCCGCAGTATAATGCACAGTCAAAATAGTACCATCAGGTTCGTGCACGGAGTACGACCCTTTCACCACATCTCCGTCTCTCGATTCCTCCTGAGACTTAATATCGCCAGTGTGGTGATCCTCAACACCGTACTTGAACTCGTACTTGGGATGTGCCTACACAAAAATAAACACATAAATAAATAAAAAAAAAAACACTACAACAAAAAGTACTCACGTGTGGTTCCTCATGGTGGTGGTACTCAACCGGAGCCACAGCGTACCCGGAGTACCCCAAATTTACGCCGCCCTCGTGCCCCCCCTGGCTATACGTGATGTACGAACTGGCGTGTCCTTGAGAGTGTCCTTGTGCTTGCACGTAGACGGCCAGGAGCGCCACGCCCAAAACCTGCAAACGACGAACTCGTTAAACTAAGTTCACTTTTATTGAAAGATTCCATTACTTTGGTGAACATTTTCAGTTAATTGGTGAGGAACGAAGAACAGTCGAAGGAAGGTTTTGAACTGGCTGAGGTTCGGCGGCGGCGACTTATATATCAAAATCCGCGTTCACTCCCAATTTAGATAACAGTTTTTTGTCGCGATTTATATAATTTCGGAGCAGAATCGGTCTTGTTCTGCGTCTGTGATATAATAGCTCGTTTGTGCGATTTTCTGGAGAAACGGACTTTTGAATAGTCAATGGAGCGTTTTCGGCGCCTTTGTTGTCGTAGAGGTTGTAATTGTGATAAGTGGATGTATGTGCGGATGTGGGTTTCACTTTTTGGCCGCAGGAATGTGTTGCGGTAGTTGCAATTAAACACTTTTGAGAGTATTAATGGGGAAAAATGTGCGGTAGTGTATCGTTGGAAGTGCTAAATGGAAGCTAAATTATGGAAGTGTATCAGTTACGGGTTACGTAAAGGTTGCGCAATACTTCCACTGGCCCACATAAATGATGGTTTTTTATGGGTAGCGGTGCGACGGGTTTTTGGCGAGCATCGTGAGGTATTGTTGTGATGGGGCGTTGCGTAATTGGAGTGGATTTTTGGAAAAAGTGGAATGAAGGCGGCGGTGTGAGTCATGTGACGAGAAATTAAGAAAGTGTGCGAAAAAAGAGCTTTTTAACAGAAATTATACACAAAAGTTGTTTGGCGATAACTAAATTAAATCTACTAAAATTGGATTTAAGTAAAAATTTTGTCTTCTATTGGATAAAATGTGTTTGAATTTAGAAATATTCCTTTCCACATCCACTAAAGTAATTAGAGCATATTTGAAGAGGTTAATTAGTTCAGAATTTATCCATAATTATTCTAATTAATTCGATAACGAAGTCTGCAGTTAAAACTTGAGTAATATTTGTAACAACGAAAGCATCGAAATACGGTGGATTTTTTTTGCCCAATTTTTTCGTTTTTTGTGAATTTTTGACGACTTTTTTATCGTTTTATTTTTTTCTGTTGTATTTTTTTTGTCGTTTTTTGCTACTTTTTGCGTTTTTGTGCTTTTAGCATTCTCCTTCTTCGACGCACTTATTTTTAGATGTTTCTTTAATTTTTTCCCGATTTTTATGTCGTTTTTTTCGACTTTTTCTTGTTGCACTTTTTTGGTGCAATTTTTATCCCGTTTTGAGCTTTTTGTCATTATTTTTTACAATTTTTTGACTTTCTTTCAGATTTTTTGCATTTTTTGTGTTTTCTCGCTTTTCATTTTTTTTTACTTTTTTGTGTCGTTTTTGTTATTTCTGTTGTCATTTTATTGAACAATTTTGTCCAGAGAATTGTTGTTGCTTTTTGTAGTGATGTCCCGTCAATTTTTTGGTGCTTTTTTTGTTACTTTTTGCCTGTTTTTTGACTCCCTTTTTTAGTCGTCTTTTGTCGTATTTTTATAAGATCTAGAATCTGGAATCTAAGTATAAGATTTAGAATCTGCCATCAGACCGAAATCTAAACTGAACACAAGGAGGCGATAAATGCGACCTTTGAACAGGTAGCTCACGTGACAGTGACGTTATCGTACGTCACGATGAGATTGCAAAAATTATCTTTCTTATTTTGACCAGAAAATTGCACATTTTCGGGGTTAATTTAATAATATTTAAACAAATTGCTTTGTTTCTAGTAACTTCGCGTTTTGAAGAAAACGGTGTTCGATTTAATTATCATATATTAATGCTTATTGTATTTAAACATTATAAATAATATTAAAAAAAGGTAGAAGTTGCCGAGGAAAAAAAGGAAAATGAAGGAAAAATTGGTTAATAACTTGTCTTCACATTTGTCCTTATAAATAATAAATTAAATGTAATATATTTTTGTTTCCTTAAGAATACAAAGTTAACAAAATTAGTCGAGTTATAAAAGTCTCTTTTGCTCCACGTTGGCCACCAACGAGCGATTTTCAAGATTTTTGTGAAACTTTACTGATTTTGAATTTAAATTTTCTGTCCTCGATAGTTGATGCTCAGCAAGAACCACGGGAAGGTCTGGAGCAGATCTCGCTAGGAAAGGAGAGGGCTAGGATTTGTTAATGAGGGATAGAACGTTATACAGTACAATACAATAGAAATACAATACAGGTACCTATAATCTAGCTACAATACAGAATACACTACAGATACAGATACAATTCAGATACAATACAAATGCAAAGTTAGTACCCAATACACCACCGGAAGAAATTGCACCAAAAACTGAGAATGTTGCAAAATGAAAACCCAAGCAAGCACACCGATGGAACTCGAAACGAAATCTATTGGTCGCAGCGCTCACACGCCCAAGGGAGAACGCAGCCGCATAAATCCAAGGCCGACTGACCTCATCCTTATCGGATGATGCGACCCAGCGTCTAAGGGCAACAGAACCCCCCCAAGCCAAAGCGTCTCACGACATTGAGAATTCAGACTCGGAACCAAAGAATGCACTGTTGCAAAAAAAATACCCAAGCAAGTGAACCGTGAAAACAAAGCAAAGTTAAGTTAGTAACACATACAATATACAGTACAATATGCTTCAATTACAAAAGTTACAATATACAAATTTCTCCACTTTTGCCAACAAAGAGCGATGACTCTGCTCGCTCGTTGCTGTTGCCCAGCAAGAACCAAACAATACGAGGAGGTCTGGAGTGCGTCTTGCCATTAAAAGAGAGGACTAGGGATTGATAGCATGGGTGAAGGACACCGTATTTTGTAAATTTGGACGCCGTACTTTAAAAATGATGTATACGGTCTTTGGTGAATTATGAACGCAGTACTTTGTATATTCTAAAGCCGTACTTTATCAGTGCTGAATGCATTAACAACAAACTTCAAAACAAATCGGGCATTTTTGGAAAAATATCCACTTTCCCTCGTGTTCACAGCAGTTAACACAACATTTTCGCTAATATTTATTAATAAAAAATTAGAAATTCGCGAGCACGTGCTACTTTTTACCCAAAACGGAGCTCCGATGTTGCTGCCACCAAATCGGCATCAAAACTGAACACAGAGGAGCGAAAAAGTGACCTTTTATCAGGTAGCTCACGTGACAGTGAAGTCATCGTACGTCACGATGAGATTGCAAAAATTATGTGTTCTTAAGAAAATGGTTTTCGGTTTAATTATCATATATTAATAGTTATCATATTTAAACATTATGAATTATATTAATTATGTTTAAATTTTATTTAATTATATCGCGAAAATGTATAGCTTTGACCCACCAACTTCAGTCGTTTCGAAAATTTTTCCCAAATTTAAACATTGTCGAATAAACGAATCACGGAATCCGATAAATTAAAACTGAAGTCGTACTTACCCTGTTTTCGGTCCTTTTCGGAAAAATATCCATTTTCGTTCGTGTTCACCGCACTTATACAACATATTTTCCGTAATATGTATTAATAATAAACTAGAAATTCGCTAAAACGCCTCACTTTCACGCCAAAACGACGCGACGATCTTGCCGCCATCAAACAGAAATTAATACTGAACACAAAGGACCGAGAGACGTGACCTTTATACAGGTAGCTCGCGTGACATTGACGTCATCGTACGTCACGATGACATTGCAAAAATTTATTTTTCATATTTTGGCCGGAAAAATGCACATTTTCGGGGATAATTTAACATTGTTTAAACAAATTGATTTGTTTTTAATAATTTCATGTTTGTAGGAAAACGAAGTCCGATTTAATCATCATATATGAATGATTATCATATTTAAACATTATAAATGATATTAATTATGTTTAAACTTTATTTATTTATATAGCGAAAATGTATAGCTTTGATCAACCAATTTCAAAAAAATTAAACATTGTCGAGTAAACAAATCACGGAACCCAATAAATTAAAACTCAAATCGTACTTACCATGATTTTCAGCCTTTTCGGAAAAATATCCACTATCCTTCGTGTTCACAGCACTTAACACAAAATATTTTCGCTAATATTTATTAACAATGAATTATAAATTCGCGAACACGTGCTATATTTAACCCAAAACGGAGCTCCAGTGTTGTTGCTACCAGATTGGAATCAAAACTAAACACAGAGGACGGAAAAATGGACCTTTTAATAGGTAGCTCACGTGACAGTGACGTCATCGTACGTCACGATGAGATTGTAAAAATTATTTTTCATATTTTAGCACAGAAACTGTATATTTTCGAGGTTAATTTAACAATGTTTAAACAAACAAATTTGTTTTTGCTAACCTCGTGTTCCTAGGAAAATGATTTTCGGTTTAATTATCATTTATTGATAGTTTTCATATTTAAACATTATGAATTGTATTAATTATGTTTAAATTTTATTTAATTATATCGCGAAAATGTATAGCTGTGACCCACCAACTTCAATGGTTTTGAAAATTTTTCCAAAATTTAAACATTGTCGAATAAACGAATCACGGAATCCGATAAATTAAAACTGAAGTCGTACTTACCCTGTTTGCGGTCCTTTTTGGAAAAATATCCATTTTCGTTCGTGTTCACAGCACTAACACAACAAATTTTCCGTAATATGTATTAATAATAAACTAGAAATTCCCTAAAACGCTCCACTTTTACGCCAAAATGACGCGACGATCTTGCCTCCATCAAACAGAAATTAATACTGAACACAAAGGACCGAGAGACGTGACCTTTATACAGGTAGCTCGCGTGACATTGACGTCATCGTACGTCACGATGAGACTTCAAAAATTATTTTTCATATTTTGGCCGGGAAAATGCACATTTTCGGGGATAATTTAACATTGTTTAAACAAATTGATTTGTTTTTAATAATTTCGGGTTTGTAGGAAAACGAGTTCCGGTTTAATTGATGCTTATCATATTTAAACATTATAAATAATATTAATTATATTTAAATATTATTTAATTATATCGTGAAAATTTATAACATTGATCGACCAACTTCTATCGTTTTGAACCTTTCCCAAAATTTAAACTTTGTCGAGGAAACGAATCACGGAACCTGATAAATTAAAACTGAAGTCTTACTTACCCTGTTTGCGGTCCTTTTTGGAAAAATATCCATTTTCTTTCGTGTTCACAGCAATAAAACAACACATTTTCCCTAATATTTGTTAATAATAAATTAGAAATTCACGAAATTGTCGTGAAAACATTGTTACGTATATCCAAAAAAAAAGGCAAAATTTAAGTTCCGCCCTCCCACCGCCATCTCAATTGTAATGATGTTATTCGTTGTGAATATTGAAATTCTAAAAAATCGTTATATTCCATATTGTAAATTGTGGAGATGCGAGGGAAGTTCTGTATTTTGTTGTCGTTTTTTCGACTTTTTTTATTTTTTTACTTGCCTTTTTTTCGTCGTCATTTTGTGGAATTTTGTAACTACTTTTTTAAAGTTTTTGCCACCTTCTTTAAGTTCATTTTTAACCACTTTTTATGCCTTTTTTGTCTTTATTGTCTTTTTGTGGCATTTTTTTGTGGATATTTTTATCGATTTTTTTTCTCACAGGAGCTCTAAATTTTTTTTTTTTTAATATTACAGAAAAAGACACATAGTGTCTCCAGCATTACTTGGGATTTTTAAAAACCAAAACACCAGAGATCAGCAGATCTTCTAGATCCCTTAAAAATTAAGTATCAAAAGCCCCAAAATTAATTCAAAATAAAATACCCGAAACCTCAAAGATTCTTTAAATTCTTTCAAAAAAAAAAAACCTTACACCCCCAAGATTTTTTCAAATTCATCCAAAATTAAAAATACCGTTGGCCTTAAATTTTTTTAATTTTTTTTTTTCAATTAAAGAACAGATGCATCCAAGATTCCTCCAAACACCTTCAGAACAAACAAGATTCCTCCAAATACTTTGAGCTTTCAGAGCATTGAGCTTTCAGAGCTTACTTTTAAGAATAAAACATCAGAGATCTGGATTTTAAACTGCAGTTTAAATATTCCTGGAAAACTGTTTTCTTCATTTAAATAGCTGAAGATGAAAATAGTTATTTTCGAAACATGTTTGCCCTCTTGATTCTCATATAATTTTTTATGTGTCCATCTGGATATAACCACAATTGGTAAGTTTATTTAATAAAGATCCCGTTTTGCACTAAATTCACCATTAATTATTATTAACATAAGAAAACAAAAAAACGATTCTTAGAAAAATAATTTTTAATTTCGTCACAGCAATACAAATACATAACAGTCCTTACAAAACAACCAACAATAATCCACAAAACCTAACTAATAATGGTGAGCAGGAGCAGCGTGCTGAGGATGCTGAGGATGCTGAGCATGTCCTTGTCTGATAACCTCAGCATTGAACCCACTATGCTTATCCGCCGTATACTTCACAGTCAAAATAGTACCATCAGGCTCGTGCAAGGAATACTGACCCTTCACGACATCCCCATCTCTGGTTTCCTCCTGCGACTTAACATCCCCAGTGTGGTGATCCTCAACACCATACTTGAACTGGTACTTGGGGTGATCCTAAAACCCTCCCCCAATCAAAAAAACAAACAAAACAAAACCCAACTATACACACATGGTAGTCTTTGTAGTCATGGGTGTCCTCCTGGTGGCTTTCGGCAACTTCATAATTTTTGAGGGTTTTCACGGGCACGGGGGCTGCTTTGACCAGAAGGGGTTGCAATAAGTTGTGGAGAGACAACCCATGCGGCAAATCCGGGACGACGTTCAACCCATGGTCCTCGATTGAGCCGTACAGTCCTTCAGGATAATGCTGGGCGCAGGACATCGCCACGAAGAAAGCACCACTCAAAACCTGCAACCACAAAATTTAATTAAATTCGCGTTTTCCACCCAAAATTTTTATACTTTAGTCCACATTTTGCTGTAGTTGTTGTAGTTGATGTTGCACACTTCGCACTGATTTCGCAAATCCTCCGCAGCCTTATATACTTGAAAAAATTACACATTCACTGCCAAATTCTTCAGATAACGTACACGGATAATCGCTGCGTTACGTAAAGTTTGACGAGGAGCACGCGATGTGACGTAAGATAAGGCATAACTGTCGGGAGTTATGGGTTTGATGGGGTTAATTGGGTGTCGATGGGTATTGTTGGGCGCTTCTGGGTATTACAATGCGCGGATTGTAATTGTAGTGGAGCCGAACAGCGCTAATGGAGTCATAAAAGAAAGAGAGGGAGAGCGAGGTTCGAGGAAGATGGGTATGGGCGGTCATGCTAAGATCGGAAACGTGTTTGCAATTCACATTATAATTATTTATATGTGTGTAGGAATATTAAAAAGTGAAGTTTTGGGTGCGGTGTTCCGCGTTTTTGGCGTAAAGTGATACGTGTAAGTGCGGTGGTTACATTTGTTCGAAAAAAATGTGCTCATGTAATAATTTGTCAGAGGATTTGAGACGAGACGTGCTACTGATAAAGTTTCACTTTTTGGGTTTAAAAACTCAAAATTTACAAATTCTGTTTCTGTATTATGGTTTTTATTCATTTAAAAAACACGGATTTGAAGAAACGATAATTATATTGTCTTATAGGTTAATTTTTACGTGCAGAAATCAGAGTCATTTTCGTATGTATGATTTTTTATTCTTGTATTTTAAAACGTGTGACCTTTAGGGCTTTTTTTAGAAAAAATTTTTTTTTTTTTGGAAACCACCCCATCTAATTTACAAATATTTTAAATTTATAAAATTCTTACAAAATGTAAACATCCTGTGTCATACAAAAGTAAAAGTTATTTAATTATTAGATTCTACTTAAATGAAAACTAGTTATTTTAATCTAATTTTAATTTCGCATTACGTATAAATCCTCAAATTTTTTATAGGAAATTCATACATTAAACAGGAAATATGGTAAACAGAATTTATATGCAGAATGCAGAATCTAGAATGCAGGGTCCAAGATGTAAAATTCGGAATCCAGGACTTCGATTCTAGGATTCAAGATGCAGGTTAGAATCTAGGATATAGAATCCAGAATTCAACATTCGGTTTTTATGATTATGGGTGAAGAATCTGGATTCCGAATTCACGATTAGGTTTCAAGGATTTCTCGGAGAATTTAAAATCCAGAATAAGATACAAAATATAGAATTTAAATCCAAAAATTTGGAACCTAAGACCTGGATTTTAGTATCTGGAATCTAGGATCTACAATATACAATCTGGGATGTACGGTCCAGGATCCAGGAATTTGAATTTTCGATCAAGAATCTAAGGTCAAGATTCTAGGATCTAAGATCTAAAATATCCAGTATCTGAAATCTAGGAACCAGAAACTTGAACCTAGAACAATCTAATGTCAAAAATCTGGGATATAAATTCTAGTATCTAGCTTACTTGGGTATAAAATGTTTGAAATCCTCAAATCATCACAATCCTAAAATCCTCAAAGACCAAAAATTCTCAAAACCCCAATATCTTATAAACACCAAACTCCCCAAATTTTCAAAAAATAAAATCCCCAGTTCATGAAAACGTCAAAATCCTTAAATCCCCAAATCACCAAAATCCTCAAATCCTCAAAATATGAGACTTCTCAATTCTTCAAAACACCAAAATACCAAAATCCTCGAATCCTCAAAACACCAAAATTCCAAAAACACTAAAATACTCAAATCTTCAAAACACCAAAATCATCAAATCCTCAAAACATTAGAATCCTCAAATTTCAAAACACCAAAAGTACCAAAATACTCGAAATTCAAAATCCTCGAATCCTTAAAACACTAAAATCCCAAAAACACTAAAAATCTTCAAATCCTCAAAAGACAAAAATCCTTAACTCTTCAAAGCATCAAAAATCTTCATATCCTCAAATCACCATAATCCTCAAATCCTCAAAACACCATAATTATAAAATCCTGAAAACACCAAATTTCTCAAATAATAAAACATCAAAATCCTCAAATCCTCACAACACCATGATCCTCAAATTCTCGGAACACCATAATCCTCAAATCCTCAGAACACCATAATCCTCAAATCCTCAATACAGGATAATCCTCAAATTCTCAAAACACCAGAATCTCCAAATCATCAGAACACCTAAATTCTTTAAATCCTCACAACACCATAGTCCTCAAATCCTCAAAACATTAGAATCCTCAAATTTTCAAAATACCACAAGTACCAAAATACTCGAAATTCAAAATCCTCGAATCCTCAAAACACTACAATCCCCAAAACACTAAAAATCTTCAAATCCTCAAAAGACAAAACTCCTTAACTCTTCAAAGCATCAAAATCCTCATATCATCAAATCACCATAATCCTCAAATCCTCAGAACAACATAATCCTCAAATCCTCAAAACACCATAATACTCAAATCCTCAAAATATGAGAATTCTCAAATTCTCAAAACACCAAAATATTAAAATCCTCGAATCCTCAAATCACTAGAATCCCTAGAACACTAAAATCCTCAAATCTTCAAAACACTATAATCCCCAAAACACTAAAAATCTTCAAATCCTCAAAAGACAAAAATCCTTAACTCTGCAAAACATCAAAATCCTCATATCCTCAAATAACCAAAATCCTAAAATCCCCAAAACACTTAAATCCCCAAATCCTCAAAGCATTAAAATCCGTATATCCTCAAATCACCATAATCCTCAAATCCTCAAAACACCTTAATCATAAAATCCTGAAAACACCAAATTTCTCATATAATAAAACATCAAAATCCTCAAATCCTCAAAACATCATGATCCTCAAATCCTCGGAACACCATAATCCTCAAATCCTCAGAACACCATAATCCTCGAATCCTCAATACAGGATAATCCTCAAATTCTCAAAACACCAGAATCCCCAAATCTTCAGAACACCTAAATCCTTTAAATCTTCAAAACACCATAGTCCTCAAATCCTCAAAACATTAGAATCCTTAAATTTTCAAAATACTACAAGTACCAAAATACTCGAAATTCAAAATCCTCGAATCCTCAAAACACTATAATCCCCAAAACACTAAAAATCTTCAAATCCTCAAAAGACAAAAATCTTTAACTCTTCAAAGCATCAAAAATCCTCATATCCTCAAATAACCAAAATCCTGAAATCCCCAAAACACTTAAATCCCCAAATCCTCAAAGCATCAAAATCCTCATATCCTCAAATCACCATAATCCTCAAATCCTCAGAACAACATAATCCTCTAGTTTTCAAAACACCATAATACTCAAATCCTCAAAATATGAGAATCCTCAAATTCTCAAAACACCAAAATATTAAAATCCTCGAATCCTCAAATCACCAAAATCGTTAGAACACTAAAATCCTCAAATCTTCAAAACACTATAATCCCCAAAACACTAAAAATCTCCAAATGCTCAAAAGACAAAAATCCTTAACTCTTCAAAGCATCTAAAATCCTCATATCCTCAAATAACCAAAATCCTGAAATCCCCAAAACACTTAAATCTCCAAATCCTCAAAACACCATGATCCTCAAATCCTCGGAACACCATAATCGTCAAATCCTCAGAACACCATAATCCCCAAATCCTCAATACAGGATAATCCTCAAATTCTCAAAACACCAGAATCCCCAAATCTTCAGAACACCTAAATCCTTTAAAACCTCAAAACACCATAATCCTCAAATCCTCAAAACATTAGAATCCTCAAATTCTCAAAACACCAAAAGTACCAAAATACTCGAAATTCAAAATCCTCGAATCCTCAAAACACTATAATCCCCAAAACACTAAAAATCTTCAAATCCTCAAAAGACAAAAAACCTTAGCTCTTCAAAACATCAAAATCCTCATATCCTCAAATAACTAAAATCCTGAAATCCCCAAATCCTCAAAGTATTAAAATCCTCATATCCTCAAATCACCATAATCCTCAAATCCCCAAAATACCATAAACATCAAATCCTGAAATCACCAAATTTCTCAAATAATCTAACATCAAAATCCTCAAATCCTCAACACCATGATCCTCAAATCCTCAGAACACCATAATCCTCAAATCCTCAAAACAGAATAATCCTCAAATTCTCAAAACACCAAAATACCAAAATACTCAAAATAAAATATCCTCGAATCCTGAAAACACTAAAATCCCCAAATCCTCAAAGCATCAAAATCGTCATATCCTAAAATCACCATAATTCTCAAATCCTCAAAACACCATAATCATCAAATCTTCAAAACGCCAAAAATTCTCACATAATCAAAACATCAAAATCCTCAAATTCTCGAAACACCATGATCCTGAAATCCTCAGAACACCCTAATCCTCAAATCTTCAAATCAGGATAATCCTCAAATTCTCACAACACCAGAATCTCCAAATCTTCAGAACACTTAAGTCCTTATATCCTGAAAACACCATAATCCTCAAATCCTCAGAACAACATAATCCCCAAATCCTCAAACCACCATAATACTCAAATACTCAAAACAAGATAATCCTCAAATTCTCACAACACCAGAATCTCCAAATCTTCAAAACACCTAAGTCCTTATATCCTCAAAACACCATAATCCTCAAATCCTCAGAACAACATAATCCCCAAATTCTCAAAACACCATAATACTGAAATCCTCAAACCACCATAATACTCAAATACTCAAATCACCATAACACTCATTTTCTCAAAATATGAGAATCCTCAAATCATTAAAACACCAAAATATCAAAATCCTCGAATCCTAAAACACCAAAATCCTCAAAACACTAAACTCCTCAAATCTTCAAAACACCAAAATCATCAGATCCTCAAAACATTAGAATCCTCAAATTCTCAAAACACCAAAATACCAAAATACTCAAAATACAAATTCCTCAAATCCTCAAAACACCATAATCATCAGATCCTCAAAACACCAAAATTCTCAAATAATCAAAACATCAAAATCCTCAAATCCACAAAACACCATGATCCTCAAATCCTCCGCACACCATAATCCTCAAATCGCTAAAACAGGATAATCTTCGAATCCCCAAATCTTCAGAACTCTTAAATCCTAAATTCCTCAAAACACTAATTCTCAAATCCGCAGAACAACATGATACTCAGATCCTCAAAACACCATAATATTCAAATCCTCAGAACACCACAATCCTCAAATCCTCAAAATAGGATAATACTCAAATTCTCAAAACACCAGAATCCTCAAATCCTCAAAATAGGATAATACTCAAATTCTCAAAACACCAAAATCCTCAAATCGCCAGAACACCTAAATCCTGAAATCCTCAAAATACCATAATCCTCAAATCCTCAGAACACCATAATTCTCAAATCCTCAAAACACCAAAATTCTCAAATCCTCAGAACATCATAATCCACAAATCCTCAAAACACCATAATCATCAAATCATCAAAACACCAAAATCCTCAAATAATCAAAACATCAAATCTCAAAATACTCAGAACATCACATTACTCAAATCATCAAAACATCAAAATCGCCATATTCTCAATTCACCAAAATCTTCATTTTCTCAAATCACCAAAGTTCTCAAATCCTCAGAGCACAATAATACTCTAATCCTCAAAAAACCGTAATCCTCAAATTCTCAGAAAAATATAATACTCAAATCCTTTGAACACCATGATCCTCAAATTTTCAGAATACCATAATCATCAAACTCTCAAAACATTATCCTCAAATCCTCTGAACCCCATAATCCTCAAATATTCAAAATACCATAATCCTTAAATGTTCAAAACTTCATAATCTTTAAATCCTCAGTAATTAAATAAAAATAAATAAATAAATCCTCAGAACACCATAATCCTCAAATCCTCTGAACACCATAATCCTTAAATCCTCAGAGCACCGTAATGCTCAAATCCTCAAAACACAATAATCCTCAAATTCTAAATTCACCATAATCCTCAAATCCCCAGAATACCATAATTGTGAAATCCTCAAAACACGGTAATCCTCAAATTCTCGAAACACCGTAATCCTGAAATCCTCAGAACACCATAATCCTCAAACCTCAGAACACCATAGTCGTCAAATTCTCAGAACACCAAAATCCTCAGATTCTCAAAACACTAAAATTCTCAAATCCTGAAACCATCAAAATCCTTAAATTCTGAAAACACTAAAATTCTCAAATCATCTAACCACTAAAATTTCTAAATCCTCAGAACCTCAAAATCCCCAAATTCTCAAAACACCATAATCCTCAAATCCTCAGAACACTATAATCATAATAATACTATGATATTCAAATCTGCAGAATACCATAATCCTCAAAATCCTTAAAACACCACGGTCCTCAATTTCTCAGAACACCATAATCCTCAAATCCTCAAAACACCATAATCCTCCAATTCTCAAAACACGGTAATCCTCAGATCCTCAGAACACCATAATTCTCAAATCTTCAAAGCACTTAGATTCTCAAATCCTCTAAAGACCTAAATGCTCAAATGCTCAAACCATCAAGTACCTCAAATCCTGAAAACACGAAAATCCTCAAATTTTCACAACAGCAAAATCCCCAAATCCTCAAATCCTCAAAACACCTAAATCTTCAGATCCTTATAACACCTAAATCTTCAAAGGCTGAAAACATCAAAATCCCCAAATTTTCAAATCTTCAAAACACCAAAATCCTCATATTCTCAAAACACCAAAAGTCCTGAAATTCCAAAAATAAACATTACTCCTTGCAGTTTGTGAATTCCTGATGAGGAAGTTAACTTGAAAAAGTCTAAATTGGAAAACTCAAAATTTGAATTTCCTGGTTTCGTATAATAATGGAAATTTGACATTGGTACTAATTAATAAAAAATTGAAAATTCAGGATGTTTGATTTAAAATATAGATCACGAAACACAAAACACAGATCGTAGATTACAGAATATAGAAAGTCGAGTTTAAATTATGTCACATTATGGTATAAATCAAGTCTTTGTAGCAGACGTCAATATATATATATTTTTTAATTACTTTGTGTTTTAAAATTGTGAACTTCGCAATTTCACCACACTTTGAACTTTTATTTTATTTTTTTGGTTTTCCGGTTTTTTCTATCGAAATTCGTCTGTTAAAATTACGATAACACATTAACAAAAAAAAAACAAATATACAAAAATCTTTATTATGTACAAAAATACAAAAACCCTCCAGTCTCCTCAATAATGATGCTTCTGCTGCCCAAACGCCACCGACTCGTGCCCAGACTTATGAACCACCGCACTGAACCCATTATGGGGATCGGCAGTATACTCCACGGTGCGCACAGACCCATCAGGCTCCACCAAACTGTACTGCCCCTTCACCACATCCCCCTCCCTCACCTCATACTGCGTCTTCTTATCCCCAGTATGCGCATCCTCAACCCCGTACTTGAACTCATACTTGGGAGAATCCTGAAAAAAACAAATCAAACCACAACCACTACAACAAAAAAATACATACATAATATTCCGGCTCGGGTCTGTAGTAGCCGCCTCCAGCGCTGCCCCCGTGGTGCGAAATCGTCGAATACGCACTGGAGTACCCACCATAGGCGTGCCCGCCCCCGAAGCCGCCGCCGCCGTGGTGGCTGTAGCTGGGAGCGTGGTGCGTCGAGTAGCCCACGTTGGAGACGGCCCCGAAGCCCCCCAGGTGGCCCGCCTCCACCAGAGCGGCCACACAAGCACTCAGAAAAACACCGACTGTGAACATGTTGATGGTTGCTCGAGTTTTGCTGCGACACTGATGCGAATAATGGCTCTGGGTCTTTTATAGTTGAAGATGGCACAAAGGACTGATTCTCATCGGTTATCGCAACTTTAATAATTGAAACAGACACATCACAACGTCATTAAACGTTATGTCATATTCATGAGAAAAGCCTAAAATGGTGGGAATCACTTAAGCCGAATTGTAATTGCATGCGTTTTATATAAGATGCATTAGAACAACCGATATGGAATTAATTAGTTGCGAAATGGGCGGATTTGGGTCCGTTTGGTAAGAGGGAATCGGATTTGCGACACTTTTATGAATATTCAATTTGGATTTTGTTGTACACCACTGGGTACTGGACCAAAAATGCGTCTTGTGTTATGAAAATCGTTGAATGTTGCGATGATCGCGTATTGATTGGAGATTTTGTGCGTTTTGTGTTGGCAAGCTTTCACTGCGGATAATTGCGGCTTGTTACGGTCGCTTTCAGGTCAATGTTGTGCTTTATGTGATGGTCTGGGTTTTGCGGTATTTCTCTCGTGGTTCTAATTCGGAAAAGAGTCAGCTTGTTGTTTTAAAGGAAAATATGCAAATGACGATTTCTCAAAAATTGGAGAAATTTCGAGGATCGAGTTACTGGGAATTAAAATTCATAATTATTATTTGGTGCGAAGTGTATCTCACGTTTCGTCAGTTAAATGAATTAACGTAAAGTGTCGCGACTTATGTTAATTGGAAAAGATAATGACGTTGGGTTTGTTAATTTCTCTTCTTTCAAAATGCTGGAAAATTAGACGATAATTACGAAAACGGATTTCGTAGTTTAAGCGCTAAGTGCTATGTTGTGCGCTAAATAAATTGTGTTATTGGACAATTTTTGGCCCAGATTTTCAAGGACGTATCATTCGTTAAAAAATCAGCAAGTGTGGGCCTACAGAAAAAATCGAACAGATGTATACAAGCGTTTTAACGACCTGAAAGTAAAAAAGTTGTCGTGTTTATAACCCATAAAATGGTAATTGCTTTCAGAAACTGAATTATTTAGAATTGAAAACTGAACCTGCCGCAAATATGTTTAAATATTACTTACATATTGGTACTTTTACTGGAAACAGTTTAAAATTTAAATTTACTTTCCCATTAATTGTAACCTCCATATCGAGGAAGTCTTTACGTTTTAAAATTCTAGAATCTAGTAAAAGCTTGATTTTTTCGTGTTGGAAAAGAAATATGTAAATCGATTTTCTGAAAATATCGCCAAAAAGGTCGAATAAATGGAATTTTGTGGAATGAAAAATGTAATTATAACCTGTGGGGGAGTATCTAGGTCGAGGATCTCTCTCGATCCAATACTGTACCATGTCACGTTTTTGCCGATTAGAGATAGGACTGTAATTCTGCGTAAAACTTTTACTTTCCCTCTGTTTGAAAATACAATCAAGTAGGTTCTATTTATAGAAGGATTTTTTTCTCTCCAGCTACCGGCAATATTTTTCTTTTCTGTAATTCGATTATGATTTGAATAAACTCAATACACTCTTGCTTTAAACATGTATTTATGTATAAGGAACTGCAACCGTAATAAAATACAGTGTGTTTCAAACAGTTGTTATTCACTTTTAGATTTCTTCTTTCTTTAAACACTTATAAATGACACGAATTTTAAATTTTGGTTACTTAATATACGAAATTACGAATTATGGTTTCCGGTTCTACGATTTAAAATCTAAGGTTTAAAGTCTGGGATCTAGAATATAGGAGCTACGATTTACCAAGTGGAGTCTAAATTATAATTTAGGAGATCTTACGATATATCAGCTAGAGTTTAGAATCTACGATTTAAGTTTTAGAATTTGGGCTCTAGAAACTAGAATTTAAAATAATCTAAAATGTAGGATGTAGAATTTAGGCACCACAATTGAGGATATAGTATTTATGATTTAGGATAATGATAATTTAAGATCTAGGCTTCAGGATTCTAGAGAATCTAATAATTCGGATCTAGGATTTAGAATCTAAGATCTAGGAAATATACACGTTTTAAATTCTAAAATTTAAACTTCATCATTAAGTATTCAGTTTCAGTATTCAAGATTGAAGATTTATGATTTAGGATTCAGGTATCATTATTCTAGTTTCGAGGTCTAGAATTTTTGAGATGAGATACATTTAGGTTCTAAGACTTAGAGTTTTAGGATCCAGGACCTAGAAATTGGAACAATTTACAAGTACAATTTAGGATTTAGAATTTAGGCTCTAGGCTCTAGAATTAAGAATCCAGAGTCCAATATCTAGAATCTCGGATATAGAAGCTATGATCTATAATCCAAAATTTAAAAGTATCTAAGATGTATGATTTAAGGTCCACGATTCCGGATCAAGAATTTAGAATTTAGAACTTAGGACAAAGATTTCAAATAATTTCAAATCTAGGTTCTAATGTCTCGGAATTAGGATTTAGAAATTAAGATTTTAGGCCTATAAGTCAGAATATAAGATAAATATCTAGGATCTAGAATCTGGGGTCTAGGAATTTAGGAAATAGATTTAAGATCCTCGGGTTTAAGATTCATCATTCAGGAGTCAAGATTGAGGATTTATGATTAAGGATTCAGGAACCAGGGTAGAGGATTCAAGACTACGAATTCTAGTTTCGGAGTCTAGAATGTCGGAGAAGATATTTAGGATCTAAGGTTTAGAGTCTTGGAACTGGAATATGGGATTTAGAATTTACAATTTAGGATCTACGTACGTTTTAGGATTCAAGAATATTTAGGATCTAGGACCTAAAAATTGGAATGTACGATTTAAAATTTAGAATTTAGACTCTAGATTCTAGAATTTAGAATCCAGGATTCAATATCTAGGATTTAGGATATAGAAGCTATGATCTACAATCGAGGATTTAAAAGAATCTAAGATGTAAGATGCATGATTTAGGGTCCACGATTCAGGATCCAGAATTTGGGGTTTAGAATTTAGGATAAAGATTTCGGATAATTTAAAATCTAAGTTCTAATGTTTCGGAATTAGGATCTAGAATTTAAGATTTTAGACCTTAAGTCAGATTGTAGGATAAATATCTAGAATCTAGAATTTGCGGCCTAAGAATCTAGGAAATACATTTTAGATTCTGGGTTTTAAGATTCATTATTCAGAATTCAAGATTGAGGATTTGTGATTGGGGATTCAGGAACCAGGATGCAGGATTTAATAATACAAATTCTGATTTCGAGTTTAGAATGTCGGAGAAGAAATTTAGGATCTAAGGTTTAGAGTCTTGGAACTGGAATTGGGGATTTAGAATTTACAATCTAGGGTATATTTAGGCTCTAGGATTCAAAAATGTTTAGGATCTAGGACCTAGAAATTGGAATGTATGATTTAGGATTTAGAATTTAGGATGTAGACTCTAGCATTTAGAATCCAGAATTCAATATCTAGGATCTGGGACATAGAAGCTATAATCTACAATCCAATATTTAAAATAATCTAAGATGTGTGATACGGGATTTAAGGTCCATGATTCAGAATCAAGAATTTGGAATTTAGAACTTAGGACAAAAATTTCAAATAATTTCAAATCTAGGTTCTAATGTCTCGGAATTAGGATTTAGAAATTAAGATTTTAGACCTATAAGTCAGAATATAAGATAAATATCTGGGATCTAGAATCTAGGGTCTAGGAATTTAGGAAATAATTTTAAGATCCTCGGGTTTAAGATTCATCATTCAGGAGTCAAGATTGAGGATTTATGATTAAGGATTCAGGAACCAGGGTAGAGGATTCAAGACTACGAATTCTAGTTTCGGAGTCTAGAATGTCGGAGAAGATATTTAGGATCTAAGGTTTAGAGTCTTGCAACTGGAATATGGGATTTAGAATTTACAATTTAGGATCTACGTACGTTTTAGGATTCAAGCATATTTAGGATCTAGGATCTAAAAATTGGAATGTACGATTTAAAATTTAGAATTTAGACTCTAGATTCTAGAATTTAGAATCCAGGATTCAATATCTAGGATTTAGGATATAGAAGCTATGATCTACAATCGAGGATTTAAAAGAATCTAAGATGTAACATGCATGATTTAGGGTCCACGATTCAGGATCAAGAATTTAGGATAAAGATTTCGGATAATTTAAAATCTAAGTTCTAATGTTTCAGAATTAGGATCTAGAATTTAAGATTTTAGACCTTAAGTCAGATTGTAGGATACATATGTAGAATCTAGAATCTTTTAGATTCTAGGGTTTAAGATTCACCATTCAGGATTCAAGATTGAGGATTTATGATTGAGGATTCAGGGACCAGGATGAAGGATTTAATAATACAAATTTTGATTTTGTATTTAGAATGTCGGAGACGAAATTTAGGATCAAAGATTTAGAGTCTTAAACCTGAAATACGGGGTTTAGAATTTACAATCTAGGATCTATGTAGTCTCTAGGATTCAAGAATGTTTAGGATCTAGGACCTAGAAATTAGAGTGTACGATGTAGGATTTAGAATTTAGGCTCTAGACTCTAGAATTTAGAATCCAGGATTCAATATATAGGATCTGGAATATAGAAGCTATAATCTATAATCCCGGGTTTAACATAATCCACGATATATAGGTCCATGATTCAGAATCAAGAATTTGGGATTTAGAATTTATGATAAAGATGTCGGATAATTTAAAATCTAGGCTCTAATTTTTCAGAATTAAGATTTAAAATCTAGCGGTTTGGACCTATAACTCAGAATATAGAATAAATATCTAGGATCTAGAATCTGGGGTCTAGGAATCTAGGAAAAAGATTTTAAATTTTAATGTTTAAGACTTATCATTCAGGATTTAAGATTGAGGATTTTTATTCCAGGATTCAGAAACCAGGAAGCAGAGTCTAGAATGTCGGAGAAGAAATTTAGGATTTAAGTTTTAGAGTCTTGGAACCGGAATAGGGGTTTTAGAATTTACAATCTGGGATCTCTGTTGGCTCTAGGATTCAAGAATGTTTAGGATCTAGGAGCTAAAAATTGAAATGTACGATTTAAGATTTAGAATTTAGGTTCTAGACTGTAGAATTTAGAATCCAGGATTTAATATCTAGGATTTGGGATATAGAAATTGCAATCTGTAATCCAGGATTTAAAAGAATCTGGGATCTATGATGCAGGATTTGAGGTCAACGATTCAGGATCAAGAATTTGGTATTCACAATTTAGGATAATTTAAGATATAGGCTCGAGTATTTCAGAATTGAGATCATTCAATATTCAGTTTGAGGATCTAAGATTGGGGATTTATGATTAAGGATTCAGGAATCAGGAGATTCAAAAATACGAATTCTAGTTTCAGAGTCTAGGGATGTCCGAGAAGAAATTTAGGAACTAAGATTTAGGATCTTGGATCTGGAATAGGTGATTTAGAATTTCCAATCTAGGATCTATTATTTAACGGTATCTAGGATCTGGGAGCTAGAATTTGATAAGCCCGGATTTAGAACTTAGAATTTAGGCTCTCGACTCTAGAATTTAAGATCCAGGAGTGAAGATTCAATATCTAGGATCTATTAGGATCTCGAATCAAATACATATCTAGAATCCAGGATTTAAAACAATCTAAGATGTATGATGCAGAATTTAGAGTTCACGACTGAGGATCTAGAATGTGGAATTTAGAATTTAGGATTTAGAATTTTAGGATGAGGTTTTAGGATAATTTAACATCTACGATCTGGTATTTCGAACTTTGAATTTAGAATCTAAGATCTTGAACCTACAACTCAGGATGTGAGATAATATCTAGGATCTAGAATCTGAAGGCGAGAATGTAGGGTTTACAATCTTGAGAATCTATCATCTAATATCTATGAAAGATGCTTTAGATTCTAGTGTCTAAGATTGATCATCAGAATTCAAGATTGCGGATTTATGATTTAGGATTCACGAATATGAAGTAAGATTCCGGGGTCTATGATGTCTGAGAAGAGATTTAGATCTGGAATATGGGATTTAGAACTTACAATCTACGATCTATTGAAACTCTAGAATTTATGAATGTTTGGGACCTAGGAGCTAAAATTTGGAATTTACGATCTAGAATTTAGGATTCAGGTTCCATATTATAGAATTTAGGACCCAGGAGTTAAAATTCAGTATCTCGATCTAGGATCTAGAATTTAGAATCTAAAACCTAAGATCTAGAAATCTAAGGACTAGAATCTAGGATCTGGAATGTAAGATCTTGAACGTAGGATTTAAAATAATCTATGGTTAGGATGCAGGATCTAGAATTTTAGATCTAGAATTTAGGATAAGAATGAGCATGCAACATTTAGCTTCTGGAGTCGAATATGTAGACTTTACGACCTTGAGAACATATTATCTAAGATCTAGGAGCTAGTTTTCAGATTCTAGAATCTAAAATTTTATTTTCAGGATTTATCATCAAAAGGCAGGATTAAAGTTTACAAATTTCGGGGTCTAGGATTTCTGAGAACAGACTTAGGGTCTAAGATTTAAGGTTTAGGGTCTAGAACAGTGGACTTAGAATTTGCGATGATTTAAGGTAATATAGGATCTAGGAACAAGAATTTAGAATCTACGATTTAGGAATTAGAATTTTGTGTCTGGAATTTAAAATTTAATGTCCGTGATTTAAGATTGAGTAACTAGAATCTAGGATCTATATTTTAAAAGAAGCAGAATTTAGGATTTAGGGCTCACGATTCAGGACCTAGAATTTAGTATTTAGAATTAAGGATAATTTGAAGTCTAGGATTAGGGTCTAGGATTTTTTTTTTCCCAGCTACCAGGATATTTTTTCTTCGATATAATATTTTTTTAAGAAGGGTAATATAATCATTTCAAACATTTTCAACAAAAACTGATTGAAACGTTTCGTTAAAAATCAAACACAAAAATACCGTAAAATAAACTTTATTATTTATAAAAATAAATAAAAATACAAAAGGCACACATTTCCAGAAGAAATAAAAAACAACCAAAAACCACCTCAATGATGATAATAGGCAGGAGCAGCAACCACAGCAGGAGCGGCTACAACCTTGCTATACCCAGGATGTACAGCGTGTCCGGTCCTTTCAACCACAGCGTTGAACCCATTATGGTGGTCAGCGGAGTAATGAACAGTACGAGTAGTACCATCGGGCTCCACCAACGAGTACGATCCCTTCACAACATCCCCATCCCTCACTTCATGCTGGGTCTTATGGTCGCCAGTATGGGCATCCTGCACACCGTAGTTGAACTCGTACTTGGGGTAAGCCTGAAAACAGTACCATCAGCACCACTTTAAAACCACCCTTAAAGTCATACGTGATAATCCACGGCGTGTCCATGAGCAGGGGCGGCGTGAGCCACCACGGGAGCGGCATGGGCGTAGACGGGAGCGGCGTGGGCGTAGACGGGAGCGGCGTGGGAGTAGACGGGAGCGGCGTGGGCGATCACGGGGGCGGCGTGCGACAGCGAGCTGTACGAGGTGGCGCCGTGGCCACTAAGTACGTCGGAGATGAGGGCGTTGGAGACGGCGACGAGAGCCGAGACGGCCACGATCTAGAATCACATTTTAAGTTTTAATTTTTCAGTTTGATTTTACACTGCGGTGACAACCTTGGCGAACATGCTGTAATATGTATTGATGAAACGAGAACGAATTTGATACTGAATCGTAGTCCGGCAGGTCCAGCTTTTATACTTAGCCCAAAACGTTCACTACAATGAGAATCGTAACACTATTATGTCTACGCAGTATGTGCGATATCGTAATATCGAAAGTATTAATTTATTGGCCTATTTTTTCGGCACGAGATTCGATTGGTAAAAATGTGGGCTGACGGTTCGTGTGATTGAGTTATTGAGATGCAGGTGTTGCAGGTGGGATAGCGTGATATTGTGGATTGTTGGTACTGGAAGCGGGAAGGTCGATGAAAGAGGCGATAAATTAAGAAATGATTGTTTAATAATACGGTAGATTAATGGTATTGTGTTTATGACTGAAAGTGATCGCTTTTTTGGGTTTATTTGTCGAGGTTTGCGTTCGGCGAAACTTTTAAGACAATGGGCGTTAAGCTAAAACGGTTTTAATTTCCGTGATATTTAACTATTTGTAACGCTAAAACTTATTCCTGGAACTGCTTTCTCTGAAAGCGTTCGAGATAAATATAAAAAATCATTTTTCTAAATCCATATATGACGCTTGGGTGAAGTCGGTTGTTATAAACACACTCAAAACTGCTAGTTTCAATTTTATTTATTTTTAAAAAATCTTGTGGCCCTCGACCTTTTTTTCTCAATGAATTCGAAAAATCTTGGAGAACCCTAGTGATTTATTTTTGAAAGAATTTGACAGTGTTTTGTTTTTAAAAGAATCTGAAAAATCCAAGGTGTTGATATGGGAATTTCTGGTGATTTATTTTTGAAAGAATTCGAAATCATCTTCCGGGGGACTTGGTTTTTCTTTCTATGAGAATTCTAAGAAATCTTGGAAATTTCTAAAAAGAATTCGAAAGCATTTTGGGCAGCAGTAGTGTTTTACTTTTGAAAGAATCTGAAAGAATTTGAAAGAATTTTGGAAATCTCTAATATTTTATTTTTCAAAGACCCTAGGTAGTTCATGGTGTTTTACATTTTGAAAAGATTTAAAAAAAGGGCTTTATTTTTGGAACAATTCAAAAGAATCCTAGGAATCCTATGTATTTTAATTTTGAAAGAATTTGGAAGAATCTTGGGCGCCCATGAAATTGTATTTAAAATGAATTCAAAAGAATCATGGCAGGCCTTGATGTATTTTTTGTCTCAATGAATTCGAAAGAAGTTGGAAATCTCTAATGATTTATTTTTGAAAGAATTTAAAAGAATATTAAGAAATTCTAGTATTTTGTTTTTGAAAGAATCTGAAAGAATCTGAAAGAATCTGCGAAGTCCATGATGTTCCATTTTTGAAAAAATTCTAAAGAATCTTGAGGATCGTTGGTGTTTTAAATTTTTTTAAAGAATATAAAAGACTCTTGGAGCCCTTGCGCTTATATTTAAAAAAAATTGAAAGACTTTGGAGACTTCTAGCGATCGATTTTTTAAAGAAGCTGGCGAGTCCGAGGTGTTTCATTTTTGAAAAAATTTTGAAAGAGTACTAAAGCACCTTGGGGACACTTGGTGTTTATTTTATTTTATTTTTTTAATTCAGAAGAGTCTTAATGTTGTCTTTTCTTGAATAATTTGAAAGAATCTTTGGTAATTGTGATAATTTTTTCGAACATCCTTAAAGAATCTGGATAGTCCCTGGTGTCATATTCTTGAAAGAATTTTGGAGATCTTCATGTTTTGTTTTTGAAAGAATCTCGAGGAATACTGATGTTTTATTTTTGAAAGAATCCAAAAAAAATCTTGGGGATTCTCGCTGTTTTACTGGAGAAAAATTCCAAAAACTTAGGCACTTGTGCTTCATCATCGAAAAAATCTACTAGAATCTCGACAGTACGTGCTCTTTTCCTTTTGAATGAATTATAATAAAAACTTGAAGACCCTGTGTTCTATTTTTGAAAGAATTAGAAAGAATTTTTAGTGACCTTGTTTTTTTTGTAGAAAAAATTCCAAAATATCTTATAAACCCCTGATATTTTATTTTTTAAAGAATTAGAAACAAAATTAGTTTTTTTTTTCTTAAAGAATTCCAAAGAGTCTTGGGAAACCCTGGCATTTTATTATCTGGAAAAATTTCGGAGGTCTATGGTGTTATTTTTGAAAGAATTCCAAAGCATTTTGGAAACCCGTATTTTTTTTTTAAGAATTTGGAACAATCTTGGACTCCCTTGTTTTTTTTTTGTCAAATAATTCGTGAAAATCTTGGTTACCTTTGGTAATATTCTCAAAAAATATTCAAAAAATCTCAAGTGCCCTGGTGTCCCGAAAGAATTGAAAATAATGTTAGGGGTCTTCGGTGTTTTGTGATAATTTTTTCTTAACATCCTCAAAGAATTTGGAGAGTCCCTGATGTCAGATTTTTAACAGAATTGGAGAGAATATTGGAGATTTTGATGTTTTGTTTTTGAAAAAACTGAAAGAAACTCGAGGAAAAGAATCCGAAAAAAAATTTGGGGATCCACGATGTTTTTTTTTCGGAAAAATTCCAAAACACTTAGGGGCTTCTGGTGTTTTATTATTGCAAAATATAAAAGAATCTCAGCAGTCCATGGTGTTTTTCTTTTGAAAGAATTTTAATACAACTTAAGAAACCTGTGTTCCATTTTTGAAACAATTCAAAAAATCTTTGGTGGTCTTGTTTTTTTGCTCAAAAAATTCCAAAGGGTTTTATAAACTCCTGATGTTTTATTTTTTAAAGAATTCGAGAGAATCGCCTTGATGTTATGTTTAAAAGAATTCCGAAGCATCTTGGACGCGTTGTTTGTTTTTTTTTTTTTTGTTAAAAAACTCCAAAGAATTTTTAGACGCCTGGTAGTTTACTTTTGAAAAAATTCGAAACAAAATTTCTTTCTTTCTTTTTTAAAGAATTCCAAACAATCTTGGAAAAATTTCGAAGGTCTATGGGTTATTTTTTAAAGAATTCAAAAGCATTTTGAAAAGCCATGTTTTTTTTGAAAATTTGAAAAAATCTTGGACGCCCTTAATGTGTTTTTGGGTGTCCTGGTGTCTTGAAAGAATTAGAAATAATGTCAGGGGTATTTGATGCTTTATTTTTTAAAGAATTTGGAAGAATGTTGAAGGTCCCTAATGTTTTATTTTTGAAAAAATTGTGAAAGAATTCTAGAGTTTTTATTTTTGAAAAAATTGTGAAAGAATTCTAAAGCATCTTGGACGCTTTTTTTTTAAACTAATGAATTTTAAAGACCCTTGGTAGTTTATTTTTGAAATAATCCGAAACAAAATTCGTTTTTACTTCCTGAGCTTATTTTTTCTTAAAGAATTCCAAAGAATGTTGGAAAACACTGGCATTTTATTTTTAAAACAATTTGGAAAAATTTCGAAGATCTAGAGGTTATTTTGAAAGAATTCAAAAGCATTTTGGATATCAATGTTTTTTTAAAGAATTTGAAGGATTCCTGGACGCTGTTGGTGTGTTTTTTTCGCAAATAATTCGTAAAAATCTTTGTTACCTTTGGTAATATTTTCAAAAAAAAAATCAAAGAATTTCGAATGCCCTGGTGTCCTGAAATTGGTAAGAATTTTAGGGGTTTCAGTGGTTTAGTGTTTTGTTTTCGAAAGAATGTTGAAGGTTTCAAATGTTTTATTTTCAAATTTTTTTTAAAGAATTCTAAAGCTTCTTCATCTGGTGTTTATTTCTTTTTTAATTCAGCAGAATCTTAATGTTGTGTTTTCTTAAATAATTCGAAAGAATCTTTGCTAACTGTGGTAATTTTTTCTTAAGATCCTCAAAGAATCTGAAGAGTGCCTGGTGTCATATTTTTAACAGAATAGAGAGAACGTCGGAGATCTTGATGTTTTGTTTTTGAAAGAGTCTAAAAGAATCTCGACGAATTTTGATGTTTTATTTTTTTTTTTCAAAAAACTTAGGGGCTTTTGGTGCCTTAAAATGTATCCCGACAATTTGAAGACCTCATGTGTTTTATTTTTGAACGAATTCAAAAGAATCTTTGGTGGTATTTTTTTTTTTTAATTCGAGAAAATTTTCGTGAGCCTTGATGTTATGTTTCAAAGAATTCCGAAACATCTTGGACGCCTTGTTCTTTTTTTTCTTAAAGGATTTTAGTATACAAAAATTCGTGTTTCTTTTTCCTTAAAGAATTCCAAAGTATTTTGAAAACCCGTGGTTTTTTTAGAATTTGGAAGAATCTTGGACACCCTTGGTAATTTTTCGTCAAATAATTCATACCTAAAAGTCTTGATTAACTTCGGTCACTTTTTTAAAGACTTTAAAATAATCTCGGGTGGCCTTGTGTTCTGAAAGAATTTGAAGGGATGTTGAAGGCTCCTAATGTTTTATTTTTGAAAGATATCAAAGGAAAAAAATACTGCTAATTTTTTGATATGAATTAATGAATATATAAATAATTTTAAATTAATTAGTTAAACCTGACAATAAAAATTTTAGTACCTACTTCTCTGAAGATCAACGCATGACTCGAACCTTCGAAACATGTGACGATTAAAAATAAAATAAAATTCTGAGAGTCAATAGACTTTCACTGCTAGCTAACAAAAAATCCATGACTTTTAGAATTTTATTCTAAAATTCATAATGTAACATTATTTAACCTTGTTTTCATTATATTTCACTAAATTAAGCAAGACATAAGATGCTTTATTTAAAAAAAAAATCGAAAAATTCTAGTTCAACCTACACATTCCCTCCATTCCACTTCAGCAACCACAACCCAATCATTACATAAAAATCCAACCGATTAGCTGTTTACCGTACCGTTAAAACCCCACAAACAATCACACTCTCGACATTCAGATAAAAAACGAAAGCAATCTCAACGTAATCTCGTTGATTTATAACAAAAACATTCCTCCTCTTGAACGTGTCGCTGCCATAAAGCTTTCGCCTCCAGCCAACACCAGCCAGCTCGTTAACGCCATTAAACAATACCAACAAATTTTTCCTCTACCTTTCTAAATAATACATAATTCGTGATGCAAATTGCACAAACCGAATGATATCCTGCACCGTCCCACTTAAT